CCTCCTGCGCGAGTCACAGTCGCCTGCGGAGATCGACTGCCATCCAATGTCAAGGTGATGGTCTCATTTGTGGTTGACTTGGGGACGAGAGACCTGCGTCAGGGCCTGCACGTCCAATCACGATCATACTGGGCACCAGCAAACATTGGACCATATTCACAAGCCATGTCTGTTTCACTGCAGAACAACAGCAGACTGGTACATATTGCTGGCCAGATTCCTCTAGACCCTGCTTCTATGGAGATGGCGCAGCAGGAACAGTCACCATTTGAAAACTACCGTCTACGAGCTGTGCTAGCTCTGCAGCACCTCTGGAGGATTGGTGAAGCCATGCAGGTGGACTGGTGGCTTGGCGCGGTAGCATTTTTGGCTCGAGGAGAACAAGCCGACGCTCAAGCACAAGTGGCATGGCGCCTCTGGGAAAAGATGCATGCTTTACCTAACAACGAAGAAGAGGATGACGACGAGGGACCCCAGCTGGATGCATGGGATATGAAGTATGGACGTCGCACGGAGGAAGTGACTTCTGATGCTACCACACTGGCTTTGCCCAAGTTCACTGTTCTCAATTCCGAGTCTGCCACATCCATCCCACCCTTTTTGGCTATTCAGGTCGAGGAACTCCCCCGAGGAAGTGACATTGAATGGCAAGGATTGGGTGGTCGATGCGAGCAGGTCAAGTTGGGTATTGCGGAAGGGCCGGCTTCCACCACCACCATGGACGGCCAATACACCTATATTACTATCGAGGTTGAGGTTGGATTGTCTGACGATGCATGGGAGAAACGCTTGGATTCGGTCATAATGACCCACTGCCAAAACCCTAGCCTGTGTCAGGCTGTGTTGTACACCACCTATTCGTTGCCCGAGGCTTGGCCAGGACAGGTTGTCCCATGCAGATCGGTTTGGGGACGAGGAGGGCGAAGATTGGGCGCAGGCGTGGTCTTGCAACAATTACATTAGACAAATGAGCAATAACAGCTTGATAATACTTAGCATTGAGCAGAAAAGACCATGTCAACAAAGAACGATGTAATCCGACGCACAGTCCGCTTTCATGTGATAGGCAAAATCCTCTCCGCGTTCAGAGATAACAACAGCCTGCCACGTTCCCAACATTTACGAATTTCCCTCATTGGATTCGGGCACACTCTCCTATTCTCCAGCACTCTCTCCCGCGACATGACGTATCCCTCAACATAAGAATGGCGCCATGAGTTCGCTCCAGGAAGAACAAGCGACACCTCGCAGCAGTACACCCCTCAGCCCCGAAGCGGCCGAGAACCTGCGACAGTTTAACCGGTCACCCCATCCATATCACAGAAGCCAACGTATTGGCTCGCGCACCCCCTCCGAATACGGGGACCGCCTTCACCCGCTCTCCTACTCAAGGTCCTCGCGGACGCCCAGCGACAGCGGCACAGAGGCAGACGATGAGAGCACCGGGATACTGAGGGGTCTACCGGCCCCACCGCTGCGCCCTCACAAGGGTCTGAGGTCTGGAGAGGGGGATCCCTGGCTGCCAAGCTTGGGGCCATGGCCGTCGTTCGCGCGGCCCGTTTCACGGGCGTCACGGCGGAGCTCGGATGAGGAGATGGAGGAAGAGGTCTTCGAGGCAAAAATGAAGTTTCGGCGGACGAGACGGATTGAAGTGCTGCGTCGGTTGCTGGAGGCTGCGCTTTTGATGTCCGTTGGCGTTGTCGTACTGTACCAGGAAGGGGCGCGGTCTTTGGCATGGGCCTGGAGAAAAGGTACGCGCAAATGTTACGATCATATCGAGAGGGAGATGCTGATTGATTTACAGAAATTATTACCCATGGTCTCGTGGCGATGAGTCTTTATGCCGCCTATCCGCTTCTTGTTCGTGCATCCCAGGGCCGAAGCTGGCGCATCTGGCGCATCTGGCGCATCTTGTCTACGAAACACTCGTTCTTCTCCCTCCCTTCGAGCTTCGACCCAGCTCCTCTCCTCTATCCGATCTTTATTCCGATTTTTGTTTCACTTTCTCTGTCCAACCATCTTCCGCCGCTTATTATGCCTAATATCATCCTCAGCCTGTCCTCTCTGCCTGCACCTGTTATTCCGTTACAAAACTGGACGCATGGACTCAGCATCGCACATTGGATGGTGACATTGATTCCGATTGTCGTCTCCGAACACCTCTCCCTGGACTCTACAATTCCCAAACCACTGTCGCTTCGCGGGTTCGATGCGGAGACCCTAATTCTTCTTTTCCCTTTGCATCAAGCGTTGATACCCACTTTAGACTTTTTGTTGACGACCAGCGTTCTCCCTGCCGAACTGCAGCTTTTGACGACTGCTTTGATCAATTTGTACTTGTTCGCGGCGTCTCCCCAGGCGGAGATCCTAAAGGCCCTATTATGGCTTGGTGGCATGTGTTTATTCGCTTCATGTCGACACATACTGCGTTGGGAGGTTGCTCTGGCCCGAATTCCTAGTTGGAAGTTTCGCCGTCCGCCAAATAGCTCGCACTCTGCGCGCAAGTTTTTGAACATGATTGACCATCGACTTTGCGAGAAATTGAGCCGAACGGGTGTCTCGGATGATGCTTCATCGGATAGCGATGGCCCGAATGGGCATTCGTTTGCGAAACCACGCAAGACGAGGACTATGCATCAACGAGGCCCGTCGGTAGAGCCTGCATCTGCTATTGACAAGTCCCCGACGGAGGAAATGTTCGAGCAATATTCTCGCAACGTGCAACGCCGACGTCATACCATCTCTACTTTTGATGAAGCTGTTCGAGAGGAGCGGGTTCGTACTACTGCTGGTGGCCGACGCAAGAAGCAGATGGCTCCTGGTCTTACCGCGTTCCTCTCGCTCACTACTGCCCAGGCGCAGGTCCGCAAATGGCTGTATGCCTTTTTCGTTTACATTGCGTCCCTGCTGATCATTATTGGCCCTATCCGGAAATATGTGGCAGAGCGCGCTCTGCAAGGCCAAGATCCTTTTGGTTGGGCGATAGGCTATATGTTCGGCAATTTCTCCAACGTTCGCTTTTGGGTTCTGATGTTGAACCTTGAATACTGGATTGAACTGCCGCCTCGGCCAGATGAAGACGTTCTCAGTGCATCTTGCTTCCTCGGATCGATCGAGCATATCCGCCAGGCTACATTTGGTGCAGCCAGCACGCGTCTCCTGCTCAGTGGCTATTGCGTGGTCGTGCTGCTGATGGGTTTGGCTGTGGTCATTCAGCTCAGTTCCATTGCCGAAGTTGACACGCGTCGCAAGATTTTCCACGGCATGATGGTACTGATGTTCTTGCCTGCTATTTTTGTTGACCCCGCCTTCTGCGCCCTGGCGTTGGCCCTGGCCCTCTCTGTCTTCCTTCTATTGGACCTATTCCGCGCATCCCAGCTACCCCCAATATCCCGACCACTCACCTATTTCCTTGCGCCCTACGTTGACGGCCGGGATCACCGTGGACCGGTTATCATCTCCCACATCTTCTTGCTGATCGGATGTTCCATCCCGCTCTGGCTTTCCATCTCCGACCTCCCGCGGACTGGTCTAGGACCATGGGCTGGCTGGGAAATCCCATCACGAGACGTCAGCATGGCCAGCGGGGTGATCTGTGTAGGAATGGGCGACGCAGCGGCATCCCTCATCGGCCGGCGATTCGGTCGACTGAAATGGTTCTGGGGCGGGGGCAAGTCGCTCGAAGGCAGTGTTGCTTTTGCGGCAGCGGTAACCTGCGGGCTGATCGCAGTTCGTGCCTGGCTGGTATTGGGGGGCTGGCCCGTGTCTGGGGCCGACGGCGCCGAGGCACAGGGGGCTTTTTCCATTCAATTCTGGCTCTGGACTCTGTGCAAGGCGGTTTTGGCGGCAGCTGGGACTAGCGCCACCGAGGCGATCCTCACTGGTTGTAATGATAACGTCGTGGTCCCCGTGGTGTTGTGGCTGTTAGTGCGGGGTCTTGGCGTTTGATACGCCACCGTTGATGTGTATAGATGCAATTTGTTTGCTTTTTTTCTGTGCTCGGAGGTTTTTCTTCTCTCTCTCTGCATCTGTGTATAGTACAAAAGAGGACAAGCGTGTACATATGAGTCATAGGATTGGATGCCTAGAATGGCGTATCTGCCTCAAGGCGCCAGAGCCTGGTATAGGCTGCAGATAAGCTTCACCGTACTACATTGTAGACTATCATGCTGATAAGTCAATTTGAGCCCAAGGCTGCCTCATAAATCCGGGGAAGAGACTTGACGAAAACTCCCCGGAAGATACATTTATCTCCTATACTATACTCTACTCTATCCACGTCGTTCATACTATTTTTCACTGAGATCATCCCCTGATCTGTACCGCCGATCTCGGCCTTATCTAATCGATAAGCACATGACCAGTGCATGATATCAACTCCTGTCCCTTTGACACCTTGGGGGAATAATTCATTTCTTGTCTTGATCTTTCTTGTCTCTATTATCCCATTCTCTACATCACCTCCACATCCTCCTTTGACCCCCTTTCATCTTTATTGTAGTCCCGAATCAGTCCACTCCGCCCTCCTGACCGCCTTAGATCATCACCGCCTGTCACTCGTTATCGTTGGGTCACGCCCCCCAATCGTGGAGATCCTTGGATCCAGCTTTCCCCATCACATCATCTTGCCCTCTCATTAGACCAGTTCCTTTTTGCCTCCCTGGCCTATACTCGAACCTCTCCCTATACATACCTCCGCCTTCTGGATCTCATCTAGCTCTATTTGCTAGACGTACATACTTTCAACTTATAACTCGAGCTCGAGGTCCAGTTCCACGGCACCGCAACCAGTATTTACCCAGGCTCGTTGCCCCGGCGGTTCCTTATCTTTCCAGACTTCCCGGCAACTAGCAGCGTCATCGTCCAAGCCTGATGGGCTTCCAGAGCTGCACATCTTCATTGCTGCTGCGGTAGTTGTGGTTGCTGGGGTGTGTTTCACACTTGATTATCCCCAGCGAGAGTCTCTACGGACATAAGAGGCTGCGGCGCCCCCCGCAATCATGGCGTCTCAGCATTCGAGGCGCTCACGCGACCCCTCCCGTCCAGAAATGTCCATCGGTCGCTATACACGGCTGGATGAGATCGGGAGAGGAAGCTTCGCGACAGTCTACCAGGGCGTGCACACAGTGAGTGTTGATCTCTTACCATGAACATCAACGGCTGATGCTAATGGATTCTTATCTGCTAGAAAACTCGAACCTACGTAGCCATCAAGTCTGTGAACCTCTCGAAGCTCAACAAAAAGCTCAAGGACAACCTTTCATCCGAGATCGATATCCTCAAAGGCCTCCATCATCCTCATATTGTGGCTCTTATCGACTGCCATGAATCGACATCTCACATCCACTTGGTTATGGAATACTGCGCGCTGGGGGACTTGTCGTTGTTCATTAAGCGCCGGGATACCCTTGCAACACATCGATACACGCGAGACATGATTGCCAAATACCCAAATCCGCCTGGCGGCTCCCTCAATGAGGTGGTGACTCGGCATTTCCTCAAGCAGCTTTCAAGTGCGCTCAAATTCCTTCGAGACCGAAACCTTATCCATCGAGACATCAAGCCTCAAAACCTTCTCCTTTGTCCCTCTCCATCATCTTACCGGAGTGGAGCTGCACAAGTGATTCCCTACAAGGGCAGTGATGACTCCTATGAACCTACAACCGGAATCGAGTCACTACCAATGCTCAAGATTGCGGATTTCGGCTTCGCTCGATCTCTACCAGCTACCTCGCTGGCAGAGACCCTTTGTGGCTCCCCGCTGTACATGGCACCTGAGATACTTCGGTATGAGAAGTATGATGCGAAGGCCGATTTGTGGTCTGTAGGCACTGTGCTCTACGAGATGGTAGTTGGCCGACCCCCGTTCCGGGCCACTAACCATGTAGAACTGCTACGGAAGATTGAAAAGGGCGAGGATCGGATTCGCTTCCCTGAAGAGAATCCAGCCTCGGATGACATCAAAAAGCTAATTCGGGGTCTTTTGAAGCGGAACCCGGTGGAGCGGTTGAACTTCCCTGATTTCTTCAATAACAATGTGATCAACAATCCCATTCCTGGGTTGGTGGCCGATGATATTCCTGGAGCTCGTCGACCTTCCCTTGATACTTCTGGACCATCTCAATCGCCCCGGCCAGCTCAGCTTGAAACGAAGGCCGAGGAGTCTCCCTTATGATACAGGGCCAGATGAGAAAGTCACATATCCCATGGATCACCGGGCTTCTTTAGGCCATCAGAAATCAGGGACTCCGCCCACTGCCACAAACATGCGTCGCGTGGGAAGCTCGGATCGGCCTTCGTCAGGGGTTACCAAGGAGCAGCAACGAGGAGGCACACCGCCACAACGTCCTGGTCCTGTCACCGTTGCCACTGCTCCGGGACGCCAGGAACTGACTGATCGCAATGCAACAACATTGGCTATGGAGCGGCAAAGACACCGGAACACATATACGGGCTCACCCACCGCAAGCGAATCGACAGTTCGTGCTCAGGAGGAGCGGGATCGGGCTGCGCAGGAAGTGGCATTTGAAAGAGATTACGTGGTTGTGGAAAAGCGTGCCGTGGAAGTCAATGCGTTTGCGGATGAATTGGCTCACAGTCCACGTCTCCAGGGTGGGTTTACTCGCCCAGGACAGACTGGTACCGGGTCTCGTCGCGCGACAACGCAGTGTCTACCAACGGTGTCGCCATCTTCTCCACATGCCAACGCGGCCAAAGCCATGCAGGTTGTCTCAAATCGTGCCCGAGCAGATTCAACGCACCAGCGCCAGCATTCTTACGAGCGACGCTATGGACAGAGCCCTACATCGGCGACCTCAGCAATCTCGAAAGCACTCAACATGGCCAGCGGCCGTCTGTTTGGGATGGGTTTCTCTCCTCCGCTTGCCATTACGAAAGGTGGACGGTCTCCACCTCTAGCTTACAACCCATTTCCTGCCTACCCTACTGCGCAAGCGAGTCTCATGATCATGGGTGAAGGTGGAAAGACAAATATCACATCCGACGAGGATTGCAAGACTGTTCAGGCTATCGAGGAATGTGCAACACGGAGTGATGTGGTTTTTGGATTTGCCGAAGTCAAATACAAGCAGCTTGTTCCGCTAGCACCTTCAGCGCCAACTGATCCATCTGCGAGACCCATGGGAAACAACGATGTTGACTCAGCTGAATTTGATGATGGACTGACAGTCGATGCTATTGTCACACTATCCGAGGAAGCCCTGGTGCTATATGTCAAGGCTTTGGCATTACTCGCCAAGTCAATGGACATTGCTGGGGCTTGGTGGTCGCGCAAGAACCGCGAAGAAGCTTACGGCGAGTCACCTTCGAGTAAAGATAATATGAGTGCGGTTGCCGGTACCCGGATCAACTATGTCGTCCAATGGGTACGCAGTCGGTTCAATGAAGTGATTGAGAAGGCAGAGTTTGTGCGCATGAAACTCATCGAAGGTCAAAGACGCTTGCCCCCAGATCACCCCAACCACCCGAACAACCATTCCATTGGTTCTAGCGCAGGCTCAGGCTCAACCGCAGACGTTGTGGTGAGCGCCGGTGTCACAGCTGAGAGACTTATGTACGACCGTGCCCTCGAGATGAGTCGGGCTGCAGCTATCAACGAGTTGACGGGCGAGGATCTCGCCAACTGCGAGATTACATACGTCACCGCCATTCGAATGCTCGAAGCTGTCCTCGAGGACGATGGGACACGACCTGGGTCCGGCAGTGCCAGTGACCGCCAGAGCAGTTCCCAGCGAAGCGACAAGGTGATATTGGATGACCTTATGGTCGAGGATCGGCAAGTCGTCGTCAAACGTAAGCAATCTACTCCAAATATTCTACCACCCTGTTCCAAGCTAACCCATATACACAGTCGTCTCCAGTATGCGTGGCCGCCTCGCATCTGTGCGGAAGAAGGTTGCCGCCTTGTCCAAGCGGTCATCATCTTCGACGCCAGTGGGTAGTGCGGGGAAGGTGCCCCCGTCTAATATCGTACCTGTGGCGCCTACAACAGGTGTAACACCACCTAGGTGAACATCTGTTCTTGAGATCTATTGAGAATTTGACACCTTTATTAATCTTCACGCGTGGTTTCATATTTCTGGCCCTGTTTAGCCTAGAAGATTTTGAGCTACGCGTGAACGATTGTCCTTCCACTTTCCGGGCGATGCGATGCCTCTTCCTGCTCGCCTTTCTTTCTCCGGTTATATACAAGCTAGCCTGAGGCTAGCTTCCACCATTTATGATGCTATTTACATCTCTACGGAGATCCTAATTTCTTCGTTCATATTTGTCTCTTTTATTGTTGTTCATCTATCACGTTTTACGCTTACGTTTTGCCATATATCCCACAGCACGAGGCCAAGGGAGTTCAATTTATTCCCTGTCTTACCTTTTTTCCTTTCCCCTTTATCTCCCACTTCTCCCTCCCTCCCTCCCTCTCTCTCTCTCTCTCTCTCTCTCTCTCTCTCTCTCTCTGTGTGTGTGTGTGTGTCTGTATCTCGTTCACGAATTGGCGTTTGACCTGGGGACCCACGGTATACAGATTGGCACTTGATTTTTGGTTTGGGATATTGGATAAGGTCAGGGCGTTAAGGGAAGATCTGGTTTGCGCATGCAATGCAGATACTGCTTGGGATGTATTGTACATAGAGAAATCGAGGTAACTCACTAAAGATGCTGTTTACAAGTATACAATCTAGTCTCTCGGTAAGTTCCAGGGTTTGAAGGTGACAGTGCTTGGCATCGACCAAACCCTAGCGATGGCGTGATCGGTTCATCTGTGTGCCCTTTTCTTGGTCTCTTGGTCTTTTCACGCAACTAGATGAATATAATGATATTCTCTGGCGGTATGCATGATTCTTAAACACTCTGATCAGTTGATTCAAATATGTCTCCTTGTGGACAAACCACTAATGCCAAATAGACTGACTGCCTGATCATGTTAACCTCAGCCGCTAATAGGTTCTGGAATGCGAGCCTTCGGCCTTGGCTATATATTCTCGGCCCTGCATGCGGCAACTGCGACTCCATAATTTTCTTTTTTTCTTGCCTCAGATTGCGCCATGCGAGCTGAAGTTCTCGTAACAAAAAGCTGAAATAATTACGTCCCTATTCTTTAATGAATACAATAAGCCAACGAACGGATCTCCGAAAACATGTAACCCTATAAAAGACATTCGGCCCGGCCAGACGATGGTGTGCCCGGCGCAGCATCAAAAACCATGGCTTCTCGAATCCTTCCAAGAAGAGCCAAGATCAAAACCAGGAATGGCAAAAGCCACGAAAAAAAAATCTCGCCGGATCCACTGTGCAGCGGTGGTGCTATAAAACTCCCTAATATTCAATTTCCAGGGTAGCATCCAAGAGTCCGCCCAGCCGCACGAGGCTATTGCATCAGATTTAGTGCCAGCACCTCATCGTCGCGCCGCTGGTAACCGATTTGCAGTCATACAACATACAATATATACATCACCAGTGCGCATGGTCATGTTGTATATAAGTAGTTGGAAAAATCTGCCACGTGAAACGGTGTTTTCTTCTTCCCATCTACTGCACTGGTACTCCGTCCCAACAACCCCCTCTCTCCAGTTATAGATTAGAGCGCGCCGCAATGGCTGGATCGAGTGATGCCATTATCGAGGCTGGCTCGCATAAGTCGCCTGTGACTGATATAAAGTTGGCTGGGGATGATGGACCTAGGCGTGCGGATGGGATTTCGGGATTGTGTATGTTCTCTACGTACTGATGCTTCTGCGCTGTGGCATCTGATCTAATCTGGATATATAGATGAAGGAAATGTCTTCGAGGCATCACCTGAAAACCGTCGTCAACTCGGTGTGTTTAGTGCCTCGCTGCTAATCTTCAACCGGGTTATTGGAACGGGTATTTTCGCTACGCCTGGCACTATCCTTGCCTTGTCGGGTAGTGTTGGTCTCTCGCTGTTTATGTGGGTATTTGGTACTGCTATTGCCATGGCTGGCACGGCAGTGTATTTGGAATGGGGAACTGCAATTCCAAAGTATGGTCCTTTCCTAACTGACATGATATGATGTAAACCACTAACATGCACTTGCTATAGAAACGGAGGCGAAAAGAACTACCTCGAATACGTATATACCAAACCCAAATTCCTAGCCACAGCCATGTTCGCAGCCTACGCGGCCCTACTAGGCTGGGCAGCTAGCAACAGCGTCGTCTTCGGCGAGTATATTCTCCACGCAGCAGATATCGAGGTCGGCAGATGGAATCAGCGTGGAATTGGAATGGCTTGTCTTACTGCTGCTTTTCTCATCCACGCTGTTGCTCTGAAATGGGGTATTCGACTTCAGAATCTGCTTGGCGTTGTCAAATTGATTATTATTCTCTTTATTATTGTTGCTGGGTGGATTGCTCTGGCTGGTCATACGAAGGCTCCCACGCCGCATAACTTCTCTGATGCCTTTGCTGGTACGAAGGGGAATGGGTATAGCATTGTGATGGCGTTGTATAATGTTATTTGGTCGTTTATTGGGTATTCGAACGCTAATTATGTGAGTATATATGGGTCTGGCGTCGTGATGATGATGATGATGATGATGATGATGATGATGATGATGATGATGATGATGATGATGATGATGCTAATCAACTATGTAGGCCTTGAGCGAGACGAAGAATCCAGTTCGCACGTTGAAGATTGCGGCACCGGTGGCTATTGGATCTGTTGGCATTTTATACATGCTCGTTAATATCGCCTATTTCGCCGCTGTGTCCAAAGAGGAAATGCTCAGCTCTGGCAGCGTGGTTGCTGCTGTGTTCTTTGGAAATATGTTCGGCAAGCAGGCTGAGAAGGTCATGTCGGTTTTTGTGGCTCTTTCTGCGTTTGGAAACGTGTTATCCGTTATATTCTCGCAAGGCCGAAGTATGTATCTCCTGCCGTCCGAAGAGTATATTATACTAACAAGATCTCGCAACAGTTGTCCAGGAGCTGGGTCGTGAAGGCATATTGCCCTTCTCCAAGATCTGGGCTAGCAATTGGCCCTTCCACTCTCCAGCAGCGGGTCTGCTTGAGCATTATATCGTGTCTGTCATCATCATGCTTGCTCCTCCTCCTGGTGATGCCTACAACTTCCTAGTCAAGTAAGAACTCACTCTTCCCTTACCAACAACTCACAGCTAACCAAACCTGCAGTCTGATTTCATACCCTCTCTCTATTGTCAACTTCTTCGTCTCCGCCGGTCTTGTTTACATCTACATCACCAAAGAGAAGAAGTTCCCCAACTGGGCGCCTGGGATTCGAGCCACCTTGCCCGTCACCATCTTCTTCATGCTATCGAACCTGTATCTTGCAATCGCACCGTATGTGCCCCCAAGTGCAGGCCAGAATGTGTATGAGGAGCTTCCGTATTATCTTCACTGTGTCGTGGCCCTGGGTCTGTTTGCCGCGGGTGCAATCTACTACCTTGTTTGGGCTGTGTTGTTGCCATGGTACGGGGGATATGTGCTTGTCAAGGAATCTGTCGTTGATGCCGATGGATGGTCTCAAAGTGTTTTTACGCGACTACCATTGGCTCGAACAGAGAGGTCTTAGGTTGGGAATGAGATGTAATATCATATGCATTGTTTTGTTTGAGATGTTGATTCCTCAAGATGGGTACTAATAATGAATGAAATACCCTAACCCTGGAAGCAAGAGCCATTCCTCTCCCCTGTAGCACCCTCAACTGCTGAGTATTACCAAGTGCCCTGTCATAAATTGACATCAGAGCAATGCTAACCATGGTCAATGATGTCCCAGTCTTCTATGGAAGCCCACCCAAGAGCGTAGAACGCCGTCATGAGCCCCTCAAACTTGCTGGTGTACTGTCTTGCAATAATAACAGCATAAATGCTGTTCCAAGTTGTCTGCCATAGTAAATTGGGGCATACACCGGGGTGAAGTTGCGTAGTTGAAGAAAGAAAAAGAGGAGGAAAAACTTAAAAGGTGCAAATCACAAGGGGCCGTCACCGCCCAGGAACTGCCGTGATCTCATCTTTTTCCTCTCATCCCATTGTTCTCGAGTCCGTGGTTCAATTGTTCTCATATTGATTATTGCGTGTATTGTATTATATTTTATTTTTAATACCCTACTCTCGTTTCTTTGTTTCCCGGGTTCGGGTTCGTTGCCGATGCGCCGTTTCTCCTCGCGTGCATTGCTGCAAGCAAAGCCACCGCTTCTCTCTGCCAGATCTTCCCTCCCGCTCTTTCTCTCCACTCGATCTACCCCTCAAGCTTCGGTTGCCCGATCGATCCCTCGTCGCGCCTCTACTCCGCTATCACAAACCTCCAAGCGATATTGTTCCTACCGCAGAATGTGTCACTCACGCCGCGGCGAGGCCTCCGGGTCAACCAACGTGCAGGGCCGTGAGGTCCTGCCCACCAACGTCAAGCCAGTGCACTATGATCTGACACTTGAGCCCAACTTTGAGAAGTTCACATACGAGGGAACGGTTTCTATTGAGTACGGGTTTTCCCGCGCAGCTATGGTACTAGCTACTAACGTATGAACTATAGCCTAGAAGTCGCCGAAGATACCGATTTCGTCACCCTCAACACCAACGAGATTGACATTCACAGCGCAGTGGTCTCAGCTAAGGGGTCGGTGGTAGATTCCAAGCCTGAGATCTCTTATAACAAGGATCAACAAATTGCGACTATTAAGTTCGATCAGGCCATCGCTGCGGGTTCGGATGCTCAACTCAAGCTTACCTTCACCGGTACTTTGAACGATAACATGGCTGGATTCTACCGGTCATCGTACAAGGACAAGAATGGCGAGACGAAGTATATTGCGTCGACGCAGATGGAGCCCACGGACGCCCGTCGGGCCTTCCCTTGTTTCGACGAGCCCGCTCTTAAGGCCAAGTTCACCGTGACTCTGGTTGCGGATAAGAGCATGACCTGCTTGAGCAATATGGACGTTGAGTCTGAGACCGATGTCCAGGGTGGTGCGAAGAAGGCTGTGAAATTCACCACTTCGCCCCTCATGTCGACCTACCTCGTTGCCTTCATTGTCGGCCACCTTAACTACATTGAGACCAAGAACTTCCGCGTTCCCATCCGCGTGTACGCCACTCCTGATCAGGATATTGAGCATGGTCGTTTCTCCTTGGAGCTTGCTGCCAAGACTCTGGCTTTCTATGAGAAGGCATTTGACAGTGACTTCCCTCTGCCCAAGATGGACATGGTTGCCGTGCCCGACTTCAGCGCCGGAGCTATGGAGAACTGGGGTCTGATTACTTACCGTATTGTTGATGTGCTGTACGATGAGAAGACCAGTGGTGCGTCCCGAAAGGAGCGCATTGCTGAGACTGTCCAGCACGAATTGGCTCACCAGTGGTTTGGTAACCTGGTTACCATGGACTTCTGGGATGGTCTCTGGCTCAACGAAGGTTTCGCTACCTGGATGTCGTGGTACTCTTGCAATGTCTTCTACCCCGAGTGGAAGGTCTGGCAGACCTACGTCATTGACAACCTGCAGGGCGCTCTGTCTCTTGACTCGCTCCGCAGCAGTCACCCTATCGAGGTGCCTGTCAAGCGCGCTGATGAGATTAACCAGATCTTCGACGCTATTTCCTACTCCAAGGGCTCTTCCGTCCTCCGCATGATCTCCAAGTATCTCGGCGAGGATGTGTTTCTCCAGGGTGTTCGCAACTACATCAAGAAGCACGCCTACGGTAACACCGAGACTGGTGATCTCTGGGCTGCTCTGGGTGATGCCAGTGGCAAGCCCGTGAAGTCTGTTATGGACATCTGGACCAAGAACGTCGGTTTCCCCGTTGTCAGCGTCACTGAGAACAAGGAGAAGTCTTCGATTCACCTCAAGCAGAACCGTTTCCTCCGTACTGGTGACGTTCGTCCCGAGGAGGATCAGACTCTCTTCCCCGTTATGCTTGGCTTGCGCACCGAGAAGGGCATTGATGAGAACACCATGCTCACTGGACGTGAGGGTGAATTCCCCGTTCCTGATCTTGACTTCTTCAAGCTCAACGCCGATCACTCTGGTATCTACCGTACCTCATACTCCCCCGAGCGTCTCAAGAAGCTTGGTGAGGCCGCTCGCGATGGCCGTCTGACCGTTGAGGACCGTGCCGGTATGATTGCTGACTCTGGTGCTCTGGCCGCCTCTGGATTCCAGCGCACCTCTGGCCTCCTCTCCCTGCTCCAGGGTCTCGACACCGAGTCCGAGTTCGTCGTCTGGAACGAGATCTTGACCCGTATTGGCACCCTGCGTGCTGCCTGGCTCTTCGAGGACAGCCAGACCAAGGATGCCCTCAAGGCTTTCCAGCGTTCGCTGGTTGCCCCTAAGGCCCATGAGCTTGGCTGGGAGTTCTCTGATAACGACGACCACATCCTACAGCAGTTCAAGGCCCTCATGTTCGGCTCCGCCGGTATGGCCGAGGACCCCGTCGTTGTCAAGGCTGCCCAAGATATGTTCGCCCGCTTCTCCGCCGGCGACGTCTCCGCCATCCACCCCAACATTCGCGGCAGCGTCTTCACCATCGTCCTCAAGCACGGTGGTCTCAAGGAGTACGAGGTTGTCCTCGACCGCTTCCGCCACGCCCCCACTTCAGACGAGAAGACCACCGCTCTGCGCTGCCTCGGTGCTGCCGAGGACCCCGAGCTCATCCAGCGCACTCTCGGCCTCGCCATCAACGACGAGGTCAAGAACCAGGACATCTACATGCCCCTCGGCGGTCTCCGCAGCCACCCTGCTGGTATCGAGGGCCGCTGGAACTGGCTCAAGGCCAACTGGGACGAAATCTATAAGCGTCTGCCTCCCGGTCTGGGCATGCTCGGCACTGTTGTTCAGCTCACTACTGCTAGCTTCTGTACTGAAGCTCAGCTGAAGGATGTCCAGTCATTCTTTGAATCCAAGGATACCAAGGGTTACGACCGTGCTGTTGAGCAGAGTCTTGATGCTATCCGCGCCAAGGTAAACTGGCTCCAGCGTGACCGTGATGATGTTAAGCAGTGGTTGAGCAGCAACCAAAGCAAGCTGTAAATACGATAAAAGACCAAGTCCCATTCATAGATGTTTTCATGTATGAGGTACTTTGAGCTTTTGGGCTGTTCATATGTAGCACACAGGATGTGCTCAGGAGAATAAATCACTCTACTCAATTCTCTACTATCTCAAAAACAATGTAGCCATGAACTGTAAAGGTCCTTAGGATAAAGTCTCACGAACATGAGAATCATAGATTGATAAACATCGCTAGTAGCCACCCATACCTTAAATAAAAACGAAAACACTGCATATGGAAATAAAGAGGTGGTATAAATTGAAGATGATAAAGAAAAGAGAAGTCGTAACCGGGACGTTTATGCCCATCCTCCTTTTCCTCCAAACCCAGAACTATCCTCAATCTTCTTCCCTCCAGGACCCCTGTTAGGTTTAGACTGCGACGCTTCATGCTTGCGCAGTTCCTCAGGGACACGCGAGAGAGGCGATTTCATGAGCATCTGCCTGAGATCATACATAACCTCAGTATCCTCATTACCCAGGAAAGTAATGGCAGTGCCACTCTTTCCAGCACGACCAGTACGACCGATACGATGGGTATACGCCTCGATTGAACCGGCCATGTTAAAGTTCACGACAAGCGACACATCCGGCACATCAATACCTCTGCCCGCCAGATCCGTCGCAACCATTACATCAGTCGCACCATTACGGACGGAGTTGAGCGCGGCTTCACGCTGCTCTTGGGATTTTCCACCGTGTAGCGTACACGATGAGAAGCCCATATTTTTGATATCGCGCCCGATGGCATCGCAGTTTCGCCTGATGTTGACGAAGACGATGATCGGGGCGCGGAACTCGCCTGATGAGAGGATTTCGTTGAGTCGTTTCTTGCGCTTGTCTTCGCCGGGGATCATCTCCACGCGCTGCTCCACTGTGTCGACGGCTTCGCCGACTGTGCCGATGGTGATGATTGCTGGGCGGCGGAGGTACTTGCGGGCGATGCGCTCGACGGCTGGCGGCATGGTGGCTGTGTACATCATTGTTTGGCGGTAGCGGTCTCGACCGCCGACGTGTTGGCTCATGGCGCGTGAGTCTTCGGCTTCTTCTGAATCTGGCTTTTCGTTGGTTACTGGGAGGGCGTCGAGGATCTTGTTGACGGGTTCTTCGAAACCCATGTCGATCATGCGATCTGCCTCATCCATAATCACGTAGCAACATTGGCTCAGGACTAGCATGCGACGCTCGATAAAGTCTACTAGACGACCGGGAGTGGCGATGATGATTTCTGCTCCGTCACGCAGGCTGTAGGCTTGCTCCTCGATTGAGTGACCACCGACAATACTCACAACGTTGAATCCGAGTGGCTGTGTGAATTTCTTCGCTTCGATCTCAATCTGCTGCGCCAATTCACGGGTGGGTGCCAGTACAATGGCGTATGGCCCATCGTTCTTGCGCCATTCGAATTCGTCGAGTCGAGGTAGCTCAGAAATATAGACCAAAAGTGGGAGTAGGAATGCGGCTGTTTTACCGGAACCTGTGACGGCGACACCGATAAGATCACGCGACTGCATAGCGATTGGGATAGCTGCACGCTGAATAGCGGATGGTTCTTTGTATCCGACGCGATCGACAAGCTCCAATAGGCGCTTTGGCAGCAAGCTTTCTTCCCATGAGCGCATAGGATTCGGTACGCTGCCGCCCTTGGTGCTGATTTTGAAGTCTTCCTTGAAGATACGCCAGTCACGCTCACGCATATGTTCCAAACGCTTCTCGCTCCAGTGCTTGTCCAACTGGTTACGAGTGCTGTCCTCACGCCGACGACGTTCCATCTCCATGATCTCCTTCGCCCGCGCTCCACCTGCTTCTTGGTCGCGGGACTCCAGGGCCTCCACGTATTTGCGCGTCACTTCATCTGCAACATCATCGCCAAAGCCTGCCAGACGACCCCGGCCGAAGAAGTTGGCCTCATGTCGGTTTTGATAGAGGGGGTCGTAATCACCGCTTGTGTCCTCTTCGGTATTCCAGTCGAAATTGAATTTTCGGTCCGTCGTACGCTTGCGCTTTTTCTTTGCCGAGAAATTCGATGTCTGCTCTGCTCCCACGTATCGTTGTTTGGTCAGCGCAGCAAGCGCTGCTGCCGAATCTTCTTCGCTTAATCGCTTCTCGCCTTTGGTAGCTTTGGGTGGTGGCGGCATGTCGTGATCGCGAGCCTGTCTACCTCCCTTTCGCATGGCAGAAGGTCCTGTCGGGGCTTCATCGCGCATGGATCGTGGTCCAGTGGGAACATGTCTAGCCCCTTGGTCATCCCGACTGTTCCTTGGCTCCTGGGGCCTTGCTAAGGATGGTTCCGGGGCGAATCCATTGCGATCACCGCCGTTGGCGCGGGCCTTTGCTTGCCGCTCTGCCTCAACTTCTTGCGCTCGTTTCTCCAATGCGAGTTTCTCTCGTTGGGCTTTTGATAAGAACTTGGGCTGTAGACAAGGGTTAAATATTAGTATAAAACTCTGACACATATGCGCCGCCGTATATTCTCCGAAGGAAGGCAGACTCACCTTGGCCGTCGCCGCCTCTGCTTCTTTCTTCTTGCGTATGAGCTCTTCCACACTCAATGGAGTTGCTACCGGGCGTTTTGCGCCCCATCCCTGCTTCTTCTTAGTTTCCACGGGTGGCGGGGGTGGTATATCTTCTGGAGGAGGCGGAGGAGCTGCGGTATCTGGTGGCGGCGGAGGAGCGGCCGAGTCTTCAGGAGGAGGGGGAGGTGGGCTGGGCGGGCGCTGAATCGGTTCAGGTGGAGGGTGTGGAGGAGATACCTCAGGGTCTGTGGCCACTATTCCATCCATCATGAGCTAGGGCCGAGGCAGAAATGACAGCTAGTGAGAATAAGTACGGAGCTCCGGTGGAATCTCGAATTTCTACGGAAGATCACATAGCCAGACGCGCAGTCACGTGACTATATTACTTAATGAACTAGCTTTACTGTCTACAGGGAAGGACACAATCGTAGATTAGTTTCATTGAAAGGGCAAACCAGTAGATTACAATGGATCACAAGGGACCCGGGATTGATAGGGTCGTGAAGGTGGCGTCAGACACAATGGGGAAATGCTAACCATCTGACGAAAAAAGTGGTAGCTGACCCTGTTGACGGCATCGAAATCGCTAGACAAAACAGTGAAAGGCAGACGCTCCACAGCGGGGGGAACGGGGTGATGCTACATGAAAAAAGATCCACCCACCCTGGTATTAAAGCGTGAGGAGTAAGTAACCAAGGGAAAGGGGACCAAAGCTTCTGAAGACGAAGCCATTCGTGAAAAAGAAATATTCGAATGCGCAGCCATCGGCTACTGGAGTCATGAGTTGAATGTTCAAGCCCCTGCGGTGCCGTTCACAGCAGCTTGCTGGTAATAAGCATATTGCTCTGCGGCTGCATTGTTCGGAGTGGGCATCAACGGGATTGAAGCGGGGTGTCCCTCGGCAGGAGCAAGCGGAGCAGCCACAGTGCCCCCAGTACGAGCGAAGGCCACCGATGCAGGCCCGTGAACCTCTCTGTCCAGGGTCATGTACTCCTTGGCTGTGTCCTTCGTGCCCCGCTCGAGGAGGTAAGACATGTATATCTGCACAAGTTCTTTGACAGCGTCAACGGAGAGGGTGCTCTTGGACCGAACGTCGGAAATGACCTGCTTAATGCGCCCGTACTGAACCGATTCAGTAGCTGCACTAGTGGGCTGCTCAATTTCGAACATGAGATAGCTGCCCCAGAAAGGTCGGCTGTCGAGGTAGTACTGCTGGTTTTCGTGGAAGACCATGCGAGCATCGTCAGGGACGCCCTTGATCTTCCACAAGAGACGAGCCCATTCGGCAACAAGAGCGGCCTTGGTGGCCATATCACACTCAGGCGAATCCAATTGCGTTTTGTAGACTTCGATTGCGGCCTCGAGACCTCCGTGACGACGGCAAAGGTTTGCAAGTGAGGTGATGGTCTCAACGTGATTGGGCAGTGAAATCAAAATGGCGCTGTGGATATCCTTCGCAACGTCCACCCGGCCCGACATCTCCTCGAAGTAGGCATAGTGCAACCGAACGGTGGGGTTGGCAATGGGAACATACAGACATGCCGCACGTTGGTAGATGATGCGCACTTCCTCCTCTTTGCCCGATTGAGCAGCCATCCAGCGAGCGTACCGAAGCCAGAACTCATCATAATGAGCACAAGTCACCAAAGCCCGCTCATAGAGGAACTGAATGCGATCAAATGCACCTTCAATTTCCTCAAAGTCGAGATAGTTGTTCCAGTTTGTCAACTGGCCCTCATCAAGCTCAGTGACATGGAAATATGGACGCTTGATTTCCGACTCGAAGGTCCAGCGCTTGGTAGTTTCAGTTTGAGTATTTGTGAATACTTCAAGGTGGTAGCTATCCACGCGCAGTCGGAGATCTCGCTCAATTTCGGCGTCGGCCTTGGCCCCAGGGGGAACATCGGATGAGGCAGCCTCGAGCTCGGCGCGGAACCGCGAAAGAATTTCTGCCGGCGCAAGCTCAGCCAGGGGACGTGTCTGGGCCAGCTGACGATACCGCTCAAAGTAGCGAGCATACTGATGCATGGGGATGTGAATAATCCGAGCAAGAATGCCGAAGATCTTCTCCTGGGCCTCAATGCGTTCCTCGAACTCAATGTACTTGTCCCAGAAGGGGTGTGCCAGAAAGTCAAGACCAACACTGCTTGCACCTCGTTCAAACAACCTATTCAGTGGCTAAAGTTAGCATAATACGCATAAATTGAGCCATTTGGCCGATTGAAGGGAAAGGAGCGGTAAAGGGGGAAGGAAATAGCGAGGTCAAAACATGAGCAATGAGCTCTGTCCGTCCGTGAGAACCCAAACAAATGTATCCAGTGCTTCGGAGAAGGCCATCGAAGGAGACTGCTCCTTAGTTTTCAATGCAAAAGGTATTGTCAGGTAGGAAAGAAAAGCAGCCTGGGAGAGCTATGGGTGAGAAGTAAACTCCACTTTCATCCGGGTGGGAAAACAACGTCTCACCCATCAAAACTGCTGGACAGGGGAATATCCAGGTGTCATGTATGACCGGCATCACGAGATTATTCGCGTGCTACACCGGTAAAGGTTATAGGGAAAGGGAAGGGAGCCAGCTCGCTATACTTACTCTCGAATCACATCGGCATCGTGGGAGGTCTCCGCCTTGAAGGAGCAGAAGTTGGTCCACAGATCAACGGATGACGAAATGCTGGCAATGCCTCGCTCGTAGACCTATAATTGAAGTGTTAGCGGCTTTACTTCAATCTTCTGGGGAGATAATGTTGCATCCATACCATTTCCGCGGCTTCGGTGCCGTTAATGGAGAACTCCAGGTCCGCGTATTTCTTCCAATAGCCAAATAGCAGGGGAAACTTGGCGAGAAAGCGGTCGTAGACGGCGCGCATGGTTGTGATGGCCTGAGGGTTGGAGTTGCGATTGATCCCGCCTTCAAGGGCCTCGGCGGCGCGAGCCAGTTTCTCCCAGGTCTCAAAGTTGTCCGGGTCATCGACCTATCCTATAATCAGCGAGAGATTCCGGTAAAATGCGCGTGCACAACACGTACCAGCTCAGTCTCGAGCTTTCTCAACTCCGCATTCTCTTCCTCGGAGCCGCCATACTGGTAGTCCGCCATCGTCGCAGTAAAGGAAAGCTGAAAGGCAGATGAGCCAGAAGGTAATGCGATTATCAATATGGCAGAGCGATAACAATGGAGTTTGCGAAGGAAGGAATTTGAGACTGGAATCAAATGCTGCAAAGCCCGAGATAGGTGAAAGTCCAGAGGCGGGAGCGGCAGGATGACTAAGGAGCCCGGAAGGCGGTCTGTACCGCCCGGGCCCTCGCCCGAAGCGCTCAGCGAAGAGGCAGAAACGGGTAGACATAAGGGGAAGGCGGTCTGTGGCGGGCGGTCAAGAGCAGTCAAAGCGAAGCAATCGATCCAGAGAGACCACTTTGCATACAGATTAGTTCTGCTGGCAGAAAAAAGTAGAAACCTCGCCGCATTCCCAAAATTCTCAACATCATCGATGAGTACCGATGTGACTTACTATAATAGATTGTACACCGCCAATATGCCTGTCAAGCCCGACATGGCCAGATTTAATACTATTCTTCAAGACACATCAAGGTAGACAGCGGCACATAAGGCGGTATAGGGACCTCCACTGTATGTTATGGCAGAAACGTATTTGTCCGCCTAAGGCACCATTCCGAACCTTAGCGTGAACCCGGCCTTGACTTTTTGACGGGAGAACTCACCAGCAACACCATCTGTGCAGCCGGGTGACCAACCCGCCTTTTGTTTTCACCATGCCTCCCATGAAGCCGATTATCCCAAAGGACATGAAAACCGTGACCGATCTCCCTCTGCGCTTGCGCAATTTTCTCGCTCGTTATCCTCCCGAAATTCACTCGGCAGCTATCCGTCGCCCTGATTATTCCAAATTGAGTGAAGAGCTATCAGGGGAAAACACATCCAACGAAGTGCCATCGCCATATACACCCGATCGTGATGCCAAGGGCTCGGCTGGGTTGGAGAAGAATGCCTGGACTCCTTCGAAAGCACTGCTCATCACCAGCAAGAAGAACCCCAATCCATTCATGCCGAATTTCAGATTCGGTAAATGGGAAGCGCCAAGATACGGCCTGCGGCAACAGGCTGATCTGATGAAATTGGCCATCAAATACGGTGCCGAGGGGCTTCTCCCCCTAGCCGGAAATCAACCGAATACAAGGAAACACGACGGGCCGAGCGTGGGTTGGCTATCAAGGGTACTGGTGTTGGGCAGAAGGTCAAGGGTCACAAATGGGAGCGTACCATGGAATCACGGCTCGAAGACCGTCGCAAGGCGATGGAGGGAATGCCGGAGTTGGTCCGCTTGTGGAAGCAGGTTCGTATCGATATAGACTTTCATACCTCAATCGGGATAATGCTAATATCATTGAACAGAGAGGTCACGGACGTGGCTGGAAGCAATGGCCCAAGCGGTAAATTACAACACAACCCACCACAACCCATGTTCTTTTCTCTTTCTTTTTTCGGTCGGTTCGTTCAAACCGGCTTTCTCAATGCTTATGATCTCTTCCTGCGCCGCATCAGCACAGAGACTTGTACGAGCCATAGCAGGAGCTTGGGATGGAGTTTTGTTTTTGAAGTATACTATCCACACCATCTGTACAATACAACCTACAATCTCATAGCCTAATGGTATCTGAGAGACTACTTTGCATATACGCGGGCTCTTCGCTAGGCCCAGAAGTGTAAGAGTTAAACAGACAAGGGTCCGTCCAACAGCCCACCATGCACACAATCAGAAAGCAACAGCGTCTACCAACAAACCAACAAATGATTAACCGCCAGTCAATAACGCACCAACAATGGCACAGTGAAGCTGCGTCTGGTAAAAGCCCCGGGGCTGAGCCGAGCTGATGGTTACACTTGATGATTTCCAGCCTTATTAACAACCAATAGCTCAACATAGTTAAAAAAAACATGCAAGATATTTGTGATTATCCAACAACCCTATTGTTCCTGGTATCTTGTATGATCACCAGATTACGCTTTTTTAACTTGGCATCTGTGGAAAAGCCAAGCTGCTATGGATGATGGTCGGTATTCAAGTCAGCCGCTGATGTTTGCAAGCCACTGGATTACCAATCCGAGGCTCATTTTTTGAGTATATCAGTAGCAACCAATTGGATGGGGAAGCCAACTTCGTGATGCTACCTAAGTAGGTGGCAGGTGCTTGGACCTCAGCTGAATTCTGAAAGTCCATGCAGGGTTGCTTTTGCAGGCATATTGGGAGGGTGTGATGATAAATGTTAAGAGGAGCATGCATCATTTGGCCAGGCTGGAAATACATGATTGTTCGACTAGGGGTCCACACAAAGATCGGGGGGGGAACATATTTGCTCATATATCGATCATGGGTCATGCGAAGTCATGCGAACATGTGGCCCCGTTCCTAATCTCTCCTCTCAAAAGACATGGAAAATGTGTGTTATTGATGCATGGACATACTATAGTGGGCATGTAGTGACGGGCCCTGCAGGTCGTGTGGATAGGCTGATATGTGCGTGGAGCCAGTTAGGAACAAGCAACAGGAGGTGGTGGCGCTATGTTTGACGCTATTGCCACCGCAGGCGAGTTTGTATGCAATGCACGTGCGGAGGGGTTTGCTCAACTGGGGCGACCTCCGTCATCTATTTCATTCCTCCCAACTTACCTCGAAAAGATACCTATAAAGGCAATGGAGAAGTCGATGCAAACTTGTTCTTTCCCCAGATACCGACAGTGTGTTCCTTTTGAGGAAACAAGAAACGAGACACCTACTGGCTGATTTCCTTGTTTCGGAGCTTACCGATGCCATAGTTATCTGTGCTATCTGTGGTAAGGACCCCCTCTTCCTGACCTTTTTATATTGCATGGTTGTACGGAGATGCAATCTATTTCTGGACTCTATTTCTAGAGCATATTCGCACCGAACGTTGGGCTGATGTCGCTGTTAGGTATTATTGTCTGAAAGGAGTGGTCATCCTCAAACCGCTGTTTGTCAAATTGCGGCTCATTCCTGCTTCACGTCCATAATTAAAAGTTGTGGAACGCCTGTAGTGGCATACTGCTACAGCTTGAATTTGAACTCTTTGACTATTGACTCTACCCACCATGGCAGAGTCAGATACTGAATGGCCTATCTCTGCCGAGTATAGCCAGGGCTACTCGGTCGATGTGGACATCATTCGAGAGCAAGAGTATCCTTTACTAAACGGTACGAGCATCCCTCTTCTTATATCATATAACCCATGCTCACAATCTTTTCCTCATCGTACAGAAACAACCTATCTTGATCATGCGGGGACAACACCCTATGCCAAATCTATGATCGAAGCCTACTCCCGTGATCTTTCATCAAATCTCTTTGGAAATCCTCACTCGATTTCTATATCATCCCAGATATCCACGCAGAGAACAGATGATATTCGACTCCGAGTATTGCGATTCTTCAACGCAGATCCGGACGAGTTCGATCTTGTCTTTGTAGCAAATGCTACCGCTGGTATAAAGCTAGTTGCAGACTCATTACGAGACTCTGACCATCGAGGCTTTTGGTATGGCTATCATATCGATGCCCATACTAGTCTGGTTGGAGTGCGAGAACTCGCCGGAATGGGCTACAAATGCTTCCAAACTGACGATGAGATGGAGACTGGTATTTCGGATCTGGCTGTCAGCCAGTCAAAAATTCCTAGACTTATCGCATACCCTGCACAGTCCAATATGAACGGCCGCCGTTTGCCCATACGTTGGTGTGAGCAGATAAGATCCGCAGCTAACGAAAGCGGAGGCAATGTATTCACTCTGCTTGATGCTGCATCGCTCGTATCGACTGCTCCACTTGAACTGGGCCCAGCTTCATCTGCGCCTGACTTCACTGCGCTTAGCTTCTACAAAATCTTTGGATTCCCGGACTTAGGTGCTTTGATCGTTCGCAAAAGCGCCGCAAGGGCGTTTGAGCGACGAAGATATTTCGGTGGAGGTACAGTTGACATGGTCCTCGCAACCGGGGCCCAATGGCATGCGAAGAAGGAGACTTCAATCCATGAAAGACTAGAAGATGGCACTCTTCCCTTCCACAGCATTATTGCCCTCGACGCTGCCTTGGATACACACACACGCCTATACGGTTCAATGGCCAACATTTCAGCACATACCCGATTCCTTGCAAAGCGAGTCTTTGATCGACTTTCTTCATTGACACATTTCAATGATACGCCTGTCTGTCAAATCTATCAGGCGAGCTCGACCTTTGGAAATACAGACACCCAAGGCCCGATCATCGCGTTTAACCTGCGCAATAGTCAGGGTGATTTTGTGCCAAAGACAGAAGTCGAGAAATTGGCCACTGTTCAAAATCTTCAATTACGCTCTGGGTCAGTTTGTAACCCCGGCGGAACTGCCTCTACCCTGGGATGGACTGGCCCTGAGCTTCGTGGGCACTACTCCACTGGATTGCGTTGCGGGGACAGCCATGATGTTATAGGAGGTCGACCAACGGGCATTCTGCGCGTAAGTCTCGGTGCTATGACAAACATGAAAGACATCGATTCGTTGATCAACTTTGTCGAGGAATTTTATGTGGAAAAGAATCCTCCTATCGTTGTTATGGACACTACTATGGACGAAAACGAAGTTGTGGCCCCTCATTTCTATGTTGAGAGCCTTGCAGTGTTCCCAATAAAGAGTTGCGGTGCTTTTAAGATACCCGAGGGAAAGCGCTGGGAGGTAAGAAGAGAAGGATTGGCCTGGGATAGAGAGTGGTGCCTGGTTCACCAAGGAACGGGAGCAGCATTGAATCAAAAGAGGTATGTTTTGTCAGGAATAATTAAGTGTCTGCAAGCGCTAACAGCCCCAAGATACCCCAGGATGTGCCTTATACGACCGTCAATCGACATCAACAAAGGCGTTCTCCGTATCACTTGCGGAGCAATAGCCGCATCTGATCAAGTCAGCCTCGAGATCTCGCTCGGCTGGGAAGACACTAGTGTTATATCGACCTCATTTTGCGCAAGTTCGGCCAAAAAGTCCGCGAAAGTTTGCGGCGACACCGTTTTCCTTCATGCATACACGTCCCCCGTTGTCTCGGCCTTCTTTTCAGATTTCCTAGGCGTGCCTTGTACCCTTGCGAGGTTCCCCTCGCAGACTGCGAACCGGTATTCAAGACCGACACGGGTCCCCAGCACGTGGCAAAACCGTTTCCGCAAACTCATCATGCCCGGTTCCTTCCCACTTGATCTTCCGCCACCACCCCGCGAACAAGGTCTAACTTCAATCACATTGTCAAATGAATCCCCAATCTTGGTAGTCTCGCGCTCATCTGTCAATCGTCTCAACGAAACAATCAAAGCGAACGCAAAGCACGGCGGTAGCAAGACTGTTGCTGCCGATGTCTTCCGCGGTAATATTGTAGTCGCTGAGCGATTAGCTCACCGTGGTGATATTGAGCAGCCTTACGCAGAGGATCGCTGGTCATCTCTTCGCATCGGACCTAATCAACTTCGTTTTGATGCTCTGGATCCATGCCAGCGCTGCCAGATGGTCTGTATCGACCAATTTACTGGCGTCAGACAGGATGAGCCTTTCTCCACGCTTTCAAAAATACGGAATTTTAATGGAAAGGTCTCCTTTGGTAGGTATTCTACTCTCTCCCCCGAAGAGGGGGAGGGCTTTGACTCTGAGACCCCAGACCGCAGGACGATCATGGTGGGTGATGTTGTTATGCCTGCATACCAGGACTATTGAGCTTTGTCTCACGAGCTGGCTCTCATGTTTGGTATTCATTGTATATTTTCGGGTGAAATACATTATTTTCACGGTTTTCCTCCCGGTTAGACTTAGTTTCTTTGCATATGACCTTTTCAAGTTCAAACCCTAAAAGCGCGACAGAACCACTAGTACAGTGAACCCGAATAGCTGGGAAAACAGTACTTCAGCACGAGATTTATGGATTGGAATGGATTTTATCGTATAAGTATGACGGCCTATCTGAAGCTCTCCTTTTTCATGAATACCCGAAAGTAAAACCTATGCATGTAAATTGAAGAACTACGAAATGTAATTTCTTGCTGGGTCCACAGAAGCAAGCTGCAGAGCAATCCAAGCAGATCATTGAACAGTGCAAAACTAGTCGACGTGCCCTACTTGGTATATCACAAGACAAGATGAAGAGTCGGGTATCAGTCATGCTGAGGGAACTTTGACTAAATTTCATGATGGGCACACTGAACGAAAAAGATTTAGGATTTTTTTGGCTATAATTTGCTTTCGTGAGAAGCTTGGGCTTGCTTGTATTACCCCGGGGACGAGATATAAATCAAAAAAACCTCAAATATTCATAATTAGACCAACAACGACTGCAAAACTAACTAGCAACAATGGGAGTTGTAACTGCATTATCCTGCATCTTGGTAAATGGTGCTGCGAAGCCGTAAGTCTTGTAACCTTGTGAGTAGTCTTTACCCTCCACACGTTCTAAAGTCTATGTTAGCAATCTCCCCCTCAAGCGGCTCTATCGTGATTGCAAAAAGCTTACCATGCTCAGGGGGAAACATTTCCATCCGATGCTTATAGTACCTCTCCCTCAGGTCTTCACCGTCACTCCTGGAGTGGAAGGTAGCATAAAGACTCGATCGACTCTTGTCAGTCTTGTTCTCAGCTGAGCGATGAGCCAAATGAGACCCAAAGATCAACATGTCGCCCATATCCAGAGGGACGGAAGTCCATTCGTGCGCATCCTCCCATGCAGGCGTGATCCGACCACCGTCAGCGAACTCGATCTCCATCTTGTGGGACCCGCGGACGACCTCCAAGCAACCATTCTCCGGTGTTGCGGCATCAATAGCTATGTTAGCTGTGACATGCTCGATGCGGCCAATGTGGTCGTAGGCTGGTGCATCTAGGTGAGCCTGGAAGCCGTTGCCTTGGGGCTGCTTGTAGTTGATTTTGTCCTTGAATAGAACCATGTCCTGGATTGGAAACAAGGGTTAGAAGTCTCGTCTCATTTGCATGTAGGGTAGCATTGATATGCTTACATCGCCCGAGACGGCCTTCAAAATCTCGGCTAGTTTCTTGCCACAGACTAGCGATTTGAACTCGGGGTGGTAGTCGATGAACTTTTCCGTGCGCATCAGCTGGCGCTCGCCGTTGATGTTGATCTCATCGTAGGGCATCCACTTGCCCTTCACGCGGGGCCAGGCTTGAACTTCTTTTGTCCACTGGAGTAGAGCTGTAGGATCGACGAGTTGGTGTTCGCTTGCGCGGAGGAGGAGGTAGCCATTTTCGTGGTAGGAAGCTACTTGTTCTGGAGTGAGAGGCGTCATATTTGCTTGTCCACAGCAGGAGTTCAATCAAAAGAAAATGAGTTTGCGATCTAAGAGCCTCGAAGTGAAAGTTGCAAACCGGTGATAGAGGGACTCTAATAGGTCGGAGACTAGCTATATATAGCGCCTTTCTCCTAACGACAGCCGGAAATTAGACCCTCATTCCGTTAAAACGGGCACGACAAGCTTTAGCCCCAATCAGACTTTGGGTGGATATTCATGATCGGCGTCACGCCCGAAGGTCGACATTTCTCGCAGGCGTTCGTCCCGAAGTATACAGCACAGACCAACGGTCTTCGTGCCGGCAGCGTAATAAACGCGAGTTGAAGGATTTCTGAAGACTTATTGCACGTGGGCTAATGGGAAGACGAGTAAGGTAGACAGAATCCATCAAAAACGGACTTCTTGCCTTGAAGTTGCTTTCCATGTCTCTCTAGTTGTGGTTGATATGGGAATTTTTCATGGATGATCCTGTCAACATCGCAATATATAAACAAGGCAACGAGCAGATATTATACTGGTAGCACAGTCGTTTGGATCAACATCTCGAAAGGAACAGTACAGCGAAGATATCCATCAAGATGAATTTGAAGATGCCAGTTCCACAGAGCGAGCAACCTCTCCCCTCGGTAGAGGAACATACTCAAGCGACAATCAAAACACTTTTCAAATTCCTGCACGCACAAGGACAAGGCGATTATCTAGGTGAAAAAGTGACTCAACTGGAGCACTCGCTACAATGCGCACACCTTGCCGCCCAGTCGGCGGAACACGGACATGACATGGAAGTCGTCCTCGCCGCGCTCTTGCACGATGTCGGGCGGTTCATCCCTGCCGCCGAAAAGATGGGCAAGATGGTTACGCCGGACGGCCAGTATATTGGTCGACAGAGCCATGAGATTCTCGGAGAAGCCTATCTACGGCAAATTGGATTCAGCGAGAAGGTGTGCCAGCTTGTCGGGGCGCATGTCATGGCGAAGCGGTACTTGGTCACTACGGACCAGAGATATTACGATGGGTTGAGTGAGACTAGTAAGAGGACATTGAAGTTTCAGGTAATGTGTTTTCCTTCTGCGTTGTTGTCTAATGTTAACAGGTATAGGGAGGCGCATTCACACCCGAAGAGGTTCGAAAGGCGCAAGAGGATACTTTGCTCGAGGCCAAGCTCGCTGTTAGGCGATGGGATGATCTTGCTAAAGTACCTAAATATGTGGTGCCTCCACTGGAAGCTTATGAAGAGATGGCTTTTCAGTGTCTTCTTGGTGAGTATACCTTCATCAGAGAACCAGAAAGAATACTGAACAATATTGTAGAGTCTCGATCAAAGTTCAAGCTCCACTCTAGGGAATACAGTCTCCCAACAAAACCAACAGTGGTGATTTGTATTGATGGCTTTGATCCGGAGTACCTGCAGTCTGGCATCGAACGAGGTCTTTTGCCGACATTCAAGACCTTCCTTGACAACGGGTTCCATGCCACGGCCAAGAGCTGTATGCCATCTTTCACCAACCCAAACAACGTCTCGATTATTACAGGAGCGCCACCGTCTGTCCATGGAATCGCGGGAAATTTCTTCTTGGATCGAGAGACAGGTGAAACAAATATGATCACCGATGACTCTTTGCTTCGAGGCTCGACATTGCTAGAACAGATGTTCCAGCGCGGTGTGCGAATTGCTGCAATCACAGCAAAAGATAAGCTGCGCAAGATCCTTGCTCACGGATTGAAGGGGTCCATCTGTTTCTCGTCTGAGAAAGCTGCAGAATGCACCCTGGAGGAGAACGGTATTACCGACGTGGAGAAGTGGCTTGGTCAGACCGCACCTAGCCAATACTCTGGCGACTTGTCTTTGTTCGTGCTTGATTCAGGAGTCAAACTGCTCCAGGAGAAGAGACCCGACCTTTTGTATTTGACATTATCGGACTATGTTCAGCACAAACATGCACCAGGAAGCAAAGAGGCTGATGAGTTCATGGGTGCCATTGACGAGCGGTTGCAAAAGCTCGCTGCTTTAGCTCCTATCGTCGGTGTCACTGGGGACCATGGCATGAGCCAAAAGTCCAATCAAGCAGGGGAACCCAATGTTCTCTTCTTGGAGGAAGTGCTCAATTCCAAATTTGGACCGGATGCTTCCAGAGTGATCTGTCCCATTACGGATCCGTTTGTCCGACACCATGGCGCACTTGGCTCATTCGTGCGTGTCTATCTCAAAGATATCACACTGCTTGATGAGATGGCACTCTTTTGTCAATCACTCCCAGAAGTCGAGATTTCTCTGAGTGGCAGGGACGCCGCACAGAAATATGAGATGCCTCTGGACCGTGAAGGAGACATCGTCGTGATTTCCAAAGTAAATGCCGTTATTGGGAGTACTAAAGCCAACCATGACCTTTCGAACTTGAAATATCATCCTTTGCGATCGCATGGAGGATTGAGTGAGCAAGACATACCAGTCATTATGTCGAAGCCGCTAAGCAATACCAACACTGGAGTGACCAAGGGCTGGAGGAACTACGACATCTTTGATCTTGTGCTCAACTGATCGAGATGATATTCGCCTATCACGGCATCATTGGACGTGTTGCGGGGCCGATAGATGTGCTATAATGCAGCCACCAGTCATCAACATCAGGGAACTGAGTCTGAAAATCAAAGCTGGCCATATTTTCCATCCATCCAAGATCGAACCCTAGTTGCTGCTCCGGAACTGGAGGAGCATGTTGTACCATTTCTTGGGTAGAGTTAGTAGGTAATCTGTGCAACAATCTTTCTAGACCCTCACTAATAACCACGAGGATGTGCTGCTTATGCATATATTGTGTAGTCTCCCGTAGAGCAGACACCGTCTGGGTCACTAGTGATAGGATCTTGTCTGTGTCAATACGGATGACCGTCGCGTATTTGGTTGCGACTTTGAGAAGGAAGACAACGGCGAATGCGAGCATAGTATCAAAGTACAGCGGGAGTCCGTTTAAGAAAGAACGGAATTCGTCGTCGGAGACAATGACACGCAGGATGGACATTGCCGATAAAACGCCAGCGTTGGCAATCTCTTCCAGTTCCGGTGACATGCACTGCGGTGTATCATCCGATATTGGTGCACCCCGAAAAGCGTGCGAGCAAAGATAAAGCTTTGCAAAATGGAAGTGAAACCCAACTCCCTTTTGAGGGTAATTTCCAACATTTCGGTTGGCCTTGAAGCTTTCGCTCCAGTCTGCAAACCAGGTATCCAGAGAAATTGAGTATCGACGTAACTGGGGCAACGTCTGCGGTAAAATGGGGGTATCGACATCGACGCCAAAGGTGTCAAAGACTTGGCCTAGGATGGACCATTCTTTGACCTGACTAATCAGTCTAGCATCATCCTCGGTGGCATGCTCAGTATCTAATAGCCGACTAGCAGAATCAATAATGAAGCCTTCTCTGGACATGGGAGGTCGGCCGTAGGCGATAGAAAAATGATGGTCGCAGACGTAGACAAGATAGTAAAGTCGAGCTTGGAGATAACCTTCGCGATCACCCTTCACAGCTTTGTAGATTCCACTATGGAGATTAATGTCTGATGCAGTTCGTACAGCTGGCTTTGTTAGCATTAAACAGAACAACGTATTTCGGTCACATACCATTTCCAATCAATGCCCAGGAAAGCTCATGTAGCCAAAATGCACCAACACACAGACCACGGATGTCGTCCTCATTCACATTTCTTGAGAACATCTGTGCCGCGACAAGTGACTTATACTCATTATAGCACGCTTCGAAGAGATGACCGAGAGATTGAGAATGTAACGCTCCCACCGAGCAAACTGCCGCCGTTAACAACGGCGATGCAATGCGGACTGAGTCCAAACTGATATGATCTCCCAGAATGCGATAGAGAAAATGATCCAATCTGAGATGATATGTCTCAAACAGTGCCAATGCCTGGCGTAGTGGGATTAATCCCATAGATATAAGGTCTGGACGACGGGAAGTTGCCATGGTATTTGGCAAACCTGCATTCCCGCTTTCTGAGACGCAAGATGCCGGAATAGAAGCAGGGCCACCACGGGGGTCCATGATCACTTCCCATGTCTGTTGCGGCTCACGACTTTCTGCTGAATCCCGTCGCTGACTTAAAGAAGGATCCTGATTGACAACCTCCCCGGCTGGGCTTATAGATCGGTCCTCGGGTTCAGGGCCAGCTTGCAAAGCTTGCAACTCGGGAATACCAACTCTGGTTGCGATGCTTGCAACTGTTTCCTCGAGCCGTCGCATCTTCTGTACGATTGCGCCCTTCCATCTTTAGTCCGTCAGTAACATGTACTACTAACGGATTCAAGGTACTTACGTAACATCCTCTTCTAGTAATGTCTGCAGGCTTCTGTTGACACTGCATGAGAGACCTCTCTTCTTGCAGCGTGAGCAAGGCATCTGGCCCTCTCGCATATGACATTTGACCTGTCAAACTCATCAGTCACTGTGTTGGTACTTTTGAAGATAAGACTCACCTTTTGCTTCCGGCACGCAACACAGGCAGTGATCTTGCGGGTAATATCTGGTGGCTTACGATCACCGAATGATTCTCGCAAGGCACTCACAGCCGGCGGGGAGGGTAATTCAATATCCATGATAGTTGACGCTATGATGCGGCAGAACGCTATCACTGATCGTTGAAATTGATATCGAATTTGCAATGTTTGCACCTGTCCTCTACCAGACCAATGAGACCAATGAGGAGTTCAGATCATAGACACATCAATCAGCACAAACACAATGAACATGACTTGAAGAGACGGACTTCGCACCGAAGATATATCCCCCGGGTGGAGACTCCGTAGAGACTCTCGGGAAGGTCCGGGCGGCACGTGCGCCAATGACTGGCCTTTCCTTGGCACGTTTTCTATACCCCGTGGCGGTTTTCACGTCGTTCATTGCATCTTGAGGTTTGCCCCTAAATGTTACACGTATTCATTGAGAGATGAAAGTTTGGCACTTCTCGCCGATATGCCACTGCTAGGAGAAACTATGCTTCTAAGCATTTGATGATGGCGAAGTATATATCTATATGCTTCATTGTTCCATTGTGTTTGCCGTGAAGTAGAGTTATACATGCATCGTTGGACACTTTATTCCCCCTGCAATTCTTATTGTATATTTTATTTGCTTCAATGGCTTCTCTAGGTGCCAAATTGAGGTTCGTCGTCACTGCGGGTGTTGGATTCTTCGCAGATGGCTATCTTAATCTCACAATTGGACTCGGTGAGCGATTCAACTCATATTTCGAAGACGAATTCTAATTTGAAATAGTGGTACCAATCCTCGGATATCTATATTTCCAAGATGGCAAAGTTCCAGCAGTTGACAGCGACATCATCAAAGGTGGCCTAAGCCTAGGCATGGTTGCTGGCCAGCTTTTGTTCGGAGTCTTGAGTGATGTACTAGGCCGTCACACTGTATACGGCAAAGAGTTGCTCCTTACTATGCTGGGAACTTTGATGGTGATTCTGCTGCCTTGGAAAGGCATGTCGGCCCAGTCTGTCACTGCTTGGGTAGCTGTGTTTCGTGTTCTGACCGGTGTTGGAATCGGTGCTGGTAATTATATCTCAAGGTATTACCAGTAAAGGAAAGGACTAATTCGTGAAAGACTATCCGTTATCTTCATCTCTGTCCGCAGAAAAGTCACCATTTGGCTCCCGTGCCGTGCAGGTGTTGACGGTGTTCTCGAACATTGGCCTAGGCAACATTGCAGCGAGCATTGTGTTCCTTGTACTTCTCAAGGCATTTGAAGGGTCTATAGCTAATGACTTGAGCCGTCTCGAATGGGTGTGGCGACTACTATTGGGGATTGGAATTATTCCTGCACTGTTCACTCTCTATGCTCGCTTGACAATTTCAGAGACTGTCCCCTATAAGCAATGTGAGAGAGCCTGAAATATCTTTGATTTACATCTATTAACATGATACAGATGTCTGCGACGATGCTGCCGGACAAAGACGTGGGTTTGCAGAACAGTGGAAGGACTTTCGCGAATACTTCAACGAAGTCCGCCATGCAGAAGTGCTATTTGCCACGGCTGCTTCCTGGTTCTTATTGTAAGTTATATATTAGTCTTATACCTTTACATTGACTTACATTACACACAGTGACATCGCATACTACGGTATCAACCTCAACCAGAGCATCATTCTGACAAAGATCGGCTATGCCAAGGGCGCAACACCCTGGCAGACCCTTTACAACACCGCCGTGGGAAACATTATCATTCAGGCTGCAGGTTTCCTTCCTGGCTTCTATGTCGGTATCTTCCTCCCAGATCGCATCGGCAGGGTGCGTCAACAGTTCTACACATGTATCATTGTGTGCATTCTCTATGCCATCTGGGCGGGGATTAGCACACAAAGCGCACATACCCCCACAGCCGGCTTGATGGTCATATTTGCGCTCTCACAATTCTTGTTGACCGTTGGTCCTAACTGCACGACTTTTCTAATCCCCGCCGAGGTGTTCCCGACTCGTGTTCGAGGCACAGCACATGGCATATCAGCCGCTGCCGGAAAATGTGGTGCAATTCTTACTGCGTTTGCCTTTGGAACTGTTGAAGATGCGATCAGCCTGGAGGGTGTTCTTGGTCTTTTCTCTGGTGTCATGCTTCTCACTGCCCTTGTGACACTTATGATACCGGAGAGCAAGAATCATACCCTTGATGGTATCGAAAGGGACGAGCTTTATGGTGAAAGAGCAGCTGTTGCAGAGTTATCATCATCTGAGAGTGTTGCATATTTCAACGACAACGGTCCGAAGGTCTAGGCTATATCTGTATGTACGGTGAGACCTCGAGAAATTCTTTTATGTATACCGCTGTTGTAAATAGTGTAGCTTGGAGGTCCTGGTCTAATGCTTAGGTTGGAATACTTGGCCTGTAACATTATCTATCAACTCCGTGATGAGCTCGAAGGACTATCTTTGTTTCATTAATCTGTTAACCAACCTATACGAGCTTACCTTGTTCAAACAGGGCCGAGCCTTTGAGAGAATGGAGAGCAAGACTTTTCTTTGATCCTGATGTTAATTACACATACAGCCCATAATGGCATACAAAGAGACAGATGAAGCCATACACAATAGCGATTGTCTCACAGACCTGGGAAGATCTTGACTAAACACAAAGGATAAAAGAACCCCTTCGAGCTTGGGTTACCATTGTTTCAAGAGCTGGGGGCAAGGTCAACTTTCATATAAAAGGGCCACCCGGAACATGCTGTTCATCGGAAATCACCCAAGCCTTCCAAGTCAATCGTATCGCCCAATCTGCAAAAAAACAATTTCTTCGAATCCAGGGTTCAGAGCTCCCTGATTCGCTAGTTGACAATGGAGCGTTCAACTAGTCCACCTAGCGCTGACCCGTGGAAGACTGCCGATCCATACTACCCTTCAACAAAAGGAGTCGTACATGCAGCAGAAAGAGAAGTACAGGCTTCATTCCGGTTCATAGTCCGCAGAGAATCTCAAGCCGAGCCCAGTGCATCGCATGTCGTCAATACATGGGTCAATACCTCCTACCTAGTCTGGGCAGCATGCGCTGCTCTCGCAGATGATGGTGTTGATCAAGAATGGACTGCAAAGTTTGAGAGATGGCGACCGACATGGGAAAAAGTCCAAGCTGACGTGAAATACTTTGAAGAAGGTCCTAGCGAATTCTCTTTAAACAAATTCTTTTTGAAGATTCCCGCTCCGCCCATTTACAGAGTTCTAGTCCAGCAATTTGATGGCCCAAAGTTTTTTCCGCTTCGTGCTGCTCATGTTCTTGCACATTGTACTGGGTGTCGCCGCTGTCATGGGGATGGACATCACCATGAAGATATGTGGGGTCTCTGGCGATACATTTGCAGAGCGCCTGTGGATAGACCCCTTATTTTCTGTGTCACTTTGCAGAAGAATGAAAGAGTCAAGTCGGTGGGGTTTGAAGGTAATCCTGAGATATCTCCTAAGATAATGGCAGCCTCCAAGGTAAAAGAGCTCCCTAAGTAACTGGAGGTCACCAATACAGAGCCCCAAGGCGGAGGAGCCCCCTAAGACAGAGGCAGTTCCAAGAACGGAGGGGATTACCGAGACAGAGATAACCTCCGAAATCAAAGCAACCCCGATTCCTAGACAAGTCTCGGAACTGAAGGGGTTTCTGCAATGCAAGTAAGTCCCTTTCTTTTCTTTTCTTTTCCTTTTGTTGTATCTCTCTTTTGATCTTAAGCTGCCCGAACTCTGAATCCTGAAATTGATATACTAGATATAATGAAAATTCCTTACGAGGAGCACAAATTGACCGTGGGTTAAATAAACTTCATTGTGTCTAGCCCCTATTATGGTACGACTAGTCCTCATGCTTTTCCACAATCGCCGCAGGTCCAACATATTCCTTCCGTCCTTTAATCACGTACATTCCCAAGCTCAGTAAAAAAACTGCACCGAATATAACCACGCTCCAGTTGAAATTGTCCAGAGTTACTGCAACATCGCCTGGCCAAAATGACCAGAATAGCGCAAAAAGGGAATAGAATAGAGCGATAATGTTAACGGCCAAACCCCATCGTCCCATATCCCAGCGACGAAGTGGAAGTGTTCCGGGATGCCGGATCTTTCGATAGATGACACAGCTGATTGAAATGATGTATGTATACATCAGTGCAGCGACATTCACGGATATAATAGCATTGAACGCAGTGTCAGATCCAATATTAATGAGAGAAAGCGCACAGCTGATAATGCAGGATAGAGCAATGGCGTTCACCGGAATCTGGCGCTTGGCGTCAACCTTACCGATCCAGCGAGAAAACGGTAGACCGTTGTCTCGAGCAAAGGCAAAGGTTTGGCGGGAGGTGGAGGCATTGAAGAGAATATTGCTGAAGATAACGGGCAGTAATATAATCGCCGTCAAACCATTCACTCCAGCTGTAGAGGTTGCGTTTTTGAAAACGTAGAGGAATGGGAACCCGGTAATATCATCCAATGAATCTTTCACGGACGGATTAGCGAAGAGGAAAGTAATGAGCAAAACGGTGGCCATGATGCCATTACTAAAGTAGCCCCAAGCAATAGCGATGGGCACATTCCTCGCAGCGTCTTTGACCTCTTCTGACATATGGGCACATGCATCAGAACCTAAAGTATTTGTTAATATGCTTTTAGTGTAGCAAAATGCGCGGCACCTACTCAAGGAGCCATAAATAGCCGAAATTTGTCCAATCATCACACTCAATCCCATGGTCGACCAGCCACCCATGTTCTCCCACCCTGTAACAAAAACAGCTTCTGCGGGTTGCCGAGGTGCCATAGCCCAAAGGACTATCAAGATCACTGCCCACGACAGAACATGAAGAATCATCAAGAGATTGCTCAGAACTGGCATCACATCGGCTCCGTACACATTGAAGATGTATATGACCAAGACCATGGCAAATACAAAAAGTGTGCCTTGCCAGCCCTGTGGCTCATAAGTTGGATCTCGGACACTGATCAGACCCTGTATGATGGTTCCAGTTAGGAAGGATCCAGAAGCTGCACCAGCTTGCCATGCTAACACTGACATCCAGCCTGTGTAATTGAAATATAAATGTTAACAGAAAACACTGTAGTCATCGCATGCCAGGGGTGATACCTGTGATATAACTTAGAAATTTTTGATGTCGAGGCGAAGAAAACTCAGAGACCCAATGGTATTGTCCGCCAGAAGTTGGTGCCATCGAGGCCATTTCAGAAAGTGAGGCAATAATGAAACCGAAGCCTATGAAAGTCCATAAATAGGACCAAAACATGCCAGGTAACCCTCCATTTGACAACCCTTCTGAATTCGAGCTAGACAAACCTGTCAGTCATACTTTCTTTAACTCTTTGAAGCGCTATACCCACATTAAAATAAACTCCCATGTTGCCTGCAAAACAGAAGCAAAACTTAGAGCAGCCACGGGTCGTAAGTTTCTCTATTTCGGTATGTGAGATAGATAATCCCTGTATTGTAGTCATGCAGTCGTACCTTTAGTTCTTGGACCTTTCCCATCCGGTGCATATCACTGTTGTCCAATGCAGTCCCAGCGTTTGGATTTTGAGGGACATTCTGACCGACGCTCTGTAGCTCCATGTCCAAGGCTTCCAGCCCCGGGGCTTTTGTAGAGACCATGACTATAGAACTGTGAGCGACCAGATAAAGAGAGGACCAAAAAGAAAAGAAAAATTCAAGTAGACATGGAGGGGCAAAGATGATGAGGTATGAAAAGTTTTACATATTAAGCTCGCTCCAAGACGCGCCCGCATGTCTCTGTATCCACTAGGTTACGCCCCAGGATTCCCCTCTTTGAGCGATCCGCTCGCATGATACACTTCGTCGGCTTTTGCGGCCCCCTTCTTGGGCTGGATTTGATATCATATAGATGTACAGCATTTGGTAGATGAACATTATTACCTTTGCTTATTTAAGATCCAGAAAAGAGTGTGGGAGAGAGAGTAAAAATGCATGGCGCGATAGCCACGCCAAGCTAGGTATTACAGGAATGTGTAACGCCTTGATAAGCTGCATGGGCTGATCCTTCGCGCGATGACAATGTGGAGGTACCCTCCTGCCTTGCGGCCGGGTTCTCCACCGCCCTAGGGCATAGATCGCCGCGGATATGCCCGCCATTTAGATTTAGTAAATTAGCATCTTGACTAAATGGAGAGAAAATTAATTCTTCATTATTAAACGCTTTCCCCAACGGTTGCCTACACCTGGGTAAAGGGGTAAGGCAAAGAGGACCTAGGGCCCCTGCGCGATCGCCGCATACCCCGGTCATTCTTGACGCAGCTCCATGTGAAAATAGCAATTTGATTAGCGATCCTAACTAACCCCATTGGCTAGCCCACCTACATGGGAGATTACGTGCAAATTTCTATTTCTGCCTGCCTGATCGTTCTAGAAGCCTGATGTCCTGAAGTTTGGGGCTGACAGCATTACAGAGAACAAAACATGAAGCGGCCCCTTTGCCTTAAACACCTCCTACTTGGTGTCCATATGTATCGAGATATCCCGTCGGGGGATTATGGAAGTTTCAGACAGCTAGATAGCTTGTCATGGCTTCTCCAACAGCCTATCCTCCCGGCGTGAGTCCGCCTCTCACGACGGACAATGAGAATGACCACAGCGGGTTGATTGTGATAATCACCGCTCTTTTCTTGGTTTTTGTTTTGATTTCTGTCGCGGCGCGGGCTTTTTCCTCATACAAAAGGCATCTTATTCAGCGTGATGATTATTTTTTTGGCGTACTTGTGGTAGGTCACTACTAATGCCTTGGAGATACCATATTTGCCCTCTAACGTGGGCTTGCTTTTGAATAGGCTGTGGCAATATGCCACGCATCTCTTGTTATGACACAGGTTCATTATGGCTGGGGTACTCGAAAAGAGCCAGCCACTACCACGGACAGTCGCATGCTCAAGGTAAATGCCATGTGGAAATACCGTGAAATACTTCAACATTAACAACAGCCAAGATAGGATATGCGGCGGAAATTCTCGCTATTGTTGTTTTGGGTCTCTCGAAGATCACTACCTGCATTTTCTATGGGACATTATTCTCCCAGATGCAGCATCGGTCCAACCGCATCGCGTTCGCAGGAATGATAATATGGATGGTTATGGCTATGCTTCTACTGGCAATTCGCTGTAGTCATGACCCATGGTATGATATCAGCGCAAATCAGTGTGGGAGTCTAGTAAGTGGTTCTGAGAAGACCATACGTATATTTTCTCTGAACTGAATGCCCTTCAGCTTTCGCGCTGGGAGGTTATTACAGCGGTTGATATCTTCACTGAAGTCGTTCTCTTCTTATATTCCGGACTGGCAATCTACAAAGTTAAAATACCAACGAAGAAGAAACTAATAGTTTTTCTAGCTCTCGAGAGTCGACTAATGTGAGTTCGCCTCCAACGCTGGACTCTCGTCCTGTGAGCTGACCCGAGCGTTTTAGACTCGTCCCACTCGCAGCGATTCGCTTTTACTTCACCAAACGACAAATCGACTCCAAGTATCCAATTCTTCTTGGAGCCTTCGCAACCATCACCACCGAAATATACCTTTCCTTCAGCGTCATCTGCCTCGTGAGCGCATTTATAAAGTCGTTCCTGGCGGTCTACGAAGACAAGAACGGGCTTGCCTACACGGAGGGGGGTTCTGGATTTGGATCTAGTTCGATCAAGCATAGCTCAACAGCAACTGCTTCTAATCCACGGTCTCACACATCTCAGAGGTTACAGCGACTCATAGGTCGAGAGGACGATGAAGAGCCAATGATTGATCCTGTTCATGGGTCCGGGGGACTTCAGATTGTCAAGACCGTACGGCTAAGCTTGCATAATGAATCTATAGAGCTTGCGGATCGCCATGTGGACACGAGACCGCAGGATTATAATTGATGAGGCTTCTTGGGACTAGAGCAATAAAACCTGAAATTTCGTATAAGGTTCACGTTCAGTATACATGTGGCCGGTAATGTATGCTCAGGGATCAGACCCCAATTATTTGCTGCCCTAGTCCATAAGCCTATTAGGCTGCTGCTCCTCATAGAGAGCAATGAAGATGGGAGTTCGACCATAGTTATCTTTAATGGTAGGATCGGCCCCATATTCAAGAAGAATTCTTGCAGTACCAATGGACCTGTCTTTTACAATTGAGTCTTGTCGAGCAGTGTCATGGAGTGGTGTCTTGCCGTTCGCATTGCTTGCCGTTGTTATACATCAGGTCTATCAATCCTATAGACAGTCCTAGCCACATTAAAGTAAGCCTCATACTCAACATCCTCACAACCCTCCTGAATATCATAATGATAATGACCGCCCTTCCGATCTCCATCCGTCTCAAAACAATGAGTATGTTCCATCCTCAACCCCAAACCGTCAGGATCAGCACTATGCATAACGGTCAAACAGACCACTGGTGCATCAAAAACATGATAAGTAAGCCATTCCTTTTCCAGCTGCTGCCGATCTCGAAAAGGCAATTGGTCCTCTGCCGGGAAATCAGGCATAATGTGGAATTTTGCGTTTCCAGATTTAAGTAGGAATGCGCCGCCCAGACTGACAGGTCTTGAATCACCATATGCATCGCGTAGTCCATTCCGGATACAGTTTGTGAAGTTATCCTCGCCAGTGCGTGTCCGCGCGGACATTTTGAGGACTGGGCCTGTTTCACCATTTGAACCGAAGAGGTTTATCATCAGTGCGCAGTTTGTGCTTGGGAGGTATTCGCATTTGGGTGAGTTATCTTGGCTAATCTTGATCACACGCGTGCCATTCTCCACGTTTAAAGAGCTTGTATCAGTGAAATCTGATGTGTCGTTATTTGCTTCCCATGACATATTTGGTGCTAATTCGGCGTTCTGGCCGATATCCTGGAATGGCGCGGCTCCTGCTCCTAAAATGAAGCCTTTCGCTGGAGACATTTCCATATCCTTAGCGAGGGAGAGCATTGAATATTTGGCGTCGAGGACTGGCTGAGGGAAAAGGTGTTGCTGCCCTCCTATGTCGGCGATTCGAGTATTACCGGATAAGCCGGATCCAACGAGGTTGAAAGGTGCATGGCGCAGGTCAGGGCATTGCACGACACTCGCGCTTGCAGTTGCGAAGTTGCAGAGGAGAGAGCGCTCGATGATAGCTGCCAACTCTTCCAAGGCGGGAGGATCTCGCGGGTGCTTTGTTATAGCCATATCGATGCGCGGCTGGGGTATATCTTCTCAAGTGAAACAAACTGCACCGACCCTCCTTTTGCCGGGATGTTATATCTAGCGGAGAGATTATGCGGGGCAACCGGCTCTAATCTTGCATCATTACCCGACGTCGGATTTATGATTGACACTTAACTTCGTTTCGTGTTTATATACGTCGTTCAAATATCTCAATTGTCCGGCCTCCGCAATATCAAATCCCTGAAAATACTTCGTTTAAACCAAAGCATTCTTATAAAACAAATTCGACCGCCTGTCTCCACCCTTTCCAGAAGCAAATCCCATAAACAGGCGTACCTCACCAGCAACAGTCTGATAAATCGCCAAACCTTCCGGTTCACGGAACACAAGCGTAGAGCCGGCCTTTGTAAGTGTAGGACCCTGAACAACAGCACCAGTATTCATATTCACGCTCGTCACTTCTGAATTGACCTCTCCGCCGGTAACATCGTAGGAGTTACCAGTCAAGAGATAGATATATTCCCCATAAGCTGCATAGCCCTGAAAAGTATCCGACTTCGACGACAGCTTGGGATGTTTGAAGGTTGCAAGTGGGTCGGAGAAATCCCCACCAGTGGCCTTGTCCAAGTCGAAGACAGTAATATGTTTTCCATCGCTGAGCTGATGGCGAACAATCAGGCGGTTGTTCACGGGATCAATAGAACATGTATGCTCCGTAGCCCCAGAGACAGGTACAAACTTCTTCAGAGACGACGAGGAAGACGAGAGCGTAGTTCCGCTGGTAAACTTAAACCGAGCAAGCTTCTTGCCGTATCCATTCGAGTTGGCTTCGACTTCGGTCCACAAGTAAGAAGCTGACCCCACAGCCTGAGCACCGAAGGAGACACCATGACCAAATCCTGTTAGATACATGTATCCCAGGTTGTTGCCGTCAAAGTCGAGTTGGGTAATGCATAAGTCGCCTGAAGTTTCGGAAGATCCATCGCGTCGTTGAGCGACAAAGAGTCTGCGATTGGTGTTGTCGAAGGTGAATCCTTGTTGGACGGTTGCATCATGAAGTGTTTTGCTGCGGAATAAATCATATGAAGGCTTTGATAGGTCGAATCGTTTGGATGAAGGGATTGTTGCTTGTGCGGGTTGGATTGCGGAGAGGAGAGCAAACAGTAGAACGATCAGACTCGTGGGTCTAAGAAGGCTTCTGCAGCCCTGCATAGAAAGCATTTTGGAAATAGAATGGGATGAGTAACTTTTGCTTAGGAGAGGGATGGTTTGCGTGGTATTTATTTCAAACACGGGTGAAGCAATACGAAGAGTCTAGTAGATCATGCCGCTATATAGCCTGGTCTCTCGTATCCAATCTAACAATAGAAGTGCTAATGCCATAAGGGAATAGTTACCATTCGCTCAATTAGGTATTTGTGGGGATAACAAGAGAGAAAAGTTCGTGTTTTCAAAATTGCCTCTTGTGGTATTGCCTCTTGTGGTGTAGTAGATCCTCGCACACGATTCGGGCCGTGTAGAAGATCGAACTTCCCTAATTTACGGCTATACGAGCCAATGAACGACAATTAGAAATTACAGTATGAATAGAGTCATATAGATCGTAATAGGAACTGATATTTAGACAAAACGAACCAATATCACAAAAAAGACCTCGAGATTGCGCTCTCCAATGGCATAAATGTCATCATTCCAGCGCATTTAATCGTGAGCCGACATGATATCAATCAACCCGATCTCCATCATCGCAAAACATTTTCAGTCCGTGTCTCATTAAATCGATCATATCGTCAGCATCATAAAACGCATAAGATGCCCAAACCCAGAACAAATAAAAAGAAAAGAAACAAACAGAGAAACAAAGTCAATCAGCACCCCACCTCAAACAACATAGTGCGAAGGCCTCCGACTAGAACTGCGGTGACGGGAATGATGCGACCCAGACCCATGACCACGACGACTACTATGGCTCCGTCTCCGAACAGTAGTCTCCTTAACAACAACATCGCGATGCGAATGATGCAAGAAAAGCGCCAGCAAAGCAGTCCAAAAGAAGAAAACAACTTCCATAATACCAATCGCAAACGAAGCCTTAAGCATGGCACACGTCTTATTCACATCCAGCGCAAGCGGGTTATCCGTTCTTTCACCATACGACCCGAACGGGCCCAGGGAAATCCAGACAGAGCCTCCATGCCAGCTGGCGCAATCTGCGTTGGCGATGAAGCGTAGCTGGTAGACACCTGCGACGAAAGCGCCAAAGAAGCACAGGTCGATGAAGGCGACGAAGATTGCTGAGCGTTTTGTTGTTGAGAAGCGGATTAGGGTGTCCACGGCCCAGAAGATGGCGATAACGCTGACGATGAAGAGGACTAGGATGTAGGGGGTGTGAGTTCGTTTGCTTTAAGGTAGCCGTCGACGAAGTAGGCCTGTTGGGATTGGTGGAGGTGGTTAGCTATGGACGTTTCTATGTGGTCGGGTGTTGTTGTGTCCTGGACTGAGTGCTGAGAGGAGATGGGATGGACATACCAGCATGCCAATGATCGGGATCAGGAAGACGATCTCAACCAGGCGGTTGAAGATGAAGAAGACACTGCCAATCATCTTGAGAGAGTTTGGAGATTAGATCTCTGGAATGTGACAATCGTGTTGCTTGTGCTAGTGATTGTGTCTGGGTGTTTGTATGAGCGTGGAGCTACACCAGAATGTCACTGCGACAGCAACAAGCAACAGCTGCAGGATGCACGATGAAAGAGATGCAGGGGAGAAAAGAGAAATCTAAAGAAAAAAAAGGATAAATATGAGGGGAAATCTTACACAGATCTTGCAGCGTCATCTTTGGGCTGGGGAGGCTGGGCGACTCATAGAGCGCCATTGGGGAGGCTGGGGGGTCCCGGGTCTAAGTGGCCTCGACGGGATTTTGTCTCATTGATCCAATCTAGTCACTTGCATAGACCCTCAGATTTAATCTATGTCTTGCATTTGTTGATCTCTCCTTGTCGCATCCAGTATAAAAGTGTGTGTTGTCAAGCCAACAAGTGGAGCCACTTCGACTCTAGCCTATCTCAACTCCCGCAGTCTACACTATAAACCAATGTAAACCAATGTACAGTAGTAGACTTATGCAGATTATTGTATTCGGTAATCGGCTATAAATGCAAGACTCTAAACGCCCCATAACCATACAGACGGTACCCAGCCATCGCATTGTCATATCATGCCCAAGCCGTCGCCAACAAATGCCCAAATCCAGATCTGCAATCATAAAAGTAATCCTTTCAATGGTCTCTACATAGCTCGACCGGGGCCATCAGTCAACGGGCGCCCAGGACCAGCTAGGGCCTCAGAGTGCATCTCCGCATCCGTCAACGGCTGAGTCTGGGAGACATACGCAGTGTTCTCATGCTGAGGCAGAGAGTGACCGGCACCCGGGTTCTGCGCCCTAGCATAGTTATGCCGCATCTCATACCCGTTCGTGACATCGTCCTCACTGGAAGACCAAGCACCACCATCAGCGTCGTGGTCGTGCGGGCGGCGATTGTACACATTGGACGCATAGGGGTTAGATTCAGTGAGATAATCTGAAGGCGCAGGGCGGACATGTTCATGTTCCGAGACAGGAAGGTCAGGCGGGTTCATGCGCTCCGCCTCGGGGTTGCGAAGAGCAGTCGAGCTATCGATCTTGGTGCCCATCAACCGCACCGAGTCTGGACCGGCAGGGTCGGTACCCCAAGTGCGAATCGGGTAGGCGCGGCCCTTGCGCCAGGCTTCGCTGAGGGGTGGGAAGTACTGGCGGTACGCGATGAAGCCGCAGGCGGTTCCTAGCATTGAGCCGGTAATCACGTCGAAGGGGTGATGACGTGCGTCCATGATCCGCGACACGGCGACGAGAGTCGCGGCAAGGAGAGGGATCGTCACTAGGATGGCTTTCCAGGCTTCGCCGCGGTTGTCCATGATGTGGAGCTTTCCTCCGAGCCAGAGGGCCGTGTAGACCAGGCCGGCGAAGGAGGAGCTGCTGTGGCCTAGACATAGAACTGTTAGCACTTGACATCATCAATCCCTTGCATTAGCTTTCGCACGTACCTGAAGGCCATGACCGGAATCCATCTTTGATGATTGCCGGGTCACCCGTGCAAATGGTTGAATTGGACAGTCCGGGGAACAAATCAACACTCCCTTCACGGGGTTGACAGCGATCAATGAGATCAGGTCTCGGCTTTCCACAAGCAGTTTTCAGCGACTGGGTTATGACGAACGTGACTGCCTGTGCCAGTAACAGTCCCAGGATTCCACAGTTCATCTCCCACAGTCTATCCTTCCACCGATGCGGACCTCTCAGCTTCCTCTTCCCGGACCCGGCATCTTGGGACTTATTGTGCGAGAATAAGCCATCAATAACCAATGTGTATACGACGATGAGGACGAGTGGAAACGCGCCGGAAATGCAGAGGGCGTACTTGATGGGAATTCGTTCGTGGACGGCGTAGGGGTATTGGATGGAGATGTTCTGGAGGGAGAAGTGTTGGTGGTAAGGCTCGATTGAGTCTACAATCGCGAAGCCAATCACACAGGCACTGCAGTCGAAAGATACAAGGTTAGCACAGCCCAAGATAATGCAGGAAGGGAGGCGTACATGAGGATCACATAGTCGAAGATGTAGCTGTGAAAGAAGTGTTAGTTTCGGAGTTCCGCGAGGAAGGTCGAACCCAACATACGAGATGATAGCGCGCGGTCGGAGCCGCCGCTTAGAGAACGGCAGTTTTTGGGGGAGCTCCATATTATGTCCAGTTCATGGAGACAGGAGAAGTACGGAGAGGAAAGAAAAGAAAGAGAAAATAAGATGGATAATGCCCAGGCTGTCGCATGCCTTATGAACACATTGGGGCAGAGACGCAAATCGATGCTTGGTAAGGACTTTCTTTCTTCGGCTATTATTGGTGTGCGTTTCATCTCTAAATAAGTCCAGTGGCTGAGTTTATACTTTGCTCAGGTACCCAGTACCTGGTTGTGCCTGGTCTAGACCGCGTGGTGGCAAGTACCGAGTACTCAGGCCCAGAACCCCAGTGCAGATCCCCATCTCCGGATATTCGCCTGTGTTGGCATTGGGGATCAGGCTCCATCTAAATTTTTGACATGTTCTCTACAGGGAAATAAAGTTACGCTTGACTGCGACGTTTCATTTGTCGCTGTCTTTTATCCCAGCCTTGCTGCCTTCTCTCTGATCCACCGCAATTAGGCAGCATGATTACTTGCATGTCAGAGTCGATCTGTAGCATGGTCGAATACAGCAGGAGTCGCGAAGAACAGACCCCTAGACCAAGAGACCCCTGAGAAACTGAAGGAGTGAATTTAATGTACTAATACACAAGTCAAAGGAACGTCGACGCCTGTGCATGCGTCCCAATTACACATCAAAATGTGGCAATGCTTATCCTTTTTGCCCAAAGACGGCATTGCGGAGAGATATCCTTTCCTATGGACACCCGGACCAATAGATAAACAAAATAAAAGAAGAAAACAAGAGAATCCGTATCAACATGAGACATCAAAATGGTTTACAAGGCATAACAATGGCCGCGGAGATCACATGTCCATAATAGACTGCCAAAATGCATGTCTAATTTAGCAAGTGGTAATGAAGAGACCCAGCCTGCAGTTCATGTTAGCTGATATTCGACAAAAGGAATCAGGGGAAACATACGGAGAGGGGTTCCAGTCATTGAACCAGTTGAGGTTGGTGCTGCCAGCGTTCTTCATCTCGTAGGCGACGGTGGTACCAGCAGGGCAGGAGAAGGTGGAGACAACGTAGCCGTTGCCGGGAGAGACCGTGATGTCGCCAAGGTCCTGGGACACAGAGGGGAGGTTGCTGGAGGTAGTCTTTTCGGTGACAACGGAAGAGAGCTTAGCGAAGTCGACCTTGCCGTCACCGCTGAAGCTGAAGTCGGTGGTCTCGAGATCTTGTTTCTGGGGGAAAAGGAAGACCAGGCTGCAAGTCTTGCCGGCGTAAGACTGGGGGATGTCGAAGTTGAACGCGGTCGAGACGGTCGAGGACACGGTACCGTTGTAGGAGGTGCCTGCGGCGTTGTTGGGCTTGGTTGAGTCGACAGGGATGATCAGGTGGGGGTACTGGTAGTCGCCGGAGTTCAAGTTGGTGGGGCAGCTACCGCTGGAAGACTTGCTGGCCGAGGGGGTGGAAGAGGCCGAGCTAGCAGGGACAGAGGCGCTGGCGGAGCCGGTGGGCTTAGAGCCACCACCGGAGGGAGACTGGGAGCCAGACTGGCTGCCGCCGCCGGACGGGGCAGGGGTAGCAGATCCAGAGGGGTGGACACCACCACCACCGCCGCCACCAGAGGGAGCGGGAGCAGACTGGGAAGGCTGAGCACCACCACCGCCGCCGCCGCCGGAGGGAGCAGGAGCAGATCCAGAGGGCTGCGAGCCACCAGCGGGACCACTAGGCTGAGCACCAGAGCCGCCACCGCCAGGGGCACCACCAGGGGAACCAGGGAGACCAGAAGCAGGGCAGCTGCAATCAGTGACGGTAACAGTAGTCATAACAGTCTGAGGAGAGCCAGGCAGAGACGATGCGCTAGGGCCCGAGGCGCCAGGAGCCGAGCTGGAGGGGAGAGGGACACCACCGCCGCCAGCGGAGCCAGAGCCAGAGCTGGGGCCAGGAGTAGGCTGGGAACCGGAGCCCGACCAAGCGGGGGTAGACCCCCAGCTAGCACTACCACCAGGGCCGGAGCCACCGCTGGTGGCAGTGGCAGGAGCCGTCGGCATGCTGGAGGAACCAAAGGAGGACTGGACGACAGGAGCAGAGGATGACGCGCCGGTACCGGAACTAGAGCCCGAGCCTGAACTCGAGCCCGAGCCAGAGCAGGAGTCGGCAGTTAGCTCCACCTTTGTGCACTGGGTGACATCGGTGCTGTTGGTGGTGTAGACGTTCATGCCGCCTCGCTGGCCGGTCTCACAGGCGAAGAAGGTGGTGCTGCTGTCATAGACTAGCTTGCCGTTGGAGTTGATGGAGAAGCCTGAGGTTGGGGTTGCACCCTCGTCACACTGGAGCTGGGTGGTAGGGGCTGTGATATAGTCAGATTGAATGTCCGGATATGCTTCCCGATAGTATATTGTTGTCCACTTACGGGTCAGGATGCAGCCACGGCCTTTGTTGTCGGTGATGGCACCCTTGGAGTCGATGCAGTACTGAGCTGCCGACAGGGTGCTGTCACCGATGCGGTTCTGGCCGTCACTCAGCTGGCCGAGCTCGCCGGAGGCACCGCCAGAGGAGCTGAGGTGGAAGCAGCAGGTATCACTGCGGCCAACGAGGGCGTTGGAGCCGGCAGCGAAGGCTGCGAGGGTGATGAAGTTCTTCATCGTTGTTGCTCTTCAGCGAATGTGGAGGGTGTGGTAAAATAGCGAATGAACACAACGCCCTTCAGAAGATGAGGGATGGGAAGATCTTCTTGAATTGATATCTGCCTGGTTAGTTTTGCCAGAAGCGGGAGAGATCAGATCTAGGAGGCAAGAGAGAAGAGTTGTGGGAGGCAAACAATCTTTATAACATGCGGTGGATTCAAGCTCCAATATTACGAATCAAAGGAATATACAGATCCGCCTGACTCGGCATAATCCCCCGAGAGAAGATAAATCAAAAAATAGAAACGTTGTGCTGTCAGGAATTCCAACCATTGACCATGGATCAAGACCCCGGTGGACCAGTTTCTTTGGCCTCGGAGAGTAAACAACGCAGGTCCGAACCAGCCGGAGCGAGATGCGCAGTGACAAGATCGACGTCATCTTGAATAGATGTCCGATTTCCTGATATGTGGAGAAAGAAGGCATTGCTCCACAAGGATTCAAAAGGGCTGACAACGGTCACTGGCTGTTCGGATTCAAAGGGGAGTGGGCCCGATGTCAAGGCACCCCAATGATATATGTGCATAACCAGGCAACCCGATTGAGGGTGGCAACACGCAATTTCCAGGGATCACTGCCTGGGTCCGTCATCCGAGAGGACTAACAGTCGGATGGAACGGAACAAAGCATCGTGGGAAACCACTGGACCTCGCAACTTTCATTGAATGCCAATGTCTGTACCAGGTGGTCGGGAGTATAAGAATCAAGGCACTTGTGGAGATCTAAGCATAAACACTGTGAGCTGAGACCTGGGATATGTATACTCAACCTGTCACCAACTCATTAGTTCCATTCACTAAGAAAGAAAACAGGAAGAACGAGGGTCAACAGGGCCAGACTTTGTCGTCATTGTTAACTGCCGATCCGAGTGCGATCTCTTTCTGAGTGACATTATGATAGCTCTCATAGGTGTAACGCGCACAGAGTGGAGGGCAGTGGAGGCCTAAGAGCATAACAATGACCTCAAAAAAAAAAAAGAAGAGTGGATCGGGTGGGACCCGTGACACCTTAGTCATCATGGTACAATGCGGTGGGCCCGGCAGTTATATCTCGACCAACGACATCATCTGGCTATTTTTGTTCCTTATTACAACCATGGCTCATGCATTCACTCGCAATAGTCTCGAGTCTTTGCTGTTGCTTTATCGAAGACTTCTAGAGATAATTGACAGCAAATAACTCAAATAGCCTGCTACGTCGATGCAGTTGACCCTGCAATCTATAAAAACGCACATGTTACCTGTAGTTCTGTGTGGTGGATGCATAACCGTAACAGTCCACGACCCACGACGCGTGTCTAACACCCGATCCGACTGACGATCAGTAGGGCACAGCCCATCAGGCTGTGGTGCTTCTAGAACCATCAGTTGGGCGAGTAGACAGCGTTTCCGGTGTACGGGAAAGGAGTCTACAGGATGGTCTGGATAGGTCCTCGCGCAGGGGTAAAAGTGGCCATGCAATCAGGAACTAGGCAACAGTCACCAAATACCGAGCCTTGTCAAGCTGCACCCCAGCAATCGAATCGGTCCTAGTAAATTAAATGATGACATGAATATTTGGACCCGATGCTAGATCCCGAACTTGAGCAAGCCACATCCCTTATTTTCCCCATCATTATTAAAAATGGAGCCTTTGGCCGTTGAGAGATCGGCCCTTGAGCGTTAGCTTCTTCCGCCGCCAAGTTTATCTTTGCGTGCCGTGTCGATCTCACTGTCTTGACTGGTTGGCCCAAGTGGGGTGCAATGCAGTGACCATGACCATAGGTATGACATATCTTTACATAAAGCGAATTTCGTGTGCGTCATAGTGTCCAGGGTGGTTTCATTACATAGACAGGAATGGGGCATCCAGCTCGGTGAAGAGGGTATTCCAGTCCACTGGGGCTGAGTCCACACTCTCGTCGAATGCTTGCCAGAGCTCATCCAATGAAGGCATTGTCGGGTCCATTAGGGTGCTATCAATAGATCCGATTGAGTCAACCAGGCCTGTGGACCCTGTAAAGTTACTGGAGAGCCCCGGGGATGATTGATCATGGCTTGTGGGTCGCGTTGTACTTCCTTTAGCCGGAGCTGATATGCTTCGCCGACGGAGAACCGTTTTGAAAGATTCAAGTAGCTTGTTTGCAAATGGTAAATGTTCTTTGGCCTCTTCCAAAATCCCGAAGGCGTTAAGGATCTCCCCTCTGCGCTCTTGGTCATTCTCCTGTTGGGAACTGCTCAAGCAGAAATCGATGAGGAGCACGATAATAGCCACGCAGATGCAATGTATCATGCCTGAAAATTTCAAACGCATGAGTACGAATGAAATCAACTCTCGGGAGAGTTGGTGTTCAGTTCGAATGACCATTCTGGCCGCCTCTAAACAAGCTTTCCGGGAGGACTCATAGGCCGGGTCTTTTGCTGCGCGCGACAAATAGGGCAAATGAAGCCTACATCTCTGGGTATGGATCATGAAGTTGAATATGTATCGTTGGATGTTTATTCCCGTTGATCGTCGGGGATCAGTCTTTCGTAGATTCTTCGGGGCAAAAGACAACGAAAAGAACTCCGGTAGTTTTTCTGCGAACTCGCAGATCTTGATATCAATCTGTTGTGTTTGTTCATAGTCCGGAATGCCTGGGTCTAGCATTCCAAAGGGTGCGCTATCTGTAATCTCGCGGCAAAATTCGCCAAGTCGGATTCGTTGAAGACAGTACGACATTGATGTTGGCACATCAATCGGTTTACCAACGCGAGCCATTCCGTCAACTAAATCTTCGTCGTTTGCATTGATAGGCTTATCGGTCATCATATGGCGAGGATCGATTGAATATGTGCCTTTCTGAGGGCCAGAAATTTGGGACATTTGCCTGTTCTGAATGAGCTAAGATCTTGCAAAACGGGCATAAGACGATTTACCAATCAGTTGCGACGAGATACCACCACACTCTTCGACTGATCTCTGCTCTCGCAGAATCCTGCGGAGGCACATCCACATTGTAGTTGTGTGGATGGTCGATACGGTGCAATGATAGTTCCCTTGCCACAGAAATGGCCATGCTCACTATATGTCGAGCTTGAGACGCAATTCCCACCAAATTGGTGGTCACAAATATTAGAATAATCATGGCCTGGACATCTTCAAGTGACTCAGTATGCTTGTGGCGTGAATATTCGACCACCTCGAGTGCCAGTTCCATCCATCGTATGGACTGCCCGTTGGCTTGTTCAACACTGGCGAAGATTCCATTGTGCATATCATGCTCTGTCCAGAAGGTTGTAGTGCTGGCGAGAATTCCTAAGAGGAGTGAAACTTGCCCAATTTCGACAGGCCTGCTCTCTCGTAGATCGCCGTAAAGCTTTTCGACCAAAGTCCGCAATGAGGGAGTGTGTGCCACATGATGAAGGTAAGTAATTTCCTTGATATACTTTTCAACAATCGCCAACGCCTCTTCATATAGTGGCAGCCAAATGCATTTTGTTGAAGGTGCATTTTGTGAAACCACCAGCGCAGAGCTCAGAGCATGCCGAATCGGACAGGTTCTAAATTCAAGCTCGTATGCCAAGAGGTATTTCTATTGAAATTGTCAGTACTGAGCTTTATGACACATAGATCCCAGCGTTTTGAGCCTACCGCCGAACCCGGAGATGTAATTTCACCTTCCAGCCAGTCCACAGCAGCTGCCGAAGATGACTCTCCTTGCGGGGTTGTGAATAGATGGTCTGTTTTCGGTGCTGGAGAGGAAGGATGAGATGCTGTCTGGTTTGGAGATTGACCGGGTCCACCTCCAATCACGATGCCTTCTAGACGACGCAAGCGAGCGAGAACATCAGTTTTGAAATCATTCGACGATTTCTCGGATTTTTCGGGATCCAAATGGCTTGACAATGACTGTGAAGCAACGGTAGGATAGAGCTGGCATTCATTGCCCCGGCTGGTGCAATTGGAGCAAGGGAACTGCCGACTGCACTTTAGCTTCCTCGTGCGGCAAGAATGACATGACACCGGCCTTGAGCGCGATGATTTAGCGTGCTCCTTATCAACTCGGTACATCTTTGCAGAAGAAGGTAATCCTTTCGTAGAACGTTGTCGCAGGAGAGTTGGGGGCGAGATGGTATTGATGTCATAAGCCAATCAGGAGCCGCCGAATCCGTGGAACTTCCGCGGACCCAGACCTACCTATTTCGGATGTATAGCACTTCAGGCTCAAGTATATAGATCCCTTTCGGCCGGCGGACTGGAATTCAACCATCTCACATTCAAACATTAAAGATTATCCTCTTTCTCTTGCAAACATGGACTCAATTGTCGCTCAAATCAAAGCCTTGGCCGATACCGCCGATGAGGCTGGTCGTCTGGAGATCATCGAGACTCTCCGGCAGATGAAAGTTGACCTTCAAACTCCCAAGGATGCCTTGATGGAGCTTGCTGGTCTAGTATGTTATGTCTCGCTATTATATATTTCGGTACTAACAGTCATAGGGTGGTATAACCAATGCGATGCTGCGCGTTGGCCAAGATCTGGGAATCTTCAGTCTTCTATCCAAAATTGAAGCTCCTATGTCCGTGGCACAAGTCGCGGAAAGGACAAGCGCAACTCCTGAGCTGTTGGGTAAGATATATGTTGGTTCAGAGCGCATGTATATATACATGAAGCTAACATGAATTCGATTTCTCAGAGAGGGTTCTACGCCACCTAGCTGCAACCAACATCATCAAAGAAACAGGACCAAATGAGTATACCGCAAGTGAAGTGACCAAAATGCTGGGGAGTCCTTCCGGTGAAGCTCTCGTCCATCAGGCGTAAGTGCAGCTCTTCTGTTCTCATCTCATTTATATAGCGGACTCCTCTAACATGACAAAGATTCAACCTCTACCTGCCTCTAATCCAAGCAATGCCCGACTTCTTCGCAGAAAATAACTACAGAGATGTAACCGACAACCTTCACACGCCATTCCAAAAAGCCTTCGACACCAAGCTGACGTCGTTCGACTGGCTCTTCCAACATCCAAAGTACATAGAAGCATTGCACAAAACCATGAGCGCATTACAAGGAACCGAGTGGACAGAAGGTTTCACCCTTCTAAACACTGAAGCCCAAAAGATCCCCTCGACGCCACCAACCCCCGAAGAAAAGCCTTTCCTCGTCGACGTCGGCGGCAGCCACGGCCACCAATGCATTGAACTAGCAAGGAAATACCCCAATCTCTTCGGTCGTCTCATCATGCAAGACCTCCCCATGACAGTCGACAAGCTCGCTCCGATAGAAGGTGTCAAAGTCGAAGCTTACGACTTCTTCCAAAAACAGCCCATCGAAGGTTCGTACCACTTCCACAATCTCTACGCCTGCTACGTAGACTAAATCTAAACTATCCCAAACCAGGCGCCAAATGTTACTATTTCCGCCGAATCATGCACGACTGGCCGGATGAGAAGGCAGCACAGATCCTACGAAACACAGCTACAGCTATGGGAGCTGACTCGCGCATTCTGATTGATGATGTCGTTATGCCTGAAACTGGCGCTAACTGGCAGGCTACTATGGCGGACCTTTCCATGATGATTTTGGCTGGGAGGGAGCGGACTCAGCGTCAGTATGAGAAGCTTGCGAAGTGTGCAGGGCTGCGTGTTGAGGGTGTTCATTCTTATGCTGCTTCGACTTATACTGCCATTGTTGTTTTGGTTCGGGAGTGAGTTGTTTTAGTAGTTTGGATGTAGATATATCTCTCCTCTGGCTTGAGGTTGTTCTATTTGGTACGCATGTATATTTCTGATTTAGACTAGATCTACTACATGGCAGCCAAAATTACATATATATTTCTCACCACTACATGGGCCAGGGAATCTGATCTTATTATCTAACCAGTGCATGGCCTGCCACTTGATAGATAACCACAGTGTCATGATGCTGATTAACCTTGAGCTTGGATCTCTTTTCCTATAAATCATAGCTTCCTTACTAAACTGTAGCCTGCTTCTTCCCCTACCAGCCGTGGCCTGCGACGTCTCCGACTCGGCAGCCGGGTGTGCAGAGGGACTAACAGTGCAGGTTACTAAATTACAGGTAATTAATAAACACCAAACTCACTGGAATCCGACCCGGAGGAATTCATTCACGGATTAATCCTGCACGATGACATGGGATGATGATGAAAACAAGGGCAAATGGAGTAGATTGAACCAGAATTCTGAAGAAGTTAGTTTTAGATTCATTACTGTTTACCAAGGGGGGTTAGATTGGAGACGCCGGGGCGTGGCGGGGAATTGCGTTTGGGGCGCGCTGTGCGGCGCCGTAATTGTATGGTGCATGCTGCGGGATGCACACCTTCTGATAGAGAGGAGGTAACACGGTTGATATATCAAATAAGGACCATGTCAATATATTCCATTCCAGGGGGCCTGCAACTATAAGGAGAAAGACAAGATAGATAATATATTAGTCAGTACGAAGCCAGCTTGCAAACTCAGCAGAATACAGAACACCCCTGGCCTGCAACTATTAAAGAGAAAGACAAGATAGATAATACATTAGTCAGTACGAAGCCAGCTTGCAAACTCAGCAGAATACAGAACATGGACATTGCCGTCTTCTAGAATGTTATCTACTGTCAACTACCAGACCGACATTTCGATCAACATCGCCCGCGGATCGACAGATGCTGAGCTGAGGGTGGGTCTTTGCTTTCTTTCGTGGCCATCATATAGTTAATATATAGGCCAATATTATTCAGACCCGAATAAATCTACCCCGCTATCATTAGGCCTAATGCGAGCAGACACACAGCTCGATCGATTTTTCTTTCTTCCACCAACCTGGCCGTCATCACCCAAATTGAACGACCATCCAAAGCAGCCGCTCAACAGTTATAGATTTTTTTTTTATATATAATTTTATCTCTCGCCCCCTTTTCTATTTACCTCAGTCATCAGATAGCCGTTACATTCCTTGGATTCTGGCCTTTTTGGGAGTCTAGGGCGGTTGAGACCTGGTAACTTGACCATGCGCCTCCGAGAGAAACTACATGATTTTACGCACGCCTTGCGAGGATCATCTCCCAAACCTCCAGGCAGACCTGCGACCGTGAAGCTGCTAGTGCCCGATGCGCAGCCGCCACCAGAACCACCCAACCAGTCATCAGCCGTCCAGGCAGAGCCTAAAGACGCCGTACCTCCCCCACAGCGCTTGGAGTTTCAGGGCTGCTGGCGAGAAGCTTATGAGCAACTCCAGGAAGAAAATGGAGACAAGGTCCATACATTTGAGACATTCCTCCTGCAGCAGAGCAGGACTGAGGATACTGTGCGGGCTGAATCGGATCCACTTCCGCTTCTGCAATCCCTGGTGGAGGACCGACTACAAGAGATAGAGAACTCTCGGTTCAAGATCACGGTGGCAGGAAAGGAATTTGTGGTCAGAGAGCAGGCCCGTCGCGCTGTGCACGCCATACGCTCGGTGAAAGAATTCATCTCGACGGCAGTCAGCGCTGAACCGCATGCAGCCTTGGCATGGGCTGGGGCCTTGCTGCTTTTACACCCGGTTGCGAAATCTGTCGTGCAGGACGAGCATGCCATGTCAGCATTCGAGAATATCTCCAACATTCTGGTTCGATATAGACTGGTTGAGCGTACTAATATAGAGATATACTCCAAAAGCTCGTCGGGTGTGTCTCAAAAACCTCCGGAAGAGCTTGGGATGTCAGTTAGAGCGCAAACTGTGAAGCTGTACGCAAAAATTCTTGGGTTCCAGATAAGACTCGCTCAGCACTTTTGCAAATCCGGATTTTACCGGTTCGTGGACGATTTGGGTGTCTCCGACGATTGGAACGATTTGCTAGACACCATCACTCGCATTGACAATCAGATCACCCTGGATCTGGATGCCTTGGGTCGCCACACCTTGAAGGATATCCACCGCGAAGTGGATGAAACGCGGCGTCGGTTGGGTGAGTCGTTGGATCTGATGGCTGAGGTCAGGGACGAGACAAGGGTATGGTGCTTTTCCGTTCGACATTCTGATAGTTTCTTTACTGATAGTCCAAAGGAAATCAAGAAAATACACCTCCTGGACAGACTTCCAGCCTCAAACGGGGCTGTCTTTAGTCCCCGCGAGGATGAGAAAGAGTCCCGGTGCCTGGAAGATACCCAGGTTAGCACGCTTAGTCGTATCCAGGAATGGTACCAATCCCCGATGGGCGAGAGCATTCAGATATACTGGTTGAAGGGAATGGCAGGCACAGGGAAGTCTACCATCTCCCGGACAGTTGCTGCTGCTTGTCACAACCGTCAGCCCTTGGTGAAGGGCACGCCATCTCCTGAGTCTCTTTGCATTGGTGCAAACTTTTTCTTTGACCAGGGGAAAAGAATTGCAATAATGCCAATAAACTCTTTACGACCATTTGTAAACAGCTTGCGACTGCGTTGCCCGACACGAAGAATGCGATTTGCAAGGCTCTGTCAGACTACCCAGATATCTGGAAGAGCATGAGCGACCAGTGGAATTATTTAATTCTGCAGCCTCTTCTGTCACTACAAAGACAAGCAGCTTTCTTGCCCTTAACCTTGGTCATAGTGATAGACGCGCTCGATGAGTGTGAGAAGACTGATATTCAAAGAGTACTGGCGCGTTTTGTGCGGTCACACTCTCAGGGTCTGAGCACTATCAGATTACGAATCTTCATTACCAGTCGCCCAGAGGCGCACATTTTCTCTGCTTTTCGCGGAATACAAGGTCGCTGTGAAGTCCACGAGTATGACCTGCAGAAAGTCCCTTTCATGTCTCACGCCAAAAAGGAAGACGATATAACAAGATTTCTAAGGCTCGGAATGGCCGAGGCTTGCAAAGCAAATGAGTTCCCAGAAGACTGGCCCGGGAAAGCAACAAGGGACAAGATTTCTTTGAAGGCTGATGGATTATGGATCTTCGCAGCGACTACATGTCGCTTTTTCCAAGAGCCTGGCTTGACTCTGAGTCGAGCAAAAGTCCGCTTGGACCTGATCCTCGACGAAGAGGTTACAGATGGGACACCGCAGCACAATTTGGACGCCATGTACCGTCGTATATTGAAGTTTTCTGTCATTGGTAGTGCCACCAAGCCAGAGATAAAACTGATCTGTGGATCTTTCAAGAAGATCATCGGAACCATTGTTGTTCTGTTTGAACTGTTATCGAAAACTGCGCTCAGTCACTTGTTGTCTTTGGACGAGTCCGAATTAGACGACACATTCAAGGGGCTCTATTCCGTTTTATCGATCAGCGAAGGCCAAAAGGGCACGGTCAAGCTCCTACACCTGTCTTTCCGTGATTTCCTCCTCTCCCAACAAAGATGTTCGGACAAGAGATTCTGGATCTGCGAAAACACCACACACTACAATGCAATGAAAGCTTGCCTTTATACCCTATCGGTTAAGCTGCAAGAGAACTTCTATGGCCTCCCACACCCGTCTGCAGGTCCTGCGGACATTGATCGCTTCCCGGCCCCTTTCCATCTCCAGTACGCAGGTTTATACTGGGTCGACCATCTTCAGCACTCTGCCTTTGATCCTGGTGATAATGGGGAAGTTCACAACTTCCTAAAAACTCACTTTCTCCACTGGATTGAGTTCATGAGTGCCAGTCATAAGTTGCATGAAGCTGTTTCTGCCCTAATGTCACTGACGGAATATATTTCCAGATTGCCTGTAAGCATTAGGTCTATCTCATTTGCGCCTTTCTCGAATTAACATCACAATATAGGATACAGGGAGAACAGAGCTCCGCGACTTCCTTCAGGATGCTAGGCGGTTTATGCTCATGTTTCGCACTGTAATCGAAATTGCACCCTTGCAAATCTACCGTTCAGCTCTCGTCTATTGCCCGGAAATGAGTATCATTCGAAAACACTTTCAGGAAAAGATCCCCAAGTCGTATAGCAGCCTCCCCACTGTCGAAAGCGAATGGAGTCTTTTGTTACAGACATTTGAAGACCGGGGGGAGGATGTAGCCTTATCTCCAGATGGAAAGCTGGTTGCGTCTCCATCTGTCCGAATTTGGGACGTCACCACTGGTACACTGCTGAAGACTTTTGAACCTTTGGGTCGTGGAGCAGTTGTCGCATTTTCCCCCGATGGAGAATTCCTACTATCTTTATCTTCGCAGGGAAATTTACGAGTCTGGGACCTGGCCACAGACGAACTCCGACAGGAGGTGAAATCTTTATCTGAGGATAGGATCGCTTCCCATACCCACGTCTTCTCCCATAACAGGTCAATGGCTGCCTGTGCATCCGATACAGAGATACAATTGATTGATGTGGTAAACGGTAAGGCTACCGAGCCACTTAACAATCATTCCAAGATAAACAACTTGACGTTCTCCTGGGATGGCCAAGTACTAGCTTCAGCATCTGTTGATATAGTCCGGATCTGGGACACACGAACGCATTCGCAAAAGGAGCTACGTGACAATGAAGCTTATGGTAGAGCTAATTACCATCGCGTTGCATTCTCCAACGACATCAGGGCGATTGCCGCTTTGTCTGGCTCAAGTACAATAAGAATCTGGGATGTGGCCAAAGGAACCTTAATACACAAGCTGGAGGTTGCCCTCTCTTCGGATATTGTGTTCTTGCCAGATAATGAGACCCTATTATCGAGCGGCGCAAAGAATGTCCATGCCTGGGACTTTCGATCCGGGAAGCTCTTGAGAACAATTGATGCGGATTGCACCGGATTGAGAGTATCTCCGGATGGCAAGCTCTTCACAAGTATGGCGGCAATGATGAGTTCCTGTGGTACAATCCCTAATGGGCCTATTCGTGTTTGGGACACTGCAACGGGCGCATTGCCCAAAGAGATTGGCAAACAAGACAGTAGGTATCAAGCATTGTTCTCAACAGATAATAGCATCTTGGCGATTGCGTCGGAAGATGCGATCCGGCTGTGGGATCTTAATACGCAATCAATGCCAGAGTCCAGGAAGGCCGGAGACAATACCCTTTCCCTTGGAGGATTCAAGCTATCGCCCAGCCAGACCACAGCCACCTGTATCAGAGGGGGTATGATTAGTCTCTGGGATTTCAAAACCGGTGTGATTCATGACGTGGCCAAGCACTGCTTCAGAGTGCAGGGTGATTCGGAAGTGCCAGACGGAAGTGATCTGTCTGTGAAGATTGTGCCGGGCTACCGAAGCTGGGCGGAAGGTCGTCGCTCAATGTTGTTTTCCCCAGACAGCAATTTGCTCCTTACAACCCACTTTAGAGGGGGCGAGCTGTGGGACACTGCGACTAGAAAGCGCGTTTGGAGCAACCACGATATCGGTGAGGGGATATGGGCGTTCAGCCCAGATGGCAGCCTTCTGGCATACGGATTTGAGGAGGTTGGGCCTGGTCCTGATTCAAGTTCTTCAAGCAAACACCCCTCCATCATCATTTGGGACGTCCAGGCCCGCACGCCACTGCGCACTTTGGAAAGACCTAACCAAAAGATCGAGGGGCTGGCTTTCTCCCCAAATAACAAAAGACTTGCATGTATTTGGACAGAAATGAAGGTTCTGGAGATACGGGATGTAACAGACGGACTGCGATGCACAGCGCACAGTACTCTCGCAGATCTGAAGGGCCCAATAGTATGGTCTCCCGATGGGAAGATGGTTTCTTGTGGCTCTCATGCTGAGAATATTCTATTTTTCTGTGCAAACTCAGGGAGATTCCTGTGGTCACTTGACGACTGCAGGGAGAGAGATCTTCTTGCCTTTGCATTCTCTCCAGACGGGAAGCTTCTGGTATCAACCGATGACGAGAAAGGTGGTTTCGTCGCGTCGACAAAGACAATCAGTTTATGGGAAATCAACTCTCAGAGGCTGATAGGAACTCGGAGGAATTCTGGTGAAATTTACGGTCTCCTTCGGTTCTCCGACGATGGCAAGACAATCCATTCCAACTTTGGCCGAATGGATGTTAGAGCCTTCTACCCAGAGCCAATCTGCCACGAGGATTTGTTTCTATCTGAGAACTGGATTTGGTATGGAGAAAATGAAGCCATCTTGCTTCCTCATGACTATCGAGCAACGCGTGCCACTGCTACAGGAAATACTCTTGTCACACGACATGAAACGGGCCAGGTTACTCTACTTGGTTTTGAGGAGAAGAAATGAATCTTGTTAGGTGATTTGTTAGGCAATCTACAAAAGTGCCCAGCCAGGTAGCCTCCCATGGGGTCTTGCACCGCCGTTCGTTGCCTATCTTGTTCAAGTGACATGTATCTTCTTGCGTGCCTATACCCAGCATGTCTGGCTACTTCCAAGTTTTGCCCTTCCAGATATTGATTATCGATGGGTTACGATGTGAGCTATCATGGATTTGACCTGAGTACTTGAAGACTGGGAACGGGTTGATGCTCTTCTTGGGACCCCGGATCTTTGCGGGATCCCAAGGACGAGTGCTGATGCTAGGCTCCGGCTCTATGTCAGTAGGACCCTAACGGGCAGGAATACGAGTTAAGAATCACAACAGCACAACAAAGCCAACGGCCGCAGTGACAGCCACAATCCAACAACCACCAATCCCTGCGCAGCATTCTCATAAATGAGTGAATCGAATATATAGTGGTATTTCAATGTCCCTCGATCTTGATCCGCATGACAGAAACCCTGCCAAAACATTATCTTGAATGGGTCTAGCGAGGTGCAGATACCGTCCCACTCTGAGTGATTGGTATTGAGCTGTCACTATTCTGTTCAGAGACCAGGATAATCCCACCTCCTGACTCACGCAAGAACTATTTGAAAGTTCAATAAAACTATCATATCCCACCAATATTCTCCATGGACCTCCAATGGGCAGTATTGTTACGTGTACTCGTATCAATAGCGGGAAGGTAAACTGTAGGAGCAGGGAGGGACGTCGCCGCTGGAACAGAGCCAGAGCTGCTCCGGGATCACTTAAGCTGGTCAGAGCAATGCAGGAGCGAACAGAGCAGCGTCTGCGTGTACACCAAGTTATCTTGTGACGAATATATGCTTCGCGAATTGCCCAAGTTGATGGTTGTAGCTATCGATTGGCAATATATAGATACTACTAAGATCGCAGATCACGTCGGGCCCGAAAAGAGTACCGCGGGTGGCTCATCGGCACCAATTGTGCCCCAGATGCAGAAAAGTTGCGAGCGCTTTGCGATGAACCGATCCCGCTGCTACCAGGGCTATTGCAGACTGGCGGACAGCGCTTCAATCTCCCATGGACTGGAGTACCTCGATTTCTGGAATTCTTCAGTTTGCTGTGGTAGATGCTCTGCAGAGTACCTTTCTTGACAGCGTTTGTGCCGGTGCTTTCATGAAAACCCTCAGCCAGAGGAACCTCATGAAGATCCGTTCCAGCTAGTGATGGCGGAGACTCGGAAGAAGATATTGAATGCTGAAGTGAATCCCGTACCATCGGCTGCTCTTCGCCAAAACTCTGGGTGATAGCTGAATATTTTTGACTTCCGAGGGGTTCCTCTCTGTTGTGCAAGGGCATCCTTCCCCCGGTATCAGAACGGCATTCTTGGCAGAAGGTATTTCCTTGGAGCTGAAGTGGCCAAGACTATCAGTCTCATTTGGTAAATAAGGGCTAGCTTCTCGCAAATGAATCGCTCGCTGGGGCATGTCCAAGTTGCAACCCTCGTTCATGTCCGACGGAAGGAAAAGGCCCGCCAGGGGGCCAATCTCATCGTGCTGTATGCCACTCATGTCTGGTGAGGACGCAGATGCACGACGAGATACTGCGCGATATTAGCAACTCATTTCAGGGCATCAATTTCTTGAAAGGGGATGCAAACCATCACCGGAAGGACGTTTGCATGCATTGTTATCGCAAGCAGATCCATGATGAGAAAGAGGAGAGAAATTGCCGGAAGCTGCTATTCTATTGCTGGATAGACAGTCCTCATCTCTCATCTGACATGCAATGCGGAAAACCAATGACAGCGAAGTAGAAAACCGAACTGGAGCCCTGTCAGGACTTTAGTGCGAAGCTTAGACTGAAAGAGTGAAGCTTGGAAGGGTACGAGTGGAGCTTTGCAGCACTAGCACAATCTTCGGCGCTCGATCTGGATATTTGTCTCGAGCCTCTATTAAACCCGTTCAATGTTTTACAAGCATAGACCATGAAGATCGATAAGCATTCGTTAATTACAGAAGTCAAGTAGATTCTTGTGCTGTCTACATTTCCCACAGGCAGATATACCCACCCTCCTACCCTCAAAAACAAACAGCTTCCGATGAAAACAGGAAACTTGCCAGCCGCCAAAACACAGAACGCCTTGCTAGCCGAGTAGAGTATAACGATGGAAAGGGCGCTCGATGGAACAGAATATCAACGCAAAAGACAGGAAGCAGGGGAGGAAAGTCCGAATAATGATGCTAATACAGGTCATAAATCATGCTTGTGCGGAAGAGTGAAACAGAGACGATATTCTCTGTTTCAGAGAATATCAGGGGAAATGTAATTAGATCAGGAAGCCTGAGCGGAGTCGGATGTCCTCGACTCGGCCGACACCTGTCTGATAGTCGGCGTAGAAGAAGATTCACTGATAGTTTGGAAGGTGCCCTGCGTTGGCGTAACCGGCGAGACAGTCATTGGACTCGGCAGGTTTACATGGATAGAAGGCAAGCGCGAGATACTAGGTAATCGCTGAGGCTGCTCATGTCGGTCGGCGACCGGGCTCTGGTATGCAGGGGCATCACCCCAGTCCAAATGGTCATACTCCGGAGGCGGGGGCATGTTAAGAGTGCCCAGATCCCCCTCATCAGTTTGCGATTGCGGCCGACTCGATCCACGCGTTGTGGTCTGCGCTAGAGTGAGAGGTTCCAGCTCAGTGGCACCAGTTGACTGACTGTGAATTGACGAGGCAAAGGATTGGACTCGGGATTCCCGGCTGGAAGGATCCTCCATCGATGCAGAATCCTGCTGTAGCAGCGGGTAGCGGTCTGAATCATGGGAGTCTGCTCGAAGCCGCGAGCCGTCGTGGCGGACATGTCCAATTTCAGCATAGCTGACGCTTGAAATGCGGCGGTCCCGTTCTCGCGATTGGTGCTCGGCCAGTGCCGCGGCTACATTAACACCGCTGCTTGCATTGCTCCCTGGGCGGCGAGCCTGCGATCTGGCGCGGGATTCGGCGGCAAGTTGTTCAAGGCGGGTGGAGTCGCCGCGCGACCGGGCTTCCCGTCGTTCCCGGCGCCGGGCCTCGCGATCGGCCAGTTCCTGGCGACGCTGGAGGCGAAGCTGGTAGAGTGAGTCCATTTGCTCTTCACGTCGGGTTTCCTGTTCTTCGGCAGTTTCGGGATATTCCACGACCATGTCCATTCCACCGCGCTCGCCTTCCCGTGCGATAATTTGCTCGGTCGGCTTTGGATTGGGTGAGTAGGGCGGTAGTGTCATGATTGAGCGGATGGATGTTTCCCGGCGGACGCCATCAGCAGTTTGCATTTCTGGTGCTGATCCAGCTCCGCCATATGAGGTGTCTTGGGTATTTGCATTCGATTGGTTTGGAACTTGCCCGTACGAGGCAGTCCCTGGTCGCCACTGCCTCCATTTCAGTTTGAGGTATTTCCCGGGGATATATCTGGGCTCGGAGTGACGCTGGCGGAGATATCTGGACAGGAAGAAGATGCCCACGCATAGGGCAATCACGAAAATAATGGACGATGCACACTAGAAAGGTCGAGTCAGCATAGGAAACCCTGGAGCCTGGAGCCTGGAGCCTGAAGCCGGGAAGATCGGAGGTGGCCGGAGCATACAATGATGAAGATCTTGTTCTTGTGCGAATCATTCGCACGTTTTTCAGGAATGTACATGGCTTCACATAGGAATCAGCTTAAGGAAAGAGGAAACATAACAGGCATAAATGACAAAGTGGAGAGAGTCCGAGACAAGGCCTTCTATTATTATAAGCGCCAAGCCATCAACTGCGCTGGCGTGGCCCGGTGGAGGCAGTGACGCCGGCTCTCTTCCCAATCAGAGGCATCGCCATTGGGCCTGTCGGTGTCCGTCGATCGTTGATTTCATTAATGTCCCCCAACCCCCTCTGCACGGGAGATCGTCATTGAAAGCAGTGGGAACTGTTTCGCCCTCGAGACCCATTTCTCGTGCGAGATCAACTGCACGAGTCCCTTATTGCAGCAAGGACACGGTCTCAAGTCTCAATCCTGTGACACAAATAGAACTCCCTTGCGTGAGAGCAGCGCCTTGCACGCAGCGCTAATAACTGTCGATCATGTCTCTGGACTTTTCTCGTGGCTCGAACTTGCTCGTCGCGTTTAAATGAATTTTACAAACTTCAATATCCTCCCCAGCCACTGTCGGAAATCAGCCGAAGTTTGAGATTGATTCGATGTTTTCTTTTTCAAAATTCGACTGAACGAACGAATAAGCATTGAAAATCTTCGACCTGGAGAAATCTCAGGGGCATTTCCAGCTCTCAGTGGGTCTGCCAGATCATGCACTTCCCCTTGATGAACAAGTCACACAGTTTCTATGTCCTGGAGATCCGTGGAGGCAGGTACAGCCCTTGAGTCTGTCCCACGCGAACCGTTCCTGCCCGACAATCGCTCTTGTGGGGTTATAGAGACACTCCCCATGAGATACCCATAGAAGAACCGATCAAGACTTTGATTGGACGGTCGCCACGACTCTCTTTTATGATTGATATATCGCCCCTAAATGTGCGATGTTGTCAAAAGGAGGTCGTTGACAGTTGTTCATGTCTGTTTGGTTGCTCTGACAGCAACTGCTTGTGGCTTGTGGATACGAAGACAACCCTCTCCCCTCTGTCGTTGGTGAGAATGTTGCTGCCATAGCACTCGGTCGTGCATATGCCCTCGCCAAGTTTGGAGTGTAGATCTAGGGTGCAGAGGGGGAAGGAAATATCACTAGCGACGAGGAGTAGCAAAAGGAAAAGGTAGGAGATGTGTCGATATCACTCTATCGAAAAGAAGTGGGAAAATGTAGATGGATTCCAAGGGTGAACATAGACTCGAGTCTTGTTATATACAGGACTCGTTGCCGAATGAAAATACCAGGCCGATGTCGTAAATATACAAACTTGTGTCAGCGTCGCCGCCTGGGCACTAGCTTTGAGCCTGACTACCACCCACTTCCGGGTCAAACAAGGTATGATTCTCATCGGTGGATTGATCATCTGACTGTAAGCTAATAGTTATCTCGACTTATATAGCGACGACTCGGAATTGCGATAACCGCTGGCATGTTCAATCAACTGACTGGCCCAAGCTTCATGAGCCAATACGGAGCCATATTCATCAAAAGTCTCAATACGATGAGCCCTTTTACTTTCAAAGTGATTTCCTCCGCCGTCACACTCTTAGGTCCAATTATCACCTTTTCCTTGGTCGATGTCATTTGTCGACGAAGAACCTACCTGACTGCAGGAACTGCCTGTACAGCTGTACTCCTCATATGTGGTGGGTTGGGAACCGGCAATGTCACTTCTGGCGATAAGACTGGGATAATGACAGTCTGTGTCCTACTCGGATGCTTCTACATTATGTGCTTTAGGGCCATGTGAGTTCCCTTATGCCGTGGATCTACCTCATCTGGAAAGCTAATCTGTGTCTCGAAAGTGGTGCTGCCACGGCATCGGAGGTCCCGCGTCTTCAGCTGCGAGACAAGAATTCGATGAACGTATATTAAGTACAATTCATTTGCGACTTTCTCGTTTCATTTACCCTTGAAGCCGGATACACCAACCTCCAATCCAAAGTTGGTTCATCTACGGTGGTTTCGGACTTTTCGGACTCGCATGGGCATACATTTGTCTGCCAGGCATGGCGGGTCGCCCCCTGAAAGAATTGGAGATCATGTGGGCAGAGAAAATCCCTGCACGTCAGTTCCGAAGTATGTTTACGTCTCATGTTCCCCCTGAATCTAAAATTGACGTCGTGACTGACGAATATGAATGGCAGTGTCCGGTCCACATTGGTGCTGACAACGAGTCCACGTCGACTGGTGTTCAAATAAAATCACGAAGGGGTAAATTACCTGGGCAGCGGTACGATGGGGCGTGTGCAAGTAAGACAGGTTGTGAATGTATATAACTATCCCTCCGCGGGACACAATAGTCGTATTAAACCTAGTACTTTGCAGTTTCTGTCTAGATTTACCCTAGAATACGTCTTACTTCTCTTCCAAAAATACATGCTGGTCTGAATTCCGCTAAGAATTCCGCGTCTTCATCATGCCGTCCCCGTACTGTTCATCAAGATGTCTACGGTGGGCCTACTAAACTCAATACAATGTGAATTGCTCATTCCTAGGGTTGATAGCGAGGTGTTAATACGGCTGTTGGGACCGACTATTGGCCACTATCCCAAAAAGAATCTCGGGGTAATTATTCATTGAAGGGCGTGACCTTGATCACTGTAGTCCAACCGGATCTCGGTCATACTAGAGCATTATTTGATAGACCGCCATGTATGTGTCTTGGCCAAGGTTATAGGCGCAGCTTTGCCAACGACAGACCTTGGTGGTGTTTGGTCCTTTTTGTTTAGTTTCGAACAATCCCGAAAGGATCAGAATTGCCAAAGTTCATGGCTTTTGAGCTCGGCATAGTAGATCGAAGCGGAACTTTTCCTCACTTGGTCTCGAATATTTAACGTTGGGACTTCGGCGAATTTTGTTTAATACAGGAGTGACGTGTCTTTGCTTTTACTGTTTTGGGTCATTGCTACACAGTGATAGAGGCGTGGTGAACCTGGAACATACCTGGTGTGGCGTTGGACAAAATCTAGAACTGTGGTAATTCCCAGAAAAGTAGAAGATCGATAGTCTAATCCTTTCTGTACTCGACAAAGACCAAATCTGTTGGGCTTGAATCTTTGATGTAAAGGTCGGATCAACAAGTGACAAATTGGGGATTGAATCACAGTTAAACTTTGTTCTGAAGGCTGAAATCGGTCTGTACCTTTCACTAAACCTTCAGCTAGACCGTACATCATTTATGAAGATGTTATTAGTGCGCACTTGACCAACCCGTCGACTGGCTTTGGATTAAATAGCCACCTTCTGATGTTGATTCGACAACTTTTGTCTTGTGACGAATGGTTAGTTCAGGAATTCATCCAACATATGTCGTACAACAATTTGGAATCTGCTGTGTCAAAAGGCGTCTGCTGTGTATTGCGGAATTCCTGGTTTATCCCCTTGAGCCTCAGGACTCGCGTGCGAAAAGAAGTACAACTGTAAGGTTGCCATGTGATCAAGGATGAAGAAAACCAATAAAAGTTTGTTGATCAGACTAAAGCATCTCGTGGCGGCAGATCAGAAGTATATCCAAAGGTGTTATGAGCTAGCGACGAAAAGACTCGCCGCTGACTCAACATTTATCGCTCACGAGTCGTCTTGACTAGGATATTTCCATGAAGATCTCTTCGTCTACTCTTAATTACTGAAGTCAAGAAATTCGGTCGTTCTTCCGAGCCCCCGATGAGGGGACTCGCATCATACTGATTCGTGCCCGCGCGAAAAGAGGCCAAGATCGACAGAATGGGATCAGCTGGAAACACGGCATGATCGCGCCGTTCCGCGTAGATCGGGGTTGCAACTATTCATTGGCATTGACGCGTAGTCTACCTTCATGGGTGAATTCAAGCCAAAGACAGGGGTTGATCCAATAGGGAAGATAATCCCGGGGAACCAACCTGGAGTTGTTACCACGCTGCATCACCCGGTCCAGTCAGCCTGCCCTACTTGATACCACGAGTTTAGCTCGACAACAGCGTTGACGGGCTATATTATGGGCTCAGTTGCAGACAACATCGGCTTCACCCCTCATCTGCAGCCTTGTGGACCTCATCCCGCACTCCTCATTGGGCTTTGACGCCAATCATTAAAACACTTTCAATCCACCTTCTTCAACTACCAAGCTGGATATCGCCCAACATGGCCACCTTGAACTTCGCTTTGAAGAACAATACCAGCTCGAACACCGTCTACGCCTATATCACAGGCCGGGCAATCGATAATGGCAACGCGCTATTCCTCTTGCGCTCCGACGGCAGAACTGCCTACTATCCAACCTCGCCATCAGCCACCTTGACAAGTCTCAGCTGGGATTGTGCAATCCCAATGGGTGTATCGGGCAGCACGACCAATATCACGATCCCACACCTCGCTGGCGCGCGATTGTGGTTTGTCCGCGACAATAAATTGACCTTTTACCTGAACCCCGGCCCTGCATTGGTCGAGCCTTCAGTCTCAAATCAATCAGACGCCAATTACAACCTTGACTGGGCGTTCTGCGAGTTCACATGGAACAGCGCCCAGCTGTATGCCAACCTCAGCTACGTCGACTTCGTGTCGATGCCTATCGCCATGAGCCTGACCAATACATCCGGCGCCACGCAGACCGTCCACGGTCTGCCAGCCAACGGTCTTGACCTTGTTTGTAATGCTCTCAAGGCACAGAACAACACCGACGGAGCTGGCTGGAACCAGCTCGTCATCCAGAAAGATGGCCGCAACCTGCGCGCCTTGTCCCCGAACACGGGAAGAACCCTGAACAACTCCTTGTTCAACAACTATTATGACAACTACGTGAACCAGGTCTGGAACAAGTACACCAATGATACCCTGACAGTCAACACGCAGGCTGCTGCCGGTGATGTTACCGCCAAGGTGTCGAATGGTGTAATGTACTTTTCGGTCTCGGGCATCTCCTACACCAAGCCGTCATCTGGTGATATCTTCAGCAACAGCTCTGGCGCCTTTGCTGTTTCTGGAAATGGTACCAAGGATGCTATTACCGCTCGTCTTGCTGCTGCATTCAATCGTTCCACTCTACTGTTGAACGGTGCCCAGCCGAACGGGCAAAATGTCAACAACTATTACCAGAATTCCGTTACGAATCACTATTCTCGCATTTGTCATGCTGTCAGCACCGATACTCGAGGATATGCATTCCCTTATGATGATGTTGCGCCGAATGGTGGTGCTGATCAGTCTGGTAGTGTTTATGATGGTAGCCCGAGATTGTTGACTGTTACTATTGGTGGTGGTTCCAGTAATTCTGTCAAGCAGTCTGCTGTCGAAGAAGCTGTTGCGCCAGTTCAAGAGACGAAGGAGCCAAGCCCTGGTACTGTTGCTGGTGCTGGGAATGGAAACGCCAAACCGAGCCGATTCCATGAACTGAGGAAGATTGTGGGAAAGTTGTCGCGCAGAAAGAGTAATCCTTGACTCGTTGAGGTATTTGGCGGATTCCTATTGAGGTATTTGAGCATATACTGTACATGATTATGTATATACGTGGGTCTGGCCTGTTGCTTTTGCTTTTGTCCTGTGATTTGATCCGGTAGTTTCAAGAAATCCGATATTGTCTATAGTTTGACTTCACATTGTAACACACCGCAATAGTAACGCGAAGATATGCTTCAGTAAAAAAAGAACCCCCTACGCCGACTCCCCAGTATGTTTCTTAAGATAAGCAACAACCTGATCTGGAACAACCAGCCAAGGCGTATGCCCAGTCTGAATCTTCTCCGTCTCGATCTCTGCGCCCCTTCTGCGCGCCCGATCCACCAAAACCTGCTGAACAGCCACAGGAATAGCGCGATCTTCCTCACACAACAAGTAAGCAGTAGGGATATTCATATACGCCGTCCCAGTAGCAGGGGCAGTCTTAGTGGCACAGGCATGAGGCCGAAGCAATTTCGCCCAATCCGCGCCATCAGGAACATCATGGAAAAAGAGGGCATGCGGATCACTCGCCGTGAAAGTGTTTGTTTCCTCCTGTAATAGAAATCAGTACTCGCACCCTCATAGTGCCACCCAATGCCATGCGCAAAGAAACAAAACTTACATCAAGAACATACCACGGCGGGGGCGTCCCACCAAAAGCGCCGATCAGCCCCTCGCCAATCTGCGGCAAAAACGCCGCGATGAATACGAGCTTGACAACGCCGCCCTTCAGGCCTGCTACTTCGCGTTCGAGCTTGCTCAGTCCATCCAATGCACTGTTGACGGGTAGTCCGGCCCAGCTGTGCGCGATCACAATGACGTCCTGGCCATCGTCGATTTCTTCCTGCACTGCAGATCGCACGACCTGCGTGTCTGGCTCGAGGTCTTTTACTTCTGTTGCTTTTGTGATGGATGGGAAGGCGATGCTGCGACACTTGTAGTCTGATAGCTTGGGGAAGATTGGGTCGAAAGCTGTTGATGGGTACCATGCGCCCGGTGCGAAAATGAGGGTTGGTTTGGGCATTTTTTATCTTCTTGGAAGTTGAGGGTTGGGGGATTGAACTGATGAGATTGATAAGGTTACTTTTTGTGAGGCTGTAGGGCTGAGGGGGAGGTTAAATACACATTCAAGTGACCACGTTTGTCGGATGTTTGACCTAGAGGGGTCTCGATCGGCCAAGACTCCGAGTTACGCGTCCCGCAATATCAAACTGGGGCCCTCGGGGAGGATTAGTGGTTTCCATCAGGAGATTACAGGAGATTGGCGGAAGATTCAATCTCTTGAATGGAAACTAACTACTGCGGAACTGATAAAAAAAATCCACTAAAAATTGTAGCGAGCAGGAGCCATAAACCCCAGATAAACGTTCATGCACTTTCTTCCGGGTCACTGAGCAAATCAAACAGTTTCCCTCCCACCCTCTTGGACAAAACCCGATATGGCCCATCCTCGACAACAACCCCCTGATCGAGAACAACAACGCGATCCGCAATCTCTATCATTTCCTTAGCGTGTGTGATAACGATAACAGTAAGTCCGTGACGCGCGGCGACTAGTTGCTGCACAGTCTGGCGCACAATCTCCGCACCAGCAGGGTCCAGACTAGAAGTGGCTTCGTCAAGAATCAAGATTTGGGGTTGACGCAACAGAGCGCGGGCGATCACCACGCGCTGCTTTTGACCACCCGACAGACCGACTCCTCCGTCTCCGATGATGGTGTTGTAGCCCTGTGGGAGAGATGAGATGAAGTCGTCGATTCCGGCTGCTTCAGCGGCTATGCGGACGCTGTGGAAGGAGGCCATGGAGGATTGTTTGTCAGTTCCGTAGCTGATATTCTCGTGGATGGTCCCTGGGAAGATTGTTGGTTGTTGTGAGACAATTGAAATCTGGGAGCGGAGTGTTGTGACATGGAGGCGGAGGATGTCTTCGCCGCCGAGTGTCACTGTTGGCTTTCCGTTGGTAGACATTGGGGCTTCGTAGAGCGATAGGAGTAGGGAGGCAATGGTGGATTTTCCCGATCCAGATCGTCCAACAAGCGCTGTACAAGAATTGCCGGGGATAGTGATAGAGACATTCTTCAACACTAGTGTGGTAGGCCGAGAGGGATATCGGAAATTTACGTCGCTTAGTTTAATCGGGGTAACGTTCGAAACGGTGAGAGTGCCTATGTGCTCGTGCGATCCAGCTCGAGGAAGCTTAGTGAGGTGAATGAGCTGAGCTGCTGTCTCACGGGCTGTGTTAATCTGTGGAACTAGTATGAGTTAATATTTGACAATGTATGAGTCGGGTGTACGAACTCCATGAAAGTATCTGCGCTGCATATCCGATGCTGAAAAGAAGCATCGAAAACACCATCATAATATCGTCGACGTTATACTCGTTTGACGCTGCGAGCACAGCTCCGTAATAGAAAATCAGAGCTAGCCATGAAAGTCAGAACAATCAAAGTAGCCAATTTGTATGAGTACTTACCACTTGCAAAGACGACAGTTGACTCGACCATTCCGAAAATCATGCCCGTATACATAGCACGTTTTAGACCCAGCATCAAGCACCGTCCAATAGCATTGGCCTGTTTGCGATGGAAGTGACCTTCAAGAGTCAGCGTTCTCACCGTGCAGATTTCCGAGAAAGTCTCCGTGAACACATCAGTGGCAATGCTGTTCGCATCATTGCATCGTCTTTCCCATAAACCATTAGTGCCCTCAAAGCCCCGAGTTATGGCGTAAACGACCGGTCCACAGGCAAGTGCAACCAGTGTCAACTTCCAGCAAACAACCAGGCTCCAGATGATTGACATCACTGTAATTGAAGCTGCGACAACGACATACCCACCAAAGCGGCCAAGCAAATTCCGCATGTCTTCTCCATTCTGGTCAAGGGAGGATGTGAGCCTCAGTGATCCGTTGCCATCCTTCTCAAACCAAGCACGTGGTTGATCGAGGATCTGCTCGAAAGCCTTCTTCCGAAAGGTGTCCATCCAGGCCTCGCCGCAAATCTCCAGAAAATAATGCATGAAAAAGGAGGCAAGGCCATCTCCGAATGACACTCCTAGTACAGCAAGTGACCATGTCATTGTCAGGTGTGCATTGTTGGTTCCAGCATAGAAAGTGCTGAATAGCTGCGATAGACAGTATGAAAACATCGGTGTTGCGCTTGCATGGATCACCGCCGAGCCAAACCCAAGGAAAAGGATAACTCGATGGCGTGGCGTTAGATTTGGGTAAATGGTCCCCATGATTTGAGAGAGCGGAGTCATTTTATCCTTTGGTGTTCGACGACTTTTGAATCTCAATGAAGCCCGATGATGTGGGCGTCGAGTGGCCTCGGCGTCAGATGAATCCATTTGCTCATATGAAACTTGACCATTGGACTGTGATTTTGAATTAAACCCCTGGTCTTCGATTTGAATCATTTCAACTTCTTCTGCAGGACAGCTAACAACAGCTTCTTGTGGGATTTTTCGGGATCCTTCATTCCAGAATGATAGACGACTGGACGGATCCTGAATAGGTAACTTGGTGGGTTTTCCTGGGCGGGCTGCGTATGCCGAGTACCTGTTTGGACTTATGCCTAACGAGCTGAAGCGAACACTGGATGGAATGTGACCTTGAGCCCAGGACGTCCTGGCTCGACGAGATCTGCGCACAGCCATTGGAGGCCGCAGGGTATCCAAGCTATCCCTCGATACATTGTCCCACCCGCTGTTCCTCCCGTCTGCCGTCTCCCTTTCCATTTGGGTTGGAAGTTCATCGACTTCCGAATGGAAGTACCTTTTGCCCCTTGGACTGTTTTCGACTGCATACCTGTAGCCTGATTCCACAATCGAACCTTGTTCTAGGATGTACAAGAAGTCTCGTTCCATGATTTGGGACATGTCGTGGGTAATGATGATGGTAGTCTTGCCCTTCCGCCACTCGCGGACTGCGTTCATCACTGCGACTCGATTGGTGTGGTCGAGAGCACTGGTGGGCTCATCCAGAATCAAGATAGGTGTGTCTCGCAGTTTGGCTCTGGCGATCGCAACTCTTTGTCTCTGACCACCGCTCAGGAAGCTTCCACCCGGACCGATGCATGTGTCAATTCCTTTGGGGAGGTCGTCAATAGTTCTCTGAAGCATGGCGAGCTCAATGCATTCTTTAGCATCGTTCATCGCGACACTCTCATGGTTCTGTCGACCAAAAGCAATGTTGGTGAGTACTGACTCGTTGAAAAGAACACTCTTTTGCCCCAGGAGGGTGATATTGTTTCGGATCCAGTTGATGTCCAGCTCCTTCATTGGTTTCCGGTCAATGAGAATCTCGCCAGACGTTGGTAAGTAGAACCGCATCAACAGCTGACTGAGTGTACTCTTTCCAGATCCACTTTTCCCTATCACAAAGGTAGTCTCCCCTGCAGGAAAGAAAAGGCTAGATGAATTGAGGATAGTTTGTTCAGGTTGGCTTGGGTACACAAAAGACACCTGGACTCGTCATTAGTTATCGCCAATCCAGAAAAGGTACAAAACTTACGTCTTTGACCTCTATGTCACCTTCACAGTGCTCCGGGTATTGCGTTCCATTTGACATATTGTCTGGTTTTTCATCTGCTGGGCTGCGTTCTATCGATTTTAGGGCGACGCTCGCAACTTTTCCTTTTTCTATCACTATCATCTGGGGAAGCACCTGTTCCAGGGATTGAGCTGCAGTCAGGCAGGCCCAGAAAGTCCTCAGCACCTCTCCGGATGGAAGTTTACCGGTACGCACGAGTGAGCTGCCATACCAGAACCCTTGAACAAACATACCGAAAATCATCCAGCGGATGAAAGCAATCTGGAGAGAGTTCAATCGAGCCAGTCGAAAATAGTGTGTTGCAGATCGCTCAATACGTTCAGAGAAGTTCCGATGCTCGAAGGTCTGTCCATTGAGACATTTGACCGTGTCAATGTTGGTGATTGCATTATTGGCGATTTTGGAGGCATTGGTGAGGTCGACTTGTTGCGCTATGATGCTGGACTTCATCTTTGAAGAAAGGAACCCGATGATGGAGGTGAAGAGGGGAATCCCAGCAAGAGTCACTAGCGACAGACTCCAAGATGTGTAGAATCCCAGGGCGAGTGATGCCATCGAGCGACCAGAGTATTGCAGGACAAGTCCCAGCGGCTGTGATGTAGCCATCTGAATATCATGGATGTGTCTGTGAGCCTAGTTAGAAATTTATACCGGCAAGGTTTGTGACAAACTCACGCCTGAATTCCAGACAGGAAAGCCCCGGAACCTTCACCCCTGGCTTCGAACCACTCCACATCTCTCCTCAGCAGTTCCAGGAAGACTTGACTGCGAATTCCGGAAGCCTGCATTTCTCCGAACGCAACAAATAGGGCGAAGTATGCCCCGTTCAGAAACCAGCCAGCTGCTCCTAGTCCAATCATTCCTAAACAATTCCGGATGACTTTCTCACGAAGCCCTCCAGCATCGATCTGCCCAGCACCAAAAGACGTGAAAGAGTCAAAAACATTACCAAGAAAGATTGCCAGTGCCGGTGTAACACAGCTAGCAACAAGAGCGCAGATAGATCCAAGAACGAGGGTTGGCAGGTGTCTGCGGGTGGTGAATCCGAACAGTGATTTCCAGCTCGGAGTGATGTCGATATCGGACTTGGAGGATTTGCGCTTGGCTTTCATCTCGTTGAGAGGTTTCAATATTGTCGTCACGGTTTCCTGTCACTCGAGATGTTTCCGGATGCCATGTTATAGTCGCATAACAGGGAGGCAAGAGAAAAGAATTGACCGAGGGTTGCGACTTTTGTGGCAAAGTGATCATAGAAGGTCGAGTCATTGTTGCACAAAGATAACCCATCACTGTGGCAGAACAATATTAAGACATTGCCAAATGGGGTAACATTGATGGTCGCATTGAACAAAGACATCAATCTGCCCGATTCAGGTGGCTGAATGTATTCTTGGACCTGCATGGTTAGAACTGTAGTTAGTTTTCATCCTTTCTGGTTGTCTATATGAATGTCAAACCTGCACGAAGGTGTATATAGTGTCACGTTTGGTGCGGGATGGCCACCCAGAACGTCCGAGGCAGCATTATCACACTTGCGAACTGAGATAAGAAATAGATTTGAATCAATGAAAAGAATATTTTATTCTGGGTATATTGTGGACTCAAATGATGACGGTCAGTCCAAATCTCGAGGGACAGTATCAATCCACATAGGAATCGCGATGGTTCGATCAGAACCACATGTCTATGGGGTATGTCCACAATTCTATCGTAATCGACCCAAAGCCATGATACTGCAATGCACTGCCAGTAAATCAGAGCTTCGAGGCCGCTCATCATCCGTACCTCCAGAAAACCGGCAAATGCCGTCGGCCAACCAGCCCGGATGTGGAACCATTCTCGAATTTAAGAAGGGCGGGAACAATGCGGGCTCTACAATCAGGAGCTGGCCTTCTGGGCCTTCTCGTAGATCCAGTCGTTGAGACCGGCGCGGTTTCTATTCAACGTCAATTTCTGTGCGTGGGACTCCCAAAGCTCAGTCCGGAACTCACCTGGCGATCTCAACAGCGTAGAACTGCATGCGCACACCGAAAATGGTGGTGTCCTGGTCATACTCGGCATCCGCACGGGTGCGGATGATTGTGCCAAAGTTGAAGTCGTCGATCTTCTCCCACTGCATCATCCAGTTGCGCCACTTCTCCTTGCCGGCCTTGCTCTTCATCTGGTCCTCGTTGAGTTCACCGGCGGGGTCGAAATCGGGGAAGGCTTCCATGAACGACTCGTAGATCTCGTTGTCCTGCTTGGTCAAGCGGAGCTGCGAGCCCTTAACCTTCTCCAGGATAGCCCAGTATGTCATAAGATGCTCCACCGCTGTATGGGACGAAATGTTAACGTTGACACTTCCAAATACGACACTCCGCTCATATAATCGGAGATACGGGGTTCGAATCGAGCTGCGACGGACCTTTCACGGCGAACTGCTTCTCCATCTGTTGCAATTGTTAGCGATCAGCGATCAGCAAATCTATACGGGGGCGGGGTCGTACATCCTCCAGGTTCTCCGCCTCCTCGGGGTTGAATGGCTTCGACATTTTGGCGGCAGGGTATAGAACAGTTCACTCGAAAAAAAGCGCACAAACAAAGAGTGATGTCAAGGAGGGAAATCAAAGTGGGAGTGCTGCCCCGCGCACATAATTTTTTTTTGACGGGCGGAGGCTGCCCTCTCCGCCTTGCATAACGTCATTCCGCCCGGCTGCATCTAGTAGGTTCCAATATATCTTTTACTCTCATGCTTACAGAGATATTTGTTATTGGTTTGTCCCAGATGGACTGCAAATATTTGGATGCATGCATGCTATGACATGAGGTAATATGACATGAGCTAAAAGCAAAATTCAGCTGCCATGTGACAGTGTTCTATTAGGGGGTGTTTATCGTTCAATCACTATCAGCATCATCTGGCAATTCCTCGAACCTCCCTTCATGAAGAGCCTGAGTCACTGGGTTCTCGACATTGAGAAGACCATTCGCCCTTGCCCTGCATTTGTCAGCGGTGTTTCGTGTCACTGGGCATCCTATGGTAGACCTACCTCTCAAACAGCACAAACAGTCGTTCTGCCTCTCGTTCCTTCTCCTCCATAGTCATTGGTGGGCCCTCATCCTTAGGCTCAGCAGCCCATCTCTGCCCAGTAATAGGGTTGAGTTGTGCATCTGGGCCGTGATTGGTTGCATATGCTTCGCTAGCATTCTGCGGCATCTCGATACCCCGGGCTGCCAGGAATCCTGCAGCGAAGCCGTATCCAATATTCTTGGTAAGTTTCTCGGCGTCTTTGTCGGAGAGGACAAACATCAGTTCAGAGATCGCAACCTTGAGATTAGCGTGGTGGCTAGTCGAGAGTTTCAGCAGCCTTGAAGAAAGGGTGTCAGACTGTCCAATTGGGAGGCTTCGGTCACTGTTCTCAGGCAGAAGAAGCCATTGCATGTACTTGCGGGGTCCATCGGGTGCAACTTCATGAATGGTTATAAGTAAATATAGCAGCGGGACTGCCTTGCTTTCCAGCTCCTCCGGGCTGTATAATGACACGGCCTGATCCAATATCTTGATCAATTTGTCCACGTTGCAGTTTTGGTCAAATGTCGGGAAAAGTGGGCTGCTCTCAAATGCCTTGCCTTTCTTTTCTTCCAGGTCAAGGATGGACAATGCATTGAGGAGGCCGCCAAGTAATCCATCTAGAGGCTTAGACGGAATATCGATGCGACTGATGATCTTCAAAATGTGAGGGATAGAAGGGGAGAAGGTGGCAGCAAGATCAAAGAGTTTTGACACGTTGTATATCAACTTGAGGGTGTCCGTCAGAGCCAGCTCGTCCATTTGTGACAATGGGGTCCTTCCTGACTTAGGGAATTGTTTCGCATGACGCCCAAGTTGATAGTTGATATTATCTCCCAATGCGTGGTTTTTGATCAAGTCTTCAAAGTCCATTGTCGTATTGTAGGTTGCATAAAATAGGATCCGACTTGTCACCATCTCGTCTTCTGAGTTATCGGTCTTTAGCTTGTCGGCTAGCTTTCCACCGTACCCTGTGTCCACAAATAGCTGTCGCATTTTCGCATCAAGCAACAAGGCATTGGCAACACAGCGCAAGGCCGCACGTCGCACATCAGGGGATTCCCCTTCAACTCCATATCGCACCAATATGTTTATCCCCTGGTGAGACAATTAGTCTCATTCTGACTGACGATGAATATATCCGTATTGCCATACGTTCTGCGAGTAGATCGGCTCTGCGCTGGTAGGGTTCGTGCCGTGCTGCCGCAATTGGAGGAGAGTTTGGACTCTTTCTGTCACAGGAGATTCTGGTTAGAATCGAATCGAACCATCGGCGCTTAATGTAATAGGTCAGGACTCGCCCTCTGTTGTCAAGTTCTTCTCTTTTAGGTCTCTCTCGAGAGATTTGATCAACTGCACCACCTGCTGCAGCTTCGCTGCACCCGCCGGAGTATCCAGTCAGCGAACCTGCAACCCTAGAGGTGTTGAATAGGTCTGATTCCGGCATACCTGCTCCTTGCAACTGGAGGGAGTTCATGGTGATCTGCGCGCCTGTATCTGCAAGTCGCGCGCCGAGGGTCGTGGTCGGTAGGGGATGTGGGACGTGTTTCGTTCCAAACTTCGAAGGATCTGCTATCGTATAAGCGCAGGGAAAATACCACTGCGATCAAATGATCTCCACGCGAAAACGAGAAAAGGAGACAGGGGAAACTTTGACGCGGGGAAAGGTTGGGCGCAAATCGTCATAAAATTGTTGGTACCGCAAAGCCCCCCACTTGAGCTTTTTTTTTTTTGGCTTCTTCAGATCTTCAATTTGTACAGAATTAAAGTCAATTTAATCTTGAGGTCAAAGCAAGAAAGATATGGAGTGTCTACAATAGGATTTAGAGTCTGCAAAGACTACGCGAATACTGTACTCCGCATGCGCCACGAATACATGCGGTCCTTTATACCTTCTGCTTTGCAGCATTCTAGAAGCAAGCATTACTTTGTCAGAGCATCTATATCCACAGGTTGTTGCAATATCACCTTGACATTGAAGAAGTATAGACCAGAGCGCGTGAAGTGGGTGCCTCGTCGCCTCAGGCGCCTCACTTTACGTGCATCGCGACCGCGCCGGAACTTAGTTTTCTCGGCCCTTCAACAGTGTCATGGACAGGCTTTGACTGCACAGCAATGGTCCTTGACTTCCTCTCTCTTTTCATTTCCTTTTGATCTCCAACATGGTGGAGATCCTCTCGGCTCGTCCGCCTACACCTCCAAGGACAGCTTCACGATTTGTTGACGAAAACCGAGCCGAGTCAGCTGTTCAAACCCCCAAGGAGTCGCCCTTCGCGGCATTTGGGTCTGTTGAGGCTGTTCCCTCGAGCCGGAGCTCTAAACGTGTGAATTTCTCGCCATGGCCCAAGTACATCAAGCCGCCGACGTTTACTAGTGCCTCAAAATCGGTTCCTGATCTCAAATCCAACCCTCCGTCGACCGGTTCCAAACCCGCGAAATCGATCCTCAAGGCCACACAGTCCCCAATTCCAGTTTGGTCACCCAATGTCGATACCTTCACCACAGAGTCACTCGCCATGCTACTCGAATCGGTCATTCAACAACTCGCAGGCGAGTCACTGAGCTCGCGACTCGATGCCTACATGCAATTTTTTGGAGCACTTCGGACATATGATGGACTTCCCACAGGTCAAGATATTGCCGAGAAATTAAATCTTGTCACAGAGTTCATTCAGCGTGATGTCAATCGAGACCTGGCGAACGGCGGACCTATGGACACAAATCTTGCCAACCAGGCTTTGAAGCTGTCGGCTGCGTTTGTCTGGCACGCCGATATCTCAACTCAGCTTTCAGATGACTTCAAGACCTTTTTGGTGGATCACTCCATCAATTGTCTTCACGAGGCCAAAGTTCCCAAATCTGTGTTGTCTCACTATATGTCCATTATGTCTACCCAGAACTTCGGCCCCAAGATCATGACAAACGCTCGCATCACACGTCTTCTTACAGTACTCCAGGACATCACCAAAAGCATTCCTGGCAACGCAATTGTCTCCCATCGATTGAACATATACCAACGCCTCCTTAGCCAAGCCAAGTCAGGTTTCATCACCCAGACACACTTGTGGATCGAACACCTAATATTTGGTCTACTTCATCATTTGAAGGACACCAGGTCAAAGGCAATTGCCCTTGGCTTTCAGATAACCGCGGAATCTGGCCCGAATCCTATATTGTCGAAGAATATAAGGGATCTTTTCGACCGGACACTCGAGCATGACCGGAAACTAGTCACAGAGATCCGCGAGCGTATGACTCGAATGATGTCGTCTGTGGAGAGCGGCGTCCATGTTCCTCAGATTTGGAGCATCATCATTTTACTGCTCAGGAGCAAAAGATGGAACCTGGAACAGTGGGATTATTTTAAGGAATGGGTTCTGGTACTGCAAAAATGCTTCAACTGTAGCGAACCTGCCATCAAAGCACAGGCAATTGTCGGTTGGAATCGATTTATCTTTGCTGTCGGTCCCAACGACACGACAAGTCGCTCATTGCTCAAAATGCTGGGCAAGCCAGTCCTCTCGCAATTCGACCGCAAGAAGAGCGACAAGTCTGGATCCCCCCAACTCAGCTTGCCCTGACCAGCTATCACAACTTGTTATACTACACTTTCCGCCCTTCGGCTTCCAACGAGCATCTTGATATTATATGGGAGGAATATGTCCTTGCGCCTTCTTCGGGCATCTTTTCGACTGTCCCCGCTCTCTCTGACTGTCTATCTCGCATCTTAACAAACCTGCTGTGGAGCACACAGGCTAAGATTTGGATCGAAGGTCGAATCAACGACACTAACAAAATTGAAGCCGAAGAACTTCCTGCAGCCGATAGTCGTTGGGTGCGATCAAGAATCTCAACGATTTTAAATGTTTTTGAAAATTTGTTCAAATCCTCGGTTTGGGTTGACAATGCAATTGAAGAATCACACATTGCTATGGCCTGGATTAATCTGTCCAGCGCCTTGTCGCTTGCCTCGAGCAAAGAAATTACACCCTCCGGGGAATCGATGCAAGCTGTGGCCGCTGTCCTTGGCTTGTTGCATCGTCTTTGGGCTGCCGGGCCATCTTCTTTGAACGCTGTCGGGGATGACAGCATGAGCCTTTTCTTCGACAGGTTCCGCTTCCTATCGACGACGATGATTGTTGCTCTTGGTGGGATTCCATTCACCGAGAAGCTTCTCTTAAGAAGTACAGATGAAACATTCCAGACTGCCACCACTCCAACACCTCGCCATCCCAGTCCAGGCACCAATCTAAATAGCCCTATTCTTCATCTTCTCCGGACAATCACCAGCATTACAAAAACAGTATCACCAACGCAATCCTATGCACGCCTGGTCATGGGTACCATCGAAGCTGCCTGTAATAGCAGAATCTCCCGCGGATCTCGTCTTGAGCTTTTGCGACAGTGTGCAGAATTAAGCACTGCAGAAACCAACATTATCCCACAAGCGCCCCAGTTGTCGGAAGTCGTCTGGAAATCGGCTGCGCAAGCGGCTGCGAACGCCCTGCGATCGTTCCCTATCGAATCCGCTCGTGAGCGCGACGGGTCTGTATCCCGTGACTATGAAAATGCCATCAGAATCCTATCGTTCGGTCTGGTTTTCACTACTGCCTTCCAAGACTGGTCTCATTTGCTTGATTCATTCGTCCATGTGGTTCGAACGGAAAAGGGAAACCAAGCAATTGCCACCATGATTGTGGAGCCCATGGCTGAACAACTCATGCGTCTTCCAGCTGGTGATACGTATCTACCCTCGACCTCACTCTTCAGCCACTCTTTGTCCATTCCGTTCCTGCAAGGCACTGGACTCGGTATCGCACGTGATGGAATTCAGTCAGTCGGCCATTCTCTCTTCCCTCATAAACTCCTCGAGTCGATTTCTCGTACTTTATGTGGTGCATATGACCATTTCGAGGCCCCTGGGGCACCCGGTCTTGCAGAATTTATCGAAGCCTTGACGTCCTTTTTGGGATCTGGCATTCCGCAATTTCGGTCTCAGCTTCTCCAAAGTCTTGAGTCACCACTGAGTATTTGGCTGGAAGACGAGTCATACAAGATTAACGTCAACCACGGTGTTGATAGCAGGATTATAACTGCGGTATGTATCCAAGCAGATCCCAAAAAGATCATGTACTGACTTCAATCTAGTGTCGTGCCCTTTCTTCTGCAGCAGTCAACATCATACAAGCATCAATTACTGATGATCCTTTATCCGTGGGCAAGTTCCAGGCGACATTTTGCGCTGGTTTGAAGTCGTCGCACAATTCAATCAGCAAGAGGTTTGTTGAGCTCTGGCATTTGAACTTTGACTTGCAGCCTACTGTCTGCCCGGGCGTTATTCTGGAAGCTGTGTGGACTGCCGAATCCGAGCTTCAGAGCATCGTCCCGCAGTTAGATGGTGATCAGGTACTGTCAATACTTTTGTGCAAATTGGCATCCTATATTAACGTTGTTGCAGGACACTGAAATGCTGCCTCCGCCTGCACCGGAAAGGATTGATCTGCATAAAGGCCACCTTGGGACAAATCAAGACACCCTTAATTCATCTCCTGTGATACGGACACAGGACCCAACTGCTTCGAGTGGGGTGAATGAGCCCCAATTGCCCAACAACTTCCAACTTGGAGTTCCGGACACGGAGATCTTTGAGCGTGCTTCTGTGGCCAAAAAGCGTCGAAATCGTCGTGAAGTATTTTCGATGATCGAATCCATCCAGTCCTCCTCGCCCGCCAACACTCCTCGGAGATTAGGCTTCAACACTCCCCCTCATTTGCGCCGGCTGCAGTCATCTGAATCAGCATCCGAAACTCCATTAACGCCCACTCTAGCGCCAACCGAGAATGAAGAAGGATTCATTGGATCATCCCCCACGCCGGCGACACGGGATCCAACGCCTGCCGTGAACTCCGACGCTCCTGTGCCTGCAGTCCAGGAATCCAATGCGACCCAGGGAACAGATCCTCCATCCTCTCCTCCTGAGATCCATTCTCGAAGCCCAAGTCCTTCAAAGAGTCGGAAGCCATCACGAAGCGCGCGGCGAAGGGCTGCAAAGGCTGCAAAGGCTCTGGCAGGCACTTCAGGCAAACAATCCACCGTCAATAGTCCGGCTACTTCTCGACTTGCGACAGAGAATAGCAACGATACATCAATGGTTGGTTCTCATGATCAAGACAAGGAAAATACCGACGCTACCCCTCGACCAAATGCAACAACTCCCAGCAGACGTCTTCGATCTGGATTGAGTAAAGCATCACCCACTTCTCAGGACCCTTCCCATGCTGCACCACTTGATCCTCACGAAACTCCTGTTCAAAAACCTTCTCGCAAGAGCAAATCAAACTCGAGTTCCAAAAAGAAAAAGAAGCAAGGAAGTCCCCAGCCTGCGGCGGAAAAAAACCAAGAAACCACCGACCCGCCTCCTGACCCCAATCTTCCCGATGCCTTTATGGACTCGAGTGAGGAAGTTGACACACAAATCGCATCTCAGCTTGAACAAGATTTGGAGTTCGCTGTTGACATGGATGGCAAGCCTCAAAGCAAGCGCTCAGACACCTCTTCCCAGCAGTCAGCCGCAAGAAAGAGAAAGCGTGTTGAAGAAGAGCCTCCCGCATCAAAGAGAAATGAACGTCGTCGCTCAACGCGACTGACCACTGGAAAGGATTCTGACGGTGTGGCAGAGGAGCTGGATGATTCTCGCTCCCAGGGATCTACTGTTACTGAACAGGCTGAACCAGTCTCATCTCCAACTGCCACTCGCCGATCTACTCGGAATTCTCAGCGCAAAGCCGAGGGAAATTCTCCTGCAGAATTTGTCCCTGCTCCTCAAAAATCTGTTGCGGAGCAGCCACCAGAAGATGCAGAGACCCCTAGGCCTTCTAAGCGGTCGCGCAAATCACTCCGCCTCGAGGACCAGGCTCCCTCCTCTGCTGTGGGACTGGGTGTTTCCCGCGATGTCATTTCCGATAAACACATACGCAAGACGCGGTCTCGGCAAAATGTATCTCAGCCTGCTGCAGTTTCTTCCGAAGTATCGGGCCACGTTCAAATCCAGAATGGTGATCAAGACATGGTTCCTGAGAGCATTGTGGCTGAAGACCAAGCTGTAGAACACAGCACCGGTCTTGTTTCTACCGAGGAGGCAACAGACACTCAAATGAGTGAAGCTGGCCAAACTATTGAGCCTGCTCCAACCGTCACCAAAATGGAAATGAATGACGCGATCCCCCACCAGCAACCCAAGCAAACTACCAGTCTTGCCACTCCGGATACCCAAACAGAGAACACACCCACTGAGCCTCAAACACATATCAGGGAAGCAAACATCACCCAGTCTCTGAAGACCCTCTTAGGAGATATGAAACTGGCAACCCTAGACCCCAGTGCCATCCGCGAGGTCGATGATCTCCTCTTCCACATCCGTGTCGAATCACTTCGTGCATTAGATCGACACAACTCTTCAGCATAGCGATGGCGTTTACAGCGAAACCTTTTGTTGGATGTGATTTTTCTAATGGACACCGGCTCATCATTATTGCCCTGCATCTTACATATTTTTTCTAGTGGAAGCACTCCCCCACATATATGTTATCTTTATGAGATGCCTTCGGTCCCGTATCTCCTCTTTCCATCCCGGTGTACGTAACTTTTCTTCTGGCGCTTTCGGGGGCTTCTTCGATTATAATTTAAACCCCGAACAATCACTATGAACATGATCATTGATTGTACCTGGTCTCAATATACTCGAGTGGCGATACCCCTTAGTCAAATCGCCCTCTTCGCCTTTGCCACGAGTCTCAAAGGCAATGAAACTAATCTAATGGCCATATGAAGGAGATCCGACGGTATGGCTCTCTTGCTCTATTGTCATGATGACGCAGGCGCCACCCCTTCCTGTCCTTTATAGTTCACGCTTGGCAATATCAATCTGGATGATCAATGCCACGGCGCTTGTTATTATTGACCTAAATCACCTTTTCTTTGTAAAGACTGCTAGCTCAACCAAGGCCCGACAGCTACCAAGTAAACCACCATCACAATGGCCACACCAGGAACCCAATATATGATGCAAGCCGGCCTAGCAGCCGGCATGTCCGCCACACAAGGCTTCCACCCTCCGCACCCAAAGCCAGTGGATCCCCATCTCAGCGAACCAGTCGACATGCTCCCAGCCGGCCAGATGCCAACCTCGCAGAGCCGAATCGCTCTCCCCTGCGTCAACGGCAAGGTCGTGCTGATCCCATATATGAGTATCAGCACTTGGTCATGGGGCGACAAAGCAACCTTCAGTTACAACCCGACCCGAGACTTGCCACATATCCATTCAGCATGGCAAAAGCTCAAATCCGTCGGGCTGACCTTCGTAGACACAGCGCAGTCCTACAGTGACGGCGAGAGCGAGCTTATCTGTGGAACACTGTTCCAGGGCATGCCGCGGGATTCATTCGTCGTGCAAACCAAGTGGTTCTCAACGCCCGATATGACCAACACCCTCTTGCAATCCGGTGGGCCTAAGTCCAAGCTCCGAGATTCACTCGTTCGACTCCGATTGGACTACGTCGATATCTACCTCGTCCACGGCCCGATTCACCCTACCATTATCTCAAAAGTAGCCAAGGGGCTAGCGGATTGTGTAGAAGATGGCTTGACGCGTGCGGTTGGTGTCGCAAATCACAGTACCCACGAGATGATCAATATGGCCGACGAGCTTGCGACACACGGCATCCCGCTCGCTGTTTGCCAATGCGAGTACTCGGTCATCCGTCGCTTGCGGGAGGTTAGTGGCATGATTCGGGAATGCAAGAAGCGTAGCATCTGTTTCCAGGGTTTTGCTTCTCTCGCTGGGGTTCGTCTGTCCGGCAAGTATTCGCGTTTGAATGAGACTTCGCGGAGACGTCGCTTCAGCAGTTATCCAATGCATATGTTGGAGCCTACTATCGATGTGCTCAAGAGTATTGCTGGGGAGAGACGTGTGCCTGTTCCGGCTGTTGCGTTGAATTACTCTATCAACAAGGGTGTTGTTCCTTTGGTTGGGGTTCGTAATGCGGAGCAGGATATGCAGGCGCTTGGGTGGCGGCTGACGGAGGATGAGATGAAGCGGATTGAGGCCGTTAGTATCGAGGGACAGACTTCTTCATCGTTGCAGCATGGCTAGGCCATATTTGTATATATCTTAGTAAAAGTGTATAGTGTAAATCATCTGCTCTATAATCCAGCTCCTGAATGATTCCATATTGAGATCAATTCCACACTAAGTTAACGCTGTAGGGCAACGTATATACATGCCTCCAGGATTCAGGCCTTTGTAGTCCTTTAGTCCCTGCATGCCAGGTCCATGCAAGGTAAAACTCGCTTTTGATATCTGCGGCTGCCCAAAGGCATTCAAATGAAATTAACCATGTTCAATGCAGCATCTGTACACTCCTAAAATGATACTACTGAAAACCGATAGGCACAGTCAATATGCCCTGGACCTGATGGGACCGGATCTTCCTCAATGTCATAAACATGATATAAGTTATCCCGGGGCTTCTTTGGCCGTCTCGTCTCTTCCGTTGCACCTTATGTGAGTCGAAGAGCCACCTAGATACTCACTTTGTAGTGGCCCGTTGCCTTCATAATTCCATAGTTACAACTCCGCCATCTTTTTGACCGCAGGACCTTACCAGGATACAGCCGTGGTTGACAAGGCACCTTTCATGGCATATAGTGATGAGAGGCTGAGACTAGATACACTGCGCTTTCCCGCTAACGGCGTCAACGCTCCTTCCGTTCGAATGCGTATTGAAGAGTCTAACGGCAAATTTCGCTATATGGAATGCATCAATGCATATGCGGTTAACTTCCTGTCCGCATACAGCACTCTTTTGCTTCTTTCTTATGACGTTCATCTGGCTGCTCATGGCAATTTGCTCTTGGTTGTGACGGTTTCGTGGATAGCAGGAATAGAGACCAAAGCACTTCAGTTGTGTGTTGTCGACGCTCGATACGAGGAAATGGAGTATTGCTCGTTTACGGACGAAGATGTCAACAAGCCTGTGAGCAAATGCACTTATAGATGAGATGCGAATAGTACCCACCCCTGGAGAGATGTTGGTCAAGTCTAGCGCTCCTGGGTAGTGGACGTGATTACACCTACCCTATCGCCAGTTGCAGATAGGACGATTTCAATATCAGCATTCTTCAACTTGCAGTTCTTTGCCATTGCGTCTGTTGATAATATATAATGAACAACTCATGTATATGTTGTATATCTGGCCACCACAGTACCCTAAACCGCTCATTTGAACATGGTTAACAAGGTCGATAGCAAATAATACGCCTCCAAGGATTCATTGAATTGTTAAACGACTCGCTAAGTATATGGCACAATCACGTGATACGCACATATCAGCTGTAATCGGCCGTATTATCTATTATGAAGCCAATTCTAAGCGTAGAAGAGCGTGAATATCGAATTGACTGCATATGAGTATAAATATTTCGGTATAAAATGCATAGGAAGATCGGCATCCAGGCACGTTAAAAGTGGAACGCGAATCAAAACAGGCGGGGGCGCGATAAGATTCCCCGCCATAAGCCTCAGCTCTTCCTCCTTTATATCTTCACTCTCATCAACAATGGATCGTTCTAACAAGCCCTCCGCGATTGGAGTGGGTGCATCCCTCCCGCAGCCCACTCTGTCTATCAAGGACAACATCATCGAAGCTTCATTGCCCTCCGGTCAATCCGTTACCGTGCACCTGTACGGCGCTACCGTGACTTCATGGAAGACAAACGGCAAGGAGCAGCTGTTCGTGAGTGAAAAGGCCCATTTGGATGGCTCCAAGCCAATCCGTGGTGGTATTCCGCTCGTGTTCCCGGTATGTGATGTGCAATTACTCTCTTGTCGACCTAACTGCTAAGCGCCTTGCTTCATTCTACAGGTCTTCGGCCCTCCCCCCAGAACCACGCCACCTCTTCCCTACCTCAACATGGTTTCGCTCGTAACTCTAACTGGGAGTTCTTGGGCAAGTCGTCTTCGGAAGCGCCTGGAAGAGATGGTGATCAGACTGATCTCACTGTGAAGCTGGATTTCGGACTGTCGCACTCCATGCTGACCGAGGAGTTCCGTGAGGCGTGGCCTTATGAGTTCGGTCTGGTTTACAGTGTTACCCTTACAAAGGATACTCTGGAGACGGCATTGCAGGTCCGCAACGAAGGCAAACAGAACTTTGAGTTCCAGACACTGATGCACACATACCTTAACATCGCGGTAGGAGCTCCCTTTGAGTGCTAGTTTGTCTAATATCTTGCTAACTTAAATTTACACGAAAAGGACATCTCCGATATCCGCATTAAAAACCTCGAATCCAAGACCTACGTCGACAAGACCCTCAACGCCACCACCCACACCGAATCCTCCCCCGCTCTCGCCATTACCCAAGAAACTGATCGTGTTTACCAAAGTCTCGACCCAGCCGTTCCAATTGTCGTCTCCTCGGCTAAGGATGACCAACCTTTGTTCTCGATTACTCGGGAGGCTTTGAACGATGTTGTGGTCTGGAACCCTTGGATTGAAAAGGCCAAGGGCATGGCCGACTTTGGACCGGATGAGGCTTACAAGAACATGATCTGTGTGGAAGCTGGTTCCGTGTCTGGTTGGCAGACTCTTGAAGCTGGAGAAGCCTGGGAGGGTGCTCAGAGCATCAAGGCTCGACTGTAAACGCAGAGATATAGCATCTTCTGTTTGCAATTACTGTCTCTCTTTTCACACAATAGCTTATGACTTGAAGACTTCTATTTTGAATATCAAAACTGAATCGAATATTTCTATGATCATGATGTACCTCCATTTCTCTTACCCGTGATATATAACCTTGCGAAGTATGAACGAGTATTCTAAAGCGTAATCAACGAAGGAGTTAACAAAGACTTTAATGACAAACTTAACATAAATGAGGCTAGGGAGTATTTGAAAGATATTTCTCTTCTTTTTTAACTTGACTCTTTCTCTCTAACAGCGAGAAGATTTATCAGCTTTATCTATAAATCTGAGATTCTTCCCTCTTTTCTTCTTGATCAGTTTGCTTTTTGATCAACACCCATTGAACCACTCGTCGGATTGTGTTGACCATCAAAGCTTATCGTCTGCGACATCTGTGGGGAACACCCACCTGCTCTGTCGATGAATGATACCAAGTCAAATACTTTGCTTTGCTTTTGTGCATGGTTCGAACAAGCCCTGGGGCCCTAGAACGCAATATTCCCTCTGTCTGATGAGCCTGGCGGGAAATGCGAAGGTCTTAACAGTCCGGTCATACTCGTCCAGGCTGGCTGGAGCGGGTTGACAACCAACGGCGTTGTTTGACAAAACATGCGAGCCTTACACGCCGCGCGCGCTCAATTGCAAGAAAGACACCAAGTGGTTAGTTTGTATTATGGGAGCTCATTTCTACATGCTAACAAACTACCAGCTGGTGGACGTCGATCACAACGGGAATTGCAACATGAGACCCAGTCGAGCCCTGGTAGATGGCGATAGGATTGTCGAAGAATGCAGGCAAAACCACATGATTACGACACAATTATCTCCCGCCCTCTGGCGACACGCTACGTCGCTAAATTCATGCACCATCCTGGCCCCCTCACTCAGTTTCAGGCCGTCGAACAAGAGGACACTCAATTCGATGAAAGCCTGGCGGCTACTCACCAAGTAATTACACACCGACTGAGGAAAGAAAGAGCCTCAGCCAGCTATTCAATTACGACGCCTTATTCGCTGCTTTTGTACTGCGGGAATCAGGCGTACGGATAACAAGTTCTTGCTTCATTTTGACCGAATCGCCTGCGTAGCCATTACGATACTAGTTAGGCCCCAACTGGTTAACAGAACTTTGATTGATTGATTGAGCCCCGGTAGATGTACATACACGCTGCTATAAGTTAGACCAAATGCAGCACTTCCAACATATCATTTGCGATAATGCCCAATTGGTCATTGAGCACTGGTCTCCCGCCTTTCTACGATATGTTGATCCGTTCAATTTTTTAGGATATGACAATGTCCGCTCACGCTAATCTATAACATGGGTCATAATTCCTTTTATATCCCACCTTTGTATGAGCTGGGTGATCAATCCGAAGCACTCTAAAATGGGCAAAAAGAGGTGAAAAGAATCCGAAACAGGGCGAAAACAATGCATCAAGCGGTACACTCGCTTCGAGGCTTTCGTATAGAGACCGTCCAATGTTTCATGGCACTATGTACATATTTGTGACCACTATTGTACAAGTTAGTCCACGGTGCTAAGTTAAGATCAAGACCAAATACGACGCAGTCATAACCTGCTCCCCATCATATTCGTCAAACATATACACGCAATTCGTATAAGTACATAGGCCCTGATAAAGTAAGTAGACCAAACAATAAACAAGAAGTTAAAAAAAGCCCAATCAAGCAGCCACCCATTTTCCTCGTTTCCAACATCTCGTTATTCAGTTCGTCAGCCATGCTCAACACAACCAATGGGCGAGCCATCCACAACATCAATGAAAGATCGACGACCCTCCTTGCCCTCCTGGAATGCTGCCAACCGCTCAGCAGCCTCAAAGCTATAATGTGGACCGTGATACTGGCGTCTTCCACGGAATAACCACCACAAAGCAGTCAAAACCATCAACCCAACAATAATAACACTGGTATAGTTCATATTGTGAACAGTGGCAGGCAATACAAGTGGGAAGCAGAAGAAAACAACAGTAACAGAAATATACACCAAGGAAATAATGTTAACTGCCATGCCGAGCTTCTGCCCCATATAGAACGGCCCAGGAACCATATTTCGACGACCAGACAGGACATGCGGGAAGATAGCACCAAAGTAGGAGAGCGAGCTGAGCACAATGAATGACGAGATCAACGCCTGGAATGCTGTCGTGCTGCCGATGTATATACAACCCAGACAAGTCACAAGTGCACTCATGGCGACTGTTGCGCGGACCGGACAGTTCAGCGTTGGGTGAACTTGGGCAAAATAGCTTGCAAAGGGTGTCGCATTGTCTCGTGCTAGACTCCACCACATTCGACCACCTGTCACGAATGTGCCGATTAATGTAGGGAATGTTGCGAGAAATAACACGGCGATTAGGCCGATGGCACCTCCATTGGATCCGGTTGCTTGTCGGTAGATTTCGGCCGTTGGGAAGGATACGATATTGCTTGTGAAGACTGCGTCTAGATCTTGGATGGAGTAGAACAGTGCGATCAGGTAGACGAAGGATGTGATGAAGGCCGTGAGCATTTGTAGCATTATGCCTTGGGGGACCTTGGTTTCAGGCTTGGGGACTGAATTGCACTTGAAGTTAGCTGTGGTCCTTTCATTGAATTCGTCTTTCGTTTCTTCGAGCAAAAGACTTACCCTCTTCGGAGAGATGGCTGATACAGTCGGGCACTCCAACTGCAAATGCAGCGTTGAGCAGCCCAGTCATAAAGCAAACTCCGTCTGACCAGCCGCCTGTATTGTTGTGGTACTCAACCCACACCTGCTTACTGCTTGCGTGTTTCTTTGGCATCACTGCAAGGACGATAATAGTCGTGACAAGTCCACACATAGACAAAGTGAGAGCAACCCGGTTGATAAGAGGGATAAAGCGATTTCCCAGACAGACGATAACACAGCATGTCCAGTTGACAATCTGGAACACGATGAAGACTTGCCAAGCTTGCCATTTCACAGTCGTGTGATGGAGCAGATACATGGCCACGCCTTCATTCCCTAGCATCGAGCTCATTGAAGAGGCGGATAATAGCCAGGCGCAGGCATTTAGATATCCAGTGAAGAAGCCCGCTGTTTTGCCTCGGCTGCGACTTAGCACCGATGACCAGTAGTATACACCACCGGCGGAGGGCATTGACGAGGCTAGTTCGGCTAGCGATGCTGAAATCGCTGTATAAAAGACGCTGACGAGAATCAACCCGTAAAGAACGGCCATCGGGCCACCATTTTGGAGTGCTGCGACAATTGTACCTCCCGTTGAAGCCCAGGAACTTGTTCTCGTTAGTAAGTGAAATCCATCCTAAGAAACCGGTCGCATACTTCGCAATGACAATCCCCAAACTAGTCAAACTCCATAATCCAAAATTCCGAACCAGTTCTTGCTTGTGCCCAAGTGCTGACTCCAATCGAGCCTCATCAATAGCAGTATCGGTTTCTGTGAGCTTCTCGCCATCCCGAGGGATCTGTCGTGCGGTCACTGCCATGATGCCGTCCGTAATAGCGTATCAAGACGAATGTCAAGGAAAAGCGTCAAGCCATGACAAGACAAGGATAAAAAGAAAAGAGGGAAATGAAAAAGGAGGAAATAACACGCTACCCCACTAGGTTCAACAAAATCGTATAGGGTGCACAGAAGGCAGATCGGGCGAGTCGCAACCCCAGGAATGCTGTATGCGAGGGTCGATGCCCATATGGCCGCCACGTGCATGAATCCACGTAGAAATTTCACGAGCGAATGACTCGTCTACAATTATTTCCGAGAAGATTCTTCTCTATCCATGTCCGGGTTGAGAGGTACAATCCTGCCAGTTAGACGCATGTCTATTGGCAATAGTGTGGCGTTGACAGTCAGAAAAAAAGTAAACATGCGCGTAACCGTGTCCATGACGTCCAGTAGTATTGCAATGTTGTATTTCTAGTCAAATTTGTATGGATCACATCTCCTTCTAACTTCCTAAAAAGCAAAGCAGGGCGAGTGATGCATCGCCGTGCAGCAAGGGGGATTCGCATGGTCCACCTGGAAACCGGGCGTCGGTCGGGCGATCTGATGTGCAGTCATTTGCCGGTCAGTTCTGGAGCGAAAGGTGTCCGTCAACGAGGCTGTTCCTTGCCATAAATTGTTCAGAGTTTGAGACTTGCAATTTCAACTGGGTTTTGTGTTACTGCGCTGCAGTCTGAATTTGTTCCGCTCATCGCAGCATTCTTAAGAGTCTCCTGCGCGACATCTAATTGGCTTGTTCCATGCATGTAATAGTATCGATCCCTTTGTTGATGGCCCACATAAACTCATGTGATGTATAATTTTTGATTTCGGGGATCGGACAAGCGCATGTACACGTATAAAACAAACGGCCCTCCGGTCTTGTATCCGTTTACTTTTTACTATCGGGTTTCCAAATGTGAGACGCGAATAAAATGCCGGTAAATCGTATAGATACTTAGGTTATACAAAGACACACGATTGATAATATTTGAGAAAATATATGCAAACTGATTTCCTAAGCTAGTGTTCGAAATATACAAAGAGAGAGATATTTGTATCAACAACCAATCATATGCTATCGGTATATATCTCAGATGACAGGAGCATCCGAATCGTGGAAAGAGCCCAACTTGAGCAGCTTCTTTGCGACCAATGCGGCAGAAGGCATCAACGCCACCAGCAGCTGCCTGAGTGGCCTTGGCGTCATTGTCCCACTAGCCACAGCCGTTCTCAATGGTTTCGTAGGGGATAGTAGAAACTAAACAGAACGCGATCGGCACCAATCTCGTTGACCGACATACTTCAGGGTGGCAGTGGAGAAGTGTCCGCTGATAGTGACCTTGATGTTCTGCTTGAAGTAGTCATAGATGGTCTTCTCAGCCATGACACGGCCCTCCTCGTTAGCAATGGGCCTCATGACATCTTCGAACCAGTGGTTGATATATCAGAAGTCGAAGGAAATGTGCTCTCCCTGGTAACGGATGATAATCTTCAGCATCAGGTTCAACCCCGTTCGAGATCAAGTCCAGGGCAGCATCCTGGGAACAAGTCTAGGCAGCAAAGTCTACATACCACAGCACTCTTCCTTAGACGTAGATGCCCCATTCCGAGCGAGCTGCACCGTTGGCAAAGAACAGAGGGGTTCCAATCATGTTCTGGCGCTTGGCTTACAGCTTGTCCAGGATGACATCCGAAGGAGCAGCGGGATGGATGTACAAGTTGACATCGAGCTCGGTGAGGACGTTCCAGAACTCGTCGTAGGCGGGCTTGTCGTAGTAGAGGTAGGTCTAGCCATTGGGACCGGAGGGCTGGAAGTCGGGACAGAGGGCACCGTCAGATCCGAGCTCCTGAACACAGCGACGCAGCTCCTGGTCAGCTTGCTTAGGGTCGTGCATGGACGGACGGCAAACGCGCCCATGCCGTCGCGGTCGTTTCTTGATCTGGTCCGTCGTCCAGTTGTTGGCCTCAGTGGGAGTATTCCCGGCCAGGGCTTTGTCGGAAAGGATACCGGTAACGGGCAGGGATACGATGGTGTAGCCAATGCCATGGGTGTTAAACAGACTGACACGCTCATCGTTTATGTCGAGGATCTGGCGCATGTAGCGAACACGGTCCTCGCGGGCAATGTAAAAGTCAGCTTCGGCGCGCTCAGAGGCTTCCTCGACAACAATCTTGCCCAGGATGTTGAGAGTTGAAGCGGAATGTAGAAGTGTTAATGATTGCTTGGATGATACATTCGACCCCAAGGATGCTGAGGCTTTATATACTTTAGCATCTCCTCTATCCAGGCTCCGTCGGCATACTTCAGTATGCAAAAGACTCAAGACCAATTTTCCGAATCGTCCGCAGTTCATGTGCGGTGTGGATGGGCCAACGAATATCTTGACTGAAACACATTCCAATCAGGGTATGTAGAATCCGAGCTTGCTACAACCTGCCAGGGACAGTTTCTTAAACATGACGGATCCTGATGCCATTGATGCTGTTGAGGCAATGACGAAGCTGTCGGTGCGAGCAGAGTATACATACAGTGGGTCTATGAATTAAACTCGAAGATCTAGAAACAATCAAAAGATGTCGAACCCAGAGCCAATTAAGCTTTCAACTGTGTCCGACTATCGATAAGTGGCGAGCCAGCTGCCGAAAAAGAGCCTGAAGAATCATTTTGGAAGTGAGCTGGTACACTGCCGAAATTTCGGAAGCGGATGTGTCTGGTTTGCCTCGTCGGAGCATGTCACCTTGGAATCTCCAGCACTCTCGTACCGATCAGGTAGCCATTGGCCATAGCTTCTTTCTAGCATTATCAAGATTAGTCCGCATCATGTCGCGAACGACACTCGGTCAAAAGTCCAGAATCGGCTGCCGGAGTGTAAGGCTCGGAAAGTCAAATGCTATGAACAACGAGCAATATGCGGCAATTGTTCGAAGTTCAGCGAATATTGCAGCTTTCCGAATACAACTCCCTACTTGTGAAGCCCAGGAGTATCCTATCAGCAATCAGAAATTGGTGCGGCCAGCTCTGTTCGAAAGCCAAGGCTTAACGCCGGGGAAGGCTCGTCCAAGCATGCTAAAGATAGCCCGGTCTTAACCTTCGATGACATGCGTCTTTTGCACCACTTCACAAACCGTACAAGTGCGATTTTGTCAGATCGCCCAGGAGCTCATAAAGCGTGGCCCACAACGGTCGTCCAGGTTGCATTCGCACATCCCTTTCTCCCTTAGGGCATTCTGGCTCTCGCCGCTCTCCACATGGCTAGTTTGAATACAGGAAAGAAGAAACATCTATCTATTCTTGCTGTTAGTAAGTAGGATGCTGCACTCAAGGACTTTCGACCCCAGCTGGAGAACATCACACCTCAAAACTGCGATGCCACTTTCGCATTCTCCTTCCTTGCAGAATACTACATTCCTGCCTCTGCAGGTACCGTCGTCAATCCCGCTGCCACATTTATGGAGGATGAATTCTTCGATGCCATTGTGGACTGGCTTCGTTCGCACGAAGGGACATCAGACATTTACAAGCGCAAGGGTCACGGGATTCAAAGCGGCCCTGTTGCTCCTCTTCTCTGGAGTGATGTGGAGTGATGTCCTAGGCGAGAGGCGTCAATCACCAACACGGAAAGCGATTATCGGAGATACTAGCACTCACCAACTGCACAGCCTTGCGAGAATATGGAAGACAGACACCGCATCGACAATGAGCGAATTTCATGAGAATCAGGTCAATTCTCGGGTACTAGGAATTCCGGTTGAAGCATTGAGTCTGGTATTGGAGGATTCCAAGACATTCGCCGGTCGGATAGCTGTCAATGAGCTTCTCAATAATCCCCAGCTGCCAAAGGATCACAATCCCCAAAGAGCCGAACGTTCAAATTCCCTTGGGTTTGTGCAGCTTCTTGAGCAATGAGAACCAGCGGAGCTTATCATTTTTGCCCATTTCTCTGTACTATTTCAGAATGCCACCAAGTTCTGGTGGAATGAGTCAATTCCAGCGAAAATCGTAAAAGATGTCGCGGCGATGCTGCCCCGGGAGTACCACAGGTGGATCGAATGATCAATACATGAAATATTGGGCGCTGACTGTTATGCAACGTGAAAAGTAACATTTATAATGACTATGAACATGTGACAACTTGGCTTGCAAAGTCTGCATGTACTTTCAGTTCCAGCCCACTCCTGTTCTACAAGAACTATCTCGGGAGATCCCGCTAAAGTTCCCCAGGGATGAGGCGCAGTTGAAGATCCATATTTAGTCAATGTTCCCGAAAAATAATTGACTACCCTATGAGAGATATCAGTCTTCTGTGTCATGGATCTATTCAGCTCGGATATCGCGCTTGCAGACATTTGATTGAGGATCACTACTGTATTTATTTTCGTAGGAACTATTAAATCTTAGGTTGGACCGCCTTGCAGATCAACGCTCCTCCAATCACATACGCTCGGCTTCATATCCACTATGGAATTTGACATGTCACTTAGTTTGCTTCTGCTCGAGGCGCGAAGATCATGGAACTATTGCAATCGTGCATACTTGAAATCAACTCGGTATCACATCAAAATAAAATCGGCAATCAAGTTGAGAACCGGGTTACACCAATCTCGCTTATGTGACCCTGTTGCGGTCAACATGCATACAATGGCGTTGCGACTTACACCGAACCATTTGTATTTTCTGGAGGTACTGTTCCACAAGAGGCTCTTGTCAGGTTTTGAGTTGGTGCGCAGAAGGCCTCCAAGACAGAAGGGAGGGATTCGTTAGGATCTGCATTCCAAACACAACTGCCATCGATCTTGGACGGCGCTTCGAGGTAATCCCTTGCATACTGCCCTCATTCTTCCTTGCTTATCGGCCAACCCTCCAGCCCAGCAATGATATTTGCGGGCCAAGACCCATGACGATGCAGCCCTGTCTTCGGCTGACAGCGTTATCATACCCCAGGGGGCTTGGGTTTGCAGTGTGACCGCTCACCGACAAGGTCTAAATATTGCTCCTGTCGGTGCAGCAGCCAGCCTTTAATACATCATCCACGTATCTATGCGGATGGCCCGTCGACAGGCCATGCCTACCAGCCGAAATTGTCGAGCAATGCTCCCCACCTGAAGGGTTATACACACTTGATTATTTGTTCTCCTCGGGAAACCCACACATGGCAGATTCGCATCTGATATTCTGGACAATTTGAGGTCTTGATACAGGGCGGGTGTCGCTCTATCCGTTAGGATGGGGAATGTGTCGCCCACTCCACACCAGCTTCTCACAGAAGCTATCATCTTTTGGGCCATCGGTCTTGTTATTTATATTGGCAGGATGTGAGTCACGAATACGCATGATCTATAATTGAGGCAAGTCTAACATTTCCAAGTGCAGCTCGAATCATTGCCAATGGATCAATCAAACGTCTATTTGGTACGTTTTACGGTCTCTATACCCTAGGCACTTACTGATGTACTCCCCAAATAGTGGACGATTATGTGATGACAGCAACCTTTGTAAGTGGCCACCAAACTAATCGAATCGCTTTTTACTGACCAAGGGGTCCCTGAAGGCGATCTATACCACCCTTCTAGTGCTCATACAGATATCGGCGCGCTATGCAACAAACCTCATGGACCCGAAGGACTACAGCGAGGTGTTGGCGGACCCAAAACAGGTCAGTGATAGGATATACGGAAGCAAGGTCGTCATTGGGTTGGAGCAGTGCATGTTGTTCTCCACCTGGGGAGTGAAGACATGCATGCTCATGCTCTACTGGCGAATTACACAAAACCTGCGATCAAACCTCTACATCAAGATCCTCGCGGTCTATACGGCAGTGGGATTCGTGGTTATCATGGTCACCTACTATGCAGTATACTGCCGACCCTTTTCGCAATACTGGGCTATGCCGGTGGACAATATGCAGTGCGCCACATACCAGCGCTACTCGATTACACAGGCGGTCTTCAATATCTCCTCGGACGCCGTGATGTTCGCCATCCCAATCCCCCTCCTCATCAAAGCACAACTCAAACGCCGCAGAAAGTTCGTCCTGATTGGTGTCATGAGTCTGGGCTTGTTCACTATCATTGCCGCAATCCTGAACAAATTCTTCAACTTTGCCTCTCCGCTCACAACAACCTATCAAATCTGGTACATCCGTGAAGCAAGTACCGCGATCTACGTGGCCAATCTAATGTGCTGGTGGCCTCTCCTACGGAAGCTCTTCGGCCTCAAAGCTTTCCAGTACAACAGCAACCGGGGCCAGCGGCCCGGAAACCAAAACAATAAAAACAAAGATAGCAACGGCTACGACACATCCAATGGCTCGCAGTCCCGTCCATCATTCACTTTCCCCAAGTCATGGAGGCCGCCTTGTCGCCGGGGTATCAAGAACGCAACACCTGTTCCACAGGGCGTTGGTCAGCGCTCGAGTACGGATCCAATCAACCGATCCAATACATCCAATACCGAATTCACTGATGACGTGCACCGTATTGAGGGTGTTCCTTTGGGGAACTGGAACAAAAATGACAATATTCCCATGACTCAGGCTTTGGACAAGCCATCCTCGAAGCGAGATAACTTCGCAGATGATTTTATGCATTCTGAAAGCGAGTATGATTCTCAGTTCGATCCCAAGCGGCATGCACGGTCGCCCTGTTGATGTTTTCTTTTATCTCGACTGCTATATTTGTATATTCTAGGCGCGACAGTACTATCCCTACCTCTGGTGATTTCTCTTGTCTTGACGATTTCATTGCGATATTTTGTCTTGTATACCCGGGGCGCATTTAAGTTTCTGAAACTCATGTTATGTTTGCGGAAGAGAAGGGGTGGGACGAATTTGCAAGAGTTTCTTTCTAATTTTGGGACTTCAATTTTATATCAGGCCAATGACATGAACCAAGCGAGGAATTATGTTGCAATGCTTTAACCGTATCATAAAGAAATCTCCAAAATAAGCATATAAATAGAAATATACCCTGAAATTTACCCAACCATGGAATACGCCGATATTTTTGCACCAAAAAGTGTACTAGCTTGCCGGGGTGGAAAATATTTACCTGCACTTTCAATTTTGGCTGGGCCAGCGCACATAATTGGTGATAATAGTTGAGGAAACATGGATATAGGTAGATAAACAGTCGACATATACTGTGCATGTAATATAGAAGTAATTTATTATACGGATAAGTTATCCCAGATTTCACCTACCCATGGTTTACGCCGATCATTTCGATATGTACCCATTTTCTGTGTGAGCATACTCCCTAAGGAACTCCTGCTTACCAAACTTGGTATTCACCAGCTACGATGGTCTAGTGGTTAGGATTTTCGTGTTAGTTATTATCTTCCCCTCTGCTTCCTGCACGTAAGCTTATTTCTCAGTTCCCATTTCTCCCATTATGGTTACAACGGAAGACCCGGGTTCGAACCCCGGTCGTAGCAAGCTTGCTTTCCTTTTTTTTTTTTTGTTTCGCAGTTTCAATTTTTGGTATTTTCTTTTTAATTGTTTTCCGTTACGGACCGGAATATAGTATCTGGTTTCCAAAAACTAGGACGAATGAAGAGCTTTCTTTGTTAAGTACGTTACTCTTTAGAACATTCTTTCAGCAGGTAAGGTCTCAGGCCAATACATACGTAAATGTGGGGAGAAATGGCGTCAACATTGTTTTTTTCCCTCATGTTCACCCTTAACATGTACTATTCGGAGGTCCGTTGACCATCTAACCTAATTAGGCAAAGCGTCGCGATTGTATCGGAGGTTGGGCGATGCCCGGATGAATAATGAATAAGTTAATGAATGACACTCTCATGTTGCACGCCTTTTCTCATCTCTTGTCGATCCGAATATTGCGCCAAGAACAAAACAGCAAAACAACCCTGTACTCACCGACCGGTGTCACCACATCATAGTCTCGGCTCGCGTGACAACCTCCCAGACCGGGATCGGGGTTGATGGGGTCTACTCCGCAAACACAACCCGTGGGCCAAGGCCTTGCGACGAGAGAAGACGAACCTCTTCTTTCTCAGGATATCTCCGATCTGTCGAGTACCGAGGGTGACAGTGATTCCGAGAGCGCCGATACCGCCATCTTCGATGGCGACTCACTTCGCACGAGGAGATTAGGTGCTGCGCCGTTGACAATCAATGGCCGACGGCTATTATCCGATGAAAATGATGACGACGGCCCTGACAGCATGTCTGGACAAGCAGAGCACCAGGAAAAGCCGGTGACTTGGAGCTCGCTGCCGAAGAAAGGCCAACTTGCAATTTTGACATTTGCTCGATTGTCGGAGCCCTTGACTCAGACTTCTCTGCAAGCATATATGTTCTATCAGCTCAAATCTTTCGATCCTTCCCTACCAGACTCGGAAATCACTGTGCAGGCTGGTATTCTCCAAGGTAGCTTCACAGCTGCGCAATTTCTCACTGCTGTTTGGTGGGGCCGGCTCGCTGATGCTGAATGGATGGGAAGGAAAAGAGTTCTTTTGATTGGACTGCTGGGCACTTGTATATCTTGCCTGGGATTCGGATTTTCTCGGTCGTTTGCTTCTGCCATGGTCTTTCGGACACTTGGTGGAGTATTAAACAGTAATATTGGCGTGATGAGAACTTTAATTGCGGAGATCATTGTTGAGAAGAAGTGAGTCGATATTCTTTCACAAGTTGTAGCCAGGAGCTGACAATTCAGGTTTCAATCTCGAGCATTCCTGCTCCTCCCCATGTGCTTCAACATTGGTGTCATCATTGGTCCAATCCTCGGCGGCTCCTTGGCCGACCCTGTCCACAGCTTTCCGCAGTTATTCGGGCCTGATTCGGTCTTTGGTGGCAAGGAAGGTGTCTGGTGGATGCAGCGCTGGCCTTATGCGTTGCCCAATGTGCTGAGTGCAATCTTCATCTTTGCATCAGTACTCGCGGTCTTCCTTGGCCTCGATGAAGTGAGCATATCACCGTCCATGAGATTACCCGGTCTCTTACTAACAATCATCAGACACACGAAATCGCACGATACAGAAAAGACTGGGGCCGCAGACTAGGAAAGCGAATCCAGCGAGCTCTGACCCGACCAAGCAAGTACCACCGTCCATTACCACGTGCCCGGAACGATGGCTCTGTCTATCTCGACGACAACGCTGAGACCTGGTCGGTACCATCAAGTCCTGCCCGATCACGCATCCAAACCAGAGCACACAAACGCCCAGGCTTCCGACAGATTTGGACACGCAATGTTCTCTTGACCCTGCTGGCTCACTTCCTCCTTGCCTTCCACACGAGTGCTTTCGGCTCCATGACGTTCGTCTTCCTTCCCACGCCCCGGGCCCCAGAGGACTCCCGCAGAGGACTTTTCCACTTCAACGGTGGACTGGGACTCCCGTCTTCCCGCGTTGGACTTGCTACAGCCATCATCGGCTTCGTTGGTCTGCCGCTGCAGATCTTCCTCTATCCGAAAATACAGACAAAACTCGGGACAATGGCCTCGGCCCGTCTGTTCATGCCATTCTCGCCCCTATCATACATCTTGATGCCATTCCTCGTGATTCTTCCGCGCATACCATGGATTGTATGGCCTTGCTTTACTTTGGTCGTTAGCTTCCAGGTCATCTCGCGGACATTCATCTTGCCTGCTGCCATTATTCTTGTCAATAACTGTGTCACGGATCCATCTGTCTTGGGCACTGTTCATGGCGTGGCGCAGAGTATCTCCAGTGCGGCCCGCACCCTAGGTCCATTCTTAGGTGGTTGTGGTCTTGGCCTAGGCCTTGAGAACAATATGATTGGGGGTGTTTGGTGGGCGTTGGCTGTTGAGGCGCTGATTGGATGGGCTGTTTTCTACACCATTTACGAGGGTAAGGGAATTGAACGAAAGAAGGAAGTGGAGGAAGATGAAGAATGATCTGTAGATCTGTACATATTCAAATACCCGAATATACATCTAGAGCTAATTTATATAATTTGACATTGACTTTATTACGCACGATCATTAGTTATTCGTTCATTTTGAAAGAGAATATCACGGGCGACCGGACAAAAACGAAGACGCCTAGCATGCATACATCATAACGCCTATCAATCTGCCTTGTTCCATCTTGAAAGTCATATAATGATAAGGAAATTTCCACGAAAAGATCGTATCGGTCTGGGCCAGGTACCATCACCCAGACAGATGCTCATGTCCGAACACAAGGCGAAATAAACGCCGTCATGGCTTTCACAGCATCACCATCATGAGCCCTCAACAGCTCCGTAGCCTTGGTCTTAGTCAATTCCAGCTGATCCACCTAATGTGAAACGAACCATCAGTAACCAAGTAGATATCAGCAACTTCCCGTGGCGGACATACCAACAGCGCAACATCAGCCGCAGCAACCTTAACGACCTGCTTCTTCACAACGCCATCAACCTTCCGTGCCTGTGCCGTCCCCTTCTTGCCAGCATCGTGTCCATCCGCTATCTCCAAACGACTCATGGCCTTTCCCAGAGCCTCCTGATTGGCAGTGTTCACCTTAGCAGAGGCGGTTTCCGTGCTGATTTCATTTGTGTTGAGGGAGGAGAGGGCGGCGGCGGCTTTGCGGTCTTCGGCATTTGCAGGGAGAGGTTGCTCGACGGCGTCTGGGTCAGCTGTTGCTGATGGGATGGGATCTGACATTGTGGATTTCTTTGAACTAGTGGTGAGCAGTGGTTGTTGAACAGTAAAATGGAAGAAGAGATAAGTAGATGTCGGGTCCTTTAACAACTGTGTACATGTACGTCATTGGTTCCCGGCAGAATGTTCCATGCCGCCTTTAGATGGCGAAATATAGAAGAGCGCATGAAACGTGATCACATTGTTTTTGTCAGTTCTGTATGCTAATTTCTAAAGCTGATATTAACATGAACGATGATGTAACTGCATGGGGAACATGTAAACTACCTCGTCCCTCGCATACAACCGACTACTACTCATGTTTGATGGCTTTTAGTATTGCTACAAGATTAACGTGTTCCAGCTCAAAGATTTGTATTATGGTGCAGATATTGCCTGGCCTGACTGAGCTTGTAGATACATTTCGGGATCAAAATTTCACGCAGCCCTTCTCACAAAGGAAATCTGGGGGAGAGCAGAAGCGGCAAGCGACTGAACTTCCTAGTTACCACCATGGTGATCACCCTGGACGACAACACCGAGCAACTCGTCATCAGCCTCATCATCATTGTTCTGGTTCTTCTGCTTCTTGGCAGGAGTGCGAGGAGGGCGCCCGGCCTTGCGCTTGACCGGCGAGTTGATGGGAGTGAAGCCACCCTTAGTAGGGGAAGGCTGTTCCTTGTCCTGCTTTCGCAGGGCATTGAGACGGTACTGAATGCCACGCTTGTTAAACTCTGTTTGCCATATTTGTATTAGCGTGATCAGATCATGGTGCGAGAGCGGAATACATACCGGGGCCCATGCCGGCAGCAAGCTGTTCAGTGTCAAGGACGAAATTCGCGTCTTTCAGCTGGTCGAGGACCAGCAGCAAAAGCTGATATGTGTAAGACATGCTGTATTATCTGAGTGAAAGGGACAGACGTACCTGGGCATCAGCCTCAGCTGTCCAGACCACTTTAGGCATCTTGAAGTTTCGTTGGGATGGGTTCGCGGTGGGACGAAATGATTCGGTGGAGGGGAAAAGGAAGGAAGGAAGTGAAAGTGAGATCAGGGGGCGGTTTATTTGTGAGACTGCAAGCTCACGTTTGCTGATAGCTCGACAATTGCTTGCCCGGATGTGCTTCAACAAAACAGATGTCCGGTACACTACCGTCTCTTGCCGAAGATATCGACTTGACATTAGACGAGTCCGGGTTTATTCGTCACCATTCTCGCTTTTCATTTTCACTTCTGAAATCCGTAGAGACCTTTTGCGTCTTTCGGGTGTGATTTTGAGGATGTTCTAAAAGACCTAAGCCTTCGAGTGCCGCGTCTAACAACCGTCCGCAGTATTTCAATAGCTAGCTAATAGCTATCAATATTATTACCGGTACTAACATGTAACAAGCTATGGTAGAGAAACTTCTACCTCGAATGATACTATTTCAAGGCATATTTACAAGGGGATAGTGCTCAAAAGTACCCTACGTTCAAGTACTGATACGGTGAGGTTGCCGGTGGCCACTTTCGAGGAGACCCTCAAGAGGCTGGTAGAATGAATACTCAAAAGGCTCGTCAGTATTCAACGGTACCCCAAGCCAGATTTATTGTATATTGCGTTGTGTCTATGTTCATTCAATGTTCAATGAGTTTTCATGTCAGTATGTGCATGATCCCTACGAATCAACTTATTCCTGCACAGGGAAACCATATCCAACCATCATTGCAGGCTCGTCAACATTGTGGTGTTGGTAGCTATAATCAGAAGCGGTCAGCTAGATAATAAACGGAAAACCAGGGGTCCATTACCTGAGGACACCAACAGCTCCAGGGTCAAGCATCAAGGAAAGAGGGAATTCCATGGGATACCCAAGCCAACGCTTGGTAAAGGCACGAAGAAGATGACCATGGGCAACAAGGAGAACATCAGAAGGGTTCTCTCCGTGCATGTTGTCCTTCTGAATGGAACGGATCTCCTGAATGAGATTATCAATGCGGTCTGTGACCTGCTGCGCGGATCTGAACGAGACAGTCAGATATTTGTCAACTGCGACGGGATGAACGTGAACGACTTACTCTCCGTTCTCACAGCCATCACGCCAGATATCCCAAGGCTTCTCCGCATCCAGACCATGCTCCTTTCTCAAGGCACGGATATCCTTAGTCAACATGCCTTCGTACAAACCATAATCCCACTCAGCAAGTCTACCAGTCACGGAGATCTTGTTTTCATCTTTCAGGGTCTTCTGATCGGCGTCATCAAAAGCAATCTCAAAGGTCTGCATTGCACGCCTGCGTGGACTGATGTAGACGTGGGCAAGGTTGGCTGGGTCAATCAATTTGCCCGAACCAACAATGATCTTGCCGGATGCGAGAACCTGGTTTTCCCCATCTTTGGTGAGCTCAAGCTCGGTGACACCGGTGTAGCGACCATTCTTGGACCACTCGGTTTGGCCTGTGACTGGTTAGATAATAGTGGATATTACTGCATTACTGGAACATACCATGTCGGTAGAGGAAGACGCGGGGGGTGCCAGCGTCTTTGTCGGGCATTTTGAAATGGTACGTCTAATATGCAATGCCAATAGAGCAGTGAGAAGAATGCGGGATGAGGTGGGGGCAAAAAAAAAGGAACGAAATTCCACGCTTAGCTTTCACCGGTAATCGCCCCGGGTACTAGCTCCATAGGACCCAATCATTGAGACGAATAGCATCACCTGCCCTTGGCTTATAACTGAATATTCACCTGAATATTCAACTAATGACCCTCCGCGGGGTTAAAATTCTTATCGCTCTTATCACAATTCTCTCTCCTACACTTGACCTCAAGCATATAATAACCCCAGAATATTCCGCAAACATCGATTGTTTTTCTAGAAATAACTGGGTCTAGATCTTCCATAAAACACCCCTCTGGTTCGCTCACGGGACGGCGCAGCCATTGTTGCCCGCCCGGAGGACCTTGGAATTGGCCGACCTACTTTTTTCTTGGCAAATATTTTAGGAAACATGCCTAAATGTAGACAGTGTCACCTCCAGAGGTCTGAAATGACGTGGAATAGCGCTAAAACCACTGGGGTTGAAGGATTAGCCGCTGAGACACGAATCTATAGAATCTTTACTGCTCTCAAGTGGTCGCCATTACAGGTTCCATAATACAATTGAAGTTGAAATACGCCAATGGTGATTCATAGCTATTATTTCACAATAATCCAATGACAATATCACCATACAGGTCCGCCTCCAGATCCAGCCTCACCTTAGCATGCAGATCCAAGTGAATCCTGATATTCAAACTTCCATCATCCTTCTTCTCCACCTCGCCCTTGTCTTTCTTATTCCTCTTGTCAAGCTCACGTGCAGCGGAAGGTCCTATCAACTGGCCTTCTCCCTGGGCCAGTGTCTGAGGATCGACAAGGCTCTCAATGGGATCGGTGACACTGCTTGCAGTCGAGTCGTCTGAGTTCTGACGGTTTCGCCGGTTCCCTTTGGCGGCTGCGGGTGCGGTACTATTACACCCATCGAATTTGGGGTTAGCCTTTGTGACTAGTAGAGGTGGGTTCTGTTGGAAGTAGAGGAATAACAGGAGAGTGTAGAGTGTGAGCTGAGATTTAATGTACCTCAATGCGGGGATAGGGTCGCCCATCTTTGTACTCGTAATATGTCCGTAGGAGAAGGCTTCAATATAAAATAGGTGTACTGGAAATCATCGCAAACTAGACGAAGATGGCTGAGTTTCCGGCCCTATTTATGTCATTCAAGGTGCCGGGATTTCCGACGAGAAGGTTAGACGTCAAAAGTACGAAGTGTATATTCTGTCAAATCGCTGTTTTGTATTGTATCAATGCAGTCATACAATCTATAGTTGCCACGCCTTGGTGGAGAATGATTCTTCTCTAGAGGTGTTAAGGTTGGTTCCCGGGGTGGCCAACGATGGTTCCCTCGGTTTCCGAAATTCTAAGTATCAACGAGCGAGCCGCATGCGGAAGTTGCTTTTCATTCCAATTACATTTACAGGAAGCAATTTTGTTCTACCAGTCCTCGGAGGTCTAAATAAGCATTGAGTGACATCACCTGGCACGGCAAAACCCTAGGATTGTCCCAAGGAAGTTGAAATCATCCCATTTGGTTTTAACCACCCACAGATTAAGGAACACCGAAACTGCGTATTCATCAATTTCACAAAAAATTCGCTTCCTCCAGTCCTAGGTCAAAATGGTGTTTGGAATTGTCATGATGGCGGCAATGGTGCCGACCATGATTGGCGTCAATGAGGCGACTAAAGGCACCAGGGATCATGAAGAACAGCGGCGGAAAAATGCGCGGGCACAGCGATCCCATCTTCTGGTTCAATGTCCATCCTATGAGGGGCCACTGCATCAGAGAATGGCAGTCCACAACGCACAAGTGTACTTGGGTGCAGATGGCAAAGTAGGTCACCCCATTTGATTCAATACAAAGCCTTCGTCTTAACCAGTTTAATTCCAGGTCTATATCACCAAGTCAAACTGTCCACAGCTTTCACTCTTTAATGGCGGATTCTATCCACACCCCGACTTTCCACCTGATAACACGGCAGGGTTTGTTACCATCTCAGGTGAAACACCTCCGACTCTGCGTTGGCTTTACGTTGATTCAGAGACTCATGAGGTGCGTTGGGGTGGTCGACAAGAAAGCCAGGGGCATGTCTGCGGCCCTTTTGACTGGACAAAAGATGAAGCACGGGTCACACTGGAGGGTTGGGAAGGTTGGCTGGCGGTGCGGCTTCCGCGCGACGAAATGTATGCGAAGGAGTTAGGCATGGAAGACACCAAAGGGCTTTGGAGGCTTTACTTTGATCAGAATGACGATGGGGCTGATCTCCTCCCAAACGCTGAAGTTCTAGAAGTCACGCTCAATAGAACTATGGCCGAGTCCTGATTTGAGCCTTGGAATATTACTGAACATCCATATAGCTGCACGAAATTTGATTACTACTCTCTGATCTCTTTTCCATAGACTGCACATAATACATATCAAGAGGAACAGGGGAAAGGCGGGAACTAGAGCTCGAAGAAGCTAGCATATACCATGTCTCAGGCTGTATCAGGATTGATACAAAGAATATGAAAAGTCTCTTGATACAACTTAGGTCATTTGTGACGGGTGCTATTCGATGTCACGCTGGGAATTATGGTGGACAGAACAGCGAACACGGTTGTCCAGGATTGTGAACGGAACGGCTGCCAGAGCCAGGGAAGTCAAGCAAGACACCAGATTGGAATATTGACACGCGGGATCTTGAATTAGAAGTTGGATATATAAATTGATTTATTTACACACATGAGTAGTCAGAACGACATGATTTGTAAAGGCAGTGATGCTCAGAGTACCAATCCAAAATATTAACAGGGGCATGGGTAGGAAAATCTGACGGTTCTACTTTACAGAGCAAGGCCAAGAGCCAGAACACCAGCTGCACCGGCGACACCCATGGCAACACCACCGGTAGGAGCAGGAGCACCGCCAGTAGACTGCGAAGGGGAGGCTGAGGCTGAAGCAGAGCTAGAGCTGGCGTCGGAAGAAGAGGCAGAGCCGGAAGTGGTACTGGCGGAGGAGGAACTCGAAGCAGTCTGGCTGGCAGTGTTGCTAGCAGCCACTGCGCTGGAGCCAGTCACAGAGGCACTACCAGCGGCAGTCTGGGAAGCGCTGCTAACAGCGGTCTCAGAGATGCTGGCGGCAGTGGCTGAAGCTTCGGTAACCGTATCATAGAAGTTGGAGGTGGCCCAGGCCTTGACGCTGCTAGGAAGCTCGTTATACCAAGCTGGGTAGGTACCAGCTGCGGCGGCGCTGATAATAGCGGAGCGAGATGCCGGGTTCAGGATATCGTCATAGAACGAAGATGGGATGGCGGTTGCCAGAACTGTCAGGATGGAGCTGGGCACATCGGCAAGGCCGTAGTAGCTGTCATCATAATCGTCGGAAGTCTCGTAGCTCGACGATGTACCGGTGGCATCTGGTGCAGGGGCAGCCAGAGCTGTGGCGGCGAGGAACAGAGGAATGAGCACCTTGTACTGCATGATGTGAGAATAGGAGTATGTGAAGTTGAAGATTAACGTTAACTAGAAAAAGAAAGAAAAGCCCAGATTAAATAACGCAGCACTGTAAGCACAAGGGACTATTTTGGGGCTCTTTTCACGTAGGGTCCGGCCCACGTTCGGCCCCTGCTAGCGCCAAAGAAGCAAACTCAAACGAGCACACTACTGTTAGTTTAGAGACATGTCCAATCGTATCTTCGTCTCCTACGGGGCTACCTGTAATTTGCCAAAGGCTCCTGCAGGGTTGCCTGATCGGAAATAGATTGGCCCGCCACATTAGACACTGAAAACGTTATGCCTCGGATTCATTTATCTTCTGTTGGAGTGGAAATTAGAAGCCCCTTTTCTCGGCTCCGTGGTCCCGATCTCGATAGCGCCCTTTCCCAATTTTAGCTTGGAGATTTATCGTCTCTACGGGGCCCCCAATTAACTTAATGTTCGGTCGGTCGACTCCACTAGGCCCAGGGCTTCAGTCTTGGGAGTCTGCTGATTTCCCTTCAGTTCTATCATTTTTTTGGCCATCTAAACATTCTTTTCAATGCAGTTTAAAATTCAGTAGCCAATTGGTAGGGAATGCATTGATGGCAGTTGATACAGCGTTCCTCTATGGCCTTACAATCAGGAACCTGTTCTATAAACATGAGCTGTTTTCGCCTGTCGTTGCTAGCGCCAATTCTTCATGCCTGTTCACATGTCAAATCACACATTCTCCCTCAACTACGCCCTAAGGTTCCACTTCTACCTTCAACTGAAGACTGAAATATCTATATAATAATCTAAGCCTAGAGCCAGTCCAATAGCATCAAGTAATATATGTTTACAAGTTAATTTCCGAAAAAGGAAGGTCTTCGAATTGACCTGCGACGATAGAAAAACTTAAACTTCGTATGTTAACACAGTGATCGCAAGACAGTGATTCGATCAATGTAGACACTCGCATTATAGACAGGAATGTCCTAGAAGAACAAACTAGGCGGTCAAAGGTCTGTGGCTCGTCTTCTGTAGAGTAAATGCGGAGTTCCTATACCATGTACAGAGAATGGACATGCTCGCGTATGTGCGTATGCGCACGAAGGCCATTCAAGAATATCATGTATGCAAGACACTCAATCTGAGTGAGGGTCAAGGACTGAAGAGTCATATGTAGTCAAGTCTAGGTGGAGATGCGGGTCGACTAGATCAGAGCGATCTAAGAGCTGGACGGCGCCTTCATGTGTGGCGTTCCCAGGAAAATAACTAAGTACATTTACTACACTAAGGTGAGGAGCGGGACAATAGATCAATGCATTAAGACAGCCTTATAAGTATACAGATCCGTCTTCATCCAGCAACTTCTCCAGCGAAGTAGGCAAGCCGGAGATGAGTATCGCAGCCAAGCAAGCTCCGAGCTAAATGGACGACATCATATAGTCGTCCGAGAGACAAGCCCTATATTGGGTCTTAGACTTGTCGCCTTTTCCTAGTGATATCACTCAATCAAAATACTAAGGGGTTGCGTCAATGCAGCTATCGTATGTCTCTAATTTATGGTCACAGGTGAATTGCTAATTTTTTGTGGCTAGGAAGGAGAGTGAAGGTAGATCTGCCTAAGATTCTGGACTTTCCTATGACTGTGATCCTTAATATCATCCAAAGGACTAGTGACGCAGGAGTTTTATAGTAGAAAGACCTTACATCCGTCGAAGAAACATGGATCTGTCCAAGTGAATTATTGAACCATTCCCCTGGTTTGTATGTGTAATTCACATTCAATGCTCTGATTTACATAATATGTAGCTAAATCAGTAGCTAGCAATCCTTGGGTAACATGGTAAAATAAATATAACCCTCGCAATTTATTGCTGTGGGGACACCTAACCTTCCAGGCATCAAATGAGTCATCTCCGTGAATAAGCGCACGTGAACGCACGTGGATATCACGTTACCTTACACATTAGCTGTTAAAATGGGTTTGAGATCTTTCTTAGATTTTTATTCCCTGATTCGACACTCTGTTTGTAACTGCGATTGATCCTGGCTTGATTATCTGACGATCAGAGGAAGCACCTCTTCTCCATAATAATCCCCACTCTTTCACCCCCACCTTTCGGGGCTACTCACCGCCATGACTGAATGGAGCCCTAGTTGTAAGAGAAACTCATCCATTCTTCGTCGGATCAGTCTGATCAGTCTGGTTTTACTGACTGCTCCTAGCGTGGACCCAAAAGCCCATCAAGCAAGATGTCATCTATGAGGATCGCCAAGGGTTGAAAGACTCGCTGGAGAAGCTGCAGAAGCTACCTCCCCTTGTAACAACACGAGAAGTAGGTTAATGATTCTGGTTGGCATTGGGACAAGATCTGACCACAGTTTCAGATCATTCAACTTAAGGACAACCTGCGAAATGTCGCTTTGGGCAAAGCATTTGTTTTGCAAGGTGGTACGTTGTTCAACGACAGCAACACCATCAAACATAAGACTAATCATGTCGCTTAGGTGACTGTGCGGAGCTATTCGACTACTGTAACCAAGACATGATCGAAGCCAAGGTCAAGCTTCTGTTGCAAATGAGCTTGGTCCTGATTTGGGGTATGTCCCAATCCCTGCAAAGTACAAAACACCGACTGATCCATATATAGGTGCCAATAAACCTGTTATTCGTATTGCCCGCATTGCAGGTCAATTTGCCAAGTACATGATCCGCATATCCGGTAGCCATTACAAGGCTAACGCAACCCAGGCCGCGCTCAAGCTCAACAGAAGTAGTCAACGGAGTGGAAATGCCCTCCTTCCGCGGTGACAACATCAACGGATTTGATGCCAATCCCCAGTCCCGCCAACCAGACCCATCGCGTCTGGTCTCAGCCTACTTCCACTCAGCGGCAACATTAAACTACCTTCGCGCCTCCCTTTCATCTGGTCTAGCAGACCTGCACTCCCCTCTAGACTGGGGTCTGGGACACGTAATCACACCCTCAATCAAAGAGAAGTACGAACTTACAGTGAACGCCGTCAAAGATGCCCTCCGCTTCATGCGGACCGTAGGAATCGACAAGGATCGCGGCGTGGAAACAGCAGACATCTTCACCAGTCATGAAGGTCTCTCACTCGAATACGAGCAAAGCCTAACCCGACTTCTTCGACACCCACCATCCACAACTACAGCTAACCCGACCCATGCCGACTCCGGGTACTATGCAACATCCAGCCATTTCCTCTGGATTGGCGACCGAACACGCCAACTCGACGGCGCACACGTCGAGTTCTTCCGTGGAATCGCCAACCCCATCGGAATCAAGATCGGGCCTAGCATGGCCTCGGACGAGCTAGTGAACTTGCTCAATGTCGTCAACCCGGAGCGCGAGATCGGTAAGGTCACTTTGATCTCGCGGTATGGTGCTTCTAAAATTGCAAACTTCTTGCCTGGGCATATCGCCGCTGTGCAGGCTTCTGGCCATATCCCTGTCTGGCAGTGTGATCCCATGCACGGCAATACGCAGAGTACGCCGTCTGGGGTGAAGACGCGTCATTTCACGGATATCTTGTCTGAGTTGCGTCAAGCGCTGGAGATTCATCGGGCTGCTGGGTCGTTCTTGGGTGGTATGCATCTTGAGTTAACTGGTGAGGCTGTTACAGAGTGTGTCGGTGGTGCGGCTGGGTTGACCGAGGATGGTCTCGGGGAGCGGTATACTACTTTCTGTGATCCGCGACTGAATGAGAAGCAAGCTTTGGAGCTGGCTTTCTTGGTTGCCGGCTTCTATCGCGAGGAGTCTGAGTGTTGATTTCGCCTAGCTGGAGTGACGCATGGTTAGGGTAATTTCGGGATTCTTGAGCAAGTGTGTTGGATAAAAGTAAACATGTATTTTCGGCAAATTATCAGGTTAGGGTGAGAACCAACACATTTCATTTCTGATCAAATAGAGAAATTGAAAAAGTCAACGATATTCGAATCTAATTGATTTGAGCGGCATACAAAGCCAAATCTGAAGAGACGCATGGGACAATGTCAAAAACGCCCCGACCTAACCACCAGAAACCAAACACCGAAAAAAGGTAGTCCCCATATGTACAGTGACTATAGAAATTTACAAAAAGTAGAGCTGGTATAGTGCCATCACCGACGAAGCGGGCTAGCGACAGTAGGTTTGTGAACAAGACTCTTGCGACGAGCAGCTTCCATGCGGAAACGTTGCTTGCGTCTGGGATCATCATCTTCCTCGTCTTCCAGGATGTTGGACGCCTTGGCGCCAGGGAACAAGCCGCGGTTACTCTGCTTTGGAGGGCAAGATTGCTGGACGAGTTTGGAACGGTTGGAGAGGAAATATGGAGTAGCGGGGGACATGCCAATGGCATCGAGATTGGCAAAGTTGTAGCCTGGAGTAGCGGGGAATTGGTAGTTATCAGTCGAAGATTGCCGTGTGGGGGTTGACGGGGCATCTTGCTGGTGGGTCGGGGGAGTGATCTTGCGGAAACCATCGACGGCGCCCTGGTCAGCACCGCTGCGACGTCCACTGGCAGATGGTGCGGGAGACTCGGAGATGCGCACGAGTGTACCGTTGACGTTGCTCAAGGCACGGGGCTCCATGCTCTTACGACGCTTAGCGCCTCCACGCGGGATAATGGAGCTGTCAACTGCGTAGGGTGTCTCATCGAGCCACTGGTTTTCGCGTTCACAACTGAAGATGACACTTTAGAATAATGCTGACAAATGTAAATAAAATATCGACTTACTCAAGAACCCAGCCAACTCCAACACACTTTACGAGGCCTGATGCCTTCTTCACTTTCTCCAAAGTCCGCAGGCCACCATCCTTATATACCACATGGGTGATCCCAACCTTCGAGTCCTTCGGCTCTGCGCTATCAACGGGGGAAAGACTGGAAATCGGGTTCCAAGACCAAGACTTCACACACCGGGCTCCCATCTGCTGCAAGAGCTCCACAAAGATACCAGATGCATCCTCGCCCTCGGTAGTGTGGACATCCACATGCACAACTGCGCCATGCAGAGCTTGCTGACTAGCGCTCATGCTTCGACGGGCCTTCTTAGCAGGGCTTTGGGTTGCAACATGTTCACTTGACGAAGCAATGACTGCTGGTTTCCCACTGCTGCGTCGAGAAGTACTGGAGCGGCGTTTTGGTGAAGGACTTCTGTTGGCCCTTGAATGCCTGCGAGTAGGAAATAGAATTGGTACATTCTCTTCCGGGGGCATGAAGGTTGGCTTCCGAGCTCGAGGGGAGGAACGAGTGGGAGACATGTTTGACAGTGACAAGCCTCTCTTCCGGGGCAGTTTAAAAGGTGATACCTCTCCTTCAGCTTTCAAAGGCACCTTGGACACTGTGTGGACAGTGCGCATTTCTTCTGGCTGGACCTTCATTGGGGTGGCAGGCAGAATGTTAGAATCGCAGTTCTCCTTGTCCTCTTCAGGGTGTTCTTGCTCCTGGAACTGGGGTTCCACAGCAGGCATATGCTCTTTCAGTGGAGTCCGTTCCTGATCATCGACTTCCAATATGTCCATGTCAGGATCTTCAAATATCTCCATGCCTTTGCTCGGGGATTGGATCAATTCATTGTCTTCATAAATTGCTGATGGCCGCGGAGTCTGATCTTGCTCAGGGCTTACATAGATACCCTCACTTTGGGGCTGGAGAGGCATCTCGACAAACAGAGACGGGGTTGCCAAAGGGCTCTTCGACAGATCAGGGTACGAGACAGCACCGGACTGCACTGGAGTTTCCGTGTTGGTGCGGTCCAAGGGTCCTACTAGGGAGAAGACTCCCCGGCGGCGAGGGCGGAGGGACCTCGTTTGAGAGGGGGTATTAGTCTCCCAGCGGTCGAACTTCTGTGCCAGGGGTGTGAAGCCCACGCCAGCGTCGAAGGGTGATTGGTGTTGATCAACAACACTCGGTGTATTGAAGAGACTGGGCGCCATTAGCGTAGGGCTGTCAGCCCGGATGCTTGGAGATGGCCCACTTATCTCGCCCAAGAACATGGCAGCGTTGGCATTCTCGGCGCGAGGAGTGGGAGTATCGTTCCCTATGTTGTCCGGGCGATCCGCAGTCGGAGGAGTAAATGAACCGACAGTGGACATCGACCCTGGTGAAGGCGTCGCATACATCCTTTGAAGGGGACTTCCAATGTTGTTGCCTTCGCTGACATCAGAGGGTGATGCGGGCTCAGGGGTGACCGTTTCGAGTGTAAAAGGTCGGATAGGGGAGTATTCAGTATTCCCAGCCTGAGGCTCCTGGCCAGTAGATTGTTCCTCTTCTTCGGAATTGTAGACGATACTATACGCATCCTCTTCCTCTTGTACGTCGAGAGTGTCAGACTCCTCGGTGTGCGCCAAATCCAACATTGGCTTAGAAGGTGAAGCAGCTTCATCGGAGAACTTTTCTACTCTTCTTCTTTGGGTTTGCACTGATTCTGAAGCCGAGTCTGGAGATCCGGGGCCAACGAGGTCTTGGTTCTCTTCTTCGTCCGTCTGATATTCTGGCGCTGATTCCTCTTCGTCCAGATACCTCTCATCCTCCAGGGCAATATCTGAAACCTGCATTTCTTCATTGTGGAAGTCATACGTGTCCATTTCTGCATCTTCCATAGCATCAAAGCAAACGGTGTCTGCCTCTTCGTACTCAAAAGGAACCTGCGCTTGAAGGTCCTCATCCTGTTCAGAGCCCGAGTCTTGCTCAATGTCTTGATCATACAAGTCCCTGGCTGCCAGTTCCGCCTCCTCCAGAGCGTCGAAGCAAATCGTTTCGGGTTCTTCGAACTCATAATTGACCTGCTCTTGGGGGTGCTCGGTCTCTTCAGAGCCTGAGGGTTCTTCAATCACCATCTCGGTAGAAACATGGTCAACCTCATCTTGATCTGTCTCTTCGGCTTGCTTAGATCCTAGCTTGTCTGCTTGGAGAGGGGATTCTGAAGGAGTTTTCTCGAAAGACAGCTCAATACCAAAGATATCCCGGGCCACGTCTTCAACCATTTCAGAATCCTTGTCAACAGCAGTCTGATCCTGCTCTTCGGCCCTCGGCGAATATTTAGGGGTGGTTCGCTCGAGTTCCAGCGGCTTGGAAGGGGTACCTTTCTCGGGGGTAGCGGGTGACTTGATCACTGAGGCACGAGTAGAGAATATCGAGCTCTTCAATGGAGAAGCCATTCTCTTTGCTGGGCTCTGGACCAAGGGGGTTCTAGCTGGAACTGCTGGGGTGGAGGCCTTGAACGACGATTGCGAGAAAGAAGCACCCAAATGGCCTTTCTTTGGTGAGCTTTTGAGGGGAGAAGTATGGCCTGGGGTGAATTCGGGTGCCCCAGTTGGGTTTGCTAGGTCCCGGAAAAGGGAGTCCCCTTTCTGAGTATCTCGCAGGGAGAATTTGAATGGGGACGATGTTGGTGGTGGTCGTCTAGCGGGGCTAGACATGAATATTGAATCACTGAAATCGACGGCCTTACCGGCCGGAAGGGCGAGATGGCCATTGTCAGCAACTTTGTTCTGGTTGCGATTTGGCGTAAAGTTGATTTTCCTGACTGGAGAGCTGAGGCCGGTGCCTTCTGATGCGTGTTTGGGTGTCGGTAATTTCGGTTCGCCGTTTTCATCAACAAGGCTGGAAGCCTTCTTGGGGGTGAAATTGATTCTCCGTACAGGGGAGCTAAGTCCGGTCGTTTCCAGCCCATGCTTGACAGGTGAATGCACAACCAGTTTGACTGGACTCTTGATGTTATCTTTGAGCGTGTTCAACTCATCCTCCTCTCCATCGGAGCTTGTGTATGCTGACAGGGTATTGGCCATCTGTTTTGTCTTCTTGGGAGACAGTGGTTTAGTTGCGGCTTTCTTGGGTCCAGCCGGCTTCCGTCCACGTGTAGCAGTTGTCGCAGGCTTACGGACTGGGGTAGCCCTAAGGCCGCTCTTCTCGGTGCCCATGCCCTTGGTGGCCACCTTTTTGCGATCAGCCGCAGGAGGCGTAGGGGCACTTGTCTCTTCCGCTTCGGATTCAGACATATCTTGAAAACTGACCGTCTTCTTCTTGGCGGGTCCACGAAGCAAATTTGAACGCATAGTAGTAGAGTTTGTCGCAATCTTGATCTGATTCGGCTTTTTCTCATCGGTATCTTCAGTTGTGCCTCGTGTCCTCCTGCTCGATGCTGCCGTCTCACGGGTCGCCGAGGCCTTGGATGTTGTTCCGGCTCTAGGTCGACCCCTGGGTTTAGGCGCAGTTTCTGGCTTCACGGCAGGGGCTTCTGTCACAGGCTGATTCTTTCTCGGTCTGCCGGGTCGTTTCTTGGGTACCTCAATTTGTCGCCCCGTCTCATCGTCGTCTGCTTTGTCGGCAGTTGGCTCTTGAGTGATGGGCTCTGACGTTGCCTTCTTGCTGCGTGGCGCCGCCTTGGATTTGGCCGCTGGGCGGCCAGGGGGGCGTCCCCGAGGTTTCGCCGGTTTAGCGGCAATGAAACCCAGTTCATCCTCTGTATCATCTGAATCGAAGTTCGTTGGCGTGGTGGCGGTTCGTGTGGCCAATGTAGCCTTTCGGATAGTCTTCTTTGCGTCGGCTGCAGCTGTTGACTTGGTGGAGGTTCGTCCTGCTCGGTTGGCGGGGGATGGGGGAATCACTGCGGCACGCGCCATGATGATATTGTTGCGCGTAGTATGTTTTGGGTGATCGCAGTTAGTGTTGACACGCGACACTCATGGCGGGTTGGGTCTGTGGGAATGAGATGTCGATCCGGACTTTCGTAATGTCGCAGGTGCCGATGTTGTCGAATTAATCGCATGAGAGAAGAAGCAAGGCAAAGCAAATAATCCACTGTGGAGGTGGCCGTTCTGAATTGCTTGTTGTGGCGTTGTTTCTATAGCAACTGGCACGTGATAATAAACATCAGTAGCTGTGATCCCTAGGGCTTGGCAGGGCGGCGGGCTGTGAAAACGCACTTTAATTTCAATAAACGGGGGCTTGCAAAGTCTGGGGAAAAGCTGCTAGGTAAACATGGTATACACAAAATATCTGCATTTGGTTCTTGATCCCAAACGACAGGGTTGCCATTTCATATGTAGTAGTCTACTATTTGCGTTTGACCATGGTTATAGCGACGCCAAAAAACCGTGACCTGATTGCAAGTATAAAACTGCCAATGCGTAAAAAAACTGAGACTACTTAGCTAGTTAGATTCCTTGGTTTATTTTCTCTCTCCTTCATTTATCTAAAAGTGACGCTTGAAGCATCTCTCTATTCAGGTGGCTCCTTAGAAATGGCTTCTACACGTCGTACCCGACCAAGTCCTCATGTTCCAAACTATGCTATTTACCAGCGACGAAGAAATAAATTGTTTCCTCAAATTTTGACAGAAGTGCGATTGCCTTCGGCTCACCGGGAGGAAGTAATTGTGAGAGATATACTCCGGCAAAGCCGTTCTGAGGATCTACCCACTAAACCAACGTATTAGTGTATGTTCAAGACTTGAATGGGAGAAAACCTCTTACCCAGTTGCAGTTTGCCACACCCCACCACGTCAGCAAATGCGTACCTCGTCGTCGTCCAACTACTGACTGCAAATTAACCAGACCGCCAAGTCCAAAGTTGATTGGTGTCGTGAATGGAACAGAGTTCAAGATACTGTTCCTGTAAGATGGAGGGCAGTTTCTTAGATTGCCAAGCCCAATTGTGTGTTGCAGTTGTGGCGTGGACATTAAATCGACCATCTCTTCACCTAGGATTCTGCAATCCTTTTGCAATATGGCGTTGTGTACTTTCAGCAAATCAGTGGCACTTGCATACAGCCCTCCACCACCAGTGTTCTTCAACAGGTTGGGGCCGCATGCTGTAATGGGCCTTCTTTATGCCTTCAGTTTCTGAGCGCTCCCAGCATTGAACCAGTCTGCATTGCATGTATTGGCGGTCAGAAAGACTGAAAGGTATATCGTTGATGCCTAATGGATCGAAGATGTGGCGTTGCATATATTCACGTAGTTCCATATCGCCTCGTTCGATTGAGCCGAGAAAGACTATTAGGCAACCTGGAGAAGAATATCCCTTGTGGATACCGATCTTTTTTCCAGCCCAATCGATACCAGGGGAGTATTTCCATTGTTCCCCCGGATGCTGAATAACAACAGGTTCGAAAGATTCCTCCTGTACAAGGCCGGCAGTTAAGAAATCAGTTATGTCCGGAAACCCATATTCTTAATTGTCAAATATTATACTCAAAGCAGATTTATAGGACGGGGCGAAGGAAAATAATAAATGGATTGAATGTTATATTGGCAGCTGGCCAGAGTTCTTCCTCGGTTACGGTGTCGTGCAATGTGAAGATATCGAGTTGATAAGGGCTGACCTACGCGAGCGATGGTCGCTCACATCCCTTTGGGAATTCAGGAGGATGATAGATGAGCTTGAAACGTTTTGGTCTCCGCGATATATTGTTGTCTAAGAGCATCAAAGAGAATCAAAGTAGTTAGCCCTTAGTAGTTAGCCCTTAGCCTCAGATTAACCATCCTAGGGTGACGTCCTCTTCCTAGTAAAAGCGGTGTCCCATCATTGGATGCATTCCCAGATGCAGATTCTGTCGTAATAATGTATGTGGTAATACGTATCGCGGAATCTATTAGATTCCCTTCAAGCCCATAGGTGCGTCGTTGGACTCAGGTCAGTTTTCCACCTTTCCACCGCCCTTATTGGCACACCTCATGAAAAGACCCACTCTTCCTATGCGCGTCGCCAACGGAGTATTCTGCAGTCTTCCTCCTTTCCCTGATCTGCCCACGCGCCTTCACCATGGATTACATGATGGCGCGCCCATGTGGGTTTGCCCCTGCCGCGTCTGGTGGAGAAGCATTTCGCGCCGACGATGCCCCAACCGCACGGTCAGCCGCGATCTTATTCGCCACCACTTGTCGCAGGCATCTCCTGTAGTAGCGCCTCCTATTCTTATCGTCGACTCCACTGGGCAACCCAATGGAATTGTATGCTCGTCCATCGGCCATGGTGCGGACTCCCGCTGGCCCTGTAATTACATAGCGGCTGAATTAGCTAGCTAGCTCACGTAATAGCAACCATGCGATCCATTCAGTATCTCACCTTGTTACACACGAAGTCACGTGACAAGTACTTAATTTGTGGGGTAGCGGACTTCCGGCCGTCTCCGCTTACTACTCAAGAGTACGGCTGGCTTGCTTCTCCACAGCTCTTGGCGGGGGTCCAGTTACCGCATGCCCGGTTTACAACGGAGGTCTTATACTCCGCGCTCCCAGGTTACCGTTTGCCACAGCGTGCGTTCATCGAGCACTGAACCTTTTTTCCTGGATTTCGGTACAGTTCAAGTCCCATCCTATCCTCATAATCCTGGGATTTACAGAACTGGGATGCCTTACCGACAAGCGTGTTCTGGAAAGCAAGGCAGCAAGCTGCAACGGTTCTCCTGTCCCGAATGTAATGCGTCCTTCACACGTGCGGCGCATCTGAGACGCCACCAACTTACTCGTGAGTACGTAAAATATGGCCGCTGGCACTTACTAATATCAATCTGTAGATCTTGGGAATAAGCCTTTCTTTTGTGCTTTTTGCTCTATGTCGTCCTCCCGTAAGGATGTTATCGTCCGCCATACAAGGAAGCTTCACCCGGATATGTCTCGCGAGCGGCGAAATCGCGAGTCTGAGCCTGCTGAGTCATGCCACTCGTCGATTAGAAACTCATCGTCTCAGGTGCCAGAGCTTACCGGCTCGGAGACACGTGATATAATCGCAACCTCTTTACCGGAAATCCGCCAACAGAACCAACACTCGAGCACATGTGAGGCTATAAGTCAACGAGTGATAGATGAACTTCCATTGAACAATTTCACCTTTTCAATTGATGAAAATCCCCTTCCCAACGCATTAACTCCTACCACTGGCCGATTGCTAGACTCTTTCTGTCAAAGCCAGAGCAATGGGGCCAATGAGGGGACACTATTCCTTGGAACTCAGTTACCATACTTGATTCCTGCGAACGAAACTGCGATGAGCGTTGCACCATCAAATAACCTATCTCAAAGCCAGCAGAAGGTTCCGGACGAGCAACCTCTTAGCCTCAATGATGAAGATTACGACAATGCCAAAGCCAACGTATCCTTATCACTTTTGTGCGAGAAGCCTATGAATGACTGGTTCCCATCGAAATACGCGGTTATTCGATTTGTGAAATCTTTTTTTGACAATATGGCTCCCCATATGCCTATTGTTCATGAACCAAGCTTTCGCGTTGCAACAGTTGCGCGTGGGTAGTTTGCTACGCCACCCTTGTGTTTGTCTCAGATTTGCTAAGGAGCTTGCAATAGCACCACTACTCCTTCAAGTCATGGCATGTGGAGCCATATACCTCGGCGAACGCGGCATTGCAGACGAGATGCACGAAATTGCCCTTCAGAGGGTCATGCAAGTGAGTCTGACGCTGTCTGTACCTTGGTCCTTATGAGCCAAAAACACGCCCAAAAATGCTCCCCAATATGCGTTGGAACCAAGTTCAAACTGGGTCCATGTAGCTGGTTGTCTGACTGATAAGTTGATTAGGATCAACTCTTGTTGCTCTCCGATGAAGACAAATTCGAGCTTTGGGTCCTGCAGGCACTTTTATTAATAAACGTATATCGCCTTGGCTCTACGCCGCTGTTAATGGAACAGCAGGAAATCTATCTATTTCCACATATCACCATGGTTAGAGACGATAATAGTCGACTTTGTTCCTAAACTAATATGTTATCCAACAGTTGGCAAGTCGAGCACTCAAGGAACCAAAGATATCACCTTCTGACTACCAACAATGGGTCTACGAGGAGACTATCGGCAGGTAGCAGTTCCCGGCCGCACATTACATGTTACGAGCGCTTACCCACGTTCTAAGATGTATTTCGTATACGATCTTCCTTGGGGCTGTTTATGTATCCACGACCGGAGATGGGTCCTTTGCCCTTCAATTTCTCGACGGCTCATTCCCGCTGCCTTCAAATACGTCATCATGGTTATCTGTCGAAGATTGGAGCGATTCGGCCCCGGATCGTCTTGAGTACTCCGCGACTCTTGATTCCATTCTCTCAGGACAAAGGCCCCTTCCGAGCTTAGCGGTTTGGGTTTACTTACCATTATTTCCGCCATACTTTGCCGCATTTGTTTATTCGGCAAACTCTATTCGCAGCAGCTGGACCTATACAGCCTTTTTGTGTCCCAAATGGAGCAGCCGTTACAATTTCTCCATGACCTGTGGACCCAACATAATACGAAGCGTCCGGCTCCTGACCCTGTGTTCGAACCGTTGACGCAATGTATACATGCTGCTTTAAACTCTGCATACTACCACCTATATGGATGTCAAGCTCTAAAGCTCATGAAAAAGTATCTGTACTCGCCAGAGAGCTTAATTAGCCTGACCTGTTTTGCTGATACCCTAAACGATCGATATATCGAAAAATGTCTTACGATGGCTGCCAAAGCATGGAGAGATGACTGTCGGGTAGGTTTAGGATATTTGGAGAGGTTTGCCCCTTACCGATATTCTCCACTTATAGCAACCAGCGTTTCTGAGCGTGGTAAGTCGCGAAATTCTTGTCTATGGATATAAGAGGCCTTAGCTTTGCTGTTTTATCAATCTTACCTTTCGATAGCTCTCATTATCCTCTGGTACTATGCAACGAGACCTCTCAGCCAGCTAACATCGGAGCAACACCTCACGCTGGAGAATCTAACGATGGACGGGATTTCAGAGCTCCAACGACCGTCCACTGCCAGAACAGGTGATATAGCCACATTACCGCTCATTATGTACATGAGGTGCCTTAAAGAAGATCCAGTTTGGCTATGTAAGCTTTACATTCAGTCCCGACCGTGAAAGACTTTGCACTGACTTGGCGGTATACCAGTTCCTTCCATTACTGCTGGGATGATGAAGCGTCTCATTGAACAGATTGAGTTCCTTTCATCATTTGAAAAATCAGTGTCAGTCGCGCAGGGTGCGAATACAGATTCCAATCTGGAGATTGCTTAAACATTGTTTCGTCGCCTGGTTTACGCCTCTCTTTTCATTAATGTCCTCTTCTGCCATTTGGCTCTGCTTTTGCTATCCGATACAAATTTTAAGACCGAGATTCCTAAACTAAAATATCCAGGCAATAGATTCATTATACCAGCCCGTCTTGGGAGATATTCGTTCAGTCTACTGCGATCGTACCATTATACGAAGATGGTTGATGGAACAGAGCTTGTCTCTCAAAGGAGAAAATTTAGCACTACGACAATATATTACTTGCCTATACTGTTGTTTCTGAGTGTGATATGAGATATATACTTGTGCTCAGGCTGAAGGAACTAGTTGAACCAGTGTGCTAGGTTGTTCACCTAGTGTGTCCACGTTGTTGCGATGATCGATTTCCCAATTGCGAATCTTGTAAATCTTCTTAACCTCCCCCAGTTAAGGTACACCTAGCTCGAAGATCATTGGATAAGCCCCCAAATTCCTGACCGGAATAGCCGTCGGAGCTCAAGGAGTCTATTTCAAAAAGAACTTCCCAGATTCCCATCACCGTCGATCTCGGATCCGACATTTGTATTCAGTGAAAACAAACCAAGCACAATCCTCAACCCACTGCTCACCCGGTCGATCAAATTCCAAATCAAATCTTCGGACGATCTGAGGGATCACCTTACACATTTCCAATAGACTTATATTCTTGCCTATGCAGGTGCGGGCACCCCCGCCGAACTGTGGTGCCAGACAGTTAGTTCGACTGTTCCCTATAGCATACTTGAACTGTAATGATCCAGAACCAACCGCGAAAAACATGGTTTCCTTTTCCTCTTTCGAGGAGCCATCAGACTCTAGCCAACGCTCCGGTCGATATGTGTAAGGGTCCGGCCCAAACGTTTTTCGATCATAGTGCAGCACCCATGCACTCACACCCACTTCGGTCTTGTGGAAATTCAGTCAGCAAAATGTCCAGGAATAGGGGGAAGATATTCCCTTACACCTTCGGGGAAGTGTCGTCCAGCAAGATATACCCCGCCTTGTGGGACAATTCTCGGTAGAATGTAGCCCACGGCAGGGTGGAGTCTCAAAGTCTCCTTGATGACTGCTTGAAGATATGGCATGCTTTGGGATTCTTGAAAAGTCACGGGGTCTGAGATCTGACCAGACGCTTGACCCAAGTCAATTTCTTCCCGAAGTTTCGCCAGTTTGTCCTGGTGCGTGTAGAGAAAATAGAACGCCGCCCCAAGGGAGATACCAGTCGTATCAGAGCCAGCACCAATGTTCGCTCCCATACAATCGATTGAGAGGATACGGGGGAGGTTTTTCGTCTCCTCCATGTCCAGAAGTTTCGTAATAAATGGTTCCGCACGCGGATTTCGCTTTCGTTTAAACTCTTCAGTGCTATGCAAAGCAATCTTCTTTGCAAAAACCTCGTCGAGGAACGCAAAGGGATTTCTGCTTGTAAGTAGACCACCAATCCTCACTAGCCATGGGTGTGTCTCTGGAATTAGTCCAACGCGGGCGTGGTACCGAATGCCCGCATGCACGGATTTGATCAAGTCACCAGTATCACCTTCCTTCTCCATCATCCCGAAATTATCATCGACCTAATAGCCACTGCGTCAGTATATTCCATTTGTGTTGTGCGGTTGCAATCCCCAAGGCTTACTGAAATTTCGCCAATAACGTCAAAGGCATAGTACTGCATGAACTGTGGAAGGGATATGGATCGTTCTTCTGACAAAAACTGTTGCATCTTCCTTATGCAGACCGCGGTCATCCGGTCGACAGCGTCCTCGTAGGCAACCATGGTAGACATCGAGTACAGGGAGGCATATTTCCTTCGTCGATCCGCATGGTCGGTCATATCCCGGACATTGAAGATATTTTTACGGAAAGGATTGCCTTGAGGATCGTAAAATTCGGACTTCGGAAACTTCCCACCAAATGCATATATTTTCTTCAAATCGTCCGCTTCGCTGAAGCTGTATTTATTAGGCGCAATTCGTACAACAGGTCCTAGCTCCCCGTTTAATTTGTAAGAATCCTCCATAATAGATAGATGGAGCAACATACCTTGTTCCTCGTGCATGCGAACAATATCCCGATGAAAGTGACCTTTGTGCAATATGTACAGCTCCCAAAGCCGTGTGAACCGGGCGAATAGGGGACCAGGCACAGACCTCAACGGGGAGAGGAAGAAAGTATAGAGTATTTGATAGGCGATAGCAAATGCCACACAGCCAAAGACAATAGGCAAAAGTCCCAGCTGCCTGGCCTCCCTGTTGGAGGAGGTAATCTTCTCGAGAATTGTTGCTATCATGTTGTCTTTCGTGTATGCGACAGTAGCTTTTACACTTTCAATTGTGAGCTCTATTCTCTTTTCTTTTTTTTGCGAGTGTAAAAGGTTAAGAGATTCAGCCCCACGCCATTATATTTAATTAGGGCGTAACAGCACCACAGTGGGGAGGGACTTTGCCACAGCGGGGATGCTCCAAACATAGAGGTGCGCCACTTGAGATGGATTAAGTGGTGGAGTACTCCGTACAGAGTACAGCCACGTTATGCGGGTATTCAAGGTGAGTAACTCTTCACACGGGATAATTTCCTTATTCTGTCACCACCCAGCTTTAGCTCTATTGAGGGGTAACCCCGTGCAGTTTTCGTAAGGTGCATCTATTTGTTGTAAGACTCAGCTAGACACTACTCTATTAATATGTTTGTATAGATTCGTCATTTGGACAATCAGCGTAGTGGGGACTTTGTATCATGTGATTATTTTATAACATGGGCGTCTGTGATGTATTTCGGAGGAGGGTGATCGTTCTTTTAATCGTAATACTTGAGGATGTGTACACAACATGAATATTAAATCCCAGTCAATCCGACACAGATCGGATTCTATTCCCAGTCCATTCCGCTATCTTATTCGAGCCTCAATTCAAGTTAGTGAGACGTCCTAGCGACACAGGATAGAGGCTTAACGGGAATTACGTGGACATATATTGCGGCCTATAGCACGGTATCCCAAGAATCCCACCGTCGTCGCATTTCAGGGCACAAGGGCAAAAAGAATGAAGATTGCATGTAAGGTGATTATATCCGGGAAGATTGTAGGCAACCGATGACACTCGGTAAATGGCTATAGCTCCATCAACCAGCAACTGACTCGGGCAGAGTTGTTGCTACCTGTCTGACAATGCTGTGCCGCGCCATCATCTCTCGGATTGGCTATTCGCCAGGGCCCTATCTTCAAGACTGGAGTAGCACTAAAATCTTAGCTAGATCATCCAGCGGCAATGTCCTCGGATCCTCGACAGTGCTCCTTCTCCGGGAAGGACTGTTGTCATATTGAAATTATGCCGTAAACGCTCTTGTGGTAACACAGATATGTTCTTACGTTTCAGGCGCTTTGTTAAAATTGACGGTTTCTCGCCGGGGTGACCGGTCGAAATATCGTAGAAGCGGTGCCAGGAGTGGGCCAATCTCTTACATTGTAATCTGCTGCTGAAAGTGTGGTGCAAACAAAGTCTGGGTAAGTTCCCACACGGTGGGCCCCCTGGAACACCACTCTTGTTTGCTGTCCCCGCCAAGTGGTGCCAGTCTTCACTCCCCACATCCGGGATAACCATGATGATCTGACTTATTGCTTGACAAGGCGTCTACTAGACCTGCTTAAAGAAGATGGTCTCCACTTTTACCCGTATTTCCATGTAGACTATACTTACTGCTTCTGAAGGGTGGGGACTACCAGTTTATAAAATTCTGTCGACATTTCCCATGCCGGTGCTTTGAAAAGTGTCAGAATAATCCAAATTTCTTTTCATCATACTCCAAATACTATATCTCAACATGGCCGACGCTGGAATAGCTGGAGCTCAAGACTTGGAGTCTAAAATTGACAAAATGAGACGACTCCGAGATCTCGACGCATATACCTCCCCACTCTGGGTGACACTTCAAGCTAAACAAAAGTCCCTCCCGGTCAAGGAGGAGTTCGAATACAAAAAAGCCGATCCCTTTAATTCTGGTATCAACTCTCCCACGCGATATGATCTCGAGATGGCTTCCTGTGTCGTTCGCGGCACCATCCCCCTGGAGATAGACGGAACCTTTTACCGCGTGACCTGTGACCCAATCTTCGCGAACCGAAACAAGAAGGACATCTGGATCAACGGTGACGGTGCCATTGATGCTTGGCTAATATCTAACGGCGTTGTTAATTTCAGGCAGAAATATGTGCGCACTCCGCGATTCGTTATTGAGCGGACGGCGCTGAGAGTGTGGGACGTACAGAAATCCGTTTGCAGGGGATGAAAGAGTGTTTGATGAAATAAAATCACCGGGAAATACGCACATTCATCATTGGCATGGAGTGCTTCTCGCCTGTAAAGAGGACAGTCCACCAATCGCCATAGACCCAGACACACTGGATACAATTGGTAACGTATTCGGTAAGCGAGTCGCCATTGTAAGCGAGCCGCCACCCTGCCTCTACCTATTAATTTTAAATGCATTTATCTCAACCAAAACGCCATTAAATTCAATAAATTAAACACGAGGTCTATTAGGACAGGCATTTCTCTTATGGCCTAGGTTTCCACATAACCCACACTTCGGTAAGGCCCTCGTACGCGGCTGTAAAAGTGCCGGAGGCGGTCTTGGTTGACGGGGTGTTGGTGCTTCAATTACTGGTTCTTCCACCTGAATAAGCTCGATAGCTTCTGAAACTGATAGGCCCTCTTCTAGAGGTATCTGCCTTGTAGACCGAGTCCGTTTTCGCTTCTTCGTCTCGTTCGCGGCCCGTAATTCGCTTACTTCTTTCTCGAGCAAAGCTGCCGATTGCATCGTAACTTGGCAGGCCTTTAAAACCTGATCTATCGCGGAGTTAAGCGGGCTCGGTGGGCTTTTTGAGCGCTGTTTTAGCAAAGCTTTAATTGACGAAGCTTGTTTTTGTAATTGGACGTAGTTCGACGGCGTTTTTGGCTCCCACTCGCTTCCTCGGCTCGAGGGGGGTGTCGGGGTTCGAAGGCAAATATCGAGCTTCGAGATCACTTGATCGGGATTGTAAGGTATTAAACCGGCGGCGGCGAAGCTATTCTTGATAGTCTCCGATTTAAATGCCTCGATTCGCGCAGACGGGTAGACTTCGAGGAAGTCTAATTTATCGATATGGTTGATTCTAGCCCGCATTTTTGACTCGATAAGCCGACTATACGCGCGCTTTAACACCGCGAAACAGCTAATATCGAGAGGCTGTAAAAGGTGAGACGAGTGCGGAGGCATACAAATTGCGATAATATTGTTCTCTTCGCAAATTTGATCGAACTCCGCCGTTAAATGACTTCCGTGGCCGTCAAGTATCAAAAGTCTATACTTCCCCTTCGTACGCGAAGAAGTAGACGGAATAAAGAGCTTTTAAGCCACCGAAGACCAATTTCATCAGAGGTCCATCCATTCGGACTAACCTCGAAGCGCCAATCCCCCGGGGAGGCCGTCGAACCAAGATTCGATATAGACTTTGCCCTTAAAGATCACGCACGGAGGAAGCGCCCACCCCGAAGCATTTATACACTCAATTGTAGTCACCTACGTACGATTTCTAGGTTGTAAAAGTGGTCGTCGACCGTAGTATTCAGCCCTTGTCACGACTTTTGCGGTCGCGATTAAGCCCATTGCAAACCCGGTCTCGTCGAAGTTATAGATATCGTCGGGATCGATGCCGTATTGAAGTATCGTTTTTTGGACTAGATTAAACCATTCATAAATGATTTTTGGGTCTTCACACTTCGCGCGCTCGTAATTATACCGTCTCGAGAATCGGGATGAAAGGTTTGGATGCCTTTGGACAAAGTTATAAACCTATTTTTCGCCGACTGAAAGGACCGGGGTAGTTTTCCGGGCTGCGAGAAGGAGGTTCGCAGTTTCTCGTACGGTAGAAGGCCGGGGGCTGCTCCACGATTATCTAAAGAGAGAATCCAATTTTCAACCGATTTCTCCTCGATTTCGGTCAATTTATGTGAATTTGCGCGTAGAGAAGCCCGTTCCGTACGGCCGGAGAGGCGGTCGCGTAAAGTTGAACGCGGTACATCAAAAGTGCGAGCAGCGAGAGCAGTAGTGCTTATTTCTTGATTCTTAATAGCCTGGATAGCTAATAAGATCCTACCCTCTTGCTCCGTACGATTTCGGGAGGATTGAGTACGAATTGGTGGCATGGTAGGTGGTTAAGAAGGAGGGTCTAATTAATTGACGCGTTTTTGGGTAGGGTGGCGGCTCGCTTACAATGGCGACTCGCTTACCGAATACGTTAGGCCACGCGATCTCCCGTGATCCACGTTTCCGTTTATTCAGATCGTACAGGTATTTATGACTTTGACGGACAATTAACCGCCAAAACATATACTGCACATCTGAAAGTTGATGTTCTTACGGGTGAAACAATGGCATACGGTATGGAGGCAACAGGGCTTGGGTAATCATCTATTCGCAATCCCTTTGTCTCAGCGGCGATTAATATGTTCCAGGTCGAATGCCTCGTGTACTACCGATTTGACAAAGAGGGTAAGAAGGTCGACGAATGTTGGCTAAAAACTCCGAATGTGACATGGACCCAAGACATGGGAGCTACGGACAAGTGAGTTACACTGCTACTGAGCATTGTTCTTCCTTTCGTTAATCTAGTCCTCTAACTGGGTTATCTTTGTGCAGACTCCTTCCCAAATTGATCTCGAATACATGAAAAAGGAAGGAGGAACTCATTTCGCTTCAATCGGTTTTTGGTGAGAGAAAATTCAAAATTAAGGAAGGTTCGAGCGTCTAACGCTAACGGTATCATAAAGCCCAATACCTTCGGTGTTCTTCCTCGCCGAAACCCCAAGCCGCAAGACGTGAGATGGTTCACAACTCTCAAAAACCACTTTTTTGGACACTTGGCAAACCATCTCGAAGGAAAGGACGGCTGTATCTATTTGGATACGTTCCTAGCAGATGGAGCGACACTGAATGTATCACCCAATATGCACCCGGAGCTGGACGCTGGAAAAGCAGAACGTCAAATTAAGGGGAAGTTTGTCCGACTCAGGATCGATCCACATGCGGAGTCAACTGAATTAGAACTTCCTGTAGTCCTTAGCGATATTATTGGGGAGATGCCACGCTGCGATGACTGGTTTACCACTAGACCTTACAATAATGCTTTCGGGACCAGGTTCACTCCCAAGGGTTTTGACGCCATTCTTCATATCGATATTGCTGTCAGTATTACCCATATCTGGGAAGCAGGGGAGAGCTTTCTTGTTGGTGAACCTTGTTTCGTCCCTCGAGCAAAAGATTATAACGAAGGGGACGGTTATTTGGTTGTGTGTGCCCGGGACACAAACACCCGACTCGCGAGCCTGGTCATATTGGATGCAACAAATGTTGCTGCTGGTCCACTTAGCATCATCGAGCTTCCTGTTGTCTTGTGCGAGGGTGTACACGGAAACTGGGTAAGTGCGAGCAGCGTTTTCCGTCTATGATGTACTGATCTTGTCTATTCTATAACCAGGTTGACGCAAGCGAGATTCCAGTGAGACGGCCGCTAGTCGATTACTCTGGAGTTACCCCGGAACTTTTGGCGAAATTTGGGACCGGGGCCCCCAAAACCTGTGATAAGCTCATTGGGCATCCTGTGAAACTGACTCGATAGCCTGGTTAATTTGCGGGAAGCCTTTGCGAGTCCAATTATCTCTAAGGCCTACGTAAACATATTTTGGCTCACATTAAATGACCAATAACGAGACAAATTTGAATAAGTAGGCCTCAACAAGGTGGTCCTTTTGTAGAAAAACCCCCTTCCCCTCTTCCGCTTACGGGTACGTACAATAAAGCCGATGTTTACCAATATTGTACCTATATATCTTCGTCTCATTCCTTGCTTCCAAAGCCCTCTCCATTTACACAAAAAGCTCTCTTCACATCCTCCTGTAAAAATCTTATCCTCGGGTTTTCTCTCCAAATAGCAGGTCCCCAATATCAATATCCGCGCTATGTGCAGTAGGACGCCGAGTCTGGGCAAGCCATACAGTCCTGCCACTATGGCTGCTTAGGCAAAATTGTATTCACGAACAGCTTTACATTGGCAAGTCACAAACAGCGCCCATGTATCCCTTGGCAATGCTGCCACCTCAGCAACTTGGCTGCAGCTCCATGGCGTCCACAGTCAGCCCGCATCTATACAAGCCTGTTTCACAATGCTTGTAATGAAAACCTTAGGATCATATCGTCGCTTTGTTAACTATCGTACAGCGGCCCAGTAAAGGCCTTTTGTTTGATGTCAACTCCAAATTATGTACATTCATTCGGGGGGAGGGGGGTTATCGTAGAATGCAGGGTCTAGATCTCAAGATATTTGACCTACGAACCATCCATCCACTACAAGCTTGTGCCAAGAACTGGCCAAAAATCTCCATTCATATGCAACTTATGCTGACCTACGGAATTTCCACCAATGAGACTGCCTCCGATGCAACCACTAGAGCTATGTACCTAGATCTGTTCCCATAATTTTCTGCCTGTATCGGATAATTCATCTGACGTGCATGCATACACATTGCACCATTACATTACAAACCGCTTTCTTTTGAAATTCAAAATAAGAGATTTGCTGTGAGGTTCAGAAGAATGAGCCTCACTTGATCAATATTCATAAACAACATGTCATCACTGGCGGTATTGTAAATGTACCCTTGATGGTTAGAAAAACCACAGACTAGTATTGGATAAGTATGGTGTATATGCCGCAAAACTAATATTAGAACCTCTCAAGAATCAGATAAAAGTTCTATAATTACCAGGTTAGGAAACTGGTCCCAAAATTACCTAGTTGGGGAAATGGGGAAAGTAGCCCAAACAGAGATTATAGTGAGTGTCTGAGGCTGCATGCTCGGGACTTGCAGTATGTAGGTATGTTGTATTCACCGGACTTTGATCCACGGGCTTTCCTATCTTGGTTTTCGCCGTTTGAAAAGCCGCTAAGGGGCATGCGCCAAGCTTGACCAGGGCGCTCCCTCCATACTCAAACAGGAACAAGCTTAGGAACCCGTTAATTTTGTGGCAGGAGCGGGAATTGGTTTTGTCTGAATTTACTTGAAGCTTCTTTCCTGTTTCAGAAAGATAATAAGCTTACAATGTTCACAACAGATACAAATAAAGCTGCACGTGTATAGCAGACCGGTTCCTAAGATAGGCGCTTTACACTACATACACACCATGAAAATCGACCTGATTATAGAGATAAGCAACCTGTACTTTTAGCTGAACATGCCCGACGCATCCTTTGACCTCGCCTATGCACGATGCCACCGAAGTGCACTGTGGGGCCAGTTAAAAAGATGCGTCGCCGCACGTCGCATAAGGCAAATAACTGGGTGGAACTTGTTCCTGGCTGTAAAGGGTCTCAAAAGATGACCCCGTGTGTCAGATTGCAATACAAACCCTTTCAACTAGCGGAAACTAGCGGACTGTCGGCTATCATCTTTGCTGGGTGCATAACTGGAGGCTCCGAGACATGGCCACGTGAGCACTAGTTTGTCACTGACAGTTCACAAAGTGACAAAGCTTGTATATTTTAGATAGAGCCGACCGTGCGGACGTGTGTGCCAAGTATAAGTTAGCAGACTCCATAGTGTCGGTGATAATGATTGTGCTGGCGTTGCATGGTCAGGTTACACTGTGTTCCTTGGAGAGGTAGACCAGAGATGGATGTGGGCTTGAAGGTATGAGAGCTAGTCTCAATAATGTCTTTTGATAGAGATTGCTAGGCATGCTGTTAAAGGACTGTCTCACAGCTACCCAAGCCATCCTAGATAGGTAATCATGAAGCTACTTGGGGTGTTTCTTACTGCAATAGATAACAAAACATAAAAATTTACTACAATAAACAATTGGTACCTAGGCCCTGGAAGATATCTACAAGGAAATCAAAATTAGCAACAGCATGAACCCGAAAGGACTGTCGACCTTCATCTAGGAGCATTCTCAACCTCTTTCCAAACCGAGCCTACGAAAGCCACACCTGTCCGTGCCACTTAGCTAAATAATTAGTTTCAATGGTAAGCAGCCCAGTGTGTCTGCTTTTCTGCGGGTCTGAATGTCAGAAATTAGTGCTGGATGCGCCCTGCATGCCGGGAATAAGGAACGAATACGGAGTATCTCATACAGAGATTGTCGACTCATCAAACATATAAGTAGCCCTGAGTATCCTCCCAAGAATACTCTCCTCGGACAAACAGTCTCTTTAACCTTTCACAAAAGCCCAAGCTTCTTCAATCCCTTCACCATATCAAAATGAAATTCTCTCTCATGTTGAGCGCAACCGCTCTCGCCCTTGCAAACCGAGCAAGCGCCTTTTACGGTCAAATGGCCGCTTCAGACTACTCGGCGAACGAAGGTGGCACATTCCAAATAATTTATCTCACCGACTACAACACCGGCTCTACCTACTCCGGTACCCTTCGCGGAGGTTTCAATGGTTGTACCAGCTCTCAATGCCCCGTCTCGTAAGTTCAAGATTTGAAGCCCCGTTGTGCCCACGGCCTGATTAACGGTTTTGAAGTTTCTATGAGACTAGCCCAGGAGGGTACGGCTTCAACGCTCTCATGTGGCGAACCAACGATGGATGCCACAACATTAATTTCGAAGGTGCCCTCAGCGCTGGTCATGGCTGGTGCTGTGGCTCTCTGCCCTGTGACTTCACTGCTTAGATATACGCTTGGTGAGTGCTATAACTATGAGTTGGATCCATCAGGGGCTGACGATGTCGCTAATGTGGGACTATAGACAAGATCTTTGTTATTGGGCCATCGCTATGAGATTTATACTTGCACACAGCCATCTAAGTACTACGACCTACCCTATTGAATATATGATTTGACACATTATAATTTGACCACATATGGAACTTGAAGCTTTTCAAATAATTGAAACTGCAAACGAAAAATTCCGCCATAGATCTGGATATTGGCTCGCTTTTAGAACAACAATCCGATTACACACAGAAACAGATCGCGAGTAAGATAAGGTTGGCAGATTCAGATATATTTGAATCCGCGGAAATTTCGAAAAATCCTATAGACACCATGCAAAGTCGCGTACATGCTTCCACCAGCAGTAGCCCAGGCAGCGCCCTGGAAGCGCAGGGAGCTAATGGGTATAGGTCTCTGCTTTTTCGGCCTGTCTATTGAGGCAATGAACGTCAGGTCTATTGCTGAATCAAATACGAAAAGGATGTCATACCTGTTACTGCTGGCCACGATCGGATTGGGAGCGTGCCGACCTGCTGGTCAAGCAGCGTTTGGAAATTGTTAATCCCAGACATGAAAAAATGTGTTTGTTTGGTGTGGTTTGAGGTGGATTGGAGTCATGACATGCGAGCAATCGAAATTCCACTTAGTGGAAGAGCTTTTGTAGATTCCTCGAGGGGTCATTGGGAAATGAGGGTCAGATGATAAACGACGTATAGATATAGTCAAGACGAAATTTATTGGTTGGATGTAGTTTGAACCATTGGTGGTTCCTGACTATAATTCGTCTGACAGTTCCGGATCCCTGGATACAAGGTTGATATTTAGTTCGCCATCCGTGTTTTTCCACGAGGTGGCAAATCCAGACCTACCGAATTGTTGATAGGTGCTTAAAACATCCAGCAATTATTATTTACATACGAATTCTATAAATAATAGCCACATACCAGGTCTAGTCCCTGTCTCCTCCGTCACTTGCATTCATAGCTGGTACGTTCCACAAAACGTTGCCCGTCACCAAAATTCCAAGGTCGACGTCGATTGATACGTATATAGTGACAAGCAGATTCTAATTTATATTCTACGACTTGCTCGGAGATAAACCATTGATCGAACAGAGTAAATACACATAACGGAGATACGACGGAAATAACCCTAAGTAACATCAAACCATCAACGGCGTTAAAACGCATCTCCGAGACCAAGGAGCCAAGAAAATGCCCGGGGTGACTATGTAACAGCAGTTAAATAGCAAAGAAGAGAGGGGGATACTAAAGAAACAAAGTAAACCAAACATCAACTCGGACACAACCTCTCATTCCACCTCTCCAAACCAACCTACTCTCTCAATACGAAATGCCCCCAGCAGCTCCCACGCCGCACCAATTCTCAACTAGAGAAGCAATAACAGACACAATCTACCGCGGGGTCCTAGGAATCGACACGAACGATCTCGACTTATTCGTCTCAGCATTGCACGACAGCCCAACGACCAACTTTGAAATAAATGGCGAACAATACCAAGGCATAGAAGCAATCAAACCCCGAGTATTCGATAGAATCGGTCCGCTGGATACAACACACACCGTCAGCAATGTGCGCATTGAGATGGAGGATGGAGCTGAGATGGCGTCTTTGACGGCTCATGTTTTGGCGCAGCATTATCGGGCTGGAGAGGGATCGTTGGGGGATTCGAAGGGTGTTTTGGTGGGAGGGTTGTATTTCGTTGATCTTGTTAGGAGTTCGGATGATGGCTGGAGGATTACGACGTGGAAAATAAAGATGATTTGGATGGATGGGGATAAGGGGGTCATTGGGCTTTAGATTTAATGGCTAGTTATAGATACAGAAAGGGAGAAAGAGTCTGTTGGACGTATCTGCATGAACGTTTGCACGCTGTATTAATCGAATAGAATTGGTGGAAAACTAATGAATATAAATAGGATATATTCCCTCACCCCCCAAAAGCAGGCATAAACGTGGTGACACCTACATTATAACTCGAAGCTGTATTTTTTTGCGTTGTTTATAGCATGGTGAACATGGCTACACCGGCAGCAACCGCTGTGGAGACAATGGTAGGCAGCATAGCTGAGGCGGCACTGTCAGCCATATAATTAACAGGCTCATAGACGTTGGGCTGGGTAGAGTTGACAGTGCCGTTCCAACAGTAGCGGTCGAAACACTGGTTACAGATATCAGGGAGGGTAGTGCCAGTACGCTCGAAGGAGCGGCTGAGAATAGCACAGCCAACACAAGACGTCCAGTTGCCATCGCGAGTGCTGTTGGCCATGGTAGCAACTTCATAACCATTGAGAATTATTGCATCACGCTGGTCGTCTTCAGTGCTCAGTTGGAAGGTAGAGACGTTGGATTGAGTGGAGTAAGGGGAGTTGGGGATGTAGACGACAATGGGCGCGGTTCCGGTCAGGTTGGAGCTGTCGCAGCCGAAGAAGGTCGGGCGGGTGTTCAAGCCTAGATTGACAAAGGTGTTCTGGTCGGGGATCGAAGGGAAGGCTGTGCCGTTGCCGATGCCGGTGCTGTTCAGGCTGCGCTCGTAGGTGGCTACGAGGGCGGTACCGTTGGGCCAGGAGTAGGTTGTGTCGGCGGAGGAGTCGACGGCGAAGATGACATCGACGTGGCGCTCAGGCTGGATGAGGGGATGGAGGGGGATGTTCTGTAGATCCTCGCCGCCGTCGACCAGGTCCAAGATTTCCTGCTGGGCGTACGGGGAGGTGTCGTTGTTGTAATGGTAGAAGGGGTTGGGGTCGTATGACGCGATATCATTATCGGATTGGTCGAGCTTGGTGAGAATGTCGGTGAAGACGTTCTTCAAGAAGCTGGGGAGCGAGGTAGTGTTAATCTGGAGGATGAACTGGTTGAAGAGAGTAGAGGAGGTTCCAATGATGAAACCGGCGCTGTCGTAGCCGCTGATACAGGTCTCGTTGCTAGGAAGCGAGCCACCCTCGAAACGGGAGCCGAGGTACTTTAGAGGGATGAAACCGAAGACAGTTGGGTCGAATGTACCGAACTCCCACGGGTTGAACTCATAGACGGTGGAGTTGCTTCCAACCACACGCTCACCGGGGTTGCGGCCATCCGCAACAACCAGCGGCATAGGATAGTTTCCATCCTGGAAATCCGTGGTGTCGGCGATGGAAGACCAGGTGTAGTCGATACCTCCGTTGCTCGCATTGAACATCTGATAGGAGAGAGCACGGCCCCTGTTTTCAAGTTAGAACAGGAACAAAAACAGTAGACACGAAAGTCCATACCAGATATCAGTGATAGAAGCATCAAAGCCAGCATCCCTCTTCCCATTAACAGCCTCAGCCAAATCCGTATAATAACTAGCAGAATCCAAAAGCTGAATACCACCAGTATCAGGACCCTCGAGAATGGAATTCCCAAACTGCCAAACAGCACCACTCTCGTGTGTCTGCAGATTAGCAATGGTACTGAAGTTATTAATATAAATCGACCCAAGCAACCAACTACCGCCACTGAGACCAGCAATATAGGTAGAAGACTGCAGCAAACCACCCAGATGACCACTAGTCGAAGCATTCTCAGTGCGGCTATCAAAAGCCTTAACAGCACCGGCGCCGTTCATGAGCGCACGGTAACCACCACCCGAAACAGCAATTCCAACATTAGGCAGGGCCGAAACATTGTTGGCGTGGTTGTTAAGGTACCCGACAACGTCGTAATCGCCGACTGTCACATGTCCGAAGAAATCCTTCATCGCCGACAGCGTCTTGTTGCGGCGGCCTTCGAGCCATGATGTCTCGTTCGTTGAGAGATCCGCTGCGCTGCGCACTGTCGGTCGGCTTGCCGGGCAGCTCACGTTGCTAGGGGTGTATCCATCGGGCGCGTCGGGTAGGGCTCGTTGCGCGACTGCAAAGGTGATATCATTGGGGTTGAATTCGCCCGGGGCAGCGATTGCGTCTGCGGAAGAAGCGGATTAGCTATACGATCGCGTATTGTTTTGTTTGAAGTCATATTGAAATTATTGACGCTCATCACGGAGGTCTCCACACGTGATAAAAGGGAGGACTGGAAAAACGCGACCGAAGGAAAGAAAATACTTACTAGGCAAAAAGCCCAGCGCAACCGAACTGATCAGCGCGGAAGTCTTCATGGCTTTCACAAATCGCACAGCGAGAAGTCAAAAGGATCGAAGGGATAGGGGGATACTTATGCACCGGGGACGCCGGATGCCCAGCCAAGGGAAGCAGTTCGGCATGTCCAGCATAGCTTATAGTGCAGATTAGTTCCCCGGGATCGCGAATCATGGTGCAGCGTGTGGACTGCGAGCTGGTGGAGCAGTGACATCAAATGTCGGAACCCGAGGCTTCCGTTATGACATCCTTGGTATCCCTAGCGGTGTGCATATTCTGAGGCGCAGGGCTGAGGTGAGATGCACTCTGGACGCTGGGCCCTAGGCTGAAGTTGGAACAGCCACAGCCGTGATCGTCGGTGTGAGAGTCTGATACGAACACGAAGTGCCTGAACAGGACATGCAGTGTAACTAACTATCAGTGGATTCGGCTAGGCCGTGAAGCACAGGCATCCGATACACCCATTGCCAGGCATCTGCATTTTCAATGCTATTATTGGATGAAGCGGCCTCAAATATCGTAGATGTTATACTGGCATAACAGTAGTGCCTAAAAGTGGGCTCAGGCTCATTTCAAGGCCCCCAGTCTTGTGTTGGCTGTGCTGTGGCTAGGACAGTGGAGATGTCGAATGCGGATTTTGTTTTCGTTCCGAAGTGGAACCGATTGCTGGAACAGCTTTGAAATTGATATCGAGATCAGGTTTGAACAGTGAACAGTTGATTCACCTGCAGTTGAAGAATATACATATATGGTAAAACTCCCGGTCTATGCTTTACTAAGTGCAGCATGTGCGATCCCTCGGCAAACCGAGATCGACGCTCTAAACCAGTGGAGAAACAGTCCGCAGAAAAAACAAACGAATGATTGGCAACCGTAATGCATTGATACGTTAATTAATCCAGCATCTATTATTCGCCGAACCCAATGTAAGTGAAGATATTCTCCAGAATATCTAGGTATCCACTAAAATAAAAATGCAAATTAACCACGAACAGGTCCGATCTCAGCCGCATCGAGGCGAGCAACCTGCTTCTCATCGGCTTCCACATGACCTTCGGGCAAGTTGTTCAGGGCATCTTCCTCCAGGTCGAGCTGCCAGAATTGCCAGATGAATCCGCAGCCACCGGCAAAGGCGAGGACAGCAAAGACACCGTAGTTCCAGATCAGCAGGGGATCCTTGGCTAGCGGGTTCAGAGCCTCGGCAATGGCAGCGGAGATGGCGTTGGTGAAGAGAGAATAGCCTGGACGAGAGAACGCATGTTACGGGGTGCCTTGGAGTAAGCGTACTCGAGCGAAGTGATCGAGGCGAAAATCTCCGAAAAGGCAATCAGGACGTAGCAACCGGTTTGGGCCCAGACGTTGAGGGGGGAAGGGTTGACACTTCCATCCTCGGTGTAGCAGTTGTTGGCATCGGTACCACAGGGCGAGGTCTTGTAGATGTAGTACTGGATCACAGCAGCCCAGACCATAGCCAAAGCAGCCAGCCAGAAACCTGCAGTGATCTTCTTGATGGCGGTGAATTGGATGCCCATCTTGCGCAAACCGGGGTACAGCAATGCATCACAAACGGGAATGAAGATGATCAGAGCGAAGGGGTCCAAGTTGTTCACCACATCGTTAGGCACACCGTGAAGGGTCATGGTGCTAGCCTGCGAGGTGAAGTTGTTGGTCAACTGGCCATATGCCAGCCAGTAGAGAGGATACCAACAGAAGACGGCGCAGGCAGCGAAACCACGACGAACTTCGTCCACCCAGGCATCGTCGAAGGTCATCCACTTGGGACGGAATCGGGGCTCGATGTTCGAGGGCTTGACGGACTCCCAGAGGGTGCCATCGTGGGTACGCTTCCAGAAGACGAACGGGTTCCAGGACCAGCGCTCGCGCATCACGTAGAGGAAGACCTTGACAGCCTTCGATGTGACGGAACCCTGTGGGGGAGTCTGGCGGTAGCGCTTACGACCCCACCACATGACGAAAGGCGTAGTCATGAACATCATAGTGGGCAACAGGTAGGCGAGCCAGAAACCGACATACTTCTCTGCGTAGGCCATGCCGATCTGGCCGATCAAGGCACCGATGTTGATGAAGAGATAGAAGTAGTGGTAGATGCGACTCTGGGTGATAGTCGGGTCGACCACGACACGCTCACCGGAAGGCAGGGTGCGTACTCGAAGGTTCACGGCTGGAATCTGTTCGACGACGAGGGCAGAAATGTTGGGCTTAAAACCACCGGTTCCGAAACCCATGATAATCACACCAAGCATGAATACACCGAAGCAAGCATTGGTGTTGGTGATCACAGGGGGAATGGCCGAGATGACAAGAATCACATGGCCAAGAATGGCAAAGCCAATAGACCAGCAGATAGTCTTGTATCGTCCCCAGTACTCATCGGCAACATAGGCACCCAACAGCGGAACACAGTAGCACCAGAACGTGTTGAAAGTGTTGATACCATTCGCAGTCTCGGGGCCCTTTCCCAGAGCTCCAGACACACCCTGGGAAGTAGAACCACCAGCTCCAGTGTTGTGATGAGAACCTGCAGGACCGTAAGGCGCAGGAAGAGGAAGCGAGTGGTTCACAAAGTTGGAGTCTGTAAACACATGTTAGAAGTTGACTCCTTCTTCTAGAGATCTCATGGGCATACAAAGAACTTGAGTTCCGTAGTAGGAGAATCGCTCGCACAGCTCGACGAAAGCGACGGTATATACCGACCACGGAATGGGAGCAGACACACGACGCAGCGCGGTGGGACCGTGAAGGTCCTCCTCAGTTGGGTCCTCGTCACCGAGACCAAGGCTGTACGAGGCGGGGATAATGTTCTTAGAGGGCTTCTCCGCATCAGTCTTGACGACAGTGACCTCAGTATCACGAATCGCGAGCGAGTCGGAAGATCTGTTCACTGCTTGAGTGGCCATCTTTACCAGACGGACGAGGCCGGATCAAGAACAGTGGAGAGATGAAGACGAAGAGGGTGAGTGAAAACAAAAGTCGCGTGGAGGACGAACACCTCTGACTTATACGTTCGGGATTCCAAACTGAGAAACATGGGTCGTTTCAACGTGACCAATCGCAAATTTTCATCCCCAGGTACATGCATGCCTCGAGCGCGTAGAATGGCCCTAGGCTTTGGCAGAGCAACCTAAGCCCGTTGATGTTTTACCCCGGACTTATCACGCCACGACGGCGCTATGCTTCAACAGGGGCCATCTCCGTGAATGTTGTAGATAAGGCTCAATAGCCGGCGAATCAACCAGCGTAATTCGCTCACTAAATCCCCGGTGGATACAGCATGTGCCGTGCCATGTAACTTGGCCGGAAAAGACCGCGGCCGGTCATTTCTAATTGCTTAGTACCGAAGGAAGACATCAAGCTAAGACAAAGCTTAATGATAAAAAGACCCAGTGGGGCTGATAGAGTCGGCAATATGGGTGAGTTGGTGCCCTCGGTTCGCATGATACGCGGCATGAAATCGAATTATGTTTGTCTAATGGTCATTGGATATGTTGCAAAGGAAATCGGGCCATGTGAAGCAAAGAAGGAGGAGAAAGAACCTTTGGGGAGTCCGACGGAGGTGCGGCGAAGCACGGACCCCCCCCTGTCCCAGGGAAGCTTAGCCATGCTTGTTTGGCTTCGGCGACATCCGTGTCGGCTCTTTCGCTATCAGATATCGCTTTGTCAGAGAGATTGGCAATGTCACCCCTGCTAGGTTCCAAGGTCCAAGCATACATGTACACTTCTAGAACTATTGGAATGGTGTACAGTTCTGCTAGCGCTACGGCCCCCATCCACCCATGACTATCTTCATCAACCAAACAGGACCAGTGATTTAATCAGTGTGGATGTAGGTGTATCAGACTGATAAGAATACCCATGTACAGTACTTCTTCTTGCAGTCCCCACTGATAGAAACAAGGAACTCGCGATCGGCCAAAACGAGTCAGATTCCCTGTGCTTTGCGCCACCTCTTTGAATCAGGCCAGGCCATTCGAGAAAGAAATGTCACCAAACCGTGTATGCCCCTGTCTGCTATCACCCGTAGAATACTACTTCAGGTGGCAAACCAAACATGATGGGACACGTCCCGATTAGTTCAAAGGGAAAAGCGAAGAACACGCCTGGAAGGGAAATATTATATTTGCCTTTACTTGGCCCTGTCACAGTCTAGTGCTCTAGTGGAAGTTCAACAACCCTGGTGCGACCACATGCGGGCGATTTCTCTTTCCAATACACCTCTTTGGGTACAGATACCGCCACTATTCCCTCGGTAATCAAGACAGACCCTGCATTTTCTAGCGTTAACAGGAATATCGTGTTTCCACTCAAATCAGTGGTTTTAATTTCATTATAAGCGCCACATAAAAGCCAGGACACGGTCTGGGGCGGGTCCTTGGGAGTTCGGGCCTCCAGTGTAGTCTAAACGGTACACCCAACGTCACGCAAATACAATACACTAAAAATGTCTTAGCCTATCACTGTGGCCGAGCTGCAACCACCTGGCAAGGTAATTTTGATCAACCTTTTGGCCATTTTGAGGGGCTTTCGAGGGGGAATTTAAAATCTATTGCGAAGCTTCGAGCGCCCCGCCTAACAACCATACGTAATCTGTCTATAGCAATCAATAATAATAAGCATGACAATAAAGCAAATTAAAAAAATGGACGCACAACCATATTCCTATCATTGTTTCTGGAAGCTGAGGTCGGAGAGCCATACTTCGGATAGTTCCGGATGTCTTGTACTTAATCTCGGTTCTTCCATAGAGATTAATCCACCTCTACGCCTATTCACAATGAACATAGTTGTACGATCAACTCCCACCAGATAATGCTCAACATATCATATCCCAGTCCCTGGAGTATCCGCAAATAAGCGAACACAACATCGGGCAGATAACATGAGATCCCTGCAAACAAAGATCCCTTACATTCTAACCACAATAAATACCCAAAACCAAAACTAAGAGCTGATTGGCTCAACGACAGTGTTTAGTTTTCAACCAATCGACAAATTGCACCATTTCAGAACCAATGTATCTTGATTGGCCTTTGGGGGCACTCATTCCCCACGTCCCCAAATAAATAAATATGGACAAATTTCCCACGGTTCTTGGCGATGTCTTTTGATGACGAGTACAGAGTCTATGCCATCATGGATCGTGGATGTCATGCGACTTGTTCTAGTTGTTCGGTTTACTATATTGAGTGATAACTACATATTGTTTTTTAATCTTCGATGTATATTAACGTTTTTGTAGATCTTGATCATGTGTTGATCCCCCGCGGTAGATTTACTATGTGGTACATTGCGACTGGATAGCCTACCACGGCTTTTTGCCGGTGTGTGTACTCAAGAAGATACTTGCCGGGTGAGATTGAGGAGGTGTGCTCAAGTGACCAGGACCTCCTTACAAGGATACCCAACATTTAAGCCCCATTAGGATGTCGGTAGAGTAAGTTCGCAGTAACATATGTGAGTGGGGCAGATCTGTCAAGATGGGAGTGGGTCAGATTGTATGCAGCTAAATACTTAAACTCAAGGTGTACAGAGAAGGCAGACCCAAGGAAATATTAGAGTGATCGTTTTGTAGTCTAGCATCATAATGACAGCAACCGTGTACTTCAGAACCAATTACAAGTACCGCTGTCCAAAGTCTCGCTTCGCTATTCCTCCTATCCTAACCCATGACATAAGGACCCAAACCTAATTTAGATCAAAAAGAAAAAGAAAAACAAAAGAAGAAAAGAGCAACGCCATGCAATGAAATACCAGCTAAATCAGGACGTGGGATGATCATATTCCAAAAGCAAGTCATCGCCGTCAATCTACCACGCGGCGTGGCCACCATCCATGCGCAGGTCACTACCAGTCATGAACGAGCTAGCGTCACTAAGCAGGAAGACCGCAGCACCACGGTACTCCTCGGGACGAGAGAGACGACCAAGCATGTTCTCCTTGGGCCACTGTTCCTCGCGCTCAGGAAACTGAACGAACAAGTTCGTAACCATAGACGTGACAATGTAACCCGGAGAGATAGTGTTGACGCGGATGTTGTACTGGCCCCATTCAGCGGCGAGGTTGCGAGCAAGTTGGATGACGGCTGCCTTGCTAGCGTTGTAAACGGGGCAAATAAGGCCCTGGAAAATAATTGTCAGATTCTTGTACTTCGAGGATTTGAAAATGGTGATGTGGCACGGGGGATAATGCGGGGAAACAATAAAGTTTCACGGGGTGGAAAGCCGGGGGTGACACGTCAAGGAGAGCGAGATTCCCATAGCCATGAGGTATATTGGATAGACAGGGGGTAGGGTAAGACGAGGAGAAGAGGGATGAACATACCCGATTGACAATAGTGCCACTCATAGAGGCGATCAGAGCGATACTACCTCCGTTCCCAAAGCGAATCATTTGCTTGGCCACTGCCTGCGAGGTCATGAACACACCGGTGACGTTGACTTCGAGCATGGTATTGCTGTCTTTGGCTGAATACTCCAGTGCCGGGGTCTCCTGTTGGATACCCGCGGCGGCAATGAGACCGTCCATGCGGCCTTCCTCGTTGGCGATACCCTCGACCACGCTGTTGAGGAGCTCTGTGTCACGTACATCGATACGACGGTAATGCAGCTCGGTGCCGAGTTCCTTTGCGCGCCGCTGGACCTGGATGAATTCGGGAGCCTGATGTAACAAGCTTATTAGTCTCGTTCGAGGTGTTTGGGATGTTCAGGTTTCAACATACCGGGTCCTCGAGACGATCAAGGGCATAGACTTTTGCGCCGGCTTCCAGAAGGGCCTCCGCTTGAGTCAATCCGAGACCACGGCCAGCACCTGAGACTAGCACCACCTTGCCGGCGAGGCTGAACTCGGGCATTCTGGACTTCTGTCCCAGCAGAATAGGGTCGGAAGACATAGGGGCAGTGGGAACGTCGGTGGTTTCGATGGTGACAGACATTGCAAGTGGAGGTATTAAACAATAAGGTATCAATGGAAGAGCTGATGATAATGAAGCGAGGATGAATGTATATTAATATGAGCGTAATACCAGCACACACGGGAGTATCGGATATTAGATGAAAGCGAAGATGATTCAATTGGAAAACTATCGTGGAACGAACTCTCTTTAAATAATGTTAGTTCACGATCCGGCACAGTCAAGCCGGAAAGCCAAGGGCAGGGTCCTAGCAGACCGGTCTCGTGAGCTTTGGAAGAATCCAAAAATGGAAATTCAGACTGTACGAAGCGCGCTGCAACGCTTCGGTCCAGACCCCCGAGGAATGCGTGTAAACGGCTGTGGCGAGGCCTACCCCATCTGCATCCATACACTATAGCTGGTGTCTGACTGGATTTTCAGGCTTAGTATGAAGTATAGATTGTGTCATAATTACTCAAAGTCGGTTAAAGGTTTCTTGGTTGATTTTCTTTCCAGCAAGTTGCACACAGTTGAAATCCAGGGATAAACTTGTCGACGTGGGGAATATTGGGAGTCACCAGACAAGAGTTCACGATGTGGCAGATCGGGACCCAAACGATGGCCACCCGGATTTCTGGTTTAGGCAAGCCGTCTGGGGAACCCGGGGAACAACGCCACTTTAATTTTTCAAGTTTTTTATTTTTGTCTGAGATCCAGGTGACCTCGTGAAATTTTAATACCAACACATATGCCTCGAGACGGACCTTCTAGAAATTAGTCCAAGCACCTAAATACCGGGATCAAGTGATCATTTGCAGATCCCCCGCCAATCACCACAGTTAAGACTGCCCGTGCCTGTTCCTGTTCGATCGGCCGGGCTCCAGGATAACGGTCTAGAGATCATTGGCCAATTCAGTGTTCAATTTCTTTTTCTCACCGTGCTTACACCTTATATAGCCTATTCTAGATCTTCTTAGGTGACATTCTAACGAAAAAAAGAATACGCGTCCCTGTCGCGTTTTAAACATTGAACTACATTTGCCTACTTGTACGCTCTGGTAACCCCGGATCTGCGGGGAACTAAAATTAGCTGAACATAGGGTGTTATAGCTTATCTCCAACTGTAAAAGTCTTGTGACCAGCAGAATCTTCCATTCCAAGCTCCTTACTCAATCGGGCGATTCCGAGACTCTGTGAACGCAATTAACATTTCCATCTTCTAGAATGATCCTACCCCTGACTCTTACCCCTGCCCCGGCTTCTGAGATTTCTGCTGACGAACGCCCACGTTCTAGACCCCTAATCAGCAGTAGGTTGTTGTCGCTGCAGAATGGTAGATCTATGATCCTGGTCTGTGCTGGCTTACCCCTTTCTCTGCTTTGTCTTATAGTCCGGTCGGTGTTTCGCTTGTGCTGTATTCCTTGCCTTACCCGAGGGGTTCCTGGGTTTTGCGACTAAATCGGCGTGGCTTTTATTGCTGGTGTGGCCTTGTAAAATGTCGGTGAATGGGTTGGGCCAAGATCTGACTGTCTTGCTTTTTGAGATTGATCATATTTTTGATTGCCGCGTGACATTTGGGGTCTCTTATTGACGTGGCCTCTCAAACCGCTCAAGTGGCATCAAGACGGACGGGCATGTCCATTACATTCGGCATGGCGCCGCCGCAGGCGTAGTTAACATTTATACGCCGTAGTCGTTTAACACAATCAAGAGGGTGCTAACGTGATATTAGCCATGTTTAGTTCTCTACGCAGTAGTTATCAGACAATTATAACGATGCTGGTTGGCCACTCCTCTTCCATGGCCTCCTTATACGCCGCATCTCGTAAACGACTTGTCAGTTCCTCTCCTATGTAACTCTCGTCATCGTATTGGCGAGGCCGAAGCTTCAGCAATGGAAACTCTACGGTAGAGTTATCGCTCTTCGCGCCTGGCACCATCTAGCCTCTGTGGTTCCAAGATGAGCAAATACAGAGTTTCACCGGCCTTTGCAACCTGGATCAGTGCGAAGTGCTTGCTACTACTCGGCACTATGATGCGGCTAATGTAGGGTCTCGATGGGGAGTCTGGCCTCATTAGGATGGCCTGTGCCAGCTTTCTCCTCTTTGCCAGCGGCCCAAACCACGTTAGGACCCTCTGTGCGAGACTCGGTGGACCCAGCAAATTTCTCGAGTAGCTGCCAGCTCTCAATTGAATATGCCGGTACGGTGCTTCCAAGACTAGCTCCCCGCCTTCCACATAGCCGAAGTCGTCATGCAACTTGCCATGCATTTCAACATTCAAAATCGTGGCAGGATGGGTACAGCCGTCGAGCCGGTTGGGCCATTCTAATCTGACAGCAGAGTTGACTCCTGCCCAGCTCCACGATAGTCCGTGACGTTTGGACTCTCCACAATCCTGCACAATACTGGTCTTCCAACAGCAAGTGGAGGCATTTGCCAACTGCTCCGATCGCGAGCAGACGGTCCTTTTTAGATGCGAGATGTCGCTTCGTGCATCTTTATAGCAACTCGTACCAAGCTTCGTACCTGCAGCCCCTGAAGCTATGGAGACTTTGGGGTCAGAAAACGAAGAGCTCTGTGCTTGCGCATGCCTCGTTGCACTGTGTCATCGGGCCTACACTACCATCGATCGACGCGAATCCTTTTTCATCAACTGTGTCGGCTTGCCCGACCGCTTGGAGAAGAAGTTGTCCATTACGAATAAGGGTTTGTTGACCAGTTTCGTAAGCCATTGAGGATGGTTCCGACCTGTGGAAACCCTCCAACAGCTCTCTGATTTCAATGTTCCGACAAGCCTGACACGGGGGTATCCTGCAATATATGGAGGCGAGGCCATTCCATGGGATAGGTGTAAGCATGCTCGAAGTTGGATGTGATAGCTTGGAGTCCGTCATTCGTGCAATCACGTGAAGTAACCTCCTAGGTCTTCAATACCAATGTCTGTCTAGTCCTAGTTAGGCACATTCACTCTACTGTAATACTTGTGAGGAAAATGCATTTGAATAAATAATTTCAAACCGAAGGAATCTTTAAGGTCTGCTTTTTGCGCACGGATAGCAAAGCATACCAAGTGTGACAACGGACACTGTGCATAACCCCCTCAAGAGAAACAAATATTAGTCTAAATCCTAATGTCCCGTCCCCAGGTCAAGATTCAAAGATAACCAATATCACACAACCACCCTCAGGTCCATGCGTTCGTTCCGTCTAAACTTTGCACCTGGATGATCGATTGAAGTGGATCGAGTGGGGCCGAACCCTGGTTTGGGATCAGCTCTGTGAACCCTGCAGATCTTCTAAGTGCCCAGTTGGCGACTGTAAGCTACTGTGTAAAAACGGGATTAACAATATACATGGACTACGTGACACAAAGATCAGAGGCGTCAAGTCAAATGGAGTATATTAGACAAACAGATACACATAATGTACCTACGATGAACCAATCCTCGACCATCCAGCACGGAGTGTGATAAATAATGCAGAACAAGATGCTGGATGAAGAAACTTCCCTCAGCCAAAGAAAAAGTCGAGTCATTAGGTTATGTACAGTGAAAAATGCTCGTCCAAATCCGTCCCATAGAAGTACACTAAGTTGATAGAATCCATGACCCGGAAACATAAAGAGATGAGAGAAAAAAGGCGATAGCAAAAGGTAACAAAGCAAGTCCCACTCGATGCACAGATTGACAGGAGGGAAATGATAGAATGAAGCGCGAAAAAAGAAATAGGAAAAGGCGGATCAGCCATGATGATGGAAATGTGGAAGCGGGATTTTGAACGTCAAGAGCAAACCAAACAAAGGGAACTCCAAGAACACCGGCTCCGGGTAAAACTGGCCCCCGAAATCGAGCAATGGCCAGGTGAATATCGTATTGCGCAAAAGGACAACAAAGAGATCGAAGGTTTTTAGTTTTCATACGTGTAATTAGGCCTCGCGGTATCCCCAGATACGTTTCTGCTCAGTGACCCACCACTTTCCGACTTGCTCGGCATCCGAAAGCCAGGCAGCGGACTCCTCGCCGTGTTTCGGGGTGACCTCTTCAATGAGAGTTTTGAGGGTCCAGGCCTTGATGGGATGATTTTCGTTGGGATCTTCGCCCAGGTGGGTAAAGGAGTATTCAAAGCCTTCTTTGAGAGGGAGGACAAGACGGTAGGGAACACTGGCAGTCGTGACGGAGAGCATCGAGCCACCGGCATTGATAAGGCCCATGTTCCAGACGGATCGTTTGGCAGGGCCATCAGGATGAGACCGGGCCTCGAACTGGGACGGCTCCGGCTCGGGCTCAGCTTTCGGTGAGGGTGGGGGTTGGGGGTGGGGTCGACGATGGTCAGCACGACCCTTGTGGGATGGCTCCTCGATAGAGGCGAGGAAAGGACGGAGCAGAGACTGGCCCTGGTACTCGGGGAGGAGCGCAGAGGCGATTTCGGAGTCGCGCTCATCCAGGGAGTTGGACTGGACGAGGAGGTCCAGGATGGTGGGAACAATGGTGAGCGCGGTTGCGTTGGCGGTAATATCCACTCGTGGCATTTGCGGGTGGTGGAAGACAAGAGGCACGCGGAAGTTACTGATATGACCGTTTTCATAGGTTCCGGTCATGTCCTTGTTATCCTCACCGAAAGCTTGGCCGTGGTCTCCGACGACGACTACCAGAGTCTCGTTGGCGATTCCAGTCTGGTCGAGCATGTTCATAATGTCGCCCAGCCAGATATCAACGAATCGTGCGGCGTTCAGGTAGTTGTTCATCAGATCGTGGTTGATGCTTCCTTGGTCACCCATGTACGATTGTTTCGTGAAATCGTCGGGCGTGCTCCAAGGGTGATGTGTTGTACTGGTGACGTGAGAAAGGAACATGCGGGTCTTGTTGTTTGCAGCCTCCTCGAAGAGATCCCACACATAGGGTCGAAGTTCAGTCTCGGCATATCCGAAGTAGTTAATTTCCTTGCCAGAGGCGTGGTACTTTGCGTGAGACGATTCCAGGGTGCTCTTGACGACCTTGTGCTTGAAGCCCATGTTCTCGTTGAGGACATCCTGGCGGTCGTAATCGTCGGTAATAGACTGCATGAAGACAGGCTTCCACGGGTTCTTCAAGGCCTCTGGTTTGGAGGTATCTCTGGTATCCGATTTCGGTTTGCCTTCATTGAACAATTCGAAAATTTGCGGTAAGCATGGCTGATAGATTTCTAGCGCTGCCTCCTCCAAAAGATCCACTGGCAACGGGTTGACACCGCAATGGCTTCCTAGGATACTCTTGAAAGTCAACGAGCTGCCTGTCATAGCCCCGCGAACGTTGAGACCGCCCATTCCTTCTTCTGTTGGTGTCTTCCATGGCGAATCTGTCAGATTGGCGCGGTTTCCCTTGCTGTCGGTTGCGTATTCGCCGGTCAACTGTTGGGCGACGGGAGTCATTGTCACTAGACGGTCAATCGCCTCCTCCACATCCTTCTTTTTATGAGAGGCGAGAAGGTTATCAAAGAACGGAGTGCCCTGCTGTGTAGGGAACATCTCCTTTCGGCCACTCTCAAGAGTTAATAGTACCACATGGTTAACCTGGACTGAGTGTTCCTTGAAAGCCTTCTTCAAGGGTTCATAGATTTCGCCACCCAAGTTCCTAACCTTGATGGGGTCATTCTTGGGGTTATAGAATCCGCCTTCAGCACCACCACAAACATAAGAGTAAGAGTTATCCTTCACTGCGCGGTCTCGGGGACTCATCTCCCATCGACTAAATCCCTTGGGTGGGTTTTCGGGAAGCCAAGAAGCCCGTGACCATTGTTCCACAGACGGATCGGGCTGGTATAGAGGGTGAGAATTCCCGCTAGCATCCACAGTCATCAGAGGAAAAGGCACCGCGGGCTCACGACAACCTTCGACCGTTGCGGACTTTTTCGTGAACGCCTCGAGCAGTGTCAGTGGGAGAGCCCCGGAGAGATGGTCGTACGGGATCTCTGGGCGAGTGATTTCCAAGAAAATGAGCGACACACAGATGGCGACGGCGGGGATGATGCGACGGAATGATCGGAGGTCAAACGAGGCCATGCACGACTTGCTAGGGGCAATCAATGTATACCGTGCTTTGTATCCTCCCATACACAGGTCTCGGATTGCCTGCAATCCAAGGCCGGTGAGGTTGTACACGTGCGAATGAACCAACCATGCCACTAGTCCGAGGACCGTTGCTGCAGCAGACACAGTCGAGATACCACTAAGTAGGATCTTCATGGCGGCTGGGTCGCTGAGGAAGCTCCCACCAGCTGCCCAGGCCACCTCGGCACCGGTTTGTAGGAAGAATCCGAACTGAATCGACGAGGCACCCCATGTTATTAGGCTACTGTGTTGTTAGTCCATGTTCAAGTGCCGAGAGCCAACATTCTTGGTGGCTTCGTCTTTCACATCCGGGGTAAACATACGATAGACCCCCACCTACGGCGGTGGATAACCATTGCCAGCGGCCTTCCGGCGCGTGGAAGCGCAACAATAACCGCACACATATTATGACCAACACATCTTGTAAAATGAGAGTTGGCGAGTAGAGAACGAAATAGAGGAACGGTAACGAGCGAATGTGTAACGCAATGTGTAAAGCCTTCGAGGCGAGTCCACTTACAACAAGCGCAGAGAACAGAAATGGTGGCAATGGCGGTAAATAGGCAAAGACGGACATGGCGAACTCATGTCATGATAATTTTGGAGTCGCGAAGTTGAAAGGAAAGCAAAGGGGGAAAAGGAATGCGGAATGCGAAAACAGAGAAAGACGAGAAAAAGGAAACTATTCTTAGCCAGTGGAGTAAGGAAATACATCTGAGACCCTTGGGGCAATCTCGCACGCGACTTTGCGGCTCCAACTTGCAATGCTTGTCTTTTATTGAGCCCATAGTTGGTTTCGTTTCCACTCCCGCTCCCACTCCCACTCACAACTCTCGACTCTCGACTCTCCACGGATCCCTCGGTCCCTCTTCATGTGGGCCTCTCTCTCGGATGTGACGGAATCAGAGACATGTACAACTTGTGAATTGTGCTCGTACCTGTCTGTACCAGTGTATGGTACGGAGGCAAGGTGGACCCTGCATGACACTATTCGTCTAGCACTTCCTTCCAAGGCTTTTTCTCCCGGCTTGCCCTGATTCGCCCCTTGACTGAGACACGTCTGAACCTCCAAAAGGCAACACGGCACGCAACCTCGTGTTAGACTCTCTAAGAATCCGGGGTTGCAAAATGTGAGCCTCGGAGAGCTATTCACGCCCGAACCCCGTTCCCCACAGCGACCCGGCGCCATACAGAAAGTGTGTGTCAAGGCGCGGTCTCTCAAATTACTTTTTAAATTGGAGGCAAATCAGGCACCCATGTAGTGTTGTGATGTGACCCTCCAAGCCGCCACAAAAAAGGGACCGTGGACAGCCAGGGAAAGGCCACCCTGATCTCCTTAGATCGTCGGGGATCCAGTGTTCCGATGGCATCTCTAAGCCTTGTGGAGAACTCGTTGATCGCATACCCGTTTTAGTTGCTGATGCCCACCATGTCTTGCTTTGTCTTGCTTTGTGTGCGATGCACATTACACGATCCATTATCCCGTTCAGATGCATACTCAAGCCTTTGCCTAGAATGTGTCAAAAATAGGGGTCTAAAAACCGCCAAGTAGCCTTGGCGTAGACCCTGCAGCAGACTGGTTCAATGCTGTTGCGCGCTTGGTTCGCGAACATGTGTGATTTTGCCATTGCTCGGTGCATCGCTCTATCGGTGCATCGGGCATCCGAACTCACCGATTCTTCATTGTGTGGACGATTGCCCCCCATCCGAGTCATGGTCGTTTGTATGAGTTCGTGTTTTTCAGTCCTCGATGACATGATTCACTAGTTTGGCCCCAGGGATACTGACGCACCGGGGAAATGAAAATCCACAGTGCATATGCAGATCCGTCCAGGATTTTACAAGGGATTTAGGCTTATATTAACTTCGAGTCGCACGCCCTAGCTTCGAGTCTACTAAATCCTGTATCCCCCAAATTTCAAAGTTGAAATGTTAAATTGACTCTCATCACTCGTAATCCATCTAAATGCAATCTAAAAGAAAACAACCTATATACAAATCCCCAAGAACGGGATACAACCCAATTATCGCAGATCCTTCAAATCACCACGCTCCCTCACAGAAGCAGCAATACCATTCCCAACCTCCGACCCCAACTCCTCGAACCCCTTGACAACCCCATCCCGATCACCCTTACTCATCTCCTGACTCATCTTGAACTTCCCCTGCAACCTCTCAACCCGAATCTCGATCCCAATAATATTCTTCTTCAACAGCTCCACATAGTTAACCGGCGCATCAGACACCTCCCACGGAGTCGGCTTCTCACCACCCGTATTTCCCATAATATCCCGCTCAGACTGTCGCGACAAATCCTCAATTTGCTTCTGCAAGAACGCGCCTGTCTCTTCAGCCTTGGAATTGCAGTATACGCTAATCTTGCCGTACGCTTGCACGGCGGAGTAGTTCCACGTCGGGACAACCTTGCCGGATTCTGGCTTTGTTTTTGTGTAGAACTTCGGTGTGACGTAGTGGTGGTGCGGGCCATTGAAGAGGATTAGGACTTCGTCAGCGAGTTCGAGGGTGTTGTTTCCTTGCGCGTTTTGTTCTGCCAGCGCTTCCATTAGGGCTTTTGCTTGTGGGTTTTGTTTTGCGATGTGCCCGCGTAGGATGCCGTCTGGGAAACGGTCATCGTTTGAGGAGGGGGTGTCCAGCACGAAGGGGATATGGCTTGATTGGATGAAGGCGTGCGATGGGGATTTGATTGCTGTTGTGAGGATTCCTAGTGGGTTGTCACGGATGAATTGTTGCAGAAGGGGGATTTGGCCTTCGGCGTGGACGGTGCGGAGATACATTGTGGGTGGTGGTTGTATAGAAAGATGTGAGGAGACTCAGTCGCGTTGATGAAGTTGGATATGTACTTGTATGTCTGCTTTATAACTTCATCTGTCATATGGGGAAATTAGTTCTAGTCATCGCGTATCCCTGTTGCTTGATTGGTAGTCGGCGCCGAATGTTGTAGATGCTCTCCATTTCTTTGCCCATTGCTTTGCCAATCCTCCAACCGTGTCTCTCTAATTTATCAGATAGTGAGTCAGACCATTGTAGGGTTTGGAAGGGCGTGATTCTGCTTTCCGCGGCAATTCCCGCAATGCCCGCAATTACCGCTGGAGTATACATCAGACTGCTATTTGTGCTGATTCATGATCAGGGTAGGAGCAGGAAATTTTCAAAAAAAGAGCAGCGTTATGTAGATGCTCAATCCCTGCTGGCTGTAGCTTGTATATGGTGTGACCTTAGCATGTTTTGTATGACATTGAATCTGTCCTACGATTAAGCTATCCATAAATTGAAAGGGACACCAGATCAAATTTAATCTCATGTTTGCTTAGCAAATTCGAATCTGCTTTGAATGCATCGCGTACCACTGAATACAACTACAAGAAGAAAATTGTGGGTATAGGTATAATGTATACCAAGTACGCTGGCAGGCACTTGAGAAAAACCAACATATAGATCGAAAGTATGATATCTTATGAGTAGGGATAGCAAAACCAAGATGATATAAAACACCAACAAATGACGCCAAGCAGATGACCCCCAAAACACCGCTAAACCACAAGAGTCCTAACAAGACCCAAGTTCATGCAATGCGCGACACAATCTCATCATTCCCTAACCGATCCACAACCCCACTTTTAAGACCCAAGAACTTCTCAATCTGTCTCCGAGGCATACCTTGCTTATCGCGCATAGCCAAGACCTGCTGGATAGTCAGCGCATCCAGAAATTGCCGGCCAGGATGACCGGCAACCCCAAACGACTCGGCCTCTTCTTCCGCAAGCTTGTTGAGTCTTTGGCGGGCATTGACAACTAGCAGGGCTGGGTTCGAGGACTGAGGGAAGATCGTTTGCATTGGGCCGGGGCGGCTGACGGTGCTTGAGTTTGAGTATGTTGGGACTGGGTTGACGGGGCCGATTGAGCGGAGGGAGGCGGCGAAGTCGGGGTCTCGGCCGTCCATGTCGATGGCTGGGAGGAAATGATTAGCTTTTTTCTGATGATATCGGTGGTTCAACTGTTGCGAAGGGCGCGATAGACGTTTGGATGCTGGAAGGATTGCGTGGACTAGACATACCATCAGATTTTACACTGGACGGTGGCTCCTTGGAGTGATATGTCGGCCCTTGAGACGAAGGAGTAGGTGTGCGAGGAGTTGAGGGAGTGTATTCAAGGTTGGGTGCTGCAGTCGTAGGCTTCGGTGTGGTTGCTGCTTTTGCTTCCTGAGGAGCTTTGCGCTGTCCCGTCGGTGGAGGAGCCGCTTTCTTGGGATACTGTCGGCGTGCGGCAGCAGATGCCGCTGACTTGGCGGGCTTTGAAGCAGCGGAACCCATTGTGAATGTTGAGGCGTAGGGTGTTGTTGAAGGTCGAAGCCTTTTTTTGCGACGGAGGTCGGGGAAAAATCGCGGAGGTCGCCTTGGCATTTGATCTGCCACTAAGGTGACGTCAAAATATAATCAACAAACATTTTGTTTTCCGGTGGGTTTACTGGATTGCAAATGGTCAAGATGAAGTATCGCTGCTTAGGTCTTTGGTGCTTAACATCATGAATTGAAAGCGACGCATAGGGGAGTGCATTGGCGCAAATGCCCCGGCGTATGAGCCGAATGCCGACTTCGAAGCTATACCGGAAGAAATGTACTACAGATAGATTGAAATAGGGATAAATCCAAAGGTTTGTCTCGCTCTTATATTGCTGTAGAGGCTTGCTTTTGCAGAAACACACTGGCATATCATCATATCTAAGATACAATACTGCATGAGCCCTGATATCCATGCAGTATGCTTCGCAGATAAAGAACCGGGACTAGGGCTCAGACTTTCCAGACATTCTAGAAGTTTAACGGAGACCAGCAAGGCGGCGACCCTGCACCTCGCCCAATGCGCGGCTTCCACTGACGAATGCAACAGCACCGACAGCAGCCACGGCGGGGAGAATCTGGAACAAGTTCCAGGAGGTGTAGTAGAGGAAGAAGATTCCCTCGAAGGCGACCAATGATCCGAGGAATACGGCGTGAGGGAGAGGGGCGGACTTGAAAGCAGTGGGAAGGTGGCTGACGTTGGCACCGAGAAGGAGCCACTAGAGGTAATGGATTAGCTGTTGTTTATACCACCGCAAAAGAAGGCGTCTTACCAAGCCAGCAAGAACTGGGAGAGCAGCGCCGACCATGGCGACAAAGGCCAGAGTTATGACAATGGGTGGGTTAGACGGAGAATCCTTGAAGATGTGGTGGATCTCGGGCTTCTTGCCATAACGCTCGGTCTCGACGGTCGGCACGGCTAGTTCGGGGTTGCGATCAATTGACAATCGGAATACAGAGCTGTCATATGCATCCGATGTACCAAATCCGCCAATTACCACACGGGCATCAACTGGCTCGGGGAGGGAGAGAAATTGGATTGGCAGGTCTTTCTTGGTCTGGGAGCCGTCAGCTGCGTCACTTGCGATGTTTCGGAGTCGCATACCAATTCCACTCTTGACTTGCCATTTTCCTTGACAGTAAACGGATAGGAAATATCCAATCCAGTATGGGCATCCTTCAGCAGAAGGAAAGCTTGGTGGGGGCGCTTCGGGGAGCTTCCTTCTTGAGCTGTCAAGGTGACGCGTAAGGTATCAGCGTCAACAATTGAAACGGGCTTGGAGAGCGGCTTGGAGGAAGCGAGCCTATGTCAAATGCAATGTTAGCATTCGTCTGTTTGATCGGATTGAGAGACATACTGCTCCTTGAAGCCTCCATTGACACCAGCGCCTTTGCGTTGAACGGCCACGGTGGCATCAGTAAAGCCCCAAGCCGACGCAGCGGCGCCCGGCAGGGCGGCAGCAGCCAGTAGGCAGAATGGAACAGTGGCCTGCCACAGATGCATTGTGAAAGAAAGAAAGGCAAAGCAAAAGAAGTTGCAGTGAAAGCTGAAGCTATAGAGGAGGAAGAGGGAGTTGCAGAATAAGGCGGACAGTCTGAAGCCGATAAGCGCCGATCAACCGTAGCCCTAATTTCTTTTCTGCTCGACCTCAACACCCTCCATCACCGTTATTTCACTCCCGCCACACATTCGTCCCATCGTTATACTTTTAGCGCCGTTAATGAACCTTTAATCTCATTACTGCGGATGGGTGCACCTCTGGTCCCGTGAGTTTTCCCCCGATATGTCGGGCCCTAATCCCCTTGTCCCCTTCCTGACGGTCCTTCTGACGTCGGCCTACACCTGACCCCCCATATACTCCCCTCACCCACTCTAGCTGCTGTGAACATCCCTCAGCTGTTTTTATATACTTCCCAGTCGCTCTGTTTACTGCATGTCGTATCCGCATGAATAACTTGACTGACCAATCCCGGACGTTTAGCATTAAATCACGATGCCTCCAAAAAAGGGTCAGCGTAAATCGATGCCGGCGCGCATCAATAAAACGCCTACTCTTACACCTTCTCGGCGCTCACCGCGGGTTCCTCCTCCTCAAAAAAGCCCTACTGAAACCAGCAACCCACCCAAAACACTGAACCTTACACCCGCCTCGCCCGAAGAGACTTCTATCAACATTCGTTTCTACAACCCTAAACCTACTGCGACTAGTTCTCGCTCACTGGCTGAGGTCCCAGAAACTCCATCCGCACGCCGGCGAGGATTTCAGACCCGTCCTTCTCGTTTGTCAACCGTCTATACACCAACCATAGATACCCCGGCCAGCCAGGGCAGTCGGCGGACCAGAAGGACAGCTGCTCTTGAAACACCAAAGAATGATCACTCCGACTTTGACCCTCTGGAGGGTATCGGTAGCACCGGCTGGACCAACGATCAATACTTCGGCGCCCTCGGATCAGAAGGAACAGCGGACGGTCCATCCAGCCCCACCAGTGCGTCCGACATGCGGAACTCATCGCGGGTGCGCAAGCCTACAATCAGGGCCCTTGAATCTCTGGAATCAGTCAAAAGAAAGCCTCGCAAGAATGCGAAAGCATCTACTCCGATCGGGGAAAAGCCCGCTTCCCTCTCAAAGCCTGCAAAACATAATGTCTTCAAGAAAAGCGCCAAGAAAACTCGCACGTCAAAGCGCATGGCGAATTCGAAGACTCAGAATGATATGATCTTGATCGGCAGCGATATTGACGTTAAATCCACTGGCAAGGTGCTGTTTGAGCTCACTCTTGAGGCCCTAAACCCTGAGTTTATTCTTCCAATTAATGTGGACGTTGAAGAATTCATCAAAGAGAGACGAGACGAATACTATCAACACAGCCACGAGGAGAAGTACGGAACCACTGCGTCTGCTGACGATATCCCTTCGTCCAAGACTGGCGATGAAAGCGTTCCAGAGTCCCTCGTTCCAGAAACCGTTGTCCCGGAAACTTCTGTCGTCTCAACGTCTACCACCTCAACTCCCGCAGCTATATTCACTGACACTCCGGGTATATTGGGCTTCGAAAAGCAGTCAGACACCAAAACGAGCAGCGACGGATGGATCGAGACTGGCTACGTCAACGACAAAGCCGAAGAAGTCTCTCTGATCCCCGAAGACTGCCATCTTTATCGCTCACTGCACACCTACGGGGATGAGAACCTGCCCTACCCTCCTGTGCGTGCTCGGACGGATCAACAGGGCGACAACGACTGCGCACGCGGCTACCCGCCACTCATCGGGTCCCGCAACCTCCCCGTCGGCTCGCAGTCACCTTTCCGGTCAGAGAACGTGGACGAGGAAAAGGCCAAAGTCCTATCCCGCCCCCAGGAAACCCGCGTTATCGCCCCAGCAACTACTACTCGCAAGCCTCGCAACACGCGCAAGCGTCGTCAGACTGCAGCCGCAGATACGACTAACCGGGGCGCGACTCTCGATAACGGTGAACGCAAGTCAAAGCGTCGCCGTCGCCAGACTGAACCCGGCCCTGCCGCTGCTACTGACCCTGCTATTGCTCCTACTCCTGCTCCCGCAGCCTCTTCCCCTCCGAAATATGCGACGAAAACCCAGTCTCAGTCACGTCAGGTCGCCCCCGCTGCCAAGCCTGCTACCGAAGATGTAAAGCCCAAGGTGCAGCGGATCCGTCTAACACTGAAGCCCGCACCTGAGGCTGAAATCAAGGGAGATGACCCGTTCTCCAACACAGAGGATACCCCCACCGTGCATTCCCCCTCGTCCGCCCCCTCGCCCGCGCCTTCCTCCGCGCGGACCCCAAAGCGCCGTCGTCGCGGCCCAGCCAAGGGGAAATGAGGCACTACTAGGAGCAAGAGCGACGACTATCATGGTCGTGAAACATACCCGGAGGTCAATACAACTGGCGTATCTTGGCTTTCACTCTTATTTTTCCCTTCTTGTTTTTTTCTTAATTTTTGTACGATCACGACTAGCGGGCGTTCAAGCATGTATGATTAGCAGGAGCATACCATGGCGTTCATTCCATGGGAATGGAATTCGACATTTCGTCCAGTTGTTTCCAGTTTTTTACTTCCCAGTCAGCTTACGCTTACTCCTCGTAATGCATGTCGCTGTTTAAGTAAATGGTGCTTTCAGATATTGCTAACGTGGCGCTTACTTCCACAGTCTTCCGTATCTATTTGCTCGATTCGACCTTGAGACCTTTACTACGTGGCATTTTAATTACGCCTCGCCCGGCCCCTATATGACCTATCACTTCCTAGGCCAACCCTGACACCTGGCAGCTATTCATCTCGTAAACGTTCATCTTGTTCAGATACTGTAAAAACAGCTCCCTGGTCAAGAAGTTGTTGATATCGAAGGAATGAAGACGAAAGTTCATGAAGTATGGTTGCTACGTCTAGTGAATGACAGGATACTCATGGCGCGCATTCATCTGCGAAGGGGCCCGGGTCAAGACCATATGAAGGATTTCATGCCATCGGATTAGGGATAAGGAAGGAGGAAGGTCTATCTGTGGCTTTCTACCACCCAGGATCTCTGGCGCCCGTCTTGAGTTGTCCTGGATCAGTTGCTTGGACCGCGAGTTGACACCAGCTGTCGTCTTTTTATTTCAGGTTTCAGTTAGAAGATATTATCTTTGCGAGTCTACGGCCGCTATTTCTCTGCTACTGTCATGTCCGCACCTTATCTCACTGGCCAAAAATCCAACCAAACATGCATTCAGCTCTAAGCCGCTGTAGAGCAAAATGGTCCGTACTCTTCGTGCGAGCTATATTCTTTCCAAGTTGACCGGGCAGCCTATCTGGAAGACATCACTGCTGTTTTCTTGACGGGAACGGACGTGGAGCGAATAATTAGTAGCTTGAAGGTCTTCCACGACACCATGGGTTTCCCTCCTTGAGATATGGATTGCTAGCTGGCTTCTCTGGCGACAAGCCTTCTTTGCATACATTGCGGCAACAATCATCGTAGTTGGTAATTCTAGCGGGAATCCCAAATGAAGTGAAATGAAACAAGTATCACAAACCATGACATAGCCTTTATTGCAATCACCTCAAAGCTTCCATTTTATCCCCAAAAAGACCAGCGCGAGTGGATTGAGAAATTTTAAGGGCACCTTTGGGTGTCCTTTGCCATACTTGGTGATCTGAACGCTGTTAAGATGTTAGGCCATTCTGGTCATATCATGTCTTTGCAAGCTTATTCTAGATGTGATTGGCACTTCAAAGCCATATCGGAAGTTCCTTGTCACAATGTCACTACTGTCTAACGGCTAGTTGTTTTGCTCAATGCAGACACTCGGATTTCATAACTTCACAGGAGTCAATGAAGCAGAATAATGTATTTATCCTCTTTTCACTGAAGACGAAAATGCATGCTTTACGACAAACCAAACCGGAATACTCGATAATACATGTTCTCAAATAATATTCAAATTTGCAGAGAATGACAGACTTGTAGTCCGAGGGTTTCGGTTCCCCGCGGTTATTCGGCAATCCCCCCGAAGTGATCTGCGGACCCCAGCTCTGTAACCCTGGCCCTCCAGAATTCGACATCAATACCAGGGGCTCAGAGCGTAAGTCCAATGCAAATGTCCATGGGGCGGGATTCTCCTGGTCTCGCTCACAAGCCACCCCGCACATCGCGAGCATGCGACAGATGCCGCCGGCAAAAGCTCAAGGTGGGCAAATGACTTCAGGCACCGCCAAATCCATTTTTTTGTTTCTGACTAGATATGTAGTGTGATAGTTCTCGGCCTTGTGTGCTGTGCACTCGGGCTGGGCATGACTGTGAGACATCCCAGCGGGCGGCGCGACGAGCTCGCAGGCGAAATGGAGGCGGAGATTTGCACAAGTCCTCTGGGGTGCACAAATCAATCGCACCGGCGATATCCGTAGGCTCTCCCGCCACTCCTCTGGCCTCAGTGGTAGTCGAAACATATGCTACAGAGAGCTCAACTTCCTATCCCGAGCATTCTCCAAAAGCCACAGTCTGGCGCCAATGCTTCCACGATCGATTTTGCCAGACGTGTCTTCAATGAAGAAGAAGCCGGTCGAACCCTCACCGGTGCATCGATTCCGGGCGACACAGGGGCCCCTACCTTAGACAATTCATTATGGCATCTAACAGAGGTCGAGCTACCCCCTGAGGATGTGATGCTAGCCTTGATTGACGCCTATTTTGATCGAATGCAATGGTTCATCATGCTGTTTCACGAGCCCTCCTTTCAACAGACAGCGCGCAGGATTCTATCTAGAACCTCATGGAGGCGTCAAGATCTGAGTTCCACCATGGCTGTTCTAGCAGTGGCCATGATCGGTTTGCAGTGTGTGCTACCAGATCAAAGTTGGAGAGGGCATGAATTACTACGACATTACTCAATCGACGGGACAAAGCTTATGCACGAGTTAATAAATGAGATACGGATACATCTGCTTGATATCTCGATCGACTGTCGGGTTGAAGCAGTCCAGGTCTGCTTCTTGATGTCCTCTTATTATGTCTATCATAATTCGCCGAGTATTGCATGGACGGTCTCCGGTATGGCAGTGCGATCTGCCTACGCTCTCGATCTTTATACAAAGTCATCCCGGTGTGATGATATTGTGATGGATGAGATTCGCTCTCGGTGCTGGAATCACGCGATTGTTGGTGACACATTCACGTCTGTTATTTATGGACGCCCTTCCTCTATTGATACGGGGCTAGTCGCTTTGCATTCATTGAAAGATATGGATGATTTGATGATCGATCCAATATTGCTCAATAATGAATGTATACCGGACGATATGAGGCAAACGACGACAGCTGGCTTTTTCGCAGCAAAATATGAAATTTACAACATCATTCGATATATCCTTTCCCGCTTTCGGCGTCTTCAATTGAGAAAGGAAAAAATGGAAGAGGATCTACAGTGCATTGCAGAAGCTTCACAAGACTCTGAGGAACAATTGATCCGCTGGCGAAAAACAGTTCCTCGACTGTTCGACTTCGAGGTTTGGAGCCACAACAATAGGCTTGAGCGATTTCACCAGCAAATTGAGAATTTACCTCCACGCGCAAAAGCCCAGGCAGAGATCATCGTTCTTCAGGCAGCTTGTCTTCAACTAACATATGATGGGGCTCTAATACAAGCCTGCCGGCCTCTTTTGGAACAGAAAATTACAAGTGCGTGTTCGCAATATGTGGTTAACGCAATCTGTCGATCCTTGAGAACGGCTACCACAGCAGCACTTCGAATATCACGCATTCCGGTCCTCCAGTTCAAGCACCACTTTGCTGAATCTTTTGCTTCTTTGCAGCAATTTACTGCAGGAGTCATTCTTTGCATCTCACCAACCAGCCAACCCTTCTCTGCCATAGCACATGAGGCCAAGACCGGTGTAATGCGCATCATTCATGCAAGCACAGCATTCGGTCCACACAACCGGATAGCCAAGCAAACCGCACAGCTCCTGACGGAATTACTCAAGGTAACCATTGAGCGGGAGATGTCTAGTGCTTTGAGAGGAGGACCAAGTTCTTCAAGAGATGTGCCTGACAGTAGCGTGAATTCGACTATACAACAAGTACCGCTCGATCATCCCGTGCCTCAGTCATCCTCTTGCCAAAATACATCATCCAGCCTTCTCCCAATGTCAACAAGTGGGGGACCACGGCATCCAAAAAAGTGCACAGGTAGCTTCGAACAGATTCACCAGCCTGGTGGGCTGGCAAATATGACAATCCAACCATCTTTCGAACCCTCGGAATGCCCCTCCGCAAACATCTTCGAACAACTCGACGATACCTTCGGCGCCTTTGGAGAACGTGAGTCCAGCTATCTTCCAAAACACACGTTAGCCTCACTGACACGTTACAGTAATGTTCAACCTGATACCGGATGACCAGAGTAGTGCTTGGAACTGGGGACGAACCTTTCCTTGAGTGAGATACCATGAATTCAAGGGAGAAGAAAGCAAGTCACCGTGGACTCATTGTATAAATGGGTGTAAATAACGCAGGAATTCAAGAGCTTGGAGGCCGGCTTCAATAACAAGGATGAGCAGAATGGGTATCATCAAAACAAGGATAGGGCTCAATGCTAGAATCAGAACTGAAGCAGCAATGGCAACAGCCAGCCAGAAGCAGAAAGATGCTAGGTTCATTGTTGAAGTAGTTGTGATAATTATTTCCGATGTGTAGGAGCGTCAACGAACGTGATCTGCCCACAAATATGTTCGTGGACTCTGCTACCTACTTTGGTAACTTGAGGTCATTATCGTTTACTTCAAATTTTCAGATGTTCTGTTTGGCGTGTTCTTATTCCATTAGGATTTACCAATCCCGAAAAATGACACAATGGGGTTATATATCTGTACGAAAACTTCTTTGTCCAGTCTCCATCGTCAGAGCAGTGCAAACACAAACATTTCCTTAATCTCCCACTTGGTCGTAGAGCACAAATGTAATATTGAAAGCATTATCCTAAATTACATATTCATTCAGTTCATTCTGTATATGCTAAAATCCACTTTTTCCTTTCTCCATCACGTCGTAACCAAACCCAAAAGATGCCCACGAGCATTCTGGACTTTCGAAATAACAATTTCCGCAGCGGGATATGTCTGCAGTAGATGCCCCGCCGCTTCTTCGCAAGCGTACAAATTCGACATAGCCTGCTGCCTCACGATCTTGTCCGAGACCTTGAGGTCGGGAAGACTGGCCTCGAGAATAATTCCAATAATGGTGACAGCACTTCCAGGGAGTAAATGCAGCATGCTACAGTCATGTAGCTCGCTGAGGGTTTCATTGACTTGAGATGTCAAGCCTCTCATCTCCGGCATGGCAGTGTGGTCGAGTTCGTCTCCCCCTTTTGATGCGGCTATATAGAGAATTGACATTGCACTAAGATGGAGGAGATACAAGAAAGCCTGGTGAACCAAGAGAACAAGTTCTGTAGACTCGGGGTGTAGATCACACATTAGCGAAGGGGGGAAGTAATGTGCCAGGGGAGGCAGGTTCTGCATCCAAGTTTTGAGAAGCTGTTCACAGCTACCTATGGCTTCTTGTGATATCTCTGGCTTGGGAACAAGGCTATACACGGGTTCTCCTGATGGTGAATGCGTCCATAAGTCGTGATAAAAATACTCCACGATTACTCCAACGCAGTGGGCGAGCTTGATCTCCTGGATAAATAGGAGCATCATCCGCTCTTGATTCTCCCACTTGAGCATAGCAGAGGCTTCTCCCAGCATGAGAAGAACGAGTTCATGATATAGCTCAGAGGAATAGTACTTCGTCGACTCCAACAGCGACATTGTGACATCGCTATTGGGGATCCGTAACGGGCGACGGAAGCCAAGAGATAAAATACGGTCGCGAACATAGAGACACCACCATAGCCTGTGCTTGTGGGAGAAACTTCCCAGCTCTAGACTTCCGAGAAGACCAACACGCTCTGCTGTCGAATAGGCGAGATCAAACCAGTAGATTGGGTCTTTGTGGCCAACATCACTTCCATGCCAATGCGTCATGAGTAATAGCGCTTGGATTTGGGTATATGCGTCGTTTTCGGTTTCGAACTCATAAAGGAGCTGAGAGGACATGAGTCTGATGTTTGCCATTCCATGCGATAATTACTCACTTTGGCCCTCTCGAATAGTGTCCTTCTCAATGCTTTTCGCGAAGAGAACCCGGCTCCGATGGCAACTTCCTGTGCAATGAAAGCACTTCCAGCCAGCATGACAGCCTGATGAAGAAGTGGACTGTTGAACTTGGACTCATCCTCGACCATGGCTCTGCACAAGAACCACTGTAAATCAATGATTGGAAGTAAAGGATGGACATATTTGATGTATGCCCCAAGCAACTGATTGCGGAGCTCAATTGGAACAATCCTCAGCGCCCCTTTTAACATCAAGTATTCATAATCCTCTTCAGAAAGATGTGGAGGCCGCAAGTCAAATGTTCTTTGTAACTCCAATGGCTGGTTCTGTTCCCCGAGAACGAGGTCCGGTGTTCGTGGTGAGAGAAGTTCGTTTATTGTCGTCAGATAGCTGTCTAGTGGATATGTTTGAGGAACATTGTGTGTAAGAGTCATATGTGGTCCATCGGATAAGGGCTTGCTGCCCGGTGTGATGAACTGGGAAAAGGCATCTAAGGGTGTCAATATCTATTCAAGCCTTTCTGTAACTTTTAGTGGTATATCCTACCTAGATCAACTACACCACACATGTCCACATGATCCACATCCTCGGTATTAGAGAAGGCCTGGACAAGGGTACTAAAAGAGGATGCCACATTCATTGGCACGGACCGCAATTGCTTCTTAGCTCTGTTGTTCAGGGCATTAGCGCTGAACTATTCGCTTCGGCGTTCTCTTTTTCTAGACTCGGGGTAATATCTACCTTGGGTCTTTGGAGATGCAGCAGTGAGATGCGCTCGACTGACACCTGCGACAAACTCGTGAGATTTGATCTGTTTCGCACCGAAGCTTCGATCGTCTGCACTCAGTACACGCCTGTGATGCTCGTTGAGTAACTTGCTTCATATCGATAGTCAATATGGCTCTTACAAGTGTCCTTTGCGCTGCCTAATGCGTTGCGGATTTGCTCTCAATATGAACAAAAATGACACGAGAAACACGAGAAACACCCCCGGTGCATCCGCCCACATGGAGGGATGACGGATCCGCACACCCCGCTTTTTTCCGGGGAGAGGCAGCTGATCTGACTATTAATTGGCTATTCGATATGTTTATGGTTGAGTCTGGACTTAAGGCTGCCGGTAAGTTGCGGTGAGTGGACGAAAACCTCCACCGGATGTATACGGAACTTCCACCGGCACTTAAGCAACCAATCACAAAGGGGAGCAATCGAATGTCAATTTACCCCGGAAACACACGGTCAAAGCTATATGAAACTACTAGAAATACAATAGCTTTGTATTACTTTTCCAAATCTTCCTCTCAAAACCACAAGGTCCCTCTACCACTTCCAACAACCATCCTTATGAACAAAGCAGCCAACGTCCCCATCCCTTTCTCCCGTAACAATCCCCAAAATACCCAGTCCAGACTCCAATGGATCCCCGGCTCTACCCTGCGCACTAACAGCAGCCTCAGTTTCACCCCTCAAGTTAGACCTAACTAACCCAGGACAAAATGCAAAGACGCGCACCTGGCCTTGCAGCCGCTTATGCATCTGAACAGTCATCATATTGAGCGCAGCCTTACTCATACGATACTCATCCCAAGGCGCAGCATAGTGCGGACAGCCGGGGTCTGTCGCCTTGGACAATGAGCCCAAGCCACTGGAGACCTGGATGATACAAGGCTTGGAGGATTTAAGTAGGAGCGGGAGAAAGGCTTCCGTGACCAGCATTGCGCCGATGACGTTTGTCGAGAAGATCTTGGTTAGCTTTTCGCGCCCGCTGCTTTCTGGTGCGGCTGTTCCGGCGTTGCTCATGAATACGTCTACTCGGCCGTAGTCTTGGGCTACTTTGCCCACGCCTTTGGCGATTGAGGTGTCGTCTTCGATGTCTAGGTGGAGGACGGAGAGAGTGCCTTTTATGCCGGTGCTTTGAATTTCAGAGAGGGCTTTTTCACCCTTTTTCGGGTCTCGGCAGGCCATGATTATGTGGTGGTTTGGGTGTTGAGCTAGGACTTGGGTTGTTGCATAACCGACGCCTGAGTTAGCGCCTGGATAAGGTGAGTTCGGTGGTTGACGACTGGGGACTTCGTTGGGATTGTTGTCTTACCTGTGATGAGGATGATCTTAGATTCAGACATTCTGCTGTTGTGTATTGTATATCGGCTGGGATCGTATTGGGTGCCATCAACATATTTATATACGCAAACCCAGAGCGTCAAATCGGCCTTCCAGGGTTCAACATGGACATTACGATTGTTAAGTCCGTCTATATCAAGATTCAACCCAATTGCTTCAATTGCGGTTTCCCTCGTTGAGTTACCCAGACAGAATCATGTTACGCAAAACCGGATATAAGCCCTCTATCGCCGTCTCGGCATTACCGGAACACCCGACCGAGCTCACCTCAAGACTCCGATGATAGATCTAAAACTGGCAAAGAATCCTGCTATGTTCTGTAAGCTATTTGATAAGGGCGCAGCTTTATGGCCTTAGGCATATCAGGAGGCTGAGTTCCCAGGAGAAAACAAATCCACAAATAGGTTTATTTCGGCAAACAATAAGATCCTCTCACCATATTCACAAGAGGAGCGACTGAGACCGAGGAATATCTATTCCCTTGAAGGTTGAACTCCCGAAGATAAGCAAGTTTAAAAATATCAGTTTTCTAACGATCCATGCTACCGACAAAGTGGGCCGAGTGCAATGCTTAGCACTACACCTTCCTGAAGGAAGTCAACTACATCCAGATGATCTCAATAGAACCGAGTTGCTGATATATCTACAAGCGCAGTACGTTGCGGCTCAACGCATTCAGCCAGCACCAAAGTGAGGGTAGACTTAAAAAAGGGAAGTACGTGTACTGTTAGATGGCCGTGAATCAATTTCTGCGCAGCAAAGGTTGAATACATTAAACAAACAACCCTTAAAGCATCGAAAAGCGACCCGAACGTAGCTCGACGAAACCCCTGAGAAGATTTCAGAAAGAAGCCACACCGACTAACCATCTCATTCTTTTTTTTTAACACAACCTTGGAAATATATCCGACTATCGAAATCCACTCCATCTGATTGGAACAGCTCCGCGGAACATAGGCCCCGCCATATCTCACGCGGGGAAGGGCAGGGCGGAGCATCCCTAAGCCCAAAAAACCAGCCAACCACTCACCAATCGCATTGAAGTGATCGTCGCGCCAAGTCCGCCTCTGAGGGGGAAGAGGGCCGCTCGGATTCTTATATTGAGAGCTAGAACAACTTGAATGGAACATCAAATTACCACGTCAGTTTTAAATAGCGGAATGGCGCGATTTTAGGCCTTGGGCTAATAGTATTAATAATTCTATCATGACAATAATACTTAGATTATCCGGTTAATACCCCAGAGAAGGGAGGGACCCTTGTGCCATGCAACTTGGACGCAAGGGATTGGACCTCGATTCGCGATCCCTGCAAGGTGGAACTAGATGCATAGTCAGTTCATTTCTTGCTTGGTGACCTCATTCTTAGACTGAAGTCAGACATGCAGGCAAGCTACATGTCAGTTCGTGGATGAGACAAAAGCACTGGTGTTTTTACACGGGTGATGTATGTCTATGGTAAAGATGGATCGGCTGTCGCGAGTCTATTGCGATCGCCAATGATTCTCCGCAAATCTTGAGGACTGATCCAGCATTCCATCGCGTGAGCAAAAGAAAGGCAGAGAAGGAATAGTGATTCGCTGGCAAGAAATACTCCGCTGCATACCATCGCAGTTGTGATTTGTCGGTTCCTGGTCACGGACTCGGGGTTTAGCCGTATAACCACCGATGTACTATTGTGCATATGGATAATCTTGGAAATTCTGGTTTGTTTACCGTCTAATCCGCAGCTCGAACATCTCTCTATATGCAGTTTCTGATTTCATGGGCTGTGAGCTCACTATATGTAGGTCGACATCATTGCCATCCCTTCCATTCTTGGCATCTGCATAACTGCCAACCACGCCAAGCAGACACCGATGCTTCCTGCAATCCGGCATTAAGTCCCAACTGAGTTCTTTGCTGTCTTAATTCGGAATGCTTGGGCTTCTCCCTGCGGGGTTGATCAGCCCTTGTGGAGACATTTCTGCCAAGTGAGCATGCTAATACATGCACATGTACCTTCGACGATGCCACTCGGTCGAGTACAGGGGTCTGAGGACCGATTCCCTTTTGTTGTCCGTATGCAGGGAAACATAGTGCCATCTGAACATCCCGCGTGCGCAGGTCAGACGTATTTAAACTCTGGCATGGGCCCAATTATGCTGAGAATGTGACCCTTTTATTCCGAAGATCTTCGCTTTTTCTGTTGTGTGCCTGCACGCCTGTTGATCTTCGTATCTCTGATCAGCATGCATTTAGCTCGGGGTGTTGTGTTTTCGTTGCTGGTGGCCACTGGTCTAGCCCTTCCTGGTAGCGAGGGTAGTAAACACCATGCGAACAAGGCACGCAGTGCAGGTTATGCTCTGAAGGAGCCTCCTTTGACCACACCGTGGACAGACAAGGTCGGCACTGAGCCTTGGCCTGAATATCCTCGTCCGCTGTTACAACGGTCTGAATGGAAGAATCTTAATGGCGTGTGGAAATACCAGAATGCTTCCGGTCTGAATGCAGTTCAGAATCCACCCTTTGGACAGGAACTTGCACAGGATGTGTTGATCCCATCGTGTCTTGAGAGCGGATTGTCTGGTATGTCTTTCATGTTAGCCATGTCATCATCTGAATCTAACAAAATGCGCAGGAGTCCAATCTGATTGGGCTTTATACTCGTGGTTCTCTACCTCTTTCGAGGTATCTTCCTCCTGGAAGGGCGAGCAGGTGCTTCTCAACTTTGGCGCCGTAGACTATGAAGCCACAGTATTTGTCAACGGTAAAAGGGCAGGTTTCCACCGTGGTGGATACTTCCGCTTTGCTTTGGATGTTACAGAGCACCTGGTGTTTGACAAGCAAAATGAACTGTGAGTACAGCTAAATCTAAAAGGCGATCAATGCATCTGACTCAAATTGCAGGCTTGTCTTCGTTCATGATCCCACAGATGATGGTGACTATGTAATTCCCATTGGAAAGCAGACTCTTAGGCCAAGTCACATCTTTTACACGCCGTGCAGTGGCATCTGGCAAACTGTTTGGCTAGAAGCTGCCCCTGCAAACCATATTACGCAGTTGGATATCGACGGTAACATGGACGGACAAGGTGAGTATCCAAAGTCGGTATAAGAGAGGCTTAGATGATTCTGACGATAAATAGTCAACATAACTGTGCACAGCTCAGCAAAGGATGCTTCCGCTGAAGCGGAGGTTACGGTGCACAAAGATGGGAAGGTCCTTGCCACTCACAATGGTCCGACCAATAAGCCCTTCCAATTCACTGTGCCTTCGCCTAAGCTCTGGTCTCCTGACTCACCTAACTTGTACAATGTGACCGTCAAGTTGGACAAAGATGAAGTGGAGAGCTACACCGGCTTCCGCACAATTTCCCGCGGCAAGATTGATGGTATTGAGCGGCCCCTGCTGAATGGAGAATTCATCTTCATGTTTGGCACCCTGGATCAGGGCTACTGGCCAGATGGATTGTATACTCCTCCAACCCGTGAAGCAATGGTGTATGATCTCCAGGTGCTTAAGAAGCTGGGTTTCAACATGGTCCGCAAGCATGTAAGTTATATCGCCCTATGTTGTCTTCCGGGCTTATACTCACACTTTCGCAGATCAAAGTCGAGCCCGAGCTGTTCTACCAGGCATGTGATGAGCTCGGTCTCCTTGTAATCCAGGATATGCCATCATTGCGGCCGTCACAATCCAAGACCGTGGAAAACTGCAGATCGGTCCCCATTCTTCCGGACGAGAAGCAACAAGCAGAGTTTGCCCGGCAGTTGGACGTCCTGGTTAACCAGTTCAAGAGTTTTCCCAGTATTGCCACATGGGTAAGTTGAAACTTCCTTTTATGCAGGGGCTAGAGCTAACAGGGATTGTTTCACAGGTCATATACAACGAGGGCTGGGGCCAGATCACAAACTACTATCCCGAGTTCGAACTGACCGATCGAGTCAGACAGCTGGACCCTACTCGTCTTGTGGACTCAACTACTGGCTGGCACGATCACGGTGCTGGAGACTTTAGCGTCAGTATCCTTGCCATGGAACATGTCACACATGGCTGATTGAGATATAGGACAACCACCACTATGCAAACCCACAATGTGGCACGCCATTCTACTCCGCAGACTCGAGTCCCTTTGATCCTAGCCGCATTGGGTTCCAGGGTGAATTTGGTGGCATTGGAAATAACGTCTCCATTGAACAGTGAGTATACCAGTTTCCTCGCTTAGTTCTCCACACTAACTTCTATCTATAGTCTCTGGAAGAACCAGGCTGCCATTGACAGCATCAACAGAACCTATGAAATTGACACTACCATCGAGGCCTGGAACTATCGTAGTCACATTCTCCTTGGCGAGCTTGAAGACCAGATCCGTCTCTTCTCATGCAGTGGGGGAGTCTGGACCCAGACTACCGATGTCGAGGGCGAGGTCAACGGCCTCATCACCTATGACCGGCGATTGGCTAGAACCGACGAGAAGCAGTGGCAGGCGGATATTAAGGCACTTTACGATGCCGCCGCAGCACGTAGCAATGCGACCACGGCAATCTTGTAGGGAATATATTTACTGAAAGGCCGTGCCAACCGGCATGGTAGGGATCAATGTGACGAGTACATAACATATATTGGCTCTTTTCTCTGAAACACAAACTGAATGCTATAAATTCTAAAGTAGACCTGTCATCCAAGGTTGCTTATATTAAGCTCCAAAGTCACATTTCCCGCGATGCACTGGTCACTTTTCTTCGATCCAAATAGGGGTCAGCAATGACTTGACTGGCTCTGACACTCGGCACTTCTCAACTTCCTTCCCGCTGTCAAATCTCCCCGGAAAGTCAAATATATTGCTTAGCATGACATATTCACGGACGCCTTTGACGACGTGGCACGGAAAGCCGTGAAAACAAGATTAAAACCCTTAATTTTAGACCACAGGAGAGGGACTGGCTACGAAGGTGGCAGTGATCGCCTAGCGCGGCTGTTTGAGAAGCGTCTCAGGTTAAGCCGAACGGAAGGGAAAAAAAGAACGAATGCGGAAATTTGTGATGATCTATCAAACTTGGCCAACATCAAGATCCAAATTCAAGATTCGACCTTTTCTCCTTTTACCCTTTTTGCTCCGAAGGAAAAATTTCTCTGTCTCTGCCTATTTTAATAATATTTTCAATAGGAACAGCCCCATTGATCAGGCCATCTCCACCGGCCGGAAAACCCACCCGAATTTAGTATCATGCCATGCGATCACACGACGCCGACTCGACCTACGGATACACAGTTCCATATGATCGATCCAATTCCTGCGGGATAGACGGTAGGCATGTTCTCCGTGTTCTAGCGTGCCCCTTATGCAAGTGTTCCCTGATTTTATGAGACTATCACTCTTTAGAACCGCCCATTATCGTTTAGCTCCGATTAATCCCTGCTATTGTTCTGCATCCAAGGCTTTTGTCCGAAGGCCCACTCGGTCAACGGTTTGATTCATTAAGTTAATTTCTGGAAGACAGGTTCTGAGGGGATCGAATCTTGCTAGGCGTTGCAATAGAACCAGTTTGTTGAGAGATTTAGTTCCAATCAAGCATCGGTTCATGACGACTGTCGTGCATATCCATTCTATGTATATCATGAATAGTAACCCGAAGCCCGCAAACCCGTCGGCTCCGAACGGAATCCACTTCATATCGGGTCCTACGCCAGACCGTTGGGACCGTAGCGGAGTACGGAGGGCATGGCCAGACCAGTAAACGAGAGCGACATACGAGTATTGCATAATTTATTTTGCTGCGCTGGCAGACAGTTGACAGCTAACGATCAGATAGGTCGCATTGAAGATGCCATGTCGTCGATGTAAAACGTGACCAAAGCGCATGTCTATAGATGAAGGAGGACACAGCCTCTAAGAAGCAAGAACTTAATCTCCGCGTTCCCATGTGGACATCCCAAGTCGCTTGTTTCAAGTTTGCTCGTCTATGACAGCACTCCAGATGTGGGTCCCGTCTTTTGACTTCATAGTTCCGGGAGCCTGAGGAGATTGCAGGGATCAGCCCACACTTGTCTCTCCATGTCGGAGAATAACTCCATTGCCTTGCGTGGTCTGATTCGACCGTATCTGATGCATCCAGGATCTGAGCGTTTCTCGTGTAATCGGGTGTGACCGCTTCTCTAAGGAAGTGGCCCACGGGCTGTCCTGATCCAAGGTTGCCTGCAGCAGATCCCGAATCGGATGCATTGTGCATGTTTCGTGGCTTGGGCTATGGTCCTCTTGGAGGGACAGATCAACACTGTAATGTAACGGGGATCGCGTGTGGCCACGTATAAATACTCGAACCGCCATGAGCTTGCCACGAGGTGCCCCAGTTTTATATTCCTTTCCACCAAGATCTCTGATCTCCCTGCCTTCTAAACTTCTTCTATCATATTGAAAATACCCCAGGTGTTCGTTACAACTGCCGATTGCGTTTATCCAACATATCAAAAACCATATCACACGATGGAGTACGGTTTCAAAGCGCCTCCCGAGCCAAAGCATGTTGACCGCAAGCTACTCTACACAAGCTTGGAAGAGCGAATCAAGTACTTGCATGCCTTCCTCGACTTTAACTCCAGTAAGTACTGACCATCTATCTTACCTGTTCGCTAGAACAAACGTACTGACAAGATCCCAGGCGACGTTGAAGCGCTGGTCAGCGGCACAAAATACATCAAGCAATTGATCCCAGCAGTAGTCAACCTGGTATATAAGAAACTTCTCGAGTGCGACATCACATCACGCGCCTTCCACACCCGAAACACAGTCGACGAGACCGAGCCCGAAGAAGACTATCTCGACGAAGACGCGCCCCAAATCAAGCGGCGCAAGATGTTCCTTCGGTGGTACCTCACACGCCTCTGCCAAGACCCAACCACAATGGATTTCTGGCGATACCTGAACAAGGTCGGGTAAGTGAAACCTACCTCGAAAAGGGCATTTCGAGGATGGAAGAGTGTCGCACACGAACCGCAAACTAATGTACTTCGCAGCATGATGCACAGCGGTCAAGTTCGCCGATCTCCCTTGAACATCGAATACATCCACCTCGGCGCCTGCATGGGCTACATCCAAGACATCTGGATCGAGGCGATGATGTCACACCCACACCTCTCGCTCCGTCGCAAGATCGCCCTCGTGCGCGCCGTCAACAAGATCCTCTGGATCCAAAATGATCTCTTTGCTCGCTACCACTGTAGCGATGGGGAGGAGTTTGCGGATGAGATGTCTGTGATGAGTTTCGATGATCAGGAGGGATACCTCGGTGACAAGCGCATTCTTGGCAGTAGCTCCAATAGCTCGGTTGACGATGACCGGTCTAGTATCTCTAGTGGGGTGGCGCCTTCCACTCATAGTGCGGCCCCCTCCACGAAGACTAGTACCTCGGTGGCGGCGTCTGCTTCCAAGACTTCGGTGTGTCCTTTTGCGGATATGGCCAAGCCGTCGTCGACTGAGACGAAGATTTGGGCGAATTGAGGATAGTGGTTGTGATGCATTTTCTGGCGTTTGGGGAAAAGTTAGACTGGAAATACCTGGACGTTCATATTTCAAGCAAAATCAATGTGTTGTGTTTTTACCCCCTATAGTTGACGCGGAAGAGTTCCGGAAGTTCCGGAAGTTTGTCATGTTTGCCTCCTCCTTCCGGGTGGTTCCCCCACATAACTCCCGACAATAACGCCATTGTTGTATATCCGTGTCGGAGGTATATCTCTGGGACGCGATTGAACCGGAGATAACTCACGGTCTACGACAATATTAGGGATCCAGATCACCCTGGGACCCCAGGTTACAAAAATCCTCGGAATAAGAACTCTATGCCGCTCATCGGCAATCCCCACCATCTCCTTTCCACTTAAGATCGGGCCGCCGATCTTTTTTAAACCCCTCCATGAGCATTAGACTCAAATCGTTTCCGTCCAACTTTCCATATTCCCTTCTAGTATCTTCTCCTCCCTTACACCATGGCGAACGAAAAGGCGGTGACCCCGCTCATCATTAACAATGAGTCCATCGAGACCGATATCAAGTTCGAGGTCCACGCTCCTGCGACCGGCGAGCTGAACGGCTACTGTGCTGGTGTCTCCGTCGAGGAGGCCAAGCGCGCAGTTGACAACGCCCAGGCTGCCTTCTCCGCATGGAAGAAGACCAAGTACAATGAGCGCCGCGATATCCTGCTCAAGGCCGCTGACATCATGGAGTCGCGTAAAGAGGAATTCATCCAGTACCAGCGCGAAGAGACCGGTGCCGGCCGCCCCTTCACTGAGGTCACCTTCGGTCTAGGTGTGGAGTTCATCCGGGACTTTGCTGGCCGAATCTCCTCCATCCAGGGTACTGTGCCTAACGTCAACCGCGATGGCGAGGGTGCTATCGTGTACAAGGAGCCATACGGTGTGATCCTGTCAATTGCGCCTTGGTGAGTGTTCACATTGATAGATATAGTACTCAGGTGATCTGCGGAATGTAAGCTGACCCAGAAGCTTTTCTGGTTGCACAGGAATGCGCCTTTCATCCTTGGTGTCCGTGCCGTTGCGCAGCCTCTCGGTGCTGGTAACACGGTTGTTCTCAAGGGTTCCGAGCTCTCGCCCAAGTGCTTCTGGGCTATTGGCGACGTCTTCCGGCAAGCTGGTCTTCCTGCTGGATGTCTGAATGTCATCTTCCATCAGGCCTCTGACGCAGCGGCTGTCACCAACGCCTTGATCGGACACCCTGCCGTCCGCAAGGTCAACTTCACCGGTAGCACCAATGTCGGCTCGATCATTGCTTCCACTGCTGGCAAGTACATCAAGCCTGTGCTGCTGGAGCTGGGTGGCAAGGCGTCGGCTGTCGTCTTGGACGACGCGGACCTGGACAAGGCCGCCATGAACTGCGCTATTGGCTCCTTTATGCATGTATGTACCATCCATGACATTAGCGACCAGGGACAGAGTAACTAACCTATATAGTCCGGACAAATCTGCATGTCGACCGAGCGCATTGTCGTGCAGCGCTCGATCGCCGAGGAGTTCCGCCAGAAGCTTGCTGCAACAGCTGAGAAGCTGTTCGGCAAGGACGCGCCCGCCCTGGTGCTGGTCAACTCCGCCGCTGCGGTCAAGAACAAGAAGCTCGTGGGCGACGCGGTGTCCCGCGGTGCGACCCTGCTGTTCGGTGACGCCAACGCCAACGAGTCTGTCAACACGGCTATGCGCCCGATCATTGTCAATGACGTGACCAAGGAGATGGACATGTACGCGACCGAGTCGTTCGGACCGACCGTGTCGCTCATGGTGGTGGACACAGAAGAGGACGCGATCGCACTGGCTAATGACACAGAATACGGCCTCACCGCTGCGGTGTACACCCAGAACCTATTCCGCGGATTGCGGGTGGCGAAGGAGATTGACTCAGGGTGAGTGAATCCATCACACCATACTGTATTTCGGAGGCGCTTGAACAAGTGCTAACTGAGTTTTCTTAGTGCCGTTCACATCAACTCAATGACTGTGCACGACGAATCTATCCTGCCCCACGGTGGATGGAAGAGCAGTGGCTTTGGTCGCTTCGGAGGAGCCGCAGGCTACGAAGAGTTCCTGCAAAGCAAGTCTGTGACTTGGCACGAGTAGATCCAGACCATGGAGATGCCCGGATTTTGGCCCCCAGAAAGAATGGAGCTACAAGGACTTCTCACACTAGGGGCGTTGGGCTGAGCCGCATACACCAATAGCGGAGCCTCGTCTCGCCTGGCCCCCTGTAGCTAGAGGAGCAGGCGGCATACTCGGAAGTTACTGTGAAAATCTCAACGAATTGAATGACCCCGTTCTGTGTTATATGCCGCATCTCGTACTCCCGGAGTGAGTCCGTATCGCATTTGCCATGATGTGATTTGTATCCTCGGCGCCTCTTCCTTAGTGTCCAGTGTCTGTCTCTACAGAGGACAGTGAAAGCGTATCTATAAATAAAAGGAAATAAGTCTAGTAAAAACAAAGGAAGATGAGGCGAAATATCCGAACACCACTCGGAGTATTGGGGCGCACCAGACCCACCCATTCCAGGAACAAGTAATATCCCCTGCGAGCCCTACTTCCCAGTCCGACACTAATCTCGCATGTCTTAGATTAACCCAGTTACACAGCCCACACCTCATTTCTGGCTCTGTACAGGTATGATACAGTAGTCCGTACCCCAGGCAGTTCCGTTCCCGGCACTGTTGTAACCCTAGGTCGGGTAAACTCCGCCCCCTGACTATCAACGGTTGATCCCTTAACGAACGGGTGGGATCGGCACAGCGGTTATACTTAAGACGGTGTCAATGGGCGTTGTGTGGGGGTAGTCCTGACCGTCGCAAATATCAGTGAATACCGGAATCTGCTGTGCAGGGCTAAGGTTTTGTGTTCCCCCGTGGTCGGGGGACACATGGCGTGTGTGGTACCTGCATGGGAGGCGCCCCTGCATGTACAGGTACGGTATTGTGGCTTTGTTTTACCAGGAAATTAAAAGAAAAATAATAAGAGAATTCCGATGGGAATGGAAGGTTGGAAAGAGTGGCGTCAACACTAGATCCCTCGAAATAGCTGAGACCCAATCCATGGACTTGTTCGGGTGATATTCGGTGCCAAGAGGGTTTCCACGTTCCACGGTTGAGGGGGGAAATACTGTAACATAAGTAAACAAACATGTTTCTCCCACAGTAGGAGTATGTGTTTACGGTTATAATGTTATGAAATTGAACATTTTCCATGTCTTTCCCACATTCGATCCTGCGATCCTCCATAATCTTACTGGTATTTTAAATCTTCGGACATTCTCTCGATTCAAGGGTCTGCCCGTTCACATAAAATTAAATCGCCAGGTCCACCAATCAGGGGCGATGTTGTTTTACGCTAACGCATAGCCTTATCCAGTACTGTCAGGCGTTACACCTCGTGGGATCACTGCAGTCTGGTATAGAATCCATGTGATATGAATATGTACACGGAGTATTTTAAGACATGTATACAGAGGATGTAGAGCAATCACAAATACAAACAGCTACAGCCATATAGCCATATAGCCATATATACAGGTAAGTAAACAGAGTCACTCGCTTGGAACGGGCCCACCGTTTTGGGGCCGTGCTTGGCTTTGGGCCCCACTTTGAGACATAGAAATGTAAGTCGCCTCCCAGGCTTCCCTCTTCTTCTTCTCTTCTCATCCAACTCCTTCGTTTAAAACGATAGTCATTCTTTTTCAGTTATCCCACTCCAGTCACTCTTTGTCAATCTCGACACCGCCAGAATGCGTTTTACTACCGCCACCATCGTCTCTGCTCTCGCCGTCGCCGCGTCGGCTTTGACTAGCCCCGACTACACCAAGAACCCTTCGGGCAACGCCATTGTTTCCCCTGGCTTGAACGAGATCGTCCCTGAGGGCAAGGCCTACACCATCAAGTGGCAGCCTACCACCACTGGCCCCATCTCCCTGGTCCTCCTCCGTGGCCCCTCCAACAACGTGCAGCCCCTCAAGACCCTCGCCGAGTCTATCCCCAACAGCGGCTCCTTCTCCTGGACCCCCGGCACTGACCTCGAGGTTGACACCACCCACTACGGTCTCCTCCTCGTCGTCGAGGGCACCGGCCAGTACCAGTACTCCACCCAGTTCGGTCTCGGCGCCGCCGCCGGTGGCTCCTCCGAGTCCACCATCAAGATCAGCACTGCCGGCCCTACCAGCACTGGCGCCGCCACTACCACCATTGAGACCACCGAGAGCACCACCATCTGCCCCGAGACCGAGACCACCTCGGCCCCGGCCACCACCGCCACCCCGGCCTTCTCCACCGTCGTGCAGAGCACCGAGATCACCACCACCATCTGCCCCGAGACTGAGTCCACCGGCGTTCCCCAGACCTCCACCGTCGCCCCCGTCAGCTCCCCCTCCAGCATCCCCTGGGTGTCCTCCGCTCGCACTTCCGCCACCTCCACCGCCATCCCCTCCGGCACCGCCTCCGCCTCCCCCTCGGCCTCCTCGCCCGTCTTCAACGGTGCCGGCCGTAACGCTATCAGCTTCGGCGCCGTCTTCGCCGGTGTCCTCGCTGCTTTCGCCCTCTAAGCGAAAGGCCTTTTAAATTGTGCATAGTGAAGAGTTGGGCTTGACCTGTGATACCTCTTTTTTCTTTCTTTGAAGCCCTCTCGAATAATGTCTGTTGTTTATGAGGCTTAATTTTACAAATCTTTGATTCAGATTTTTGGTGATTCCCATCGCTGATCCTCTGTTTCTTTCATACCATGTCTTTACTTTTCTCTTTGTTACGTTGACTGCGTGCGCTTCTGCTATGCTTGTGTAATGTGAAGTTCATGCTTTTATGCCTTGTTCCTTGGTAGTGTCTTGTAGATATCGGGCATGGCTTGTCTTCCTGTAATTATGTACATCTACAGATATTCATCTCAAATCTACCAAACCCATTCTAAATGCGCAAAATGATGTCACCACAGCACCCCCTTACTGATCGTCCCTTCAAGTCCACCTGGGACCCGACACGAGGGGTGTCAGCCGCCCAATCATAACTTATAGCGAGCACGAATATACCTGTCGTAATGTTCGATCTCAGTTGCGAATAATACCTATGTAGATAAGGAGACCAATTGCTCACAGCCTTTCGACCGTACATGTTTCTTGGCTGGCTGTGTGCAGACGCTCGAACACCGAACCTTTCAGAGTGAGCGACACGATCCAATAATGTTCTACCGTAGTTCAGCTGACGGGGTTAATGCAGTGGTCGCTCGATCTGGTGATTCTCATCCTGATTCTCACCCTGTCTATAGCGCACTCACCCTTGTCACCCTCGGTCGCGCGACATTAAAGCGGCGCTCACCCTATACTCACCGGGCCAACACCCACCCGACTACTAGCCGCACATAAGCCCAATTACTCTACGCCGGCCAATTCTTGAGGCGCCTTGAACATTAAAGTGGCAAGAAAAAATGTCCTAGGGTGAGTGTGAGTGATACGGGTGAGAATTCTAGAGACCGAGGTGACAGAGGTGAGAACGGGGTGAGAAGGGGTGACAACTATAATCACGAGTCTTCAATAGCTAGGTTATATAGTCGAAGAACGGCTCAGTGATACAAAGGAGATAGTCAACTTAGCGCCACTCTTTATCACAAAGTAATATATTTCGCAAGCATACTCTACACGAAATGGCGCAAAAACAGCACGTAGACGCTTTGCCCGACGAAGCATTAGGAATGTCGAATTCCATCGAGTTCTCACATCATGGATAGGCTTAACGCGGAGCACGGAAGTGCTGGATCCTTAGGGCCACTTTGGTGAACTCTTAATGGTTCACTGTCAATCATTAGCCAGTAGATTTGTGTGATGTTTCCTGACTCATATGTTCTGGTGGTCAACACCAGGGACGAAGAGAGGGTAAAGAGCTGTGGTCGAATGTCCACGGATCAAGTTATCCCGCATCTTTGAAGTCAGTGCAGTTTTAAAAAGGATTGGGCAGACTTTCACATACCTATAGTCTAGTAGTCGCGCTCTAGCTTTGAGGATATATCTAAGGGCGCGACAGTAGATCAGCTCAGTTGGCTGCTATAGCAGAGAGAGCTTCGCATAGACACTTTGACTAGCTAACCCAAATTTTGTATTTTTGATCGGCTGGCGTGAATTGCATAGTGAATCTTCTGGGAATCATGTCTCTCATAGACACTGTCTAGCTTCCTAGTCAACAATGTATTCGATAAATGTCAGTACAGTGGAAATTCTAGTACTGGGTCAAAGGGAAATAACTTATCAAGTACCTTAAGACACAAGTCTGCCCGACTTTGGGTAGTCGGGTGATTAAATTGTAGAGCAAATTGCTGGGGGTAGAGGTCGTATTTATAGGCTTTACGGTTCGTCCTGTCACGTAAGTGCTCTGCTTGGTAGCAAGCGTTGAAGGACACCTCTCTTGATTGAGGCCCTGTTGAAACCCACCTATATCTGGAGATGGAAACCATGGATTGCCTTGAAGGGAATCAAATGATTTTGTCGGATGATGGTGAATGGGATTGGAGTCATGATGGACTATCGTATCCAAGCGATGAAGCTTCAGACCAACACCTTTTTGCGTCTCCCACCTTTGAAATCTTCGCAGGCAGTGTTCTTGGCGATGCAGATAAACAAACGCCTTTCATTCTCTTCTCCAAGCAGACGGGGGGATCAGACGTTGGAAAAAGCTTATGGACAAATGGTCTCGAATTGAACCTAGTGGCTGGTAAGGTCCAATTTCTCGTCCACTGTATGAAGGACATGCCCACGACGCTGCCACCGAAATGTCTCCTTGGAGCTGTCCCCGAGCGTGAGGACTGTTCTGATGCCGTCATAATGAGATCTGACTTGGATTTCACATCTATCGATCAATTACCACCTGGCTCCAAAGTTGGATCGAGTTCTTCGAGGAGAAGAGCCTTAGTTCGGCGAAATTGGCCTCATTTAGAGGTGGCAGAATGTCGCGGCAATGTGTAAGGATTGATTGACTCCCACTCAAGACAGTGATATAATAAGTATCTTGTGTATGAGAGATACTCGCCTTGCCAAGCTTGACGCACCTTCTTCACCGTTTTCATGCATTCTCTTGGCGACTGCAGGACTATCACGCCTAGGACTCGAACATCGAATCACGCAACGACTTGATCCTAGTGTGTTCCCTTATGCGGTTGGACAAGGAGCACTCGGTGTCGAAGTTAGCACAGACCGTCCAGATATTCTACAGCTTGTTCAACATGTCGACCATAAGCCGTCCAGATGGCGTGGCATGGCAGAGAGGGCGATGCTTCGAAGCCTTCAAGGAGGATGCTCATCCTCAATTGGTGTTTGCTCTTCTTTTGAGCCCCTGAAAGAAAATGAATCCGCAGACAAAGAACAACGAGGTCCCGGTAGCGGCACTCTTCGCCTCCAAGCCACGGTCATCCATATTGAAGGAAACTCGGAGATATTTGCTGAGGATGCGAGCACTGTCCTGTGCGATGACGAAGCAGAACAACTAGGTGTCTCGGTCGCGGATATGCTTCTTGAAAAGGGGACGCGAGATCTATTGCCAAAACAATCATAAACCGAATTTTACGTTGGTTTATTTATAGTAAGAAGCAAGAAAATATGGGCATTAATTGATGTCTTCTATGTACTTGTCAAATAAATCCTGAAATAGCGTCTTTCACACAAGCAAGAAAGGCTTCCGTTGCTTATCCGTCAGGGGTCGCGAAGCTGAAAAGGAAGTCAGCGAAAAACGTACGACCAAAAAAAGAAAATTACTGCCTCAGGCCACCCACATCCAAATCTTCCCTCGCCTCAAACCACATCTCCATCCCAACCAACCAGAAAGTAACCTCCTACCACTCAATCCAAACCAATCTACCCTCCACCCGACAGAAAACAATGTCAACGCCCAACCCCCAACAAAAATGGCGCTCCGTAGACCCAAGTGCATGGGTAGATCCCAATTCCAGACCTCCACGCCCGGTCCGACAACCCGCGCCGCGGACTATCAAGGGGGTTGAGGATATTCGGCAGACGAAGGAGTATAAGACTGCTGCGCGGAGGTATGTCGATTCTTCTCTTACTTATGTTTGAGATGTCTTGTTTTGGTTTGGTTTGGTTATGGGACTGGATTTGACTGTCATCGTTTCTGTTTAGGTGGACATCGGCTATTGTTGGGTTGCCGATTGTTATGTATACTTCTTGGATCCTTTATGAGAGGAGTAAGTTTTTTTGTTTTTCTTTTATATGTTCTATTTACCTGCAGCGAGATCGCTGCCTCTGTCTCTGGTTTGAGGATGTGTGCTGACTTTGAGTTTCTTCCCTAGTCTATGGCAATAAGAGTGCCAAGCGTCTTGTTCCTCTGGAAAAGAAGGAGTAAACCACCTCCCTCTCTTTGTGTCTCTCTTCGTTGTGATTAATGTTGTTGTTCAAAGCGAATTTGCATGTACTTTTAATAGACAGGACATTTTAGATGGAAACCTACTCTGGTAAATACTGTAACAAAGAATCGATATCATCCCATCCCATTCCAGCTTGTCCAAATCCGAAATGTGAAAACGGCTCTATTGAATTGTATAGCATTCGTCGCAGAACTCCAATTCTGGAGTCTCAGTATATATCCAAGGCTATAATATAGGCAAGCCAAATAACATAAACAGAAGAAGAAGAAACCACGACACAACCAGCACCCACATGCATCATCCCATTTTGATAGAACAAAGCCCTCCCCTTATCCTCCTCATCTTGCCAGCCAGCTGGGGTGAAAAGCACGAAGAAAAGAAATGCATACAACCCAAACACGGTACGGTATCTGAAAGAGTTCATACAAGAAAAGTAGCGGGAGGATAGAAGAGGGAGGGGCGATGGGAAGAAGGTATCACATGAAGTGAAGCATATGTATATAGTGAGTATGGTATCAACTGGCAACGCCCTGGAGGGGAATATGATGATCAGAACCAGAAGATGGCGGGACAGATGTCGAGCCACTGCCTCCGCTGGGTGGTTTAGCAGTTCGCTCACGCATACGTCGACCCTCCATCAGACCGCGCAGACCACGTTTCTGGAGTCCGATCACACTGCTCAAATCTCCCGTCCAAATTTCACGCTGGGGACGGCGGAGTTCGGCATCTGTGCCTCGTCTGTGGTGGGTGGAGCGGGACTGTGAGCGGCCTTCGTCGCCGCTGATGAATTCGGAGTCTGATTGGCTAGCGCTGGAGGCGGATGTTGCTGTGCTTGGGTTGCTCATAGAGTCTTCACGTTCACGTTGGGAGCTGCGCTGGCGCGAGTGTTGTGAAACGTTCGTGTCGATACGGAGGGATGGGAGGCCGCGGGCGAAGTTGGTTAGGTCGCCTGTGCTGCTGGCGGCTGAGGCGGAGATGGCGCCGTTCTCGGTGTCGGATGAGTCTGAAGTTAGTCCGCTCTGGTGGGAGTTGCTGTGTTCGCCAATTGTTGGTACACTGCCGTTGCGGCCGCCGTTGGTGTTGACGCCGTTGAGTGCCTCTAATGTGCCTCCTGGTCCGCTGTTGAATCCTGTTCCACGGCCTCCGCCGGCTGCCATGGCTGCGGCATTGAAGACGGCCGCGGCATTGCGCCCGTCAAGGACTTGGTGCAGACGTTCGACGGTTGCTTCGAGAAGCCCGTCAATTTGGTAGGGACGCGCAAGTTGGAGGAGCGAACAGAGGATTTGCGGTGTGCACAATGAGGAGCCTGCAGGGGGAAGAGCTGCAGTGTAGAGATATTGGACGAGGACTTGAAGGGTCAAGATAGTATGAGGCAGGTAAAGCACACGTGGTCTGGAGGTTGGAGCAAGGGTGTGCGCAGAAGGGGCTTCCAGGTTCTCAAGCAGGGACTTTGAAGGAGCAGATGGGTTCACAAGAGTAGTCGCATCAGAGTAGTTGCTATTATGACCCACTGAAGGAGTGATGGTAATACTTGAATTGCGACTTGGGTGAGCCATGGCCGGACGAAGGGTTGCTGTATCTGCAATTCCCCCTTCTGAAGACTCACGTAGGAGTTGAATGAAGTAGGGACCCCATCGCCGAGTCAACACACGGGAATTGACAGATATGCGTTCTCCTCCCACGGCCTGCAGTTCCATGTCGGCCATCTCTGGCAAGGATTGAGCAAGCTTGCCTAGCTCGTCTGATGCGGCAGACAATGGCCGTCCACCAGACGTCAACTGCACCAGCTTCTTCTGCAAAGACGCTGGAACAGAAGACGAGCTATAAGACTTATACCCCGAAGTTGGTGAAGTGCGACATGGGTTGTTGTAGAGTCCAAACGCCTCCAACTCGACCAGACAAACATGAGAGAAGTTGATTCGCCGGTGGTTGTAATCATCGACAAGACTTCGCTTCCGGTGTCCAAGGATTACGAAAGAATTGCGACGAGGCCAAAGTACTCCTCGGTTCCAGCTTCCATGGCCAAACACGGATCCACCAGCATCAATGCGTCCCCAGGTCAATGTCTTCAAGTCAAGGGCCCAGAGTGCGTATTCCTGCTTGGAAGAGGTCAAGTATGTACCACTAACAACAAAATGGCCATTGATGATACCACCGTTCGGGAAGCGCAGCCCTGGCGGAGATGCCTGGCTTTGCATCGGCCGTTCAACAAGGCGCCCGTCCGGCAGGCGCACCTGCAGCTCCAGCTTGACATCCAGGAAATTGTAGTTGGAGTAGATAAGCATAGGGCAACCAGCAGACTCGGTGTTTTCAATAGGCTCATGCAGATCACGATCTGGAGAAGAGGAGCCAATTTCAGATACGTCCATCCCTACTAAAGGAGCCACGACACTGCGGTAGGCACCGCAGCTCCGGCCCAGGGGACTTGTGTTAGTCCACTTAAGACTGCGCAGATTGAACACACTGATCTGCTCAATATAATGATTTGAACTGTCTTGACCACCGACAACCACCATCTCTGCACCACCGAACCCGTCAATGTCCACACCAAGCGTACCTTGGTGAGTTGAGGACTCAGGGTTGTGATGGATGGCGGATAGCGGTGCGCTAGCAGATGTGAAGCATGCGCTCGACGGGAGTATCGTAGCACAGTGCGCATAACGGCCCTGAGGAGATTCATGAGCAGCGACACGAGTCCATGCCCGAGATGGCACGTCGAAGATATGAATATCCGACATGACCACCACCTCCGACTGCGACTGCGACTCAGCCCCAGGGTTCTCCGGGTCCTTTGGCATAATCGGCGCCGGCGACATGCCTCCATAGCAGACCAACTTGTTATCCCCCAGAGCACAAACACTGTGGAAGTACCGTGGCGGCGGCACATCCCCAGCAGGCTCGATTTTCGTCCAATGGCGCCGAATCAAATCCAACTCGTAAAGGTCCGACGTCAACTGCGGGCGACTGCGCGAGAGGATCCGGCCTCCGAATACGTATAGTTTATCGCCCAGGATTGTCGTCGTCGCGCCCACAAGGGGATGGGGCTCCTTGCCGGTCGTACGTCGCACATTGCACACCAGCCCGGAGAGGTTGATCGGGCCCGATGCAGACTGGTTTAGCGATGGAGATCCTCCCGCTGCTGAAGGCTCGTCTCGCCCTGAATCCATGTACCCCAAACTCGACTGGCTTCGCGACATCATGGTAGGCGAATTTCCTGTCCCCACTTATCTCTGGCAGCTGTTGGCGTTGGCACCCCCTTTTTAAGCCACCCTGTCGAGGTCAGATCTCTCGCATGGGACGAGGTCTCTGTCGGATGCACTGGTGTGTAAGCCGGGTAATATCTCCGTCGGTGCTGATCGTAGGTTACGTCGAAGGGTTTCCTTGTCTGTGGGGAGCGGAAAAAAGGAGTGGCTTCCCCGCGTCGACGCCGCAATTTTGCGGACGCCAAGCTTCGCAAGGAGGAGGACGATATGGTAGATATGAATAGAGCGGGTTGCGAGTCAAATTTCCGGTGAGGGCAGAGTATTGGAAGTGCCAGAATGTCGAAGTTGATCCGGCACAAAAAAGGCGGTCTCAACCTTTCCTAGATGGGTTTGGGGTACCACACGCTTAGTATATTACTTGCTCAACCCTTGCACACCACACTGTAGGACTAATCCATAACTCTTCAGTATAAATCCCGATTGAACATTTACTTCCCAACTGCTTGACTTGGCCTTACCTTTATAGATATCCTGTGGGGCCACATGTGCGCAAAACACACATTACACGAGGATTTAAGTTAGATCCGAAACCGCTAGATACAATTTGGAAAGCTCTCAAACAATTCCGTCTGGAATATTCTTCTGTTTAGTTTGGTAATACAAAAAGCTAGGAAAAGGGGAGAGAGGAAAAACGAGGTAAAAAGTATACAATCGACCATGGTGTATCTTCATTCTACGTAATGAGCGTAGTACTACTACTCTGGAGACCTTTGAATACTTCATAAATGGCACTGTAGTGCCGAATTCGTATCGCATTGGTATCAAGAAGGGCTTTGGCCCCTAACTATCCCAGTATCTGTTTTAAGTCTTTCACATCACGTCATAACGCATTTACTCCTTGATGTTGACGAAGCGAAGGTAACTGGAAACATGTTAGTCTGTTGTTTCGCCGAGAAGGAATCACGTCTTGGGAAAACTTACGGCTTGACCGTACGGACTTCACCGAACTTGGCCTCGGCGTCCTCAGTCTTCATGGGAGGAGGAAGCACATTGTCATCGCCGGGGAGCCAGTTGATGGGGCAAGTAACACCGTACTTCTCGGTGCGCTGGAGAGCATCAACAACACGGAGAACTTCGGCGGTGTTACGGCCAGTGGAGGCGGGGTAGGTCATGATCAGACGGATCTTCTTGGCGGGGTCGATGATGAAAACGGAGCGGATGGTCAGAGCCATACCCTTGGAGTCGACGTTGGTGGTGTCCTGGAAGTCGACCATGTCGTACGCATAGGCGACCTTGCGCTCGGGGTCGGAGATGATGGGGAACTTGAGCTGGGAGCCGGAGACCTCATCGATATCCTTGATCCAGGCATGGTGGGAATCGGTGTTGTTGGCGCTCTAAAAGAGAATTCGTCAGCCTCGCTCCTTGCAATGTGGGCTCATATTACTTACCAGGCCAATGAGCTGGACACCACGAGCAGTGAACTCGGGCTCGAGCTTGGCGAAAGCACCGAGCTCAGTGGTACAGATGGGAGTGAAGTCATCGGGGTGGGAGAAGAGGATGGTCCACTTGTCGCCAATGAACTTGTGGAAGTTGATAGGGCCGTTGGAGGTGTCGGCGTCGAAGTCAGGGGCAGTAGAGCCCAGACGGAGGCTAGTAGCCAGTCAGCTTGGAGATCAGAGAGCTATATTTCGATAAGACGTACGGAGCAGCGCGTTCAGCCATTGTGATAGTGATAGTCAATTGAGGTAACTTAAGGGAGACAAAGAGAAGGAGGAGGGGTCTGGGTTCATATAGGAGCTCCCAAGGTCCATTCCCGTCCATTCCCCTCCATCGGATCACTGATCGCCTTACCTCATCCGGCTGTTGCGCTCTCTTATACGATGGCGTGATTGCCCCACCGCCCGGGCAGAAACCCCGCGATTGGCCTGCCGCAACGTGGGCTGTTTAGTGCAATACGAGGTTCTATACAATTCTATCCTCCTTCTTACCCCAGTTAATACCCATCTTGCCATTACGTCTTACAGTAGTCCCTTATGCAAGTGTCGTTTTATATAGCTTTTAGCTTGAATCGGACATACGTTGTCGTACAGCCCTTTCTTCCACTCGGGATTGTCTGCCGGCCCTGTGGCATTCAGCCCCGAGTCGGCCGACTGGGCTTTGATAAGAACCAATGGGGACTCAAAGGAGTGGCGCAATCTTATGTCGACATGGTGAATGCTGCATCAGACATGACTGCGGCAGATCGCTAGCTCACGCAGTGCACACAGCGAATGGCTGAAGGTTGTTTTACTGTGTTTCTTGACTTCCTACTCATGCAGAGGTACCTGACCCTGCGAACTTGGATGAACCGGACGAGCTATGACCCACGTGGTGGGGCGGATATCTACATGCGTCCGTTAAGCTGCATCTAAGTTTAATGCCACTTTCTCTTTCCGAGTGAACTATGTTACATCATCAATTCCTCGATCGATCGTCTTTGGTAAACAGTATTTCGCTTAGTATACATAGCAGAGAACTGACTACAGTGTTCACCAAGTACTTGTTTTTCCAGGGAAATGGATTTAGTAATAAGCTTAATTGGTCCTGTGCTTAGTACTCCAGTCACTAGAGATCTACCGACGGATCACGTCGTTCTCGGGGAATTTTATACATACCTATATGCTTTATAAGGTTGAACTTTACAAGGAATGCACTTGATTGGCCCGTTAGCAATGGATCTGCAATAGCGTTGTTCTGAAGACGTTTGTTTGTATCTCTGAGGTTTTCCATACAAAACTTCTTATGGGAGACCTATGCCCCGGGCTAGACCATATGTTGTCGATATGTTGCTGTAGAATGCACCTTTATTTTCTAGATATACCTAAAGATCAAAATTACCGATTGCTCAAATTGTGTCTTGTCGCTTTCAGATGGATATATTTCTTCTCTCAAGTTATCCTTTTCAGCGTGCAATATATAGCGCACTTTAGTTAAATTGAAGAACACAACCGAAATAACCTCTTTCCTCCTTGGGTTGCGTAATTCGTAGCATGATTATTTTTAGGAAACAACAGCCGGCTGGCAAATCAAATTGATATTTAAATACATATTTGTAAACAAATATGATCCTCGCTCTTGTACTTTATTGATGATCGACCGATCACGTGTGCCCCAGACCCACAACCGCGTCGAGTTGGTCTCAGTACAAACAAAGCTTCACGCCAGTCGTTCTGGCGCTGGTCTTCGTTTACAGGGCTCGAAACAGCTTGCACAGCTTGAATTTACAAAGCGTACGGGTTCCTCGAGTATTTAGTTCCCACCCCGTGCATCTATCCCATTTTGCATCTTTCCATCGTCGTCGCACCCCAACCGCTATAATGCCCCCGAAGCGCAAGTCTGTCGCCGCGACAAGCGCAAATGAAGGCACTGCAACCCCCGCGAAAAGAATTCGCAATTCTGTAGCTGCCACCCCAGCTTCTGCCCCAGCGGCTCCTCAGGTAAGTGCATCATGCAGGGGCTGATCGTCACTGTTCCGTGGTTGCTACTCCACGACCCCACTCACGCAGGGCTGACCTCTTGTGTATAGGTCGAAGTTACTCCCCAGACTGGTGAGAAGAGAGGTCGTGGCCGTCCGCGCAAATACCCCGAGGGCTCGACTTCCAAGCCTCCTGCTTCTGATGGCCCCAAGCGTGGCCGCGGCCGTCCTCGGAAGGTTGTCGCGGAATCCGAGCCCGATGCTGGGCCTGAAGCTACTACCCCATCTGCTCCCAAGAGAGGCCGTGGACGTCCTCGCAAGGAGACTGGTATGTATTCATTATAACATAATCGGGGACTTTTGCTGAATCACTGCGCCTTTAGTCTCTGAGACGGTTGCAACTCCGGAGATTAAGAAGAAAGACGGCCGTGGAAGGCCTCGCAAGGAGCCTGGTATAGAATTGATGCTCTAATATGATCGGGGACTTTGCTGACTCTCCATCTGTCTTAGCTTCCAAGACGCCTGCAACCCCGGAGATCAAGAAGAAGGATGGCCGTGGACGGCCTAGAAAGAACCCTGCACCAAATGGCGAGCCCGAAGCTCCCGGAGCTCCCGAGGCAAAGGCAGCACCGGCGATTAATAACAATGTCGCCGATACTAACCGTTCTTTTTGGCTTATGAAAGCTGAGCCTGAATCACGCATGGAGAAGGGAGTTGATGTGAAGTTTTCTATTGATGACTTGGCTGCCAGAACTGTGCCAGAGGCCTGGGACGGTATGTTTGTCCTATAATCGACATAATCAACAAAGCTAACCAAAGAACAGGAGTGCGCAACCATGTTGGTAGGTTGATCGGTTGACAAACGTTGATTCCGCAAGTCATACTTACAATGCAACAGCACGCAAATCTATGCAGGAGATGAAGAAGGGAGATTATGCATTCTTCTACCATTCAAACTGCAAGACCCCCGGAGTAGTCGGAGTGATGGAGATCGTGCAGGAATCTTCCGTTGACGGTACGTGCCTTTGTTCCACACCTGCATGCTTCCGTCTCTAACACATTGACTACGACAGAATCTGCCTTCGATACCAAACACCCCTACTACGACCCCAAGTCCAAGCGAGATGACCCGAAATGGGTTGTCGTGCACGTCGAATATCGCCGCAAGCTCGGCAAGCAAGTCACCCTCGCGGACTTGAAGTCGCACGCCCAGCCCGGGAAGCCGTTGGAAAACATGCAAATGCTCAAGCAGTCCCGCCTCAGCGTTTCCTCCGTTACCCCGGCTCAATGGCAGTATATCCTGGAACTGGCAGGCGAGGAGCCACTCGAGGAGTTTACCAAAGTGGAATCTGGCGAGGAGAAGGCATGAGGAAGCAATTACCACATATGCAAGCGATGTACAGACAGGTTTGCCTGTACAGTCTTTCGTCATCTCTATCAATGGCGTTGCCGGCGAATATGGGTTCTCTGCATTATCTGCACTAGCGAATTGAAGCGTCATTTGATATTCAACACCAAGTCTACACGTATTCATAGTGCAAGACATCCGGAGATGTGCGAAGCCGGCTCTTCGACCACGACCTCTAGGAACAACCATATGTAGTTGGCTTCTCACATACGGAGTATATGGTCATGTTTAATACTACTGATAGCCTTCAGCTTGCTATGGACTGCCTACAGTTATTAGGCGCTGCACTTGAACTCAAAATAGCCAAAGGAATGGCCTAGAAAATGGGTAGTATATAGGCGATGTTCATGTACATACCTCTTAGATGTACACATTGCGACCATAGTTGCAAGAATATCCCCATTCCGATCTATCAACTCTCCATCCAGCCCATTCAGCACACGACACACCTCCAATCCATGACTGGACCGTGTGACACAAACCTCGAAACCTCCTCAACTTGCATCCGCATTTCCGCTAGGTAGACCGGATCTCCCGTACGCCCAATTATTTCCAATTCAAGCAACCGTTATTCGTTTTGTGGAATCGAGCTGTCAAGTACCACCTTGAGTAAGGAATATCGTCGATCCCTGCATATTGATGCAGCGAGCTGTAAGGAGCCGCGGATCATGGCTGCCACATCCGGGATCTAAATTTATATTTGATGGCTTCGATGCGTCAGGGGTATCGGAAACAAACGGCGGAGGTAGTAGAAGATGGATCGGGATGATATCGTCCGCATTATGGCCCTTCGGAGAGTTTGACGGTCAACTCCAGGCTTGAACCTCGGGCTATTGATAAGCTGGAGAAAGAGTGAGGGGAAGCTCCAAAGGGCTTCAACGCCGAAGCCGGATGGGATGACCAACCAGAGAGGAATGCAGAGACAAACAGGACAAACAGGAGCTGGAAGAAGAAAGTGTATGCGATGTGGATTCTTATCGTTATCAGGTGGGGGAAAGGGCATCGGTTCCCTTATAGCTTCTTCATCCTCTCTTATGTTTGCCAGTTTGTTCTCTCAGCCCCTGCGCTGTCTATATCGATCTCCTGTCTTCAGTGTTCGTCAATTCCATAGCTCTTCTTTCGTCATGTCGAACGTTTCCGTGCAGTTGACTGCCCCCAACGGGCACAGCTACACTCAGCCAATTGGTCTGTTCATCAACAACGAGTTTGTGGCTGCCAAGTCTGGCGAGAAGTTCGCCACTGTGAACCCTTCGTATGTACAGCAGGAGTCTAGAGCACTGATCTTGAACTGACCGGATTCCATAGGGATGAGACTGAGATTACGTCAGTGTATGCTGCCGGCGAGGAGGACATTGATATCGCTGTCAAGGCCGCCCGCAAGGCTCTTAAGGATCCCTCCTGGAAGCTGCTGCCTGCCACTGACCGTGGTGCTTTGATGATCAAGCTCGCTGATCTGATTGAGCAGCACAAGGAGACTCTGGCTACCATTGAGACCTGGGATAACGGTTAGTAGCTTGAGAATTGCCATGCACAAACCCAATATTGATAACTGACAATCGTTCAGGCAAGCCTTATCAAGTTTCTCTGAATGATGATCTCGGTGAAGTCACCAACACTCTCCGTTACTATGCTGGCTGGGCCGACAAGGTGTTCGGCCAGACCATTGGCACCACCCCTGCCAAGTTCGCATACACCCTTCGTCAGCCCATTGGTGTTGTTGGCCAGATTATTCCTTGGAACTTCCCTCTCGCTATGGCGGCATGGAAGCTTGGTCCTGCCCTTGCCTGCGGTAACACTATTGTCCTAAAGCCCGCCGAGCAGACTCCGCTCAGCATTTTGTACTTGGCTACTCTTATCAAGGAGGCTGGCTTCCCTCCTGGTGTCATTAACATTGTCAACGGTCATGGCCGTGTTGCTGGTGGTGCATTGGTGAACCACCCCAATGTTGACAAGGTCGCCTTCACTGGCTCCACTTTGACCGGCCGTGAGATCATGAAGATGGCCGCCGGTACCCTTAAGAACGTGACTCTTGAGACCGGTGGCAAGTCGCCCCTGGTTGTTTTCGAGGATGCCGACCTCGAGCAGGCTGCTAAGTGGGCTCACATTGGTATCATGTACAACCAGGGCCAGGTCTGCACTGCAACTTCGCGTATTCTTGTTCACGAGTCCGTGTATGACAAGTTCGTTTCCCTCTTCAAGGAGGTCGTCAAGACCACCAGCAAGGTCGGCGATCCCTTCTCCGACGACACCTTCCAGGGTCCTCAGGTCACCAAGGCCCAGTACGACCGTGTCCTTTCATACATTGAGGCCGGCAAATCCGAGGGCGCGACTCTGGCTTCCGGTGGTGTGCCATACAAGAACGTCGGCGATGGCCGTGGCTTCTTCATTGAGCCTACCATCTTCACCAACGTCAAGGACAACATGCGCATCTACCGCGAGGAGGTCTTCGGCCCCTTCGTCGCCATCGCCAGCTTCACCACCGAAGAAGAGGCCGTCACCCGTGCCAACGACACCACTTACGGACTGGGCGCTGCTCTCTTCACTCGCGACATTGAACGCGCACACCGTGTCGCCTCTGACATCGAGGCCGGTATGGTTTGGATCAACAGCAGCAACGACAGCGACTTCCGTGTGCCCTTCGGCGGTGTCAAGCAGAGTGGTATTGGTCGCGAGCTCGGCGAGGCTGGCCTGGACGCGTACTCGCAGGTCAAGGCCGTCCACGTCAACATGGGCACCAAGCTGTAAATGTGTTACAACTATGAGAAAAACGGGTATTTATTTATTTTCATGTATCCAAACTCAGCCGTTATGTTTAATGACCAAATCTTGTCTAACTTTATCCACTTTCCATTGTTTCCACAAGCATGACATACGCAGATCTCCCCAAGGGTTTCCCTTCCTGTTTTTCTCTGACCTATAGATTCTCCATTCAGATCGACAATCACGACAATCTCAATGTCATAATCTCCTTCGTCCTCTCTCCGTGAAATGAGTTACCCACATCAGCTCCACAAACACGACATGAGGATCCCCCGCAAAAAAGGAAAAACGGAAAAAGGAGCGACACTCCCGAACTCTCCGCTAGTGGGGACATACTACTGTACCCAAGGGCAACCTGTAACCACCCCAGCACCATGTACATGTAGATCAGGCCCTATCACACCATATGCATGCAGTTACAGGTATATGATTGCGCAGGGAAGCCAGAAGCAGCGCCCCCCCCCCGGGGCCCCAATTCCGAATTGGCATCAGTGCCGTGTCGGTTTGTGTTTTATCTTGGCCTCAGCGCATGTCCATTACCGCATATTTCCATGACTGGACCTGAACACAATCCTGCAGTTGATGCCCAACCTGTTCCCGACACATGCGATGACTGCATATGCAAGCGTTACCTGGCACGGGGGCGAGATTTGAGTTAGAGGGACACGGGATGTTGGCAAAGTTACTAGTAAGTTCGGATGAGCCATGCACTGTCTGATTATCAATTTTATTATCTTATATAGTATGGATCTCATACTTCTTGCCTTCATGCAGTATATGTAAATTAGATCTACCGCCGATTATAATCTTCTAAGGTTATAGTGTATAGTACCCGTAGGCTAATACAAGCAGAAACATGGTGGCCCAATTTTCGAGTCAGGCAGGAACTGGGGACTCCAGGTTCCAGGTTCCAGATCTCCCTAAACGCCAGCTCATCTCGTGCGCCTGCATGCAGAGTTGGTCATGTGAAAAGCCACCTGGGAGAACAGTGATGAGTTGTTCAAGCTATACTTCTTTGACTATCTCGAGCATTAGTGTGTAGTGTATGGCTGCACGAATTGATATACTTTGTACTTTGGGAATGATTCGCATTGCAGACGTAGACATACTCCTGCAGACCATCTTGTCCTACGAGCGCATCTCGGGTTGTGGGGGTCTTGGCATCATCTCACCTTCCCCCTTCTCCCCCATTCGTGCCACGCAGTTCGCTTCAACTTACTTTGCTCTGTACAGCCCTCAAGGTTACGGGCCGGGTTGATTTCGCGATCGGCGCTGCCAACTGCCAACATTTAACTTTTCAGGTCCACAGGATTCTCCCATTCTCTAGAACCAAACCCCTCTCTTCCCAAGTAGCGGTGTCCATCAGGCACCGATCGGCGTCATGTCTGAAATTCAGAGATGGACGGTGAATGAGGTACGTATTGTGCATATGCAATTTGCCGCCTTTTCTTTTATTTCTTGCTTTTTTGGTCCTTTTTTTCCTTCAATCCTATTCGATGTCGGTTTTCGTGTCGGATGTCGGTCAGACATTGAATGAATGATTGATCCTTCCGAGCTTCCCACAGGAAGAAAGACAGAAAAAGAAAAAGAAATACCCGTCCAATCAGAAAATCACGCACAGTTTAATGTACATGCACTAATTTGTTCAGCCATACCTCGATATCCCGGGAACATTACTCGAAGGCCCCTATCACGATGCAGCAAACAATGAATTCCGTTTCGTCGATATCTGGGACCAGAAGCTTTACCGCGTCGATCTGGCCAAGGGCCCGGACTCCCTTAGAGTCATCGATACCGCAGCTTCTGTTGGGTGGGTTTCAACCGTTTCCCCAGTGGAAATTGGGCTGACAGGAATATTAGTGTGACCGCCAATATCAGCGGGTCAAATCAGCTGATTGTTGGGGCCAAATATGGATTTGCGCGGCTGAACCAATCTACCGGAGAGCTTTCCTATATCCATGAGGTCTGGGGCGAGGAAGGGGAAGGGGAGAAAGCGGAGAGGTAAGCCACCTGTTCCCCGATGAACGCCGATTAAAATTGGAAAAATTAAAAGCTAAAATAAACAGAATGCGTTTCAATGACGGCGCAGTCGATAGCCACGGCCGGTTCTGGGCCGGGGCCATGAACGACCCGAAGATCAAGAACCCGGAAGCTGAAGGCGTTCTATTCAGACTAGACCCAGACCTCAGCCTGCATCGTATGCTGGCACCGGTGACGATCCCCAATGGAATTGGGTGGAATCTCACGGATGACACCATGTACCTGACCGACTCGCCGACGGGCAAGATCTTTGCTTTTGACTTCGACGCCACCACCGGCGCCATCAGTAATCGTCGGGTTCACTTTGATATCGGCTCATCGCTAGAGCCCGATGGCTTCGCTATGGATGTCGAGGGCTGTATCTGGAGCGCCGTTTACGGTGGTGGAAAGGTGCTTCGCATCGACCCGGCCGGGAAGGTTATCGGGCAGATTGATCTGCCGACGCGCAACGTGACTTGTCCTACCTTTGTCGGCACCGAGTTGTTCATTACTACTGCCAAGGATGATCGTGATGATGACCAGTTGCCTCAGTCGGTGCGGTATGGGGGCCGACTTTACAGGGTTGATGTTGGGGTCCTAGGCAAGCCCAAGACCGAGTTTCGGTTTCAGAACTGAAATCTCACATCTCACGCCTAATCGGACTGGTTCCATGTAAACTACCATGACGATACCTATACATGCAGCACGGCATAAGGCGGAACCCAATATCATACTCTCAAGCCTAGGTTAGCATATACTTCACATGTAACTACAAAGGATCGACCGTGCATCTCAAAATTATGACAAAAATGCGGCAATGGCAAGCGCCCTATTCGCAGGCAAAAGCACCCAAGGCACATCTCCCTGTGCCCATGTACAGTCTACAGGTACGCACTTGATCCGGATATGCCGGGTGGGTCGACGATCAGCAAACGGGCGAACAACGACGGTCCGGATCGCTGTCAGGACTTTTTGTCCACAGCAAGGGACGACGTGGGAAAGGCTACACATCGAATCAGCATGTGTTCCATGCCGATCTCACATTATGTAGGCCATACTTCTTGTTTTTTTTTTTTTTTTGTCGGGTCCGATTTACAATCCGCCCGATCTTAGAAAACACGCGTGGGCGAGGCCCAGCACTGCCCTTTCTTTTCTTTTGTTTGTTTGTTTTGTTTTTTATTTATTTATTTATTTTACTTTTTTTTATTTTTCACTTGCTGGCGGGTCCTGCAGGGTGATGCAGGCACTGGTTTGCTGATTATTCGGTGTGCGACGCTGTGGACTCGGTGAAGAGCAGCAACATGGGGCTTTGATCTACATGAAGATGTGCCGACTCACACATCCGGTCTAGATCTTTTTCTGCGGTGGACAAAGCTATTCTTTTTTTTATCTTGCTTGCAGTCGCGGTTGCAGCGGACACGAGATAATCGGAGATCCATGCGGTGAACAGGCCTCTTGGTTCTAGTGATCTACTGAAGGGGAAAAAGGGGGGTGAAGCAATTATAGCATCCATAAGGCAAAATTGCCCGGCTGCTATCGAGTGGAGACCTGCGGACACATCGTTTCTCCAGAGCGACTATTGAAAAGTTCGAGAAAAAGAGCAGATATAGTACTACCAAATACCAGGAACCTATAACGACCTCGGTAAGTTCCTGACACGCATCCGAACCGGGGTGTTCTCGGGGATAGTCGTAACCACCTGCCTAGGCGGGAGAAAGCACCCGACAGACTGGAAATGGTGGTTTGAGGTTGCAAGCCACTATTTCTCCAGAACAACTTCAGCCCCTAGATCCGACCAGTCATCTTAACTGGATCTATCAGACCGCAAATGTTTCTCCATCTAAGCCTACTGATTCGTCGGGGAAAATAAACAGACTGACAGCTCCCCCCTTAACTCTGTCGGAAACTTCTGCATGACAGCCTATGCAGAGGATCTATCGAAATCCACATGTTTTTCACTTCTATACAGTAGAAGCTGTCAAGTGGAGAGCTTTTCCGCCTAGCTGCAAAATGCCTTGCAAAATATCAGCTGAGCCAGCTTCGAAGGATTCATATCCACTTTGTGGGTACCTCAGTCGATCTCCGCCTATTTGACCTTTGCCACGCGGAGCCTTTATCCCAGTCTCCATTCCCACACTCGTTCATGCAGCTCACATCGTGAGGCTAGGGGAATGACCGGATCCCTTTCCGCAGGTCCGATCGTGGAGAATAGTGTGTAGTGTGATAGAGAAGAAACCGTCAACCTGTTTATTGACTTTGAATCCTGGTTTATTTTCGTTCTCTTGACAGCTCTCCTTGGTTCTTTTGCTAGAAGCGTCTAGATCAAGGTTGGGCTTGTCATACGTACCCTTTTTCAAACTTATAAGTTCTCCGCAGGTGATGTGCGCTGTACTCCTGCGTTACCCCGATGACGTAGAATTTCCTATGACATCCATAGCTCTTCCCCTGATACATGCACTCGCCTAAATTGAAGACCCGTTTACCAGCTCCATCGAATCCACTAACACGACTCTAGTCAATCGAGTCAGCCAACCAGACCGAACCCTCAATGACCGGTGAACGCCAATAGTCTCCCGACGGCCTGCATCCCCCCTAACGGCCGGCAACGGCCCCTTTTACCGGGACACGGGGAATGCACAACATCCAGAAGGGATTAAGTTTTTAGACACACGCAAATCACTTAAAATTTTGCTTTTCCTTTTGCTTTTTTAGTCTCGACCCACCAACCCCCAACGGGCTCTGATCGACCTCCCGTTGAATGGTATACTTCGAGTTTAGCCTTCCACTCGGAAATTGACAGGACCAGGCAACTATCGATTGCCTCACCCTAGCCTCGAGTTAGTATGGATCGGACACACGAGACTAGTGACTTTGTCAGATTTTGAATGCCGTCATGGAGATCGAAGTAAATTCATTGGAGCCCGAACATCCCATAGTCCACATGTACTATATCACTAACCCCCAAACCTTCCGAACCTACATAAAAAGAAAAGAAAAGAAATCCCAAAAAAGGAAAAGGGAGAAAAAGAAGAAAAAGCAAGTCTCCACCGGTCCCTGTCCATGTCCATGGCCACGGCGCACTACGATTGTGCATGACGCTTTCCCCGGCCTCTTCTTTTTCGATACCCTATCCCAGGATTTTCCATTATTTTCATTGGTACTTTCTCAGTATTTAGCTAGTATTTTCTGATTTCTGATTTTCTATTATTATTTTCACCCAAAGAGGAGCCCAATCTGCTCCCGTGAGAGTCTCCCTGGAGATGCCCAACTTCCGTGGAGAGACAAGATCACTCTCACCGCTGTCCTAATTTCTTATTAGAGCATGTCTTCCCTTTTCCCCATTTGCTCTTTCTTTCCCTTTTGTCTCTTTACTTGACGCATTGATCTCTTGATACATTAAACGTCTAGCCTCAATTGGAGGCTCTTGTACTTTCAACTTCCAACTTCATATCTACCCACCGTGGCTGCTCTAGGAATCAGCGTGTTGAACGCGCCGTATTCCGGTCCGCTCCGTCCATCCACATTGGCACTCTACTCAGCGGATCACCGCTTTCCACCATCGACTTCCTCCCTCTCTCATACTCTTCGAGGGACCCCCAGCGACGAGGAGAGAGGGGGAGCTCGGTCATGCCCTAATTCCCGATCCGCCGAGGACGGTTCGGATTCTATGTCGAAGGATCGTCGACGTGCAGGTTCCTTGACTAGAGATGCGCTTCAAGCAGATGACCGAGCCATCAGCAACGAGCATGGGCTTGCAGGCAACCGAAACCCAGCCCGTCGGCCGCCTCTTCGGACCCGACCCCAGTCATGGCATCCATATGGACCGGTAGAGCCGCCTCTGGAGTCGCTGTCATCGCGACCCATCGGCGTCCATGCAATCCTAAATCCACCATCACAGGCAGCCGCTGAGCTGGCCTCCAGCAAACGCGAGCCACTCAGTCTACCAGGTCCATCATCCTCACCTCGACCACAAGGTTCCTCACCCACAGCCCGTCCGGGTCCTCCATTGGCACCACATCCATTGTCCCCGAGGTCCCATCCAAGAGCTCTCATGAACCCAGACTCACCCTCGGCCAGGTTTGTGGGCGGGGGTGGCAGGACTTCTGGTCAGTCGAGCGTTGCACAGTCACCTCTGGTTCCTCAGGAACCTTTCATGGGCCCACGACCCCCCGCCATCAGCTCGCCTCTTCCTACAGAAACAGGTCTACGCTCAATCGCATCTATCACAGGCACGCAACCTCCTGTATCGGCTTCGCTTCATTCTACACGTAGTCTCCATTCACGCCGGACCAGCGCTGGACCAGGACCTCTCACCAACCCGAATTCCCAAGAAACGAGTCCAATTACTTCTCATTCGACGTTCAGTCAGTTTGGTCGTGCTTCTCCGGCTGTGACTAGCGTTTCCATTCCAAACAGTGCCCCGGCATATTCTGCGGCTTCTCCATATATGACAATGGAGCCCCATAGCCGGGGTGTTCCTGCGCCCGCAGGACCAAGAGTCAAAGCAGAAGAGACATCAAGAGCTGGAACTCCACAAAGCGGTTCTTTCCCACCTGGCATGATACCATGCGTCCTAGATATGCGGTCAGGTTCATCCAGCCAAGCAGAAAAACGCAAAGCAAACAGTGATGCATCGCGACGATTCCGCAATCGCAAGCGCAATGAAATGCAACTGGAGCAGCGACTCACTGCACAACAAGAGGAGATCCAACGGAGCATGGATACAATCCGGCGACAAAGCGAAGAAATCCGTTCCCTAGTCCAACAAAGAGACCACTACCATTCCGAGCGAGATTTCTACCGCGAACAGCTGAGCCGAACAATGTCGCTGGGCTCTTTACCCCCAAGACCCTCTTCTCCACGCTCTAGCCAGCCAGTCCCCGTCCCAACTGTGGACCCAGCAGGCACGGCCACGTGGTCAGGCGCAGATCCTGGCCGTTCTGTGTCAGGCACACAGCCGGCCCCTGCGGGCCCTCAGCCACCGAGAATGTTAGACCCCGTTCAGGCTCAGCCTTCTTGGTCTGCTAATCCTCCTTCGTATCCTTCTACTCCAATTCCACCTTCCACGCGGGGTGTGCCTCCAGCTTCGTCCGCGTCTGTATCTGGAGGCCCGTTGCCGCCGATTCAAGGGACTTGGCCACGCCCTTAAAACATTATCCTCTCATAAACCTGAAGACACTTGCTTCTGTTCTCTCTTGTCATTTTTCCTCCCTTCTTCCTACTTCCCTTAATCCTCTGTCCCCATCTCTCTCTGTGTGCTGTCACAAAACAAAAGAAAAATGCGGTCACTGGTATGATCGCTGCAGGTGGTATGTGAACCCCTTTAGTGACACGCCTTTCGAAAAGAGCCTTGTCCTGTAGGTTGGGTGTATTACTATATATCTGCATTTCCTCAAGATCTCACAGACAGTTTGTGTCTGTAGGTCTTCGAAAAATGATTTCTTGTCATATCTATCATATACCTGACTTACTTCCTCTCCCTATCGTACCCAATCGAACCTCATCTCACCCTCGTGCAGCCCCCATTTGCTTTTACCCGCTCCTTTTGTGCATGGATCCTGGATCCCACAGCGATGATACCTCGACTGGCTATGTATTTATTCATCATTTGTGTTTCAAATTGGATTGTCGAAGTTTGGAAATAGATTCTACTCATACAGTAGTTTCGAAATCGGTTATACCACAACACTCTTGCGACTTCACTGCCGGAAAATAAATCCGAAATGCGCGAGTCCTAATAGGGTTTGCTCGTCGAACCTTGGTCGCCAGACCGCTTCCTAGAATAGTGCGTGTATTTTACAATTCAACCCAGAGACCTTAAACAACGTATTTTCCACGAAACTGCTATAGGCGCGCTACATTTCTGCCCCTTCGTCTCTCCCCAGGCGGCAACCAGTCTTCCTCGCCCATTCTTACCCGTCGTCAGAAGTTATCCAAAGAGAAGTCCACACAAGATGGTTCCAAGGCTCCACATCGCAAACCTCTATCTCATTCGTGATATGATAGTAGAGCTAATCCTTCACAACCTCTCAGATAGCCGAACACGAATGCACCAAGCTTGCGATCATTAATGTTCGTAGAATTTTGCGGCAATTTAGAAGCATCTATGTTCCCTAAACCCGAATAGGCCGGAGACGAACCCGTGGCACCAGTAATAATAGATGCGCTCCGCGACTACAAGCCCTCTACGACTACCAATACGACTACCAATATGACTACCAAGAATTCTCTGAAACCCAATTTAGGTCCGGATTCTATAGCCTAACCTAACCCAAAACCTAATGCTAGGTACCTATTACGACTTTCCGTTTTAGTGCTTAGGCCCTGCCGCTTTTTGAGTAAAATCTAAGCGCGCCCCTAAGCGCCCTGATCCGGTTTGTGAAATCTGGGTTTCTATGTACCAGTACGGATACTACAAGCTTTCGCGCCTATTTACTCATCTATTGTTGTTTTTGTATATTGTATATCCTAATATACTCAGGTAACGTTATTTCCATGATTGTTGGTGCCCAGATGAGTTACGGATTCCGATTTGTAATCCACCTACGCCATCAACATCGACAGCGTATCCATTTTCACCACATGAATTTTGAAAGCTGCTTTAAAGCTGTACCGATTGCACTTAGCTGTATAAGCACTGAGCAGTGTTCACATCCTGATTTACATATTCTTTCGCATAAATGGCCGAACACAATGAACTCAATCTAGGTAGGCCAAGCCTCAAGGCAATGCTTCTGGCTTCGTTTTCTTACTTACTTTTTAAACCTCTTCTTCAGATGACAAATTCCATTTTGTTTCCCTCAAAAACCTAGATGACCGCACAGAAAGGCGCCTCGCCCGATCACACGCTGTAGCCCGGGGCCTTGAGAACAAACGCAAGCTCCAGCAAAAGTTGGGTCTCAATTTCCGTGGAGTATCTTCAAAAGATGATTCTGGTCGCAACCTGAGCAAAAGAAAGAGAGGCCAATCACTTGCCTCGCCACCTTTATCCCTGTCTACATATGCGTCCAGTGCGTCCCAAATGCTCGCTGCGGAGTCACCAAAGCTGCAGGTATTGTTAAGTCAACGTAAGATCTTCGCGAGTGCCCAGACACTGCCGGTGGAAGCTTACATTAAACAACCCAGACAAAATGCAACATTCGACGGAGCCAATCTTTAGCGTTTTAGACGAGCTTGTGCTCCAGAACTTTCGCTCTGTTTTCCGGAAAGGGCTAGATGACCATGCCTTTTTGAATGCCGCTATGCTCACATTTGCATTCGCGGTCACTGATGGCTGCATCAATAGTGAGTGCCTCCAATATCAGGGTCAGGCTCTTAGTTCCATTCGTCGAAGGATGGACTCTCCAGATATGGCTACCACGGAGTCGACATTAGGTGCTATCTTGCTATTAGCTAGGGTAGAGGTGCGTATAATGCTGTCATTTATTCCCATTGGCTGGCAAAGGATTACGAGGACTAATCTTTCGGTAATACAGGCTCAGCTTGGAATACCGCGACAAGTCCAACTCCACATGGGGGCAATACAGCAGCTCCTAGACATATGTCGAAGAAAGGGTGTGTATTTGAGTGATGGTATCAAGCGTGCCATATTCTGGTGAGTAACCATGCAATATCCTTTAGCAGGCCTTACTCACTCACATTGGTCAACAGGTCAGACTTGAATTCCTCGGTTATGACAGGGTCCAGCCGAGTTGTTGATCACACAACCTTCTCCGAGCTTCAATGGAAAAGAGATCCTTTCGTTCAGAATTCCTTCACCCTGCCACCTGGATTCCAGGCCCACTCTCACTTGCTGGGCCAAGAGTTTGTTGAGGTGCTCAAAGACGTCTTTGCATTGCAATGTATCCGAGACTCTACCTTTTTCGGTGAAGAGGATATCATTTCGATGGCACACATTGATAACCACCAGGCATCTATCCAGTCGAGATTGGTAAACTTACCAAATTGTTGCTCAATTTCAGAGTGCTGCCATCTAGCGGCATATCTATGCTCAACTATGCTACGCTGTAAGCTTTGGCGTACTTCAACTATTCCCGTAAGTCAAATCATGGAACACTTCCTCGCACACCCAGTCTCCTGCCGAGTTGCGCTGACTTTGGATGACATAGTCCCACCTTTCATTGCAGTTGCTCAATAAGCTACGAGAAGCAAACCATGATTTTTTATGGGATGATTGGCCTGAGTTGCTGGCTTGGTTACTACACATCGGCGGAGCTTTTGCTCCTTCGGGAACTATACAATCAGGATACTTGGCACTGTTGCATTTGAACCGCAAAACAAGGCTTAGGGGCTTATATTCATCATGGCCTGATTTGTTGGAAATCCTGAAGCAGTTTATTTGGTCAGAGAAGGCTTTTGAATCCCAGGTCAAGGCTTTCTGCGAAGAAAGTCATATTTGATGTATTGGAATGCGAATTTTCTCCTTGGGCTCTATATATTTTCAGTGACTTGACCAATAACCTACAAAATATTTAATAGACTACCGTCGATGAGAACCTAATATGAGACCGATACCCTTCCTCAACTTAGAGCTTGAATAGAACCCTGGAAACATGCAAGGTTAGACCTTCTGCTTGTATTTGTAATCGGGCTTACTATCCCGGGCCTTGATGGATGACACCTTAGCGCAGATCTTCCCTCGAACAAATGATTGGCTAAAACGTGGCAAACTTGACCTTTCCATAATTGGAGATATCTCTCTTCCCTTTCCGGAATTATTTCTCTGCCCTAAATGTGTAAAACAATTCTATAACATTCTTCCGAATATTACGCTATGCGTTCCAACAGCAAGTACAAATAGTTGGATTTCCCGGAATCTGTAAATGATATTTTCATCTTTCAATCATACTCGAGTACGTCCGAAAAATCTCTGACCATGCCTCAATCACGTCTTTTCAAGCCTCTCCAGATAGGCGATGTAGAAGTCAAGCATCGCATCGGGATGGCTCCACTCACTCGCTTCCGAGCAACCGAAGATCGAGTCCCGACACCCTTGATGAAGGAATACTACAGCCAACGGGCCGCTGTGCCTGGCACCTTGATCATCACCGAAGGGACTTTTATATCAGCAACATGTGGCGGCTTCCCACACGCACCAGGAATTTTCCGCGAAGACCAAGTCGCTGCGTGGCGAACCATCACCGATGAAGTCCATCGCAAAGGATGTTACATATTTTGCCAGCTATTTGCAATGGGCCGCGCTGCGGATGTCGAAGTGGCCCGAAAAGAAGGTGTCGCTATTTTAGCACCTAGTGCTATTCCGATGGAAGAAGGCGCTGCGATACCACAAGCTATGACAATCCAGGATATCAAACAGACTGCCCAGGATTTTGTGGATGCCTCGAGGAACGCTATCCGGGCGGGATTCGACGGCGTCGAAATCCATGGTGCCAATGGCTATCTCCTCGATCAGTTTATCCAGGATGTCAGCAACAATCGCAACGATGAGTACGGTGGTAGCGTGGAAAACAGGTCTCGCCTCCTCAATGACGTGATTGAATCCGTCGTCAATGCCATCGGTTCTGAACGTGTCGGCCTCCGTCTGAGTCCCTGGAGTAAGTTTCAGGGCATGAGAATGAAAGATCCAGTCCCGCAGTTCACGGATGTTATCAACAAAGCGAGTCGGTCAGAAATCGCCTATCTTCACCTCGTGGAGTCGCGCATATCTGGTTCCATGGACTCCGATGGTCATGACCGACTGGACTTTGCATACAATATCTGGAATGGAGTTCTCCTTGTTGCTGGCGGATATACTCCAAACGAGGCACAGAGGCTCGTGGATGAGAAGTACCCGGACAAGGATATTATGGTCATATTTGGCCGATACTTTATTTCGAACCCAGACCTCGTGTACAGAATGAGGGAAGACCTGAAGCTCAACGCGTATAACAGGGAAACTTTTTATGTCAAATCAGCGATGGGGTATTTGGATTACCCGTTCAGTAAGCAATATTTGGCAGGCAAAATGGTCTAGTTAACGCTTGTCTTTGGGAACAAGTACATAAGGCAGAATTCAGTCATTGGCAATAACACTGAAAATCCCATACTCTTCTCTTTCCTGAGACATGAGCCTGCCAGCTACCCTACAGCGAATGAATTTATAACGTCTAATTTTGTAAAATGTTGAGCGGGCCTGAAATTGTGGCGTGGAAATCATCAGCTTAATGGGGTCGCGTCTTTCTTGGGCGGCACAGTTGAATGGTTTAACGAAAGAACTTATCAAGCGAATTTGAAAGAAGGAGCCCGATATTGCCGGATTTGGCCATTGTGAGATCACGCGCTAGTTTACTCCTAATAATAGAGCACTCTATTTACTACTTTTTGTAGCCTTGCTCGCTCGGGCGTCCAAGCTTTATAGTCGTCTATACAAGATTGTTTGTTTATTTTTTTTTTTTTTGCCATCGGATCTTATTACAATGAGACAGACAGACTCTCACCTGTTTCAGGCTTAAGATTTCTCAAACTTACAGCTCCCAAACCGGTTATTATTCACACTCGTGAAATTCCGTAGTGTTGTAGATAGCACACCCAATTAAAACAGCATAGCAATTTAGTCCTCATGATACTGCCGTTGACCGGTCTATTACCTATCAAAAGTAGGTATACAGCAGTTTGCTCAATTGTTCTCGTCGGGGTTGAGATAAGATCGGGATTTAGCTGAAACGCAGCCATGTATAACTTCGGGATTCGAGCTGCGGATCAGAACAGCGAATCCCTCATGGCGTGATATGAAGAAAAGCAGACCCCGCAAACCCCGGATTCAATATTGACCTGCAGCTTAGCTGCGAATCACTAAACTTCCTCGTATCGGCAGGGTGTCTCACATGGCATGATACCGCACCTAAGCAAATCCCGGGGTGAGCTACATACGTCTGTACTTCCCGACCTTCACCTCTTTACATGATAGCAAACATGCACCGTGAACCTCAGAAGCATTTCCCGAATCCGAAAGCTTCCGGATCTGCTGATGTGTCTCACTCTATATCTCGGGGTTTGGAGTATTCGTGATGGTTTCATAGCGCATTGACGAAGGTACCTCGAATCTATAAAATGTGCCTGTTTCCTCGACCAACAAACGGATCAACATTCTACATCACAAATACTAGCTTCAATCTCAAAGCAAAACAACAAGCTCTTCATCATGGTTCCCGTTCTCAAGAAGTACAAGGCCGCTGCCGTCAACGCCGAGCCCGGCTGGTTCGACTTGCAGGAGTCTGTTCGCCGCACCATCCACTGGATCAACGAAGCCGGAGAGAATGGCTGCAAGCTCATTGCCTTCCCTGAGCTGTGTAAGCATCACCTATCAAAAAGGATGATTTTGGCTAACCCATGCGAATAGGGATTCCCGGCTACCCTTATTGGGCCTGGAAGGTGAACTACCAGGAGAGCCTCCCCTTGCTCAAGAAGTACCGGGAGAACAGTCTTCCCTCCGACTCAGAGGAGATGCGTCGCATCCGCGAGGCCGCCAAGAATAACAAGATCTGGGTGTCCCTCGGATACTCCGAGGTTGACCTCGCCAGTCTGTACACCACGCAGATCATGATCAACCCGGCCGGAGATGTCGTCAACCACCGCCGCAAGATCAAGGCAACCCACGTCGAGCGCCTCGTCTTCGGTGACGGCACCGGCGACACTACCGAATCCGTTATGGACACCGAGATCGGCCGCATTGGCCACCTTAACTGCTGGGAGAATATGAACCCATTCCTGAAGGCTCACGCCGCCTCTCGCGGCGAGCAGGTTCACATCGCTGCTTGGCCTCTGTACCCTGGCAAGGAGACTCTTAAGTACCCCGACCCCTACACCAATGTAGCCGAGGCAAACGCAGATGTAATATCCCCTTGTTTATTCTTAGAGACGAAAACTTGATCTGATGACTGACAAGACTGCACAGCTTGTTACTCCTGCCTATGCTATCGAGACTGGCTCCTTCACTCTTGCTCCTTGGCAAACTATCACTGCTGAGGGTATCAAGGTCAATACCCCTCCCGGAAAGGAGCTTGAGGACCCCCGTATCTACAACGGAAACGGCCGTATCTACGGACCTGATGGTCAGAATCTTGTTCCTCGCCCTGACAAGGACTTCCAGGGTCTTCTCTACGTTGATGTAAGTCATTCATACTTCTCTATAAACTGATCATGCAAAGCTAACATGCATAAAACAACAGATTGATCTTGATGAGATCCACCTGACCAAGGCTCTGGCTGACTTTGTAAGTCACACTCTACTCTTTTACTCTATACAAGCAAAGCTAACATTCTATCTTAGGGTGGCCATTACATGCGCCCCGACCTTGTCCGTCTCCTTGTTGACACCAATCGCAAGGACCTGATCGTCCAGGAGGACCGCATCAACGGCGGTGTCATCTACACCCGCACCATTGACCGTGTTGGACTTTCTACTCCCTTGGACGCTGCTGCTGATTCTCAGGCCGAAGGCAAGTAGGAAGACTGACTATTCGATATAAAGCGGTTGCTCATTTGAGAATCACCCAGCATCCGGAACGGGATGTGTAACATAACGGATAGAAATCCCAAATTATTCATTCTTTGATATTCAGAAACTGCGCAAATCATCTACATATGACATGAAATCTTCATGAGAAAATCGTTAGATTAGGAATGGATGTATAGTCATTCCAAATTAATTATGTTGGAGTCTATCTATATACAAGCCTTTTATCAATGAAACATGGTTTCTTTCAAGCAGGAACGCCATCTCTTACAGAGCCCCAGCCCTTCACCGTCCAGTTACCAGAACAAGCATAAGGATATTGCGCATCCGCCAGACTATGCTTCTGCGCCTTCAAGAAAGTCGACAACTCACACCACCCATCCTCGCGATACTCACAAACCGAGAAGCTAGAATGGAGAGGAATGGTGCGCTGGTTCTGAATGAAGTGCACATACTTGGTCTCACCAGTACCGGAAACATAATCGATAGACTTCGAGCCAGCCTTGGACGACCGCTTCGTAGAAACCTGGTGTGGCGCCGTGATAATCTCAATGTTCAACCGACCAGCGAAAGGAACAAGCTTGCTAGCAGAGAACTGCTGGTTCTTCGGGCGATGAGTAGCAGGCAAGAAATCGTCAAATTGGGTCAAACCGAATGCAGTCAAGACAGAGACGATGTTGGCGTCGTGGGTGAACTCCAGATAAAGGCTCTGGTTCAGCGGGAAGGTTACCGGGTTGGTATCCAATGTCATATTGGCTCCCGTGAGTTTCGCCGGAACATCGACGTAGTGACCCTCGACGCGAGCAATGAATTCTTCAACCCAAGCAATACCTTGTGCGCGTCCGGTTGGGCTCATGAAGCCGGAAAGACCGGCGAATTCGAGATCCATGAGGTAGGCGAAACCTTCCCATTCTTCATAGTTGAACAGCTGGCAGAACTCGCTGTAGCCGAGACTGATGGTTTCATAGGGGCAGAGGCTTTGCGCATGATATGTGTCTGTCACGGTCCAGTTGTAGTTTCCAGTCAGATGTCTCAGCTTCTCAGTGCGGTCTTTCAGATAGGTGTTTTGCCAGGTGCTGATTGGCTCGGCGATATTGGCGAACATACTCGAAGCCTCGTTGGCACAGGCAGATTCGCCAGTGGTTGCGGAGTCAATTGTTGCCAGGATGTTGGCATTTTTGGTCCAGTCAAGTCCGAAAAAACCGGCTAGGAAATTCTCTGCGCTCTCGAGCATGCGCGACTGGAGTGTTGTGCGCACAACGATTTTGGAGGAGTTGTCATATAGATGGCCGTAGTTATAGTAGTTGAGAATTCCGCTATTAAAGAGCTCTTGGCGGCCAATCGGGACCAGAATCTCTTTGCCTAGCTGGTAGGACCAGTCATTCAGGAACTCGAGCTCTCCTTTGAAGACGGCTCCGTTGGCAATGGCTTTTTGAATGCCGGTACCCCATGCATCCAGTCCTTCTGATGAGGAGGGATACCTTGAGCCATGGCGCTGTAGCATGTGCATGTGGGTAATGTTGGCGCCCTTGGGCAAAGGATATTCCTTGACTCCAAATCCTTCACTGGGAGAGAAGTAGGGGCTTTATAGGGATTAGCTAGGGTCAAAATTTATAGTCTGAATGGAAATTTACCTCAAATCACCCATAAGATGGAAGATATTTCTCCCATTTGCTCCGCTGATGGGTTCTGACGTTTCCAAGGGGGCATTTGGAACATAAGTTGCCTCGCCGAAGGGTGCTGGGTTTGTTGCAGCCAGGAAAGGAGCAGCCCCAGTCGCTGTAGTGCCTGTTTCACCAATTAACATCCTTCTGCATTTCCCAAGTATCATTTTCTTGATAGATTACATGTCAACTTACCAGCATAGTTATCAGGAGAGGTCTGGAACCAATCAGGCTGTGTAGATGTCGCTCTTTGCTTAATGGCACCAGCTTCAACGCTAGCAGCCATGGCTATTAAAGAAACAAAGCTTTTGGTGGCCATTGTGGATAGTGGCATATGCAATGAAAGTGTAAAGAAAAGCTGAATTCTCTAAAATGATCACACATTTGCTTTATACGGAGTCTTTGCCGACACATTTAAGCTACGCGAGAACGGCATCATAATTTCATCTCGCTTAGAACAACGGAAGCCATAATCTCCACGCCGTACGTTGGATCTTTTTGGACTTCATGTTGTACTGTATGAAGGTGGAGGGCGGAAATCAATCATGATCGTCGAGTCGCCCACGTGGGGCAGCTAAGAGCTCTTATAGTCGCGGGAAGTGGGTTTAGCGTCTGCTCGGCTCCAATAAACGGCGTCCATCACTCGAAGCAACCGCCTATTCTATGCATGAGTTGAAGAACGTGCTCCCTTAGCTGCTCAGGGGTCTTGGTCCGACATCGCTTTCATTATTCATTCATGATTTGCAGCAGCCCGGGAGTGCTGAGACCTGGTCCGATTCCGTATTGGTATTGTCAAAATCCTGGTAAACTAGTGAATAATGCCCAAGTAACATGTACCGCGTCGGTAATATTATCATACCATTATGTCATCCGAACTCGGCCCTATAGCTGTACGCCAGGGCAGAGGCACACTTGTGCCTTGAATCCTAGAGCCCTGGAGGCAGAGAAGGGCTTACGAAATGATTGAGAGCTAATCACGTGAGTCTGCTCATATGGACGTGCGACAGCGCCTGATTTCTCCTTCCCGAAGTCCTTACTAATCTCTAATGTATTCCGCGATTATCTCTGATAAGTTCAACCTCCGTATCAAAAGAATGAATTCTTTTGGATATAATAACATATGTTGAGTGGCTGTCCGCTCTTATATATATATTTTCCCCCATGAAGATCTAGAGAACGTTAGATGCGCATGCCTTGATAGACTTTCGAAATTCAAAACTCTCTTGTTCAATCAAAGTAGGCCTCCTAATCCATTCCAGCCACGTGAGCTCGCTATTTCTTTGTTTGATTGAGTATAAATTATAACTGCATTGAAATAGAGAGTCCGAATCTACTTGTCCTTCCATCGACCAGCCGGGCGCTCAGAGCTCCATAGTTAACAACCGTGAAACGTGAGGAACATTCCGATAATCTTCACATTCTTTGATACTCTACCATAGGGAACCTCAGCGTTACAGAGATGACGCTCAAAAGTTGAACAGAGCCAAATTACCACGCGTTGACCCATAATTCTACCCGAGTCGTCGATGTACTGAGCAAATTGCCGTGGATTGCTGGCTCCTCACCCTTGGATGATACCACCTCTATGAGGGTGTAACTGTGACCTATAGGCTGAATAAAGGAAGTGGAGTACAATGTACGCCACAACCTTGGTGTTCCTGGCATTGTTAATTGGCGGGGGAAACAATGCTCTTGTTGCCGGGAACGGAAGTAGAGCTCTTACGCCTCAACTTGGATATACACCTCACGCCGCACGGACACACCCAAGACTGACGATCTGCATGAATTACATGAAACTCTAGATTTTGTCGGTACGGAATGCTGCAGAGTCTCTCGAAAAGGCATTGCCGTAATTTAGCTTGTCCTCCCCCCAATGTGTACAACTGGTCGCCACGAAATTCGTATCCCAAGATACCCAGATCAGCTTCAATAAACACAATATGTGTAGGTATTATTTGTGACTGCCGAAAACCATGATTACAGCTATACTAAATCATACAAACTTAAACTTGTTGAGCCTGAGCTGCTTCTTCACCAGTGCCAAGACATTCCGCGAAAGTTGACCACGTGCCCTTCAATCGCTGGAATGTGAGATCACTGCATGCAGCATTGCTCTTCTTTTTTATGCAATCAAGTATTTTGTTATGCGAAAGGGAAGTTTATCTGGTCTAGACTGAAAGCTTTGAGTCGAGATTTCAATGGCTTGCTTGGGGGAAAATCGAAGATCGCGTAGAAGATGAAGTATAACTTCCCCAGACATCGGGTCGCGCTTTCCAGTAAACCACATGATGACGACGATACCGAGGAAACTGCCGCTTTCAAATCAACTTCAATCTCTTGTCTCAGTTTTCCTCATCTGTTTCTATCCATCTTGTGAACCCCGCGAACTGTTTGTCAAGGCCTGATCCATATTTTTTGTGACCTTGTAACTTCTGTGTGGCATCAGGACTTGCCAGTTCCAGTCCCCACTGTCTGACCGGAGTGAGCTAGCCGTTGCGACCTTTACCCGTCGAAGGAGGCCTTTGTGCCTTTATTAACCCCGGACCCCAGAAGATCCCGTCCTACGGCCCGCCGTTTTCAGCGCATCCACATTCCCCTTTTTGATCAAACAGCTTGGTTCAGACCGGGTATAGGAAGGATATCCAGCAAGGTATGTTACTTTTGCTTCGAGCCTCGTGGGGATTTCCGTTCTCGCCCAAGTAACCTCTTGTTTGCCTGCATTCGGCTACCTCTTCAGCTGTCAATCCACTCAAGTTTACTTATAGCAGCCGATCTCCATGCCATTTGACACAAACCTACTCATTCCTCATTCCTGAAGCCCAGCCTCCTGACTTTGGGCCTGACTAAGTTAGAATATTCACTATGCCGTCCAAGACCTCGCAGAAGAAATCGGTGCTCTGCCTGTCATTTTTGGCGGCCTTGGCGCAAGCCACACCCACAGTGTAAGTGATACTTGCCTACTTGCCTTCACAACCTGTGGCGGGTCCTTCACATTATACTTACTTGCTCTGATATATAGGAGCCTCAACTTTGACTACCGAGCCAACAAGGTTCGCGGTGTCAACCTTGGTGGCTGGCTGGTGCTGGAGCCATGGATCACTCCATCTATCTTTGATGCTGCTGGTGATGCTGCTGTTGATGAGTGGTCTCTCTGTGCGACTGTTGGCGCAGACCAGTGCCGGTCTCTTCTTGCAGAGCACTGGAGCAGCTTCATCACTGCCGATGACTTCAACCAGATTGCCTCGACTGGCATGAACCACGTCAGGATCCCCGTGGGCTACTGGGCTGTGAAGCACCTGGATGGTGACCAATACGTCGACGGCCAACTGGAGTACCTCGACCAAGCTGTTGGCTGGGCTCGCGCTGCCGGCCTTAAGGTCATTGTCGACTTGCACGGTGGTACGTATTTATATACCCAGTGAGCATAGATATAGCTAACAAGAGTCGTAGCTCCTGGCTCCCAGAACGGCTTTGACAACAGCGGCAAGCGCGGTGCAATCCAATGGCAACAGGGTAACACTGTTGACAGCACCAAGGATGCCCTGGACGCTCTGGCCGCCCGCTATGGTGGCGACGGAGACGTCGTCACCGCCATCGAGGCCTTGAACGAGCCCAACGTCCCTGGAGGCGTGAATGTAGATGGCCTCAAGCAGTACTACTACGACTCGTGGGGTCTCGTCCGCAAGACGAGCCAGGACACCACCGTTGTCCTCCACGACGGCTTCTTGCCCACCGAGTCATGGAATGGCTTCATGAGCGAGTCCACTGGCGTGTGGTACGTGATGATGGATACCCACCACTACGAGGTGTTTGACAGTGGCCTTCTCGCCATGGACATCAATGCCCACGTCGAAAATGTCTGCACCTTCTCCAAGGACCACGTCCAGACCTCTGACAAGTGGACTGTCGTCGGTGAATGGACCGGTGCTATGACTGACTGTGCCAAGTACCTCAACGGAAAGGGTATTGGCGCCCGCTATGACGGTACCTACCCCGGAAGCAAGGCTATTGGTAGTTGTGACGGCAAGTCTGTTGGATCCATTGAGACTCTGTCTGATGACGACCGTAACAACATCCGTCGCTTCATTGAGGGCCAACTCGATGCATATGAGCACGGTACTGGCTGGCTCTACTGGACCTGGAAGACTGAGGGTGCCCCCGAGTGGGATATGCAGAAGCAGCTCGCCGCCGGTGTCTTCCCCAACCCCGTCACCAGCCGTGCATTCCCCGGCCAGTGCTAAACGCTATAGCCTTTATGCCTTGTTGCTTTCTTTTTTTAAGACCTAAGCATACAGCATCTTTATGATCATTGCTTGGTAGGTGTTTGCTCTGTTCACAAATTGGGTGTTTGGATTGCGTATGAAAGAGAGATAGACTCTCGTGTCTTTTTGGTGTTACGGTGTATGTTACTCTTTTCCTCGGGCCTGCTGAACAGGTCCGCGATTGGCAATAAACAAATTGTTCTTTTTTGCTTTAATATAAATTTTTCTGGTAATCTTTTTTTTGTAGACTAAGCTGCAAATAGACGTGAGGCTGTGCCACCTATGGCCAGGGGAGTTTCATCCAGTCTACCCTTTTCTGACTAGCCATTGCAACTGCCGAAACAATTCCGGACTAAACCAAGACTTGAAATTCTCGGCCACAAGAAAATCATGGTCCTCGTAATCGAATCCGGGGACAACCGTCTGTTTCTCATTAGTTCATGGACACATGAACAACCAAAGCCAGTAACGTCGGAGATAGGGGACAAATTACCTCGCTGATAAGCAGACCAGGACTGCTCTCTAGCTTTTCCTCCTTTTCAGGAATCAAGAAACTAGCTTTATAGCACCCTCCCTCAACAATCCATTGTAGCCGTTCCCCGTTGCTTATATCATGCCCAACGACAAAAGTCTCAATACGGAAGTCATCAAAGCTCCCTCCGGGTCCTAGAGGAACCAAGATGACGTAGACCCCTCGTCCATGGTGTAACGTGTGAACAGTACGACTTGCGTTGCGATGGAACGCCCCGATCGGAGTTTTCGGTGTGATGAAGTAGAAGATAGTCGTGGACCTGGAACGCTCTTCGCCCGCATCGTTGACCATGAGTCGCTTGTCTCGGTCTGTCTCGACGAAGTAGCCTCCCTCGATGTGCGGGTTCATCATGAGCTGATCGATGGTGTTTTGTGTGTTTGCATTTTCGGGTACTTGTCCAGCAGCCGTGGTTACAGGAGCCTGGTATCGGGTGTTGATTTCTTCCAGGGATATCTCCATGTGGGGGCGGGGGGGGGGGGGAGAAGGCGGGGTTGTGGCTGTAGAGAATGACGTCGAAATAAATGTCTTGGTGAGATGTTGACTCAAATATGGAGTACGTAGAGGATAACCCGATTTTAAGAAAAGTAACGTTGGAGTTATGATGTTATCGTGTGGTGGAAAATGGGAGATCGATCCAAGGGTGAGATGGTAAGGCCTCGATGTCTACGGCCATATCGGGACAAAGAACAGTCAGCGTCCATTTAGAGCGACGTGCATTCACCGGCCGTAAGCCAGTTTCTGCACCATTAAATGCCAATCGTCCGAAAAGTAGGGTTGTGCTTCTTTCCAAATCCGTTCGGAGTTGTTGTTGTTGACGTAACTATACGTCGTGCAACCACCTTTGGTATGTTGACTTTACTATGTCCTGTGATCTTGACAGCAGAAATGGAATGCGATGGCGTGTACTTCGTAAGTAAACTCCCCATAGGTCGATTCCAACCCAGATGATAGTATTTTGTAACCATCGCTTCCAAGTAGTTTGCCCAGGAAAGAGTTATGAAAAACTTAATCCAAGATATAGGTATGATACTAGGAGCTTGATGATAACATCCTATACAGATGAATCTAATCGGAAAGATTTCATCTATTGCTCAAAAAATAATAGGATGTCGGGGTGATTTCATACAGAAGTTTGATTTATTGTAACGCCTCTGCTTACTGAGAGCGACTTGTCACTTGTAATTGCCGCTGCCTTTGAAGGACGTGAAAGGCGAGCAGTTGCTCACCTCTTTTCGTATTAACTTTAGCCATTCTCTAAAACCTAATAGTTTATGGATATTGACGAGAAAGGTATGGATACATGGCCCCAAAAATAACTCGGAAAGGTGCCTGTACCAGTAAAATTGCGGCGAGAGGGATGGCTGAAGACTTTGAAGAGCTACAGAATGCATATGACGAACTTCAGAGTCGGAAGCAGACCTGCTCCTCGATCCAATGTCACAGAAAAGTCATTTAGCACGAATAATATCTCTCCTAGGCGGAAGTGGTTTGCAGTCTCCAGCTGTCGGACGTCCCCATGTCTGATAAAGACCAGCAAAATAAAATAAAAATCCCCACCGGGAGCTCAAGGTTCGGGTCGAACCCGCAGCTCTCTCTGCACGATATCCGAACACAGTTAACTACCACCAGGTTATTTCGGCGGGGTGGTTGCAAAAGTAAGGGTTAAAGTTGCTGATAGAGGGTTGTTTTTGCCATCCCTATTAGGAGGTAGGGCTCCACCTATATACTAGCACGTGACCTGATTACTTACGTCACGTGGTGTCCCAACAAGGGAAAGGGAAAGGGCAAAAAAGCCCCACCGGGAGCCGGCCCCGAGCGGCGCCCAGGGCCGCCCGTGTGAGCTTAGTTATACGAAGCCTGGGCCAGCGACATCGGCAAAAGTATAGACATCCCGAAAACTTCACAGTCTTTTGTACGGAATGCAAGCGCATGAAATCCCGTGGAAATCTGTGGCCATGACCAGCATCCTGTTTTCGCTTAGGGGTCTTGGCGATCCGCTCAAGAGGGACCTCAATTTTCATACTTAATGTGGCATGGTGTAATGGGCCCAGTGTGGGTATACTCAGTGACATGCATACATCAGAGGCTGGAGGCTTGACCCATAGGGCCAAAAGAGGATGACATGGTTGGCCAACTTCATATACGATCCACCCATCGCCTTCATATTATCTAATTCACGATTCGACATGAGAGATTTTCATTCAGCTTGTAATTTCCACTTTTCCCGCTGTCGGGCCACTGCAAGCTATATTTCCTTTCCATCCCACGGAAGCAATACAGTCGACTCTTTCTTTTCTGTCTTCTGCACCTTCGCTTTGGTTTTTGCGTTCCTCGCTATTCTCGCACTAATCCGATTCAACACTGTCGAGTCCTACCGAGAATACTATTGACAACAATTCCAGCATATATAGTTTCACTGCCAAAGAAACTTGATCTCACTCAACAGTCTCGCAAAAGTAGCAGCATATAGTTGCGTCACCAATCCCGTTGCGCCAATTTCGATATCTCTTACGGCCTCACCACTCCATTGCGCATTTTCCGGAACGCCCTCGCAAATCAGATCAGATCAGCCCTTGCACCTGCAACTCATTATCCATTGCGCCAACCAGGTTTTATAAATGGTCCCAGCAACAACATACCCCAGCGAAACGGTAGTATTAGCCCTCACGCAAGAGCTACATTCCACCATTCGAACCAGTAGCCTCACATCTACTTTTCCGTCGCGCCAACCCAATACTTTGCCAAGCACCTTACGTTCACAGCTGCCCTGTTGCGATATCGAGACTCATCAACATGCCGAACTGGAAAGACCTTTTCGCCAACCGGGAACGGCGTCAATTCCCCGAGGTTGTGATCCCACTTGCCCATGGCTCCGCACCGAACGATGCTTACCCCAGCGATAACTCCAACTCTGGCCTCGACAGGTCTTCTTCTCAAGAAAAGGGCACCGCTGGCTCTTATTCGAGTGGGCCACTGACTCTGGAAGCTCTCAGGGTCGAGGTTGAGGCTGATATTGGCGCCTCGGGCCATAACACTGTTTACGATCGTATGTTTAACCAACGAATCTGATCTTGTTAAACTCTAGTTTGGCATCATCCTCGCCGCTTCAGTCTGACGTCGGACCTAACATCAACCTACAGGCAAAGCAAAGATCATCAACAGAGCAGTTCAGGACATTGGTATGGGACGCTATCAATGGGGTCTGTTCGTGCTCTGTGGAATGGGTTGGGTTGCCGACAAGTAAGTATACATCCCCCCCAGGTACTAACCCTCACAGCAATGTTTGCTAACCGGGTTCTCTTTTAGTCTCTGGCTGCAGGTACGACTTGTGTTGTTTCAACCAGTCCGGAGTTATATGCTAATAAAACGCAGGGAGTGGCCCTCACACTGACCCCAATTGCCAAAGAATTTGGTGTCTCTGAAAATGAGTCTCGCTTCGCAACATGCTCTCTCTTTGTTGGTCTAATTATTGGTGCCTCTTTCTGGGGAATTGCCTCCGACGCTATCGGAAGACGTCCGGCTTTCAACATGACCCTTTGCATTTGCGGTACATTTGGCCTCGCCGCCGGAGGTGGACCTAACTGGGTTGGGTATGTTATCTTAAATGTATTTTGAGATGTATTTATTAACTTATAAACCAGAACATGTGCTCTGTACGCCTGTTTGGGTCTAGGTGTTGGTGGAAACCTACCCGTTGATGCAGCTGTCTTTTTGGAATGCTTGCCTCCCAATTCAAGCAACATTCTGAGTGGTCTAGCTACGTGGTGGTCTGTCGGTACTTTGATTGCCAGGTTCGTCTCTAAGCGACAATTTCACATTAACGTCAAAGCTAATACCCTCTTAGTATGCTTGCCTGGGCTTTCATTCCAAACTTCTCTTGTGAAAGCATTGAAACATGTACCAAGGCAAACAACTGGGGCTGGAGGTACCTTGTCTTGACATTGGGTGCTATCACATTTGCTATGTTCCTCTGCCGTTTCTTTTTCTTCACACTCTACGAGTCGCCAAAGTTCCTGGTCTCTCGCGGTCGTCAGGATGAGGCTGTGGCTGCAGTGCAAGGAATCGCTCACAAGAACAAGACCACCACTTGGCTGACCGAGGAAATCATGAACGAAGTTGGTGGATACCCTGAGGAGAACAAGAAGCAGTCCCTATCCACCGGAGAGATCATCAAGCGGTCCCTTGAGAGATTCTCCGTTCAACAGATCAAGCCCTTGTTCAAGACTAAGCGGCTTGCCGTTTCGAGTAGGCACCCTTTTCCTGTTTTATTTGTACCCCAGACTAACCCCTCATACAGCGATTCTTATCTGGTTCTGCTGGACATGCATTGGAATGGGCTACACCCTTTTCAACGCCTTCCTCCCTCAATACCTAAGCGCCAACTCTTCCACCTACATCACCTACCGCAACTACGCCATCACAGCAGTTTGTGGAATTCCTGGGCCCCTTCTTGGCTGGTACACTGTCGATATCAAGTACATTGGTCGCAAGGGCACAATGGCGGCCTCAACCCTCATCACGGGCGTCCTATTGTTCTGCTTCACAGCCACCAAGGACCCCAACATCCAGCTCCTGTGTTCCTCCCTGGAGTCTTTCTTCCAGATGATCATGTACGGTGTGCTGTATGCCTACACTCCCGAGGTATTCCCTGCTCCCAACCGAGGTACCGGATCTGGTATTGCTAGCTGCTTGAACCGGATTGCTGGTCTCATGGCCCCGATCATTGGTATCTATGCTAGTACTGATCCTGTTGCCCCGATTTATGCGGCCGGTGCGCTTATCTTGGCTGCATTTGTGGCGATGTGTTTCTTGCCCATCGAAACTCAAGGAAAGCAGTCGATGTAAGGCGGTTGCTGTTGTGTTGTGAACCTTTTATCTTCGGAGGGTCCACCTGTTTCAAATTATCGAAGGTTATAATACCTGCTGGGTACTCGGTTATCACATTGGTCCACCAGCTTCCATCCATGCTTGCAGTTCCTTCGCATACTGTTTTGTTTAAACGTATTTAATTGCGCTGCACATAGCATAGAATACGCATTCCTATAGAAAATAATGCATTGCATTCATTGCCTTTCGACTTGTCTGTCTCTTTTAACTGTACGAATACCGAAGGCTCGAAGTGCGACTAGAGAGAAATGAAGGATATCAATGAATCATTCGCGGATGAGATCTACTGTTTGATGGGGTTGAAAATGATGACTTATGGATTGGGGGTATGTAGCTAAAATGCCAACAAGCACGAGGGAAACAAAGATCGACGATATCGATGGGGCCAGGTGACCATGCAGATATGAAGATGAATATTTCATGCAGATGAAAGGAAATCGCGGAAAGAAATATTGCAAGACAAACGTCTTCGCAAACGAGGAGATTCTAAATTCAAAGTAGCCCCAGGGCTCCAAAGGCCGTGACCACTTCGGAATCGACGTTTACCAACCACTCCTCCTGGAATCGCTGGGCGCCACCACATGCACCAATAACTTCCTGCAGACGATGGCGGACAAAGTCTCGGATTGTGAAGCGGTGGATGACATCACCAGACTGCCATTCACGACGACGAATTGACTCGGGCTGTTCGACTCCTTCCGGGCTTTCGGCAACTGCCGTTTCGGATCCAGCCGGTGCGTTCCAATAAACCAGATAGTCGGCATTGGGATCTGTACCGCCGTCTGCCAGCTCGGTGATGAGGTCCGTCCACATGCTAAGGTAAGACTGGAGATGAGAAAGGATGTATGGAGGGGGAGGAGCGGGTTGAGAAGGATCGGCCTGGACTCCTTGAAGGGCCAGGAGCTGAGTAAGACCAAGGGCATGAATCTTCTTCTGGTTGACGCTGCCAATATTGTCGTAATGCGAAAACCATTCAGTGAGAATCCAAGTGAGAGATTGTTCCTCCGAAGAGTTCGTCGCGGCGGCGACCGAAGAAGCGAAGATGGCTGGGTTGGCCAGAGCAAGGCGAGCTAAAACCGAATAGTAATCGGTTTCGACAGCACCATACACTGGTGAAGTCTTTCTGTTGGGGCCGGAGGTTTGGCTAGCTTCGTGGGCAGAGTATAGACCCTCGAGAAGGGAGAATAGGAATGAGCTATCCAAGAGAGAGCGAGAGATCACGCTGTATGTGGCTTCACTGCCGCCATCGACCGTCTCAGCAGCGCGGATCATCAGCTCAACTATCCGAGGGATAACACCGAGGCGTTGCTTGGTTGTCGTTTTGAGTACAGCCTCGAGTGACACCAGTAATTGGAAGCGGAACCGATCGCTCAAGACTTCCTGTGGCGCGAGGAAAATATAAGATTCAACAATTTGCAGAGCCTGTGGAGTACTATCGGTAGCTTCTTCGATGATGGGGAATAAAGATGGGAGGAGTGATAGAATTTCTGGTGAGGCAGAAGATGGCGTAGACTGGATGATGGCAGCCCACAGCTCCAATGCCTCATCAAGAAGGTAGATGATCGTTTCCTGTATATGACATTAGAAATGGGGACAAAGAATGAATAAAGGCACATTGACTTACCGAGCCAGGTTCTACTGAGCTTTGGATTAGTGGAAGAATCAGTGGGTGGTACCTCACAGAATCTTGCTTTAAAGATTGGATCAAAGATGAGAGCAGAGTCAGGATGGCCTGTTTCATCAAGTGCTCTTCTCCGGAACTTTCCCACAGAGGAGGCAGCAAGGACAGAATTTGGTCGGAGAAGGGTGTGATCTGGTCATGTCAGTAATGGCGCTGCCGATAGGACGCAAGGAATTACTTACATTATCTTCCATCTTCACAACGGCTACGCGAACCGTCTCCAAAAGCCCCATCTTCGTCTCCGATGATTCAACTTCTTGAACGAGAGACATGAGACTTGCTAGGATTGAAGGCGCAAACGGCATAAATCCTTCTGCGGAGAATTCGTATGGATCAAGAACATTGCGAAGCTGTCGACCCGCAGTGATACGAACGACTAGATCATTTAATGGATCTTGGCTGTTTAGCAGGTGTTGGAAGATCTGGTAAATGGCGTTTCTGTTAAGTTCACCCGGCTTGACTGGAACCCACTGGCCAAGGACTAAAGCGATTCTCCTTCTGAGAAGCCTATACTCCTGCTCTTGGGATTGAACCTCGGGGACCATGGTATGCTCCAGGAATGCATTGAAATCCAAATGCTGTTCCAAACTGGCAGCTGCCAAGCCAATAGCGGAGTAGAGCGAGTCCTTCAGTAGCACATTGTGATTCTCGGTGTCTGAAAAGAAAATTAGCATTGCGCACGCCTCATAACCATAGTGTATACGCTTACTCGCAAAGGAATAGAACACATTCAGGAGCCGGGGAATGAGTAAATCTTTGAAGTGAATGACGAGATCAAGGAAGAGCTTTTCGGAGCAAGAGCGGATGGAGAACTCCCATGCATCGGCGTTCTCTTCCTCTCGCTTCTCCCAGTCTTCTGGCTCTTCTGCCCATTCCTGGAAATCGATGTTACGGAACCTGAAGAATTGTGTGACAAGTAGCTCCATAACGTTGACAACAAAGTCCTCTGTGAAGAGCTGTGACTTGACGAGCTCAACAGATTGTTTCCGCTCTTCCTTATCTTGTGGCGTCTGATATTTGAATGTCTGAGCAGGGTTGAAAGCCATTTTCGCGCATGCCCGAATCAGGAGCAGAGCCCGGAGACCAGTCTTCTCTGCCAAGGACTTGCCTTCGGCTTCATCGCCTGCACCAAGACTCTCATATTTCTCCCCGAGTTTCACGACCAATGACCAGTATGACTGAACAAGGGAAATGCTGTCTGGCAGCAAGGCGAAAGATGCAGGGTGTGTCTTGGCCATTTCAACGTGCAGCTTGGACATTTGCAGCAAGTGCTTCTCGATGGCCCTGTGAACTGGTTCGGGCAGGTTGGCAGACCCATCCACGAAAGAGAGGAATTTGCTGAAGTGAGAATGGGTCAATACCCAGAAATTCTGCACTTCCTGGTTGCGGCTCGGGTGTTCATATCCAGCAATTATTAGCCGTCGAAGAACCTTGAGAGACACCATGCTCTGATCAAGTGTCTCCAGCAACTCCCCTTCGCCGGCGCCACCCTGCTCCAGTATGGCGACCCATTTGTTGAGCTTGTCCACATAAATTCCCCCAAGTAGCTGGAATATCTCGGGAGAAACGGACTGAAGATTGTGACGTGTTCGCTGGATTCGAGCTGTGGACAATTCTTTGATGATTTGCAATAAGATGAGGAGAGTTCGGGAGAGTTGGAGTGGGTTTGCACCTGGCTGAATGGAGGATCGGAGGAAAGAAATAACGGACGAAATAGCATCTGGCCTGGGTGGAATTAGCATGAGCGGTCTCAATTAACGCGTCAGTATTCGTACCAATCCTGGGGGAACTCATAACGCATAATCTTGGCAATCATCAATGAATTATGAAGGGCCAACAGCAGGGCAGGCTCAACAATACCTGCCTCCAGGGCTCTAGTCTTGATCTGTTCTTTTTCTTCCTTTTTGATCGCACTTGCGTCATTGTTAGCATGTTGCCTTCCATGCAGGGATTCGAGGCCGTACTTTGCTGCTGTTTTGCGCCAATATTTATCAATGCCATTTTTCAGCTGGATAATTGCGAGATAGCGGACTTCATTGGGAACGGAATGGTCAAGGAAAACGTCCTGCAAGTCAAAACACCAAGTTAGCGCGCGAATCATGAATAATCTGGGTGACGGGCTGATACCTGTAGGAATGTATAGTACATGCCCTGTTTCTCCCAGTTCTGGAGCTGCTGAGTACCTGTTTGAACTTGCTGCTGGGTCGAGCTTGCCGCAAGTACCAGGGCATTCAGCACATTCTGGGCGCTCAATGGGTTGGCCTCGCCCTCGACCTCGATGGCGAACGCCATGGCAGATTCTGTTTAGGGCGTGAGATAGACCGTTGAGATCTGCGCCTTCTGAGATAGATCCTGGAGCTGAGAAAGTATGCGCTAGAATTGCATGGAGCCCATAAACAGGGAAACAACGCGCTTTCGAAGAAGTAGGCGATAACAACATACCGCCTTGGAGCTCTTTGATGCTCCCCGCCTCCGGAATATAGATATGCCGGTTCCGCCCAACCCTAGGGCTGGACCCTCTTTTCCCTCCCAATGCGGACATGGACTTAGGGCTTTCCTGGTGGAGACAATGAAGTCAGAGATGTCAAACTTGCTAAGGGCCTATCAAACTGGGATCTACAAACCATGTTTCGAGCAACTATGGAGCCAGAAAGACCGTTCCATACCACCTAGACACTCCCTTCCAGTGACATACCTATGATGTATCATGATGCAACAACAGTTCATAATCCTAGTTTGACTTGATCGTGATGGAGACAAAAGGTATATAAACTGTAATAGAGTCGCACCGCTATTCTCTTCTTAAGTTCAAATTCATTCTGCGTCTTCAATCTTCTCTATCTCCAATATTCTCATCTAACTTTCCTTGCACAACACACACAATGGCGCACTTTGAGGACCTCAGAAAGACCGCCTACAAGGCTGAGAATGACCTTAATTCCTACCAGGCCAAGCAGGGTATCGGCAAGAAGAGTGACTCAAGTAAGATGGATGGTGCAATCCGGTTTCTTCAGTTGATACTGACCAGGATCTCTTAGCTCTCGAGTCCGGTGTCGACGAGACAGTCAACCAACGATTCTCCGAGCCCACTAGTGTGAAGTACGGCCCTGGCTCAACCGCCTCTGGTAGCGACCACCGCAAGATCCCCGAAGATGAGGGTGGCACTCGTGATGACCGTGGCAGGTAAGATATATCGCAGCATTCTTTTATCTTTCACAAAGCTAATATGCCATCTCTATCTAGACTCCCCAAGGCCGAGCACTTCCAGGGCGACGACGGCCCTGAAACCGGCGTGAAGCAATATTCCGAGAACCGCCCTGGCGACCAAGATGCTCTGAACCTGCAGGACATGAAGCGCCGCGGACTTGCTTAATAAACATGTACATTATAAAAGTGATAACCTGACGACATCTACGATAATGGAATGTTAATCAAATATCGTTTGCTTCAATATCGAACTATATCCGAATCCGACCAATTATACAATTCGGAATCAAAACGCACTGAGTTCATAAGTTCCATGCATTAAAGGAATAAGTTATTCATCCCACCCACCGACATCTCCCCGGCTAGTACAGATATACCCCGCACGCGTAGCTCGGGGCCTTTGCATACGGATAGCCCAATCAGCACATCTCAGGGGCCCTTAGCCTAGACAGATTAACCCATTTCTCATACACATCACTGGCATGCATAACTAGTACCTGCTATTTGTGCTATCATAGGCTACATTCATGTATAGCTTTGTCTCGGCGCTTGATGTCGGGGAGACCTTGGTTTTGGGCCCGAATCGACTATTGGTTTACAACTGGCCGCACCAGTCGAAACATTGACCCCTGCTCTGTGTTGCGTGTTTATAAACCAGCTGTCTTCTTCCTCATGGTGTTTCGTTATCTATCTTCAACTCCTCTCCACACAGTCTAAATAAACTACTTATCCAATATGGCATCTGCTGCGGTTGATCTCAAATCTATCGAGACTCGGCTGTTCGTCAACAACGAGGTAGGCAATCGCCACCTTTGACACAAAGCCCAATGCATGGAGTATTCCTTTTGTACTGATAACTTCAGTTTCGCCCGTCATCGAGTAACAAGACATTCGAAGTGGTATACCCTTACACCAAAGAAGTTGTAGCCCAAGGTATGTATACACCCACCTTCTCCACCCAGACCAAAAACAGCCCTAACAATATATTTCCACCAGTCCAAGAAGCCGATATCAAAGACGTCGACGACGCGGTAGCCGCCGCAAATGCAGCCTTCCCCGCCTGGCGTGACCTAGGCACAGAACAGCGCGGACACTACCTACGCAAACTATCCCAGCTGATCCTCGAGTCCAACGATGATCTAGCAAAGCTAGAGACATTATGCATCGGTCGCCCAATAACCCAATTCTTCGATGCAGGCCTAGCAGCCGAATACTTCCGGTATTTCGCTGATGCAGGCTGGAGCGCACAGGGAACAGCCAGTCTCAATACGCCCGACCATCTGAACTTGACGGTCAAGCAACCGTTCGGTGTGGTGGCGCTGATCATCCCGTGGAATTTCCCACTTATCATGTTTGCTCTTAAAATGGCGCCCGCACTGGCAGCTGGTAATACAGTTGTGTTGAAGAGTAGCGAGAAAGCACCCTTGACGGTTTGTCTACCCCCCATCTTCCTGGTACTATCGCATCTAACCACCATCCAGTCCCTCTACATGGCTAAACTAATCCAAAAGCCGGCTTCCCCCAGGCGTCGTCAACGTCCTCTCAGGCCACGGCGACCCAGCCGGCTCAGCACTAGCATCGCACATGGGCGTCCGCGGTATCAGTTTCACAGGTTCCTCAGCAACAGGACGAAAGATCCAAGTCGCATCCGCCAAGTCCAACATGAAGCATGTGCACATGGAGCTAGGCGGTAAAACGCCAGCGATCGTGTTCCCCGACGCAGATGTCGCATCAGCAGCCGCACAGACACAATTCAGTATCCAGTTTAACAGCGGACAAATCTGCGTTGCAAATTCACGAATCTACGTGCACGAATCTATCGCAGAGCAGTTTATCAAATCCTTCCGTGAACATTTCGCTGCTGTCAAGATGGGTGATCCCATGGATCCTACAACCACACACGGTCCGCAGGTTGATATGATACAGTATGAGCGGATCAAGGAGTATCTTGCTATTGGGGAGAAGGATGGGAAGTTGACTGCTGGTGGAGATGCGAAGGATGGGTTGTTTGTGAGGCCGACTGTCTTTGAGGGCGTACCTGAGGATTCGCGGTTGATGCAGGAAGAGGTTTTTGGACCGGTTGTTGCGATCAATACCTTCTCTACTGAGGAGGAGGCGATTGCCAAGGCGAATAATTCTGAGTTTGGTTTGTATGCGTCCGTTTTTACTAAGGACATTGATCGGGCTGTTCGTGTGTCTAAGGCTTTGGATGCTGGTACTGTTGGTGTCAATTGTACTAGTCCTACTGGGGCGAAGGATTGTGCTTTTGGGGGCTTTAAGTCGAGTGGCACTGGTCGTGAGGGGTTGTTGCATAGTCTTGACAGTTTCCTTGAGATCAAGACTATTTTGATCAAGGCGGTAGCGCGTCTTTGATGGAGCTATGGACCTCGGCTCGTATGCAGGTTAGGTGAATGGCTATATGTTTTACTTGTTACTTAGGTCTACGCAGAGGGATATTTTTGATTCAGTAGATCATTAATTGTAATCTGAATTATCTCACAACCAGGTAGCAAATTAGTGGCCTTTCAAGGCACTGTATTTTTGGTGTTTGGGTTCTTTTCAGGGTCGTGAGGACTCGTTATTCCATGGTCGCTTGGGGAAGTGTCAGGGTCTACGTGGTTCCAAACGAGATAGAAAACGTAAACTCATCGCTCCATTCGAGCATCTGCTTGGAAGCTGTGAGGTAATGTGTTGAAAAATCAGAAAAGGCAATAAACAGCCAGCAGAGCTCCGAGAACAACAGTCAAGCTGGGAATTGTGGCAGCAACCCCGGTACCGGTGTGGGCAGTAGGAGCAGATGTCGCGTTCTTCTCGTCGGAGGTGGAGGCATTGCCGGTCTTCCGAGTGGCAGTGACTTTCACGTTGTAGTCATGCTTGGAGTCCCAGGGGTAGGGGCTGGTGTAGTTGTAGGTCGCAGTCAGATTGCCGTAGGTCTTCTTGACAATGTCCAAGATACCATGTCCAGCCGAGCAGTCACCCTTGGTGAGAGGAACAGGCCATTCAGCCAGGAACTTGGAGGTCAGGCCGTTCTCTGTATCGCCAGTAGACATGGGACCAGGGTAGGTCTGGTTGAGGGTCAGGTGAGTCTTATCGACGTGGTAATTGACATATCCAGTCTTGTTGGCCACGATGTCGAAGATGTTGGCACCGCAATCCCAGCGGCCCAGAGATGGAAGACCCCAGTTGGCAGACACAGTGGCAATGCTCGAATAGTGAGTGTAGAAGGTGTCGTCGACGGTACCTTGGAGATGTTCGGGAATGGCACCACCGACAAGCACGCTGAAAACGCGGTTGTCGTGCTCGTAGTGCTGATCTTCATCAAAGGTCAGAAGGACGACGGTATTGTTCATGAAGTACTCGTTCTTGAGCAGGTTTGCCATCCAGAGACGCTCCCACTTCGCAGCAAAGGTGATATTGGTGTCATGAGCATCGTTAGTCATGTTGGGGGTAATGAAAGCCCATTGAGGGAGCTTCTTGTTCTTGAGATCATTCTCAAAATCCACGAAGCTTTTGATCGAACGTGCACGGCTACTGTCAGAAACAACGGAGTCATAGAGCACCATGGGGTTATGTTTGCGCACGTAGTCAGGGGCGTGAGTCTCCTGGTTGGAGTAGTTCATTCCCTGGAAACCAGCATGAGGGATGTGCTCCTGATATTCAGCCCAGGAAATTTTCTTGGTTGCAAGAAGATCTGCAACAGAAGAAATGTTGGCGGGCATCCGCTTAAAGTCGTCATTGTCCATTCCGAAAGTGTCACCGCCAGCGGCAGCGCAGTAGTTGGGCTCAGAAGGATGGGTGACGGCATAGAAGTTGGTTCTAGGGCATATTAGTAATTATGCCATCATGCTTGATCCATTCAATGCCCACAGAAGAATTCCCTGAGATGCGAGCCATTTCATGTTCTCGTCCGCAGCAGAGTCCTCAAAATCCTACCAAGATGTTAGTCGTGCTGCCTCTTCAGATATATGGCTTGTGTTATCTCTTACAATGTTCTCCAACCAGACTTGGTAGAATCGATCGAACACCAGCCCCTTCACGTCAGAGGTGGTCACCTCAGGCTTGGTGGTAGCAGCCGCGGCATGAATCTCTGCAAGAGCGGGCTCAGAGACAGTGGCAATCTGAGCCATGGCCGAAATGGCCACAGCCAAGAAAACCGCGATGATAGCGTTCATTGGGATGGACTGTGTCAGTGGAAGTCAATACCACGATGGAAAAGGGGGAATGTGTGAAGAATGTGAGAGGGGTAAGAGGAAGAGGAAGAGGGAGAAGAAGAAACAGCGAAGCCGCCAAGGGACTTTTTGAGCACAGCAGGAGATCTGGAAGATGATGCAGTGCGTGTGACATGGTAAACTTTTGAACAAAGTATACCCCATGAGTACTTGAGGCTCTCTCATTTTGTCAGTGTCTCATCATATCTCTTGGCACCTTGCCAGTACCACTTAGGTACCTTCCGTGTAAATTGTTATGGGAGGATATAGATGCAGGAGCACATGGTATAAAGGAGCTCTCTGGTTGGTCCATTCGATTTGTTCCTGTCCTCAGCCAAGAACCAGGGCTGATGCTTAATTCTCCCATGGTTGGATTCCTGCCATATAAGGCTGACAGGTGTCTCGGGATAGCTTCAGAACTCAAACTGCTCGGGAAGTACAAATCGGATCCCGAGGTTCAGGTTACTAAATAGTTGCGTTCTCTTGATGATATTCGCTCTAGGCTTACTGTTGTGTAATTCTGTCGACGGGTATCCCACATTCTTGGGACTGTTTCCTCCCCATTTTATATCTATAAATGAGCATTTGACTTGTGCATTCAATAGCGGAATAGCCAGTGCGTTTATATCCGTAAATTAATAAAGTATCGAAATCTGCCAGCTGCGGAGAAAAGCCGTGGAGAAATCAGTAACGGTTGATTATACGTATATGCTGAGCCGATCCAATGTCAGGGTCCCCCAAACAAACCAGAGCCTCTAATTGTCCGGTATACAACTCCTAATTTTACGGGTCTTTATTTTTACTCCATTTGCCAATATAGGAACCCGATTAGAACATGATGGAAATGGGACAGTCACGTGAGATACCTCGGCTGCTCTCCGTCTGGGGAACCGAGCGCGGTGAATGAACTCCGCCCATTTCCCCGTGCTTTCTCTCTTATCCACATCCACGCCATGATCTCACGATGAGCTCAACCAACTTCGCCGCCGCACAAGAGCGAGTTCTTGAACGCCGTCGTCTACGAGAAGCCGAAGCGCGCGCACGCCATGCAGCTCAGCAGCGGGCGGCTCCGATCAGCCCGGCCACCGTCCAGCGTCTTCCATACCCGTTGAATCGATTGCCGAGCTCTGGATGGCGGATATGGAACTCTATCAATGGGCGAGATGGCACGAAACCTGCATTCCGCGTGGGACAGGTGGATGCCGAATTGTTAGATGAGGAGCTGCTCGGCTTGATGAAGGGTCAGGTCGGGGATGCCCTCAAATACTTCGGGGTATGTTTGAACAGTCGGGGCGAGCCCGGAGAATGGCGGTAGCGGAAACTGACAATGGCAACAGCCTCAGATACGGGAAGATTGGTCGCATGAGATTCTGTTCGCATTGCGGGCGATTCTCTTCAAGCTATCGATATGGGACCACAATGCGTCATATGGTGCGGCTCTGCAGGGCCTCCAGTATACCGACAGTCGCAGCAAGGGCCCAGTCCATTCACCTCCAACGAAATGGCAGAAGAGTATATATGGCTTATTGACAGTTGGAGGGCGATATGCTTGGGACAAGTGGGAGAGTTGGTTGATCGGACAGGAAGGCGGTTACGATGAGGTTGGTTACTCAAGTGCTTACATTGAACCTACCAGACTGACAGTCACCAAGCCATCACAGGATATCCGCATGCTGTCCCGACTAACGGACCTAATTTCTACCTCGCACTCGATCGCCGCCTTCGTCTCTTTCCTTGTATTCCTTGTGAACGGCCGCTACCGCACCCTGGTCGATCGCATCCTCCGCATTCGCCTTACTCCACCGTCTGCGCAGGCCAGTCGGGAGGTGTCCTTCGAATACCTGAACCGTCAACTTGTATGGCACGCGTTTACCGAATTCCTTCTTTTCCTCCTTCCTCTTGTTGGAATCAGTCGCTGGCGGCGGTGGATTTCTCGCGCTTGGCGAAAGATGATATCTTCTCTCAGGTCAAGCGGCGAGGATGATGAGCCTTCCGAAAAGCAAGGGGAGCTGGCCTTCCTCCCGGAACGGACTTGCGCGATCTGCTACCGCGACCAGAACCCAACCACGACGACTGAAACAGATGTAATGGCGGCCTCTACATCAGGTGGCATTGCTGGATCTGCCCAGACTGACATCACAAATCCATATGAGACGGTTCCTTGTGGTTGTATCTACTGTTTCGTCTGCATCGTGCAGAAACTGGAAGGCGAAGAGGGCCAAGGATGGGTTTGCCTCCGTTGTGGTGAAATTGTCAAGAAGTGCCAGCCTTGGAATGGCGATGTCCTTGAAGAGGCTCGCTCACAGCCTGGCACAGGAAAGATTGTCGGGTTTGCCATGGACGAGGAGCCGGATGAGGCTCGTGGGATCGATCATGATCAAGGAATCTCCGAACAGTCCAGCCCATTGGAGGAGATCACTGCCGACGAGTCCCTTCAGCACTCAAACCAATGGTCTGCCGTTGAGAAAGAAGACGAAGAAACCACGGAAACAAACGGAGATGTCAAGCCAACTTCGGCGTGACCGCAGCCGTAAAATGCACGGCTTGTCATCCGGATGTCCTATTGGGAGAACATCCCATTATCTTCTCTACATGTTTATATAGCCATCAACGAGTCAGCCGCAGTACATAGCGCACTCACACCTTCAATAGAACCCAACGATACCCATATCAATTTGAACAAAATAGCAATCTCATAATCGTACACACCCAATTAACTTCACCCGTATACAGCAAAGCAATCGCAATCCCCCAAATCACGGAAGAACCCAAGAATTAACAGCAGCATAAAACCCAATCCCAGCCCCAATAAGCGGAATGCCCGCCCTAATCAAATTCAACCGAGCCCACTTCCTCAGCAAAGCAGGAACCTCCCCATCCTCCTTCCCCCACTTGGCCTCCTCCTTAGCCCCAACAACCATGCCCTCAGTCCCCTCAACCTCAGCCCCATCCCCGCGAACAGCATGTTCCCTCAACCGACCATTAGTCTTCCCCATAACCATAACCGTGAAAGGCACAGTCCCCATAGTAACAACAGCGGCAACCAAATAAACAGTTGACCAGCTCGATCCGATGATGGGCGCTGGTGCGAGGCTGTCCCGTAGTGCCCACATGGTGTAGAGGTTTGCCAGGGAGGCTGTGCCTGCCAGCCCCGGGAAGATCTTCTTGCCTCGGTCGTAGATGTCTAGCCATTGGTGTGTTAGGTGTGCGGCTGGTGTTCCGGGTGTTGTGTCTTGGGTTAGGGTTTTGTTGGTTGGGTGGCGGGGTGGGAGGGCTAGGTTTGGGATGCTTATTATTGAGAGGGTTGCTATGCCGCCTGGAGTTCGTTTGTGTTAGTTGATGGATGCGTATAGTATAGATATAGATAGATGGCTGATTGCAGATGATGGGGTATGGGTATGGTATCCTCTTGAGGATGGTTATGTACCTGCAGCGACGGCGCAACCGATGGTCCCAATTGCTTGGGCAATTCGGACGTCTGTTGTCATGTTGTTTAGGGTTTGTCTTGATGTTGAGGTGGTTTACGGGTGAGAGTGTTGCAAGGGGAAAGGGGATGATGTAGGTAGGGTTTGGTCATGTGCCATGGCAGTTGGGGATTATATGACGTCGATGCGGAGTCGGGCTCTGCGGCTTTCGGGTTTTGCGGGCTCTTCAACATGCAATCCTTTTAATGTACGATGGAACCCTTTTCACGGATTTGGCGGGTAACTGATCCACTACTGGTCAGATCTCTAAAAATAATCTGACAAGGGGAGTACTGGCAGGTCGTGCGTTGTCGATAGCTCATAGTTCTGGGGTTGGAGATCGCCGAGTTGTCAGAGCTAGGCAAGTTGCAATCACCGTCTTCTATCAGGGGTTTACTATATTATCATAGAAATTCATAACAGTGAAAGATTCATGAGCTATACACTATAATATACTAACAAAAACCAACAATTTGTGGATATCCTGGCGACTAAACAAGTCCCCGAAAACAGTAAAAAAAGGCAAGGCAACATGAATTCATAGCCAACCCCAAGCGATATTACCTCCACATAATATTGCACATCGCCAATCACGGCGTTTTTAGGTGGACACAGTCAGACAAGCCCGACTACACCTCATGGAGCCTCAAACCAGAAGGACTTGCTTACGAAGAGGCAGGCTTCTTCTTCTTCTCGAAGGGACCGTCCCAGTGAAGCTTAAGCGACATGGGGAAGGGGCAGTATGCAGTACCATCGCCACGGAGGTAGTTGTAGTAACCGCCGTCCTGGGGGATCTTCTTGAGCTGGCCCTGGGGACCAGCAGCGCGGCGAAGGTTCTGCAGACGACCAACAACGCGCAGCATAGCGACGAGAGCAATCTTGGTGATCTGCTCGCCGAAGCCGGTGGTAGGACCTTGACCGTGGTTGATGTACGAGTCGATGGGGCGGTCGAGACGGACCTCGTTGGGCTCAGGGAAGACGCCGGCGTCGTGGTTGGCTTCGACGAAGGAGGCGAAGACCTGCTGGCCGACCTGGATGCCGTAGGTCTTGCCGTTCTCCTCGACGGTGACCGGGACCTTGGCCTCGCGGAAGGCGCCAAAGGTGCCGTTCAGACGGATGGCTTCCAGGCAGTAGCGGTACAGTGTCTCGTCGGAGTCGGCGGAGTCGTCCTTGGCCAGACGGTTGATCTCGGCCAGGTGGGCTTTGTTCTCGGGTGCAGTGTAGTACTCGATAATCTGGGTGAAGACCTGGCCTTGGTTGGGGACCATGCCGACGATGGTGGGGATGATGGCGGACCAGGTGATGTCCGAGGCGCTGGAGCCGGCTTCTTTCATGCGGCGGACGGCGTCGGTGCCGAACTCACGGAGGGCGTTGTCGTGAGGACGGAAGCTGTCCATGATACCGGAGAAAAGGCCGCTGTTGGTGTCGGCTTTGACGGTGGCTTCGACGACGGCGCCAAGCTGGCTGGAGACGGCGGAGGCGGCGCGGTTCAGCGAGTACGAGCGGGGAGCATCGACGTCGAAGAAGAGCGCAGAGAAGATAGTCGACAGGATCATGTACATCTCGTGCTCGGTGAAGAGACCGCGGGGGTTCTCCTCGGTCTTCAGAGGGAGACCGAAGAGGGTCGAGGCGAAGTGGACGTGGGCCAGGTTACCGACATCACGGGTGATATCGACCTGGTTGATCTTGCCCAGTTGGCCACCCTTCTCGGCGATCAAACGCTCGGTGACATCCTCGTAGAACTTCTTGACCAGCTTGGGGAACTCCTCGGTGTTAAGAGCCTTGCCGATGGCCTCACGCTGCTCGGCGCCGAACTCACCCTTGCCGAAGAGCTCGCTCATGGAGCGGCCCCAGCTGGGCTGGAAATCCTTCTGGTTTTCGAGGAGCAGCTTGGCGCTCTGGTGAGAAACCAGGTTGATGCGGGGCTCAATGAAGGCGGGTTTGTCCCAGGAGTAGTCCTGCTCACGGCCGAGGTTCTTCATGATGTTGCGGTTCTCGCTGGGGATGGTCATGGGGTAGTGGGCATAGATGGAGTCGGGCTTGTAGTAGTTGGGGAACGCGCGGGTAGCAAGCTTGTAGAAGACACAGCCCTGGTTGATGTTCAGGTCATAGCGGCACTCGTTGTAGCCCCAGTTGGTCAAGTTACGGGGGTTGTAGTCAATGGTGTAGTGACGGTCACCACGGACGAGGGCGACGGCATCAGAGAGCACGGCACGGGAGATGGTGTAGGTAGGGGCGATACCAACACCGGGGATCATGGGCTCCTTTGCCTCCTCAGAAACGATACCGGGGTACAATTCAATGTAGTCGGGGTGCTCGTACAGGTGACGCAGAGTATCGGCAATCTCGGGGTTGGAGTTGACCTCCTCAAAAGTGTCGTAAGTCTTCAGGCCGAAGTGCTTACGGAACTCGTTGAGGGAGCCGACGTTCCATCTACGGGAAGCCTCGATACCGAGAATCTCAATGGAGCGCAGGGCCTTGGGCACGTTGCGGGGACCGAAAGAGCTGGCAACATCCTCGGTAGCGTGTGTCAGAATGTTGACAAGCTCCTCATCCTTGAAGAAGCCACCCTCGCCACGCTTGAGGCCGGCGAACTCGCGCTTGGAGGGATCAGCATCGAGCCTACCCTCAACCTTCTTCATACCTTGAAGCAACTCATGCATGGTGACCTCTTCAGCGGGCTTGCCCATGAGGTCATAGTAGATCTGCTCGATCCACTTCTCATCACCCTGACTGATGGTCGAGTGCCAGCGGTAGGCCAGGTTGAACTCGACAGAGCACTGGTTACCGAGACCAGAGGGAGTGGCACCGGCCTTCTCCATCTGAGCACGGGGGTCCAGGCACCAAGTGGAGTTGGTGCGGTTCAGGTTGACAATGGTGCGCAGATAGTCGTACAGGGTGATGTTGATGTACAGACCACAAGTGATGAGACGACCAGTCTGGAACAGGTCCTCATCACGCTTGGCCCAGGCGGCTTTGGTCTCCTCCTCGGACATACCAGGGCGGGGCTTGCTGAAGCGGTTGTTCTCGTTGATCTCGGCGAGCTGTTCAACAATGTGGTTGTGGAAACGGTTCAGCATGACCAGGAGAACTCCGCAAGCAGCAGGAAGGGCCTGCAGACGACCCTCGGAGAAGCAGTCGGGCTTCAGCTTTCCGTCCTGGTGGGAACGGATGAGATCCTGCTGCTCCTTGACATCACCGTAGAGAATGGAGAGGTCCAGGTAGGCGGAGGTCTTGTTCAGGTGCTGTTGACGGTAATCGGTCTGGAAAATATCTAGGAAGCTAGCGCATTAGCGTGTGAATGTCAATTGTCAGCGAAGCAGACTTACCGTGAATAATCAGGGAGGCCCAGTCGAAGAAGACACTGGAGACCTTGTTGGGGTGAGGAGTAAACTCCTGACGGGCGAAGAGGGTATCGAAAATCAGACCGGCATCAGGAAGTCCAGAAGGCTGGATGGTGAGGGGAGGAATAGTGCGGCAGTATGCGGTGTTAGCAGCTCCAAGCCACGGGAGAGTAGGGTTGTTGTTGCTGCCATCAGCAGAGCGGTACTTGAAGTCGTCGCCCATGTAACTATTCCCAGCGTTAGCGCGCAATTGCAAGGCGGCCTCCAATTGGTGAATCCTTACGAAAGAGGAGGGTGAGGAATTGAGTTCCATAGCTCATCCAGGAAGACATTGGTAAGTTCGGTACGGTTCTTGGAGTTACCGGGCAGATCGGCAACCATCTGGATGATGCGCTCCATCAGGTAGGTCTTGTCATCGACAAGCTCGCCGGAGGCCTTGTTCTTGACGAGATCCTTGACAGTGTTGACATCGCGGAAACCGAGCGACTTGATGTCATTGATCAGACCAGAAGACTGGTCGTGTTTCAGGAAGGTGCCGTCACCGGTCTGGTTGGGCAGAGGCTCCTTTGAGGCGTGAATGGCCTGCGCAAACTTCTCGAAGGTTGCGACAACCTCGGCGCGCTTCACGACGTGGCTCTCCTCCTGGTTGGAGGTGGCTTTGCGTGCGGGGGAGACCTTGGAGAAGCGCTTGTTGGGCTTCTCTGCGCTCTTAGGCTCACTGTCGCCATTGTCCTTGGACGACCGCTTGAACTGGGTAGAGATTCTCCTCAACATTGTGAATAGAGACTGACAGAAAACAGAATGGTATCACAGAAACAAAAAAAGAAAAATTGGGTATAAAAAGAGTCAGAGATGGCTACCAAGGGCCAGATTAGGGGAAGAAGAAGGGGAATCTGACGCGCGACGGAGCTCGAAGCATTTAAAAATGAGCGCGGGCGACGCAACTCAGCTGCAAGACTGTGGAGCAAGTAAAGGTGGCGGATTTGTTATCGCCAATAGTTGATTGACTGCAGGGACTGGATCTGATTGACGGAGAGACCGATCTTTCCAGACCTGAACCTGACTCAGGGAGTACGATTACCAGACCCCGCGTGGTACAAGCTCAATGCATCCAAAAGAGGTACAGTGGGGACAGGGCAGTGGGGACATAATGATGAAAGGTCCGAACGCAGTAATTGATCATCATGCATGACGGCCAGTGGACAGCTATGTTCCTGAGAAAGGGGGCGGGGCAGGCGATTGGACACGGGATGTCTATACTGTAGATGTACAATTTTCATCTGAGCATCGTCATAATATCATTTGTCCATAGTACATGCAGGCTATCCAAGCTGAGCTAGGTAAGCTGAGAAAGTTGAGAGACAAGATCAGCGCATGCGTCACAATCTTTCCAAGGGAGGAATATCCCTACAGATCAATTAATGTGACCTCTGTAATGCATAAACAGCGGTGTACAGAGAAGAGATTTCCCGCATGGAAGTCGAAGCTCCACACTGAGGATATCAAGATCGAGCTAAATCGACACTAAGTGGGGAGTGTTTGCCGGTCTTCGCTCGCTCTGTATCTCCCGATCGGATTTGGCAGTCGCAAAATACGGTGGCTGGCTGACCCGGTTCTGAGTTGGAGGGTGCTGTCATACCCTTTATTCTTTTCACCGACGACAATTCGCCTCTGCTGTGTAGGCCTTGAGCATAGACCATACAGACGCAAGGAAGGTCGAGGATGTGACAGAGAACAGGTTGTTATCAAATAAAGAAATACACAGCCGTAACAATGTTTTGTCTTGTAAGATCGTCACGGCCCACCCGTTCGCCCACTGACTATGGATTTTTAGTCCGTCGAGTGGCGAACGGGCCGCTTACAACACGAACCACATTGTGTTGTCTGTCATTGGCAGCTGAGTCTGCCAGTCATTGTCAGGAATTATTCAGATTGTGATGTATCGTGTAGCTGAACCCCACCTTCAGGGTCTCCCTTTCCTCGTGGCGCATTACTCGAAATTCCAGGAAGTGTGCCCCTTGAAAAAAGCAAAGGAGGTAATTCATTAACCTGTCAACGTGAAGAAAAAGATGAGATGTCGTGGAAGTTGACTCCAGACAAACACAACCAAACAAATGAACCACGGATCGGGCATTTGCCTGCCCGGGGGGACACGGCCACTCCCGAGGTCCTGTATCCAAGCATAACCTATCGTCAGTATCTGAGATCTCTTCTCGATACATTCCCCTTTCTTCGGCATTCGATCTTCTACTGGGCTTGATACATTAGTATACCCTAGGTTACTGAGCGCTGGAGCCCGGCCCACAATTTCCAGCCATCCGGGTCCAACCTTTTTTCAGATGGGATTTAGCGCGCATTCTCGGAAAACCTCCTGAATCCCAGTTTCTGCATGTGCACTCAAGGTCTTGATCTCAATGACCTCAGAGAACAGAGTCTGGGACCCGGTCCGTGTCCCTCCTTGACACAACTGAATACAATTCTCAAAAGGTGGGTGGGTCGCGGTCCAGGCGAGACACCCTTCACGAGCGAGGGCCGCTAGCAGGGTTGCACCAGTAGAAAGGGTTAGATCCGATCGCTGACGGCCGAGCCATCCAGGTGGAGGAACACTTGCCCCCCTTACGACGCTACTCAATTTATTGGTGGCCAACACGCTCTCAGAGGTTGGAGAATGATCGACAGTAATATCCCGAACACCAAGAGAGATCGGCTCCTATCTGCGCTGTGCTCATAGGCCAAACCCCGATGAGCAGATGGGTCCAATAGTCGCGTAGCAACGAAGGTTTGTACGGAGTAAAATCTGCACGTCTCCCTTTTTGCTTTTTGTCTCTTTAGCCCCGTACTCCTCATACATATCTTTCTTACATGTACATGTACGGTATCATAGGATTCCACCCTTCATACACTACTGCGCAGGTCCGGGCCGCGCATTCCTCGTGCAGGGTGTCTCGAGTCAGGTTCAGTCCGGTTTGCAACTATCACAGATTAAGCAATAGTATTCGTTGCATCTCCATTGAATGGTATGCACTCCTACTGATAACTGTGAGCTCCGTTCTGTGTAACAAAACAAAGTCGGATCCTGGATTTGGGGACGCTAGATACGTAGACTGTCCATCCCCGGAGCAAATCCCAGAAACAATACGACCGTGTAAGGAAAGATCTGTGATTAGAATATGCCAGGCCGGGGCCCGCCCGTCAGCCCACGCCAGCTTGACGTATTCTTTTCCAAAGCTGCAGCGATCGGCTAGTGGGTTAGACACCCTTATATCCCCCTCCCTGCTGGGGCCGACGTAGACTCTGATTCGTGTAATTCACTGTATCCAGCTGCATCTGCGGAGTGGGCTTCGCTGGCTTGATTTTTCTCCCTTTTCCCGTCTGTTATATTAGTATCCTTAAGAGCTGATTATTACTGCCTGAAGTTGGAACAACTCTTACCGACTGAATCTTTTTTTCGTCGGCATTATGGCGCACGGTTACGGACATCAAGGGCCGTCAGGCATCCCGAAGCAGTTCGTGCTCTGTTTCGATGGCACCGGAAACAAGTTTGCCGGTGATGAGTCCGACAGCAATGTGCTCAAGATTTTTCGCGTAAGTGGGACACAGGGCCAAGAGTCTTGATGCGGTGTTGACAAGTCGCAGATGCTCGACCGCAGCAAAAGCCACCAGTACCATTACTACCAGCCTGGTATTGGCACATATGTGACATCTAAGTCGCTCTCCAGTCATGGCCGCATCCAGCGTATCAAGTCTGCGTATCAAAAGGCCAAGGACTCGGCGGTCGGGTCCTCCTTTGACGAACATGTCATGGGTGGGTACAAGTTCTTGATGCGATACTATTCCCCAGGCGACGAGATCTTCTTCATTGGCTTCAGTCGTGGCTCATATATCGCGCGATTCTTGGCCGAGATGCTCGATTATATCGGTCTGCTCGAAGCCGGAAATGAAGAACTGGTTCGTTTCGCGTGGAAGACATTCGCGAAATGGCAGCAGCGATCCGACGACACGGAAGAGGAACGCGAAGAGAAGAAGAAACTCTTCACGTATATGAAGGCCTTCCGTGAGACCTTCAGTCGTCCCATCTCGCGCATCCGTTTCATGGGTCTGTTTGATACCGTGAACAGTGTGCCGCGCTTCGAGTCCGCGTGGATGCAACGCACTAAATTCCCCTATACAGCACGCAGTTCAGCCAGGGTAATCCGCCATGCTGTGGGAATTGACGAACGCCGTGCCAAATTCCGTCAGGATCTGATCTCTGGCCCTCGCCCTCGCGGACAGAAGCACCACCGTCATCGCCACCATCTGCCCAAGAACCCGCTTGAGAGTCACATGGAGCGCCACCGTGATGCGCAGCGTCATCTGCATCTTTTCCACCAGGACCACAAACAGCAGAACGAGGAGAAGACCGACGAACGCCCGGATGCTGTCCCATCCATTCGTTTCAATGACAACTCCGAAGAAGAGAAGCAGAACGACAAGGCCGGGCCTGAACTTCAACTTCCTGGCTGGGGACCTCATGAGGGGGAGTCATACTATCACAGCGCGCAGCACTCGCACCATAACTCTCAACAAACCTCTCGCGCAGGAAGCGAAACCGGCACCATGCAGCAACATGCATACCGCGCACCCTCACCCCGACGCAACCTCGCCGTGCCAAAGGCCTCAATGGAAGACCTGCACTCGGTACAAAGCAAGGAATCCTGCCACAGCGGACACTCAAATGTGCTCTCCGTACACATCCCCGGAGAAGAATCAGGCGACGACGAAGATGACCAGGACATCCACGAGATCTGGTTCCCAGGCTGCCACGCAGACATCGGCGGAGGCTGGAAACTGCACGATGGTGAGATGTGGGCACTCAGCCACGCGCCCCTTGTGTGGATGACCCAGGAAGCACAAAAGGCCGGCCTCGAACTAGACGAGCGCAAGATGAAGCAGTTCCAGTGTCTGGAGGAGTTCAAGGGTGACTACACTCCTATCCGGGAGGAGATAAATGCGCGCCGGCCGAGTCGTTGTGTCGAGGGCCACGGTGATGACGCTGATATGTTCCGTTCTGCACCTGATGAGAAGGAGCGCTCGGCTGCTAGCCGTGATTTCTGGCATGCGCTGCATACGTCCAGCACGAAGGGTCTGATGCATGACTGTCTCATGTTTAACCAAGGCATTCCTGCTATGTCGGTTATTACGTGGCGCATCATGGAGTGGTTGCCGTTCCGTCGTATGGATTTGCAGCCTGATGGGTCGTGGAAGCCGATTAGCTGGCCCCTGCCTCGTGGCGAAGTGCGTGATGTGCCGAAAAATGCTGAAATTCACGTTTCTGCTATTCGCCGTATGCAGGCCAACAAGGATTACCGTCCTGGTAATGTGATTGTTGGTGGCGGTGGTCGTGGTATGCGTGTTGCGCCGGAGGAACATGGTATGGGTGAGTGGGTGGTTTGCAGGAATGAGGGTGATCCAGTGCGTGAAACTTATATCCGCAAGGACGTCACTAAGTGTAAGGAGGGTGAGGAGGAGAAGCCTCAAAAGACTAACCCTGTGTCCTAAGATATCCCTGTTTTCTCTTTTGTTTTGTTTTGTTTTTTTTGTTTTTTTTTTGTCTTCCTCTACACGCCGTCACTTTGGCACTTTTTCTACTATCTAATAGGTAATTTTATTCGAGAAGAGCTTGTATCAAATGTATTGTACCTACATCTGAGTTACACTTATATACTCGAGCCTGGAGTCCTCTAGAGCTGTCTAGAATTATGCAGTCCAAATCGAACCCCGTTTACCGTCAATGTCTTGGTCTCTTGGCGTACAGTGTGCTCGGCGAATCATTGTCTATAGTTGTGAGGTAGACGTAGCAAAAACTGACCGAATATTTGGAGGTCGAATCAAACAACGGAGCATGGAGCATGGAATACGTACTTCGGCATGCCCGTACTAGTAGATACGATCTACCTCTCTTACTCACCTTCTAAAACCGAATGCAACGTAAACAAACAGCTGAGACAATAAAGAGAGAATCCGTGGATACAGTGTGGATAGAGTCTAGAACATGCTCTTGGACGTCCGGCCATTTAAGGCTCAACGGCTAATGTGGGTATGAAGAAGTGGACATGGAGACGTTTATGTGCATGCACAGTACATGTAGACTCTGTACTTAACGTTATTCAAATCATACTCGTCATGCATGGGATTCGAAAACTTTAGGTATACTTGAAGTCACCAGTGAAAGCTTAGGTCAAGTTTTGGTTAAAATGTCCCCTGGAAAGTAAACACCATTCGCGATCCACAGGTATACGAATTTCGGGTCTGTTTATGAATGATGCCACGATTCATTGGGCCGAAATAGTTCCGGGCATCAGAGGACGTCAACAGATGCTAAGAATAGTCCCGAACTATAGGCCGGGATATGATATTAGGGAGGTAAATGATAGGAGAACCAAAAAACAAGAACATCAGGAAATGGACAAACTGAGGCATATCTATAAAGGTAAAATTAAAAGGCAAAAAGGGATCGAAGACGAAACAAGTGAAGAATCTGCTGTGAGAAGAGAAGAGGCTGAAAGGATCATCGGGGGATCCGGGCGGGATTGGCTCTGGCCTCAACCTTTTTCTCCCCCTTCCACCACATCTTTGAACTCACCATTCTACTACCCCCTTTTCACTTCACTGTGGCAGGCAGGTTCTGCCATTTGCTCTGTTTTCTCATGTCATAATGCGAGGGTAAATCTCTATACCCCTTAACTCTTTGACATGGAGCGAATGCGCCTGCGCGAACCCGACTCCGGTTCAGAAAAGGAGGACGTCATGGTCACTTTATCGCTTTCCCCCGAACCACCGGCAGCCCCTCGGACCCGATCCCCTTTGGCCCGATCGCACCTCCGCTCTCGATCACTGGCGGGGATCCCGGGTATGCCGTCTATGACGCGCGCCTACTCCTCCCCAGGGCTGGACTCCCGGGGTCGATATTTTTTTATCAACGGTCGCGGGGCACCGGTCGATTCAAAAAGGAACTTGCCTCACATGCGCTCCGAAGACCACATCGAAACTCGCATGGGTTCTCTGAACATCTCAGAGACCATCTCAGAGAATGCAGAGCTTGAAACAGCCCCCCGATCACCATCCTCACAGTCCGGCTCTCCTGTCCTCATGGCGCAGACGTTCCCCCGCATCGGTCGCCTGCGTCCGACCTCTCCCCCTTCACCTTCAATCCTCCGGCGGCTCTCCTTCCTTGCATTCCTCCCCCGTGCTTGGCTCCAAGTACAACGAATCATACCCGGTGAATTCTGCTTCTTCTGTCTCCTCGGTCTCCATCCCCTCGACCCCGACCAGCTTGCGCTCTCGAAGCCCCAGCATCTCGTCCTTGGAAACAATTCCCGACATCCCAGATGCCGAGAATGAGGCTCTGGAAGAAGATCGCATTGCCGAGTTGAAAGCCGCGGCAGACGCAGCCGATGCGGCCAGCAATGCGAACCGGCGCCGCGGAGCATCTGATGTGCCCGGCTCATTTACCACAATGCGAGGGGGAACTGGCACATACGCACCCCGCAACGACAAGCGGAAGCGATGGAGTGTCTGCGGTGCCGAACGACGGCAGGATCTCGACCTAGAGACCATTTGGGAGGATTAAGTGTGTATCTACAATCCCATCTCGATTCACACATATCCGCGCCTCCAACTATTCCCTTCAATTACGTGCTCGCATTATCGTCTTTGGATTTGATATTCACTGCTCGATCCTGCCTTTCTGTTCTATGGCGCTTCACTCCATCTTTGAACTTCCTTGATACCCTTCCTTTACCCCCGACCCGTACATACCCTTTCGGTCCCTTTTTTGTTTCAAAAGGCGCTTTCGCCAGGAGTTCTACGAGTCCTACGTGATTTATGCCGTTTCCCGCTGCGGCGAATCTGACCAAGTGTGCATGTTTTTGTTTCTCTCTATTATGCTGGCCATAATTAAACTGTCCTTCAATGTATCTATCCCCTCAATCCAATTGAGCTTTCTTCAAATTGACCTGTAGAGTGAGGAATATGCATGTAGTAGATGTGGGCCAGATAAGGTCTGATAACGGGCCAACCAAATCCCCACCTGACAGCGTAAATCTTCAACTTCAAAGTTTAAGAAGTTAGTTGCTCATGTTATTCATTCATACTTCTCCATCCCATGACACAACCTCCACACATCGGCATTATCGGCGCGGGCCTCTCAGGCCTCCGCTGCGCCGACATTCTCCTCCAAAACGGAGCCCAAGTAACAATCTTAGAAGCAAGAGACCGCATTGGCGGAAGGGTACGTATAGTATCTATCACCTGCAGTAAATCCGAGAGCTATATGAACTAACGCACTCTTTGCTTTTTGTCGGCTAGGTGCACCAATCAACGGTTGGATCCCATGTGGTTGATCTGTATGTACATGTACTCCGTACCCTTGCACTTGTCATCGTGCTATGCCAAGGCATACATCTGCATGTATCTGGTAGCTGTTCAGCTGACTTGTACTTTCGCCAGGGGACCGAATTGGATTCATGGCTCCGGGGAGAACCCCATTATGGATATCGCGAGAGCGACGGGGGCGATTGTGCATGATCCTGCTGGTGGGAATGTTATGTTCTCCCGGGACGGAGATTTGATTGATGATGCTGTTACCAGCAAGATCGAGGACTTTGTTTGGACTACTATCTCTGAGGCATTCGAGTATAGTAATCGACATGGGGACAGTATCCCCGCTGAGAAGAGTCTATTTGACTTTTTTGGCGAGCGAGTTGGGCAATCTGATCTCTCGGATACAGAAAAAGCACTTGTTCTTGATGCATCGAAGCTCTGGGGTGCGTATGTCGGTGAACCGATTGAAAGGCAGAGTTTGAGGTTCTTCCGTTTAGAGGAATGTGTTGATGGGAGTAAGTAGAAGTTCCTTTGATGTGCAGTGTTGGATTCGAGCATGAAGGCTGACATTATATCCAAAGGCAACTTTATCGTGGCGTCAACATATAAGGGGATTCTAGAGCATGTCTCAAAGAACGCAACCGCAAATGCAGATATCCATCTCAACGAGCCAGTCGTTAACATCAACGCACCTGAACGCGATAATCAATCTTCAACACTGCACCAAGTAACCGTGGCCACCACCACAGGCAAAATCTACAACTTCGACGAGGTAGTCGTGACATGTCCACTAGGCTGGCTAAAACAAAACACCACCGCATTCAACCCACCACTCCCGACTCGCCTCCTAGCACCAATCAACAACATCTCATACGGAAGACTGGAAAAAGTCTACATAACATTCCCCCAAGCATGGTGGCACACAGACCCAACCAGCACAACCACCAACACTAAGGAAAGTACAGTCTTCGCCCAATTCCTCGAACCAAGCTATGCGCCCCGTCCCCCGACAACAGAATGGAACCAAGAATGCCTCTCAATGGCTTCCCTCCCACCACCAACGGCGCACCCAACCCTCCTATTCTACACTTACGGTAAAAGCGGCGAAGAAATCATAAACTCGATCTCGCACCTCGCCCCACTATCCGCAGAATACAAGGCCACACTTGTTAAAACGCTGGAACCATTCTACGCCCGGCTACCGGGCTACGATGCCACTTCTGTGGATTGTACACCGTCCGCTATGCTCGCGACGCAGTGGCAGAAGGATGAGTTTGCGGGTCATGGGTCGTATTGTAATTTTCAGGTTGGGGTTGAGCAGGCGGATCGCGATATTGAGGTTTTGAGGGATGGGGGCGGGAGTGAGGCGAGAGGATTGTGGTTTGCTGGGGAGCATACGGCGCCTTTCGTTGCGCTTGGAACTACTACTGGGGCTTATTGGAGTGGGGAGAGGGTTGCTATGGGTGTTTGTGAGCGGTGGGGATTGGGAAGTGTTGGGGTTGGGGATGGTGTTGATGATTCTTTGCCTTCTGCTGGGTTATAGATTGCTGGAAATGATCGCACATTAAGGAGTTATATATAGAATATGCATCTAAGAGACTTGTTATAAGATATAGGGGTGGGTTAGGAAGCATAGGATGGGATATAGTGTGATTAACTAACTTACCTTCTATACGAAACTACGAGTTATTAAAAGTACAATCAAGGGTATAACAATCGTAATGGTGATAAGTTTGATAATCATACTTGAACCAGTGGTATTCAGGTCGTTACTTGGAATCATTCCAGGATTAATATCCGTCTCGGGGGAGCTTTTAACCAGAATCTCTTCTCTCATCAACAGCAAGCCAGCAAGACCAAACCAGTCCACCGACAAAAGTCACCATTAACAGAAGAAATCCTCATTGCAAGACTCCATCGCACAGTAAATGCAGAAAAAAGAGCACAAGCCCGAACAGAAAAAGTAGATCATGGACAAGGTTCACGTGACCGCTAGTACGACGTCTCAAATCATGAAGACAGAGAAAAGAAGAAAATACATCAAGGCTCCGAACATAGGGAAATGAGAATGACAAAGGAAATAATAATTGAAACTTGGGACGATGATGGCAATCAACCAGAGGCGCCTTGAATGCCAGTCATGCATGATCCTGCATCCCTATCGCCAGGCCCCTTGACTCAATGATAGGAGACCCTGGACACAGTCCAGGTCGTCTTCTTGACTCCCCCGTTGCCGCTGGACATGAATGCTGACACTTCTGCACTGACCTCTGGCGGGGCTTTGCCCTGACCAGGTTGGAATGGTCGATTGCGCTTGCCGTTGGTGCTGATGCCGAGACCGCGGTTCCGGTTGGTATCGCGAAGAACCGATCGTGGCATATGTGAGGTGTTGCGACGACGAACGTTTGCCGCTCGTGTGCCTGGAACCCAATTCTCCTTATCAGAATCGCCGGGATCTAGTTCCAGATCTTGCTTTCCAGACTTGGAAAATATAGGCTTGGACAGCTTCGATGCGCCGTTGGCCTTGTTGCGTCCGGTTTCTAACCGCCCCAAAGAAGAAACTGTACGAGCTAACTTCCGCCTCTTCTCTCCCATGGACTGAGATATAGGTGTGCTGTTTATGTCAGCTTGGGTAGCGAAGTGTCGCCCGGAAGCGCTCCGTGTTAATGAGCGCTGGCTGCGAGACTGGAACAGACCCGGAGAAGCGTTCGGGCCAGAAGTCGGTGTGGATAGAGCACTTCGGGCATCTGTGTCACAGAATGATTCCCAGTTACGCGAATCGCGAGACCGACCGAATGTCCGATCCTTCTCGGCCAAGCCTGCCAGCGGCGTGGCTGGGAAGATGGCACTGCTACTGCGTCGGAGGCCAGACATCTTTGTCCGACGTACTGAGAACATCGCCACGCGGTTTTTGGATGGCGACGGCTCATTCTCCCCACGAATTACTGCCTTGCCGTCTGATGACATGGCGATGCGCAACGCGTTGCGACCTTTTGGTGGCGAGGGCGTTAGCTCGCCCTCTTTGCGTACCATGGCCTCTCCATCAAACGACATTGACAATCGCAACGATGGCGGGGATTTGGTCGGTGTTGTGTGTGTGATTTGTGTGTTTGCTGCATCCTGCCCATGTGCTCCCTCGCCCCTGATATCCGATACAGAACGCTTTCTTTTGGGGACGGGCAAAATAGAATCCTCCGAGGGGTCATTCACACTTTGGGAAAACTCTTCCTGCGTGGTCGGCGGAGTATCCGCTACAGCCTCCGTGGCCACGCTTGTTTGTGTACTCTGAGGCAGCTCATGTTCATCTTTTTCTTCCATCGGCTCCGACTCATCAGAGAAGTTCAACAGCCCACCGTGCCATGGTTTCGCCATTTCTTCGCGACGGTCGTGAACGTCGGATTGTTCTGCCCCACTTGAAGACCCCGGCTCTGCTGACGCGTTATCGTCACTTAAAGGTTGACCGGATGAATCAACCATGCCCGACCGCGGGGCGAGTAGTTCGTGAGGCTGAAGTGGTTTGGATTTCCGACGGTCGTTCTGGCGGCGGTTCTGGAACCAAATCTGCGCAGACGGTTAGATGTGGGTTTGATGTGTTAGTTCTTGGCATCACATACTTGGACCTCTTTCTCGCCGAGCGAGACGCGGTTCACGATGTTTGTGCGAGCGATCTTGTCGGGCTTGGGGTTCTGCTGGTATTCGGATTCGAGAATTGCGTGGTCCTCCGGGCTGTACCACAAGTTCGAGTTAGTCGACGCGTACTATACCCTCGGCCACGTGCCATGCAAATAGCATACCTAGTTCGACGCCGCTTTTGGCGGGCTAGTAACTTGTTGTCGACACGAGGAGGCAGGTTTTGCGTGAGGGTCTTCTGGGAGTGAACGAGAAAGGCGTAATTAAGAGGATTGGAGTCGGTGGCCGGGAGAGAAGGCGAGGATGAGATCGCCACCGATGGCTCCGGATCAGACATGATGCAGGCTAAGAGAGCATGGGGATTGGGGGAAAAGAAAGTAAGGAGAGCAAAGTAGAAAAAAATGGCAAGGCGAGAAGTGAAGAGAGCTCAATGAGGCTGGTGCAGAAGTATGCAGAAAACGTCAAATCGCGTCGCGGTGTGGACGCGGAGTAGAAAGAACGTGGCCCGCGCTAGTAACTAAGTGCGCCTCCGAGGTACCTGCTACTTCCCAGCTGTTCTGTGTTGGATGATACTAGACTTTGTTTGTCTTGATTTACTCGGTTCATTCTGTCTATCCAGTGCCAAAGATGCTGTCCACTGCTGTCCACTGCCGTTTGTTGACGCGTTGGAGATCCCCACTTACTGTATTGTAGGTTGCAGTTACATTTACAGGATGTTCTACAGAGTACCTTGGCGCGTCAAGTACAGCCATCCCTGCCATTTGCAATGCTCACGGGATCACAGGAGGCAGAGAATATGCATGTTGTTCAGACGTCGAGGTCCTTACATTGAGCTGTGGACGCGGGTAACGCGCACTCACGTGACCCCACGCGGACTACACGTGGAGATCTCGGATGATTCCTGATTTCATGAAAAATGCGCAGCGTTGGTCTATTTCCTTGTTTGCCAGGAATGTCCCATCGGTCAACTCAGGGGGGAATGTGTTCTCTGGGCTAGACCCAGATGAAAAGCGTCATGCAGTCACAATTGCCTCGCAGACAGCAAAGGCTGGTCTCGTGCGGGGCCACACCGGGGGCAACTTTGGGGAAATCGGGGCTTCTATGCCCCGGATCAATTGTCTTCTTACCTATATTCCACACTTTCTTCAATTCACTCTATACACTTTTCAGTATTAGGCCACCCCGCAAACATGTAGCGGGGCTCCAATTGCGGGCTAAAATCCCTAATACTCGGCAATTTCCTCTACCTCGCAATGGGTCGGCTTTACACCATATCGGTGGCCGTACTGGCGGCAACGGGGTCGTTTCTCTTCGGTTATGACTCTGGCGTCATGACAGATGTGATCGACTCGCCCAATTTCCTAGAGTACTTCAATGCTACGCAAACGTCTTCCATTGTTGGGGCGATCAACAGTACCTTTTCGGGTGGAGGTGTGTTCGCTGGAGATCTTGAGTACCTCGCCTTCTTACAGCATATCTTTCAGTCCAAAGTGTGCTGCTGAGGAGACAGTTAAAGAGCTAGCTAACTCTTCTTCAACAGCGGCGATCGGCTCCCTACAAGGCGGACTGACCATGGACCGCTTCGGCCGCAAGTTCACCATCCAGCTAGGTGCTTTCCTATGTATAATCGGCGCATCACTACAAGCAGCCGCGCAGAATCTCTCCATGATCCTCATCGGTCGAATCCTAGCTGGCTGGGCTATCGGTCTCATGTCCATGGCCGTCCCCGTTTACCAGGCTGAGTGTGCACACCCACGCTCTCGGGGAATGATCGTAGGACTAGCACAGCAGATGATCGGTATTGGATTCATCGTCAGCACGTATGATCGCCACACCATCGAAACACACCAAAACACAAAGCAAAACTAATTCGAAAAACACAGATGGGTCGGCTATGGATCCCTCCACGCGCCAGCTACAAGCCAATTCCAGTGGCGATTCCCCCTCGCCTTCCAGGTTGTACCAGCACTGATCTTGGGAATTGGCATGTTCTTCTTGCCAGAATCACCGCGATATCTGATAGAAACGGGGCGGTATACCGAGGCACGGCGCATTCTCCACAGATTACACTCCGATGGCTTGAATGATGTCTGGGTCGAGGCCGAGTATAGCGGAATCTGTACCGCCATCGAGGCGGAGAAAAATATCTCTGCAACTGGATGGATGGCTATGTTTACTGTTCCGCAATGGCGGACTCGACTCTTGTATGTACATTCCCTCCAGTTACAATCCCCACCCCCCGAGGCTAGAGACTTACCAGCTTCCGCAGACATGGCGTTGCTGTCCAGATATTTACGCAGATGACCGGTATCAATGTGATTGGGTACTACCAAACCATCATGTATAAATCCCTCGGTATTACAGGCAGTCGCAGCACGCTTGTCGCAGGCATTTATAATTGTGTTGGCCCGCTCGCCAATTTCATCTTTGTAGTTTTCATTCTCGATCGTGTTGGCCGTCGAAAACCCATGCTCGTCGCTACAGTGGCCATCTCACTTGCTTTGAGTTGTGAAGCGGTGCTTAATTCGCAGAACCCTGATGGCCGGAGAGTTGGATATAGCATTGGTGGTGTTTTCTTCATTTTTCTGGTATCGGTGGTATTCTCCATGTCTTTTGGGCCATGTAGCTGGTGAGTACTGACTGTTTGGGGTGCCTCGTGAAGTTTGCTCATCGTGTCTCTTTTGCTGTTAGGGTCTATATGGCTGAAGTCATGCCAATGCAGATCCGGGGCAAAGGCAACGCTTTTGCAGTCGGTATCGGTAACTGGGCTGTCAGTACGCTGTGGAATCAGATCTCGCCTGTTGCTCTGGGGAAACTCCAATGGAGATTTTATTTCGTTTTTGTAGCGTGGAGTGAGTTACCTCCCAGTGTTGATTTCATGGCTGTTTTGCTGACCCACCAGACCTCTGCATATCTCTTCCTGTCATTTATTTCTTCTTCCAAGAAACGAAGCAGAAATCACTCGAGGAGATTGACTTGCTATTTGGTGGACGGTCAAGTGCGCTGCATGAGGATGGTGTCAATGAGCATGACAAAAAACGGGATATACAACAGCTGGACAAGGCAGAGATGGGTGTGTCTGCAACTAATGTAGAGAACGCAGACAGCCTCTGTTAACTTGCATAGCCCTCTGCACTGTCCATCATCCAAATTGTCCAGTAGCTGGCAGAAATATAATTTAATAGTCGCACTCAAAACATCAACGCTCCATTCAGTCGGTAGTTTAACTGTGCCAACTCCTTGCACCGGGGATTGCTTTCATTCGATGGGAACCCCTTTCATCCCCGACGGTTGCCCCAAGTCCCTGTGTTTTGTTTGTTCGGGATTATGTTCGAGCCGGTATGCAGCCTTCCGGACTCGCCGGCCACTGCAACTACATATATTAAACTTTTAACCTCCCTATAAGATGAAGTAAAGTGGAGTCCAAGATACCATACTCGAGAGAAATACTACATACTAGAATCTTCGAAGAATGTACCACTCTAGCTAGACTGCAATACAACCTTGCAATGTCAAAGCAGGGGAGTGGAGCAATGAGGCGCATATAGTCTTGGCCAAGTTTAAAACAACTTAGACATGCTGCGTCTCTGCCTGACTTGACCAGTGATAACTTATTGACAGCGCCTCAAGTCAACGAGAACAAACCCTATATGCCTCAATATCACCACACCTAGTGACCTATTAAGTTCGCAAACAAAGCCCACTCGTGTCACCTAAGGACAATTCAGCCGATCAACATTCCACCACCAAAGCCACTCTTGGCCTGCCTATCCCTTCCACTACACAACCACCTTATTGGGCCAACGATGCAGGGAGGGGATGACATAAAGTTTCGTATGAGTTGAAGCCCAAATACCGAGTGTATCTGCTTCTTCCCCGCTTTGACGGGTCGATCATCCCCAGATCATCCCCTGCACTCTCTGATTCTTCCTCCTCTTTCGGTCTGCTATTTTCGGCTTTGACTGCTTGGATGTGAACCTACGTCTAACTGGCCTTTTTTTCCCCTTTTTGGTGCGGTATCGCGCCAAACCATCCCATTCTTCTTGAGCTGGTATCGCGATCGGTGGAAAGCGCCCATTTCCCTTTTCTAGTCGTTGTTGCTGGTGATTTGAGCACACCGTTGAGGCTGGGCTTTCTTGTGTTTGCCTGGTTTGTCACCACTACGCTGGTTATTCTACGCGACGCTGGCGAGTCGTGCGACAAAGACACATCGCGGGCGATAAGGTATGGCCGAAGACCAACATCTCAAAAAAAGCCATATGGCCATCGTCCTAGGCATCGGGCTTGGGGTGGTGCTACTTATCGTGCTGAGTCTAATGTGAGTGGAATGTGATCCTGTTTCGGTGCACGATTCGGCAATTTCTTTCTTCTTTTTTGGCTTTCTGACACATTCCCTCCGTACCACATGCAACTGCATACTAATTGTATCACCTAGCTTGACGATTGTCATCAACCGCCGGGATCGGCGGTCATTTCTACGCTCGAAGAAAGATCCCGATGAGCGCTTGCGGAGTTTGGATGCTGTTGCTCCGATTTGCACGCTTGAGAAGTGGTGGACTACCACGAAAGGGAGTCTCGGGCTTTCGGAGGCTGTTGATGGACAGTTTGTTTGGTATGTTTCTTTTGATCGGTGTATCTGTTGTGTTTGCTTTCGTGCAGTGACTGACCTCTTATTCAGTGCTGTCTGCTTGGAGCAAGTAGATCGTGCGCATGAAATTCGCCAACTGCGCTGCTTGCATGTTTTTCACCGGGAGTGTCTGGAGAAGTGGTTTTTAGGTGACCACTTCAATTGTCCGCTGTGTCATCGAGCATATTATGCGTCGAACACACCTCCCCGCAACGATTATATATGGATGGTATGACTCGGGTCCAGTCGTTAGAGAGAGAATATGATAGGATCATGCCTTTATGAGTGAAATTTTCAACTTCACATAATTATGACATTCCGATTAAAATATTGAGCCTCATGTGGCTCGTACAATTGATTTGGAAGTGTCAAGGTGCAAATCCCTCACCCAGAGACATGTACTCGGAATTGAAGTCCCACATCGTGTTGTAATTTGACCAGTTCAGGAAGTTGTCGAGACCTGATGTGGCATCATCTACCACATGCTGCTGTACAGGTTGGGGATCAAGAAGTCGGTCAAGGATGTGAGACAGCTTTTTCTCGGCTTCTTTGCAGGTGGTATAATTGCCGTGGCCAGGGCATGAGACCCAGGACAATAAGGACACAAACACGCTTAGATTTCGGATCAACTCCGCACGTGGGAGTAGGACAGCATGAGGGCCGGGCTCATGCGACTGGCGTAAAAGTTCGAGAAGAAGAACGCTCGCAGAGGGAACACCGTATGTCAAGACCTATACATATTAGCAAAGCCCACATTTTGTTCATGGCAGACACATACAATCCACGAAAAGTGCCGATCTAGATCCATCATTGGCGTTCGAAACGAGTTCACGCGGATCACAATTGCGAGAACTCGACGAGATATGTCGCATAGGTCGGCTTGGCCGGTATTGGTGTGCTTACTGACCGCTCGGTAAAGCAAAAAGCAAGTATAGAGGTAATCCAGATAGAAATAGGCAATGGTAATCCATCCATCATGGAATTGATCGTCCAACCTCCGATCATATCGAAGATGATCCGGAGCAGCTTCCCATACGGCGCGAGATTTTGCTTGGATATCCCTTTGAAAGAGGTCCTGTCAGCATAGACACTGAAGTCGAAATTTGGAGAGATGACATACTCGGACTTCTGGATCAGATTGTGCTGTTCGTGAGTTCCCAGGACAACTTCAAGAGTTTCCTCCCTTATTATTGCCAACTGATAACGTAGACGAGTTGGTGTCACCGGGTACTGCATTCCTTTCGTATTCCAACCGGCACTGTCCAGCTCTGAGATAGCTTTGTTTAGGACATCACCACCTGCAACCAGATCTGCGTCACTCACATCCAATGGAGCAGTGGGCGTGCAGAATTTACTGTTCATCAGTGGCGGTCGCCCAACAAAAGTCGCTACCAATTTATCCATGTAGAAGGCTGCAGTAAAACAACGCCTTCGCCACTGACGGAGGAAAAATGGACAGTTATCTGCGCCATCGTTCTCCAGGTGCAGCCCAGCCGCGTAAATCGTGGATACTAAATCGCCCAGTCGACGCCATGCTTGATAACCTGGAAAACTTTCAATGAGTCGAGAACAAATGTTGCACAAAAGGAAAGACCGTACTGGAATCGCCATATTGCTGTGTTCGCAACATAGTATCATTGAACTGCAATATCGCCAGCAATTCGTTTACCGATGATGCTTGATCACAGAAGCCAAGACATATCGTACTAACCACTGTCACTTGTTCTAGTAATTTGTCCTTTGCCCGAGGATCATCCGATCCCTGGGTAATTTCAGGGTCTCTGTCTGGCGTAATAACCACTTGCATTCCGCAAAGAGTGAAAATCGATCCGAGGGCCTCCCAGCGGAGATTGCGCCCAGTGAAAGACGCACAATATTCCTCAGCCGTCATGGACTTGTGCGTCCGCATTGGTCGGGCAGTGTTTTGAAAGATCTGCGTCGCCAGCTCTTGTAACTGTACTGTCGGATCAGTGGTATTGAAATTATCAAAAATGACGCGCACTGAGCAGAGAATTTCGTCCATGACCAATTTCGGCACAACTGTATTGCATGTTCGAAGATAGAATTTCTCAATTAGTGCATGGCGCACTTTGAAGTTGTACAGAAACCGTAGTACATCGACTCCAGATTGTAGTCGATCGGGTTCCACTACCAACCCCACAGATGAGTCTGTGTTCTCCTCGAGCTCGAACGGAATCTCATTGCGGTGTTCAGTCAAAACTGCAGAGAAGCTCGTCGAGCCCAAGTAGCCAGGAAGAGCCGAAGGCGGCTCTAACGGCGCGAAAAGGCGACCACTACCCAGCGACCCCGGGCTGGATGCACTATTCCCCACATTAGCACTGAGTCTATGATTTGTTGCAAGGGGTGCGTACTTTGATGTCGACTGGCTAATCAGTCGGCTGGAAACAACTGCCGGGTTGAAGTGATCTGATGGTCTTCTCCTAGTCATGGGAGCTGGGTGGTAAAAACATTTATCGCTGATTCGCTTTGCAGCGCACCTGCGACAGACTGGCCTGTCATGGTCACATCGCTGTTTGGATCTGCGGCAGGGCTCGCACGACTGCAACGTGCCATTTCGACGCGTCGCCGGCGACTGAGAACGCCGATCGTCGTTCCTCATGGCTCTCCGAGAAGCCCTGCATTGGGTCTTGGTTGGAAAGCTAGAAGTGAAGAAGTGGGAAGGTGCCGGCGATGTCGGCCAACTCTCAAATAGGCTTAGCGTGTATCCCGAAGTATGCGACAAACAAGATAAATTCAGCGCTTACAGACGTAAGCTTAAGGCGATAATCTCAGGAATCTATTCTCATGTGTTCTCTCATATATTAATATGTACGCCGAAACAAGCTAATAACTGGCTATAGGGCTGATGTACGGCCTGCCTATATAGGTAGACAGCCAGGGCTATCCATCCTTTTCTCTATTCTCTAGATCCATACAAAAATCAGATCAAGTACCTAGTGTGCCTGCGCATTACTCACCATGAAGAACAGCAATATCTTTCCGCATAAAGACAGTCTTCGTGTCCCAAACCTTTCCATTCTTATCCGCAACACGGTAGTAGTTCTGCATGGTTTTGATCAAACGATAGCCCCGGCGAGAATACCACTCCTCATTAGTAGTCTGCTCATAATGAGTTACTTGGTCAAAAATCTCAAGTTTTAATAATGCACTTACTTTCGGAATACCACCATATGTCGCATTTGCAAATTCCTCTCGCTTTTGATCGTCTTTTTGGACCGTGTCCAGCATCAATGTCTTGGCCTGAAGTGGCTCTCGCACTGCCATGAACTCGACCTCATCCATCGCAGCTCGCCCAATACCCTGGCCTTGGATGTGTCGTCTGATATAGAATGTCTTAATCCAGAAAACGTTTTTAGATGGCAGGTCTAGGTCAATGTGCTCTGCTTCGACATTTTTGGAATCCAGCGAGATATGACCGATTGGAATAAAGCTCTCTTTTGTTGGCTGACGGGGTACAGTATTGATTGCAGTCGCTGTATCTTGAAGCTTCTCGTCTTCTGATGCCACCTGTGATTCATGCCATGGCAGCACCTTGATAGTCAAGTATTAGAAAACTCCCCTTCATATTCAACAAAATATAAGAAGACTCCGTTATTTTCAAGGACTCACAATCCAATAAATACACTTCTCACCCTTGAGTTGTTGTTCTTTCCATTTCGCTTCAACTTTTTCCTGGTCCCAACTGCATTCCACCCGTTGCTTCACAAGCAATTCTACATGAAGATCCGAATTGGGATCCCATGGAAACAGAGTCACTTTTGTAGCAAGGTCCATTCTGTGCTTTGGTCGAAAAGGAGAAAACTACCTAAGTGACTCATTGCTCATTGCTCCCGGACCCAATATGATTTGTAAGCCGACGTTAATTGTGAACCCAATCTAAACCCCACGTTGACCACCTAGGATCAAAGTATAAAAAGTAGTGTACCTGGCTAAACACAAGGTCATAAAGCCAACTAGCTCCACATGAAAAGATAGTCTCATAATCTGTGGCCCTATTTGAGGGAAGCACCCCCAAGAAAAGGAACTTTCGCCACCTGCTTGGTTTAATCTATAAACCACTCGGAAGCTCAACCTCGTAAATTAACACTTTTACGAACCTATAGGTCACTTTCTTGGTACATGAAGGAGCTAAAAGTCCTAAGCTGATGATATTCTGTCTAAATTTAACCAATCCTGCGTTAGCGATTTCGGTACAGGGCATACTTTCCTCCTCTATGGACTTATACGAATCATTAAATAGCCCCCAATCATTAAACCGAGTTTCCAGCTGCGGTGTGCTCAGTGCGAACTTTTCCCAATGAATAATATTTTAACCAATGGGTGTGTTTATTCCGCTTTCGTCGTGTTTGATCCACCCTGCTCTACCGGCGAGGGGATGTCGTCTTTCTCGGCCTCCCTTCCAGAGCTTGAGGTCACGGACGGCTGGAGGACTCCACCGGAATGAGCAAGTTGGCGGTCAAGCTGAGCTTTCTCTTCGTCGGTCTTATCGGTTAAATGAACAGCGACCTCTTCGCCGAAGTTCTGTGCGATTTCCTCCAGGGTGAGACGGGCAGTCTCCGGGAAGAAGAAGTAGATCACTGTGAATATGATTAGTTGCTGGTGATCCAACATATATTCTGGGTTGGACTAAGGATCATACCTGGGATGAAGAATACAGACCAACAGATAATGACCAGATAGTATTTCCAGCCAACATTGTTGAAGCCCATAGGAGCGGTTTGAAGGAGAATGATAGTGGCTTTGTCATGTTAGTTGACAGTCAAAAATTAATCGCAGATACAATCAACTCACATGCAAATTGACCAAACAGAGAGAAACCCATGCCAATTGGACGAATCTCAGTTGGGAAAATCTCAGAGACGTAGAGGTACATGGTAGTGTCACAGAATGTACTGCAATCATGTCAGCTCCTCAAATCTCGCGACAGCTATATGCTAGAAATTCTCAAACTTACCCCTGGAAAGCCAGATACAGGTACATGAAGAAGATACCAAATCCATTTCCGACCTTGTTGGTAGTACCCGAATACTGAGCGGTCATTGCAGCCAGGCAAGAAGTAGTGACAATGATGCCTACGAAGCCTGTCATGTACATTCCCCGCCGAGAGTTGACCTTATCGTGAAGCCAGGCACCGAGAGGGTTATAGATTACACCTGACTTGAGTTAGCAAAGATATAGGTAATTGAACTTGGAATTTTGCTCTTACCAGCTGTTGTCAGCCAAACGGCACTCAGAAGCAAAGGCATACCACCTTTCATGCCCAAGTTGGTATACAATAGAACCGCATAGTTGTTCTAGGTGATTGTCAGCACGCATCTTCTCTTCAGTAAAACAGCCGAACTTACAATGATCAAAGGACCACCGAATTCAGCACCCCACTGGGTAAGGAAACCGATCGCCATGCGCTTTCGGTAAGTCTTCTTTTTGAATACCGCCTTCCACACATTGCCGTACTGGGCCATTTTCTCGGCCTCGAGTCGAATCTGCTCTTTTGTCTGGAAGAACTCCTCCTTGGCAACCAAGTTATCTGGGTCCTCTTGTGATTCGCGAAGCTTGATCAGAACGTGTTGCGCTTCGTCAAATTTGCCCTTCGAGATCAACCAACGAGGCGAGCGCGGAAGCCACGGAGATCCTAGCAGCAACATCACTGGTGGCAGACATTGCAAAGCCAGAGGGAACCTCCAGCCAAATCCAGATAAGGAGCCTGTTGCATAGTAGCAAGCATAGCCAACCCACGCAGAAAGCATGTAGCCAAAGACGAGGAAGATCGCGTGGTGACCAACAAGCCAGCCACGACGCAGGGCGCTCGACATCTCGGAAAGGTACATAGGGCAGACGGTTACTAGAATACCGATTCCTAGACCGCAGATGAAACGTCCAGCTTGGAACATGCTATATATAGTCAAAACAAATGCAAGGAGTCATCTGACGATTTAAGATCGCTACTTACGGCAACGAGTTGGAGCCAGCCTGAAGAGCTCCTCCAAACAGCGAAAAGAAGGCCCCAAACTGAATGTTCGCCTTCCGACCAAAGAAGTCACACGACCACATTATAAAGAGTGTACCAACAGCGCCGCCGGCACTGAAAACACCATTGGCTGTTGAGATTGCGGGAGTCGTGATCGTGGCGTATCCCGGTTCTCCATCAGCTGGGAGGTTGAAGTAGGTATACCATCCCGGCTGGCCGATCGTACTAGAAATAACCGACGTGCAATATCCATATGTCTGTGTAAATCCAACATGTCAGTACCGTAAAAGCTATGGAGAAAGAGGCAAGAGCTTACCATAGACCCAATTGCGACGAAAATAGCCACCAGCCTGTTATAGGTACTGGTCTGGGACCCGAACCTACCCATGATGCCCTTTGGTAGTTTTCCCAATTTGACCGCAGTTAAGAGATCAGTGGATGAGTAAGGGTTCTAACAATACCAATTGACTGCAGGACAAAGAGAATTCCAAGGACATTTGTAGGCGACATAAACAGGGGGTTCCATTTGCTTGACACGTAGTGGAGCTGATCCACAGACGTGCATTAAGTTCATAAGGAGGCGCGACACGAGTGGACGGCCGATCATAGCAAAGGTTGCGGCTAAGGCTGGACCAGTCTAGGGCGTGCATACGGTATTTGCTGACTTCTACCAGGCTAGGAAGGTAGATGTAAGTTATTGGGCGATCTGCAGATCCCTCGAATCAAATAGCTGCCCTCCAGTACATTCCAGCGCGGACCTGGTCCGATGCAATAGCCTGAATCCAAAAGGCCAAGGTCCACTCCACTGTATTAGATTACCTCCACATAAAAGTGAGTCCAGAAAGCACATCAGGTAGTCAGTTGGGTGTGGGGTCTGCCATAGCTGGCTTGTTTACACCTGTTTGCAATTTTGAAATCTATTTCTATTTGGTCAATAAACAATACAATTTTTGGTCCGTTACTCCTTAAAACCTCTGTCTCTCTCCGACCACCTTTCTACCTTACTCTTTTTTACCTATCCGTTATACTACGTAATCCCCCGACCCCGGGGTACCTCTAGCCTAATTCTTACTCCCCTTTTATACCCCCCTCCCCTAGCTTCCCGCCTATCTACTACCACTTCTACCTAAGTACTAAGTAAGCACCTTTCTTTAATTTTACCTAGTAAATAGTATAAAGTAATAATTCCTAACTTATTTGCGTATTTTTCTAATATTAGACCTTAGCAAAGGCAGGTAGTAACTTATAGAAAATGTGAAATTTTGGTACTATTTATGCTAGAAGTATAGATAATACATATATTAGGGTATAAGATACGTAAAGTGCTATAAATATAGGACTTAATTATAAGATTATTATGTTTTTATTAGCTTATTATAATATATATATCTAATTCTACCTTTAATTAATAATTAAGGGGTCGATAAATATTAGAAAAACTTAAGAATTATAAAAATTGTAAGCTAAGTTATGCCTATAGATTTTCTGCCGTTTAAAGGTATTAAGGTAGGAATCCTTACAATGCCTTACTATTTTACCGCTAACAGTGAACTGTGACCTGAAATCCCAACTATGGCGGACCCACTTCCAACTGACCAGGTCACAGCTGCTCTCGATGGAGTCTGTAGATTCATGCTGTTTCCCGCTTTGTAAAGTCCACCGGTAAGTTACGAAAGTACTATCTTGTTAAATAGCCAAGGAACCAAATTCCCTGCCCTGGTCACTTCATTCACAACCGAAACCATGGCCGAGTCTCCCTTTGACATCCCTTTTGATAGGCTTCCCAACCAGAGACAGGTGTGGCTGGGAAAGCCTGGGAGTTATGAAGAGGGCCTCGGAAAGCTGGCGATTCTTACCCCTGAAGTCGTCGCTAAGGCAGCGGCCGGCGAGATCAAGTGTGGCCGCCGCGTGACTATGGGATGGGAGCTGACGAAACTGGATTATCCCAATCTCAATCGTCAACCATGTCATCACAAGATTGTGCCTCTTCTGGGAGGTGTGGCATTTGACGATGTGTACACCATGAATCCACGTGAGTCGAGGATTTGCTTTTTTTTGTATTTTTCAATAGTTCCCTGCATCGGTATTAACTATTGCACAGAGCAAAGTAGTCAGTGGGATGGTCTGCGCCACTTTTCTCAAACAGTCCCCGGTCAATCTGAGCGTGTGTTCTATGGCGGAACAACCGTGGAAGAGATAAATGATCGCCAAAATGATCGCATTGGCCTCCAGCACTGGGCTCGAGAGGGAATCGCAGGTATGGATATCTCTCCCATAAATCTCCCTTTATCTAAATGATTGTAGGGCGTGGGGTCTTAATTGACTACGCGACGTGGGCTGAGAAAAAGGGCATTAAATATACCACGTTCTCGACCCATCAAGTCCGCTTTGCCGACATCCTTGAGATTGCACAGGAGAACAATATCTCCTTCCAAAAGGGGGACATCCTTTTCGTCCGGGTTGGCGTGACCAAGGAGTGGGACACATCCATGACAGACGGGCAAAAACGGGCATATTCCGACAACGCTAGTCCGGAGCATGCTGGAGTCGAAGCAACTACCGACATCCTTCGCTGGCTTTGGGATACTGGCTTCGCCGCTATTGCTAGTGACGCTATTAGCTGGGAGGTGAGATAACAAAAGAACCCTCAAATCTTGCCATGTGGCAAGTCTGTCACTGCAGGGGTTTAACTAACAAATGCGCAGGTCTATCCGCCTCAATCCCCTGACATCTTCCTGCACGAGTATGTGCTAGCTGGATGGGGTATGCCGATCGGTAAGTTAGCAGAACAAGAAAACTCAAATGTCCGCTCCAACTGAGAACCACAGGGGAACTTTTCGATCTCGAAGCACTGGCCCGCACCTGCCAAGAGCTCCAGAGGTGGAGCTTCTTCGTGACATCCGTGCCATTGAACATGCCTGGTGGGGTTTCATCGCCTCCGAATATGATGGCGATTTTCTAGATCAACACTGCCTAGATTTTCATATAGTCATCTATCTGTCAGAATCCGGAAACCTTTTTAAGCAACTCTGCGGCGCCACTGTACATTTGCAAGGGTTTCATGATCATGCCAAGTCGACTGGACTAGTCAAATAGATTGCAGCAGATGGAGACACAGAAAGCAGTGACTAAATAAATTTGGGCTGATAGGCCGGGACGCACGCGGTCGAACTTTATACATCCACAACACATTCCGCTTTTGTTGACCTGAGTAAAGTTACTTCAAGCTACTGTAAATTTTATGAATAATGATAGCCCACGGGTCCACTGGGCGTCGTTTCACCAAGAGATTTGTGTGAAATTCATTGTGGAGTTCGGCTCGTATTTTGGGTTTATTCTCGGCTTCCAATTCTCCACCGGACCTATTGATAACCCCCACTTAACTTGCATCTTGACTGTTGCGGGTTTACAGGAAGGTGGAAGCCCGGGGAATCGGGTGGTACATTATGGGGCCGTTAGGTTAGGGATCCACTTCCCGCTTGTCAATTTTGGCCCCCATCTCAATTCCAGGTGAAACCTTACGGGTCATTGACTTACTTTCTCATCCCTACAAGTTTCACTCTCAAAAAACGGCTCTCCATGTAAAACCCAAAGTTGATAGTATGATAGAGTAAGATTTTCTCTGGTGGACATAGGCGACGTTAGTATACATACCCTTTAGAGAAGACCAGATATTGGCCACGGCCGTGTGATATGTGCAGAAAGCCCATTCGACTGAGCATTCATTAAGTTAGTTGTTTAATACAATAGTTGAATACACTTTGTGCAGACTAACTGTACATGTGCATGTCCTTCTGCTTGCCTACTCTGTAGAATGGCATACTACGCATAGCACAACATGTGATTAACACAGTAATTTGACATCCCAGCCTTGGTGCAAAGGCATGGACCTATATGTACATCCGTTATGCATCTGTGGCGCCGCGTACTCGCTGCATGCAATATACATGTACAGTATCAGCACCGGCGCTAAGAATAGGTTAACGAAACATTACGAGGAACTCATCGGATATTTCTTCATCCACGGACCTCGTGGTAAGGTAAGTCTCGATCGTCAAGTTGCTGCTTATGTCTATCATCAGAGATACTTTTTTGGCGTTTCAGGGGAGCCGATCGTGGTCAATCAATACCCTATTTCTATTGTACAGAGCCTGTGGACCGTAATGGTAACTTTAGGCGTACATTACAATTTTTCGTCAACAAGGGTACCCCAACCTAGTGATTGGTCTCCGCTATATCTTGGCTGGGTTCTCTGGAATATTGTTTAAAGGGGAACTGTCCTGATTCAATTAGCCTTTTCTCGAGGTTGGTTCTCAGCCCTGCCGTTCTTGACAATGCACGCCATGTCGTCTCTATTGGAGCGAGCATCTGGGGATGCTTCTATCGATCGAAGTGTGCAAAACTGGAATTATGCTTGTCAGTCGCTATGCATTATTGGAATGACTGTTTTCTTTGGTCTTCGCATGTATACCCGGGTGTTTATTCTCAGCGGGGTTGGCAAAGAGGACTGTGAGTTGAACTGCTACATGCAACCCGAGAAGTACTAACGACCATGATAGGTGCATGTTTTATAGCTTCGGTAGGGATCCAAAGGAGCACAGTTATGATGATAAAACTGACAATAAATTCTGAAGTTTCTTGGTATTTGTTACTCGGTTATTGCCCTCGTCAGTATGTTGTCCAGCCCTACCTCATCCATATCCTCTCTAACACACCTGCAGTGGGACATTACGGAGGTGGTTTACATTGGTCTGAAGTCCATGAAGAAGATAAAATCCCTTTTCAAAAGGTATTTAACGCCCTACTACCTGTTACTCCAGAGTACTAACAATGTAGACTATCTATGTGACGATGGTCATGTACGGACCAACCGCCTACCTAACGAAGGTCTGCCTTCTTTGGATCATGACCCGTGTGTTTAGTCCGTTCCGAAAATGCGTCATCTTCATCAGGGTCTTCATGGGCATCATGTTGGCCTACTACATCCCCGCTGTTATCGTCAAAATCCGAATTTGCAAACCCATCCCCAGATTTTGGGACCCGACGATTGCTGGTACGTGCCTTGACAAGAACTCCATTATCCTGGCCGATGCCGTGGTCAGTGTTGTCAGCGATTTGATTATTCTCATTCTCCCTATCCCATTGACGTTGAGTTTGCAAATGTCGACAAAGAGAAAAATGAGGGTTATGGGTATCCTGGGCGCGGGTGGATTAGCTGTTGCATCAAGTATCATCCGTCTAGCACTCATTGTGGTAACCGGACAATCAAAGGATGCTTCTTTGGCTTTCATGAGAATCAACATGCTTGGGTATGTTTCTGTGTTTATGGCCTTTCTTTACTATTGGAGCAAGCTAACTGATGAATTTTTTTAGTAACGCCGAAGTTTCCATTGGCGTGATCTGCACCTGTCTCCCTGCCCTCTCTGCCCTCCTCATTCGCATCTACAACGATTATTCCAGCAACAAAGCAACACTCGAATCGTCATATAAGATGAACTCAATGAAAATGCAGACCAGGACTGAACGAAGCAAAAACCAAATGAGTGTTAGGGAGCTGGACTCCGATGAGGATGGACTTGTCTACAATGCACAAGGCAATCCAAGGGTTGAGACTACTATTCATGGTGACAGCCTGCGACAAGAAGGCTCTGAGAGCATGAAATATGATGGCGTAGGGATTACGCGGACAGTCGATGTGTCAACCTCGGTGGAAACCCGGTAATCCAAGAGGGATGGGTTGACTTGAATATTTAGGAAAAGTCTCTGTATATACTGTAATTCCGTCTTTTTTATTTTTCTTAGACGAGTCTCATCCTCAACAAGGATGGGCGCATGTACCACGGCAATATGCATGTGTGGTAAAGTCGCTCTTTATAAATATCATTCTATAATTCCCCTTCACATGGAATCAAGACTGGCAACCCCTCTGCAGCTAAACACGACAAGATTGAAATAATTAGCCACTGGTGTCGTACAGTAGGTAAATTCTCTAGAATAGATCAGTTACAATGCACCTAGCAGGGATGCAGGGGTCTGCGGAACACATGACTAACCTCAACAATTGAGGAGCACCACGTTTCACCTCTCTGAAATGCACCAGCCTCATCATCTCGCAGCTTCGGCGGCTAATTTATCAAAGCCTTTCTAACATTCACACAAAGTACAAAGTCTCGGACGAAATGAGCAACTGTCCAACCCCAGAAACGCCTATCAAAATAATAGGCCTAGGCAGAGAGATTTGCACGGTGAATGGACGGACCTTCACGCGCAAAGAGGCGCACAACCATGGATAGAGCATACCCCAGAAGACAAGCCCAAGTCACAGCCCCACTCGACTTTGTGCCTCTCTGTCTTTAGTCCACCATGCACAAGGCCCAGGAGAACCATTCCACTGGTCATTGTTTGTCGCCCACGAAAACCAACCAGGCTCCGTCTACCAGGTCAAACGCGATGCAGAACCCATAACATATAAGCCCGAACTTGGTAAATGAGACTCAAGCTGAATCATTTTCGACCCTCTATCAACAGGCTGGGGTGTCGAAGAACAAGCGCGCGTAGTGAAGTAAGTTGCGGAACGCGAACCTCCTCCACGTGCACCTAATCGGCAGTTTGTTGTTGAGAATTGTCAAGGCTGGTCTGTTCGTGTTATTGCTACGCTGGTTGAGAGAGGGATTGTGCCGCCTGCCAAACTTGGGATCGCTATATGCATGATGCAGCCGGTCTGAATGGCTGAGGCTTATATTGGCAAGATGAGTCCATATCAAATGAATATTTCATATGACGAATTTATTGATCTAGTTCCTCTCAATAATTTTGGCTCTATGGGAGCCGGGGCAGGTTACGTTATTCAGGCCTCGGAGGCTTACATATGTGCTGAAGAATTTATATTTCGATACCAAACTGACAAACTCGACATCCAACTTGATCTCTTTGAGTTGACAATACCGGTGAGATGCACATGAAAATAGATAAATAACACTCTGAATAGGCTAATGTCGGTGTGCGTTACTTTCAACGCATCGGAACTAACGTAAAGTTTCTGCAAACATCTGGCTCGGCTTGGCACACACGGCTGGATCAAAATCCTCATTTCGGAAATCCATGACCAAACTCAAGTCCCTTGGCAAACAATCCAAATAGAAATGATCGCCCTAAATTTTCGCTATGCGCTATGCCATATTGAATAGCGAACCTTCGGTTACAAGCAACCAAACCATGGGACAACTTCCCGTCCTCTAGCCAAGCCCCAGCAACAAACGAATGATTTAAGCTTACCGACCTCTTGGCGCAGCTATTCCTGGCTTTGGTTGGGCGCTTGAGCGCCTGCGCTCTTTTTCAGGTTTGACGGACATTCCCCGTCCCCGTTGCTATTCCCTTCCACCCGCTTCTATTCTTACTTCGCACTATAGCAAAACTGTTGCGATTGGACTATGTCAATGCACGATGCAAACCTTACACGGGCCAAAGGGTCGAGGATGTCGCTAAATATGGAAATCGGCTACTGCTTTCTATTGGCGGGGTGCCGAGCTCGTCTCTTTGTCTTTTCTTTCTTGGTTTCTCTCTTTCAAGGTTATCCCTCGTGTATACAATCTAGACAGCGTGGTTTGCTTCGTGTTCTCGCAGTCTAGATTTCGCAAAACAGCCGCACAACTCGCACACTGGTGGGTTGTTTTCGCAAAATGAACCATCCATACGATTGACATCAAATGATCAATTTATATCCCCATTCTTGACTTGCAGTCTTCTTGTTCTGGACTTCGAGGTTGGTAATGTCAAGGCGGCAAGAGCCAACAGAGTCATTCCATCATGGTTGGCGTTCCCAAAAGTAAGGGCTGCCAAACATGTATCAAACGACGTGTGAAGGTTGGACTCCCCTCCCTCTCGGGGCTTCAGAGCACACTACTAAGCCGATCTTGTCAAAAATAGTGTGATCTATTACGACCGAAATGTACCCAGTGCCAAAAATACGGCGTCGAATGTCCGGGCTACATCAGAAACCGCAAGTTCATGGACGAAGGACCGCAGCTCCGAACCCGATTTGCCAAAAAGCCAGAACCAGCACCCGAGTCCATCGACGAGCGCATTGCACCCTCACTAGTTGCCCGAACAATGGGCAAGCAACAGCCGGTGATATTCGGCGACTTCGTCATGGCCTCATTCACACGCTGGTTCGGGTTAAACCGATACCGAGTACATGTACCGTGGACAACATATGTCGCGCAACATGGCGGGAAAAGTCCAGCATTTGACGCGGCCGTCTACAGCATGAACTTGGTTTTCATGGGATACACCCATATCGATGATAAGCTGCAGCGCTCGAGTCAGGAGATGTACAGTAAGGCGCTTCGGTTGTTCGGCGACAGGATCCGAGACGAAGCTGCGATGAAATCTCGTGAAAGTGTTAGCATTACTATCATGCTAAGCTTGTTTGAGGCATATTCTCCCACGAATCCGAACTCCTGGGCTCACCATGCTGGTGGTACGGCTCTGCTCATGGCTCACCGTGGCCCTGAGGCTCACTTGACAGGTTTTGATCGCTGTCTTTACCTTTCTTTCAGGAGTTTCATTGTCGCCGAGGCTTTTTTGAATGACAAACGCTGTATATTCGAGCGGCCGGAGTGGCAGGCGCATGTTCATCAAGTTCGCCGTGAAGATATGGCTGATCCACGAGTTGATGGACCGATTGCTCTTTTTATCGACTTGCAGGATCGAATTTTTATTGAAGTCGCTAAGATCCCAGGTTTGCTGTTTGAGTCTCGACGACTGGGACAGACGGATAACCCAGGACAGGCTGCACAACAGCTCTCGGCACGAAGCCTGAGCTGCAGCCAGGTTATCTATACACTCTCGGCTCACCTTCGCTTAGCAGCTGCGGTACAGAAATATCAATGGTGCAAGCCAGATGATAATAACGGCATGGAATCTAGCGACAAGGCCGCTTTCATTGGTCCTATTCCCTCGACGTTCCCACAGGAATTTGCAAACAGCGTTCTCCGTGGCTGCGACATCTGTATGTACATTCTTGGTCTTCTGGTCGATTACCTTGACGGCTACAAGGCGGACACTCAATCCTGCGATGTGGATCAAATGGTGGATCCTTTGCCTTTTCATCTCGTTTCTAAACTTCGGTGGTCCAAAGGCGCCAACTCAACATCCATTGAACCAGATGGCCCTGAGAAAGATCTGCCATCTCCCAATAAATGGCTTGATCTGGTTGCAGCTTCCATGGGGCTGGAGGCATTTGATATCATCACCCTCCCAACCGAAAGTCGCTCGCCTGAACCTGTTGTTGATGACCACCGTGATACTGTTCTCGCGGTGCGATGAGGACATTAAAAGTTATACCGGAGCTCACTTTAGCTAGCCCTCGGTGGCGGGTGTTCACAATCTCCACAAGAAGTTCCTGGAAATGATGTTCTCGGAGAGAGTAGGACTAAGGGTTGTTGGCAAACAATACAAGGCTCATGGCAGAGACAATCAACCTGCAGCTGCTCTTCTTGGTTGGACCACGATGCAGATAGAGCAGCGCCGAGATCTTCTACCTTCCCTACAGAATTAGTTATCAAAGAGATATCCTTGTAAATGTTCAAATCTGTCATTTCACCTAGAAATCGACTCATTCATATCATGACGCCAAATGAATTCCCGCTCAAAAATGTACGGACAAGAGAAAGAAACAAGCTCTATGTTGAATTGCAATTCAATCTGAATGTCAAGAATCAAGAGATCTTTCCAATCCTCTTCTTTCCAACATCGATCTTGGATTTCAAGCTAGAAATATCGTCAGCAATGCAAACACAATTAAGGAAAGGGGATGGACGAACATGTCAGCCTCCTCATCCGCCAACTTCAGCAGCTCATTCTGCACCTCAAGCTCCTCGTTAATCTGAGTACCCAGCTCCCTCTGTCGAATAATGATCTTCATCAATTCGTCGACATTAGCATCCTGGCTCTGCATCATCTGCCGCTGAAGTTGAAGCACGCCCTCATTGTCAAGTTCACGAGTCCGCTCCGTCTCTTTCCCAAGAACTCTGCCCGTCCGAGCTGGCGTCCTACGCCCACCAGTGGCCGAATCCCCGCCCGAATTTCCGGTGCTCATTAAAGCTTCCTTGTCTTGAATAGATGCCACGGCGCGGTCAAGCCTGCTCTTCGTCGCCATAGCATGTAGTAGGTCCTCCAGGCCGTCTTTCTCCTTGCGTGCATTGATAAGAAGATCCTTCCGTCGACGGATCTCGCCGCCGCCTAGTGTCGACGATGTCTTGTCTCCGCTTGCTATGTTCTTGAGACCTTCGTCCAGTGCGGTGATCATGGTGCCCGCGCGGACAAGGCAGCTCTTCGCTTGTGCTGAGCTTTCGTGCTGCTTCTGCGGTGCGGTCTCTTGATCTCTGCGAGACAGCTGTAGTCGTGCATCGTGGAGGTGGCCTTTCATGTCGCGGTAGTAGTCAAGCCAGAGTGTTGGGTCCATGATGGGTGAGTTTGTAGCGTCTGGGTCTGTGATGGCTGCATGGAGTCGCGTAGATGTATTTGTTGATCCGTTGCTTGTTGAGGCGACTGCCGTCGGGAGGTTCAAGAATGCACGCCACGCGGGCGAGTTCCGCCAGCGGCCATCATCGGATTCGTTGATTGCGCGGAGGTACTGTTCTAAGCCGCAGCGGCGGTCTTCGCGCAAGCGCTCATTCGAGACAGTGTTTGAGAACCATGTTTTTGAAGGTAGGGGGGCTGGTGGTGGGGCGTTTGTTTGGGAGATGAGATTGTTGTGGAAGGTTGTGAAGTCCGAGTAGCGCTTGGGGACGGTGAAGGAGCGGAGCGGGAGGCGGAGGGAGATGTGATAGACAGTATAGGGCGGAGAGGACGGTGAGATGGTGGTATTTGGAATGGATATTTCAACAGTTGGCGCCATGGTTAAATTGAAGTATCATTGTTTGAGGGTAAGGCGGGTAAGGTTGGAGATAAAGAGAGACGGTTACCTGGGGAGCTCCGTATGACGCAAAAGCTTAGGCCACCCGACCTTGTATTGGTGATCAGGCACATCTACGAAGGCACACGACAATGGCATATAGGCATATTTGCACATTGCAACTTCAAATTAACTTAATCGCTATGGGTATCTCGTACAAATTCGACGCAAATTCATTCCTTGGCCCAAATCTCGCGTGCCTCCAAGAGATCCCGTTGGCCATAGAACTCACCCACCACGGTAATCACCATGTCGAGCAAAGCGCGAGTCTGTTTCAACAATTCCTCATTATCCGATTCAGTAGGGTCACTTATGTCGGCGCGGTCCTGGATTTGAGCTTGCAGGCGCGCCTTGGCAGCCTCCAATTGAGACTGCTCTGAGGTATCAAGCACGCTGGAGTCTTGTGCTTCCGCGGTCACGGGCAATCCTTCCTCCCTGATCTCATCAACATGCTTGTCTTGCATGTCTAGCTGGTCCATATCCTCCAGATCTGACACGGGCGATTCAGAACCCTCTTCCTCTTGGGATCGGTTGTTTTCCGTCTCTTGTACCTTTCGTAGGATCGTCGCAGCTCGTTTTCCTAGGTTTCGAATGGTACCCACATCCTCAGTGGCCAACTCTCCAACCTCACGGCTCTTCCCCAGTAGGCCCCAAGCCCAGGCCCCGATGCGCCGCACGCGTTCGGAGTCTTCACTTCGGACAACATCGGACATCATCCGCGCCAGTAATTCTAGCACTTCCAACACACTATCCGTGTCCATGCACGCCAGCTGCACCATTTGTGGGTCGACTGCGAGTAACAGACGGCGCCACTCCTTGTGCGCCGACAAGGCATTTCGGGGGAGGCTAATAGGGTGGGCATGGTCAAGAGCACTGATAGCCTCGGCAGGCGGGCTGCATCGGAGGGTCGACCGCAAGAGTAAGAATCGATGCCGAAGAAGAGTGTAATAAGACTGTTGTGCATCAGGGTAGAGTTGGTCAATTTTCGAGGAGGAATGCGCGGCCGCAGTTGGGTCCATGTCCTCCGCGGGGGCGATGTAAGCTTCATCCGCGTAGAAGCCGCCTCTCGGGTACGACTTGGGGTTTTCGACGGTCTTCGCATATTGCTGTTCATCTGATGTTGGTTTAGGAGGATTCGCCGTCGGAGTAGCCGTGAAGAATAGCGATGGGAGGGAGTTTGCTTCGGATCTATGCAACAAAGTCAGATCAAGCTCGAACAATGGCGTGCAGAATAGGGGGGTACGGGTAAGTGATGAGATGGTATCAACAGGTAAGCTTACCGGACCATGCGCAGATATTCTAATCCATCCTCGGCGGGCCCGTAAAATAGCTCGTCACCTCCGTCATCCAAGCCTGGGAATGCGTTCTTTTGGCCATATGTAGGATTATTGCGGGGACGCTCGTGATGCAAAGGCGAGGACTGGTCCTCGCCCTCATCGTCGTCATAAGACATTTTGGCACGTTTAGGGGAGGGAGGCGCGAGGTCGCTCTTTCGCTTGTCAGGCATGGTGAGGTGAAGGTGGTGATTTTGAGGTTGGAGTTTAGCCCCGGACGGCGGCACCATGCAAACGCGTTTGCATAGGCAAGCTGGAAAATCACTGAGAGCAAAACAGGTAATAGAAGGGTGACTATATTGAACTCAAGTCAATTCTATCATTATTTCGCTAATTCACTATCTAAGGCGGTGATGTTTATCTGAAGGCGGGATCTGCATCTGCCAGCAAAAAAGATAAGGATGTCATCTTCACTTCATTTTTCTCCAATTTACCCCTCATGGCTGATTTGTCTTCACTTCATTCACTTTGAACATTCTTCCATTCTCTCTCTCATCATTGGAAAGAACCCTGCCTCAATCTCATTTTCAATTTTCTAGAGATGACCCAAACATTCAGTAGCACTCTCTACTATTTATTTTCATTCCTTCCAACCCAACCTTGACCTCAGTGTCAATCATGCTTCTTTGATAACCTCTGGACCGGATCCCACAAAAAAAAAGAACACCAATCGGGTGATTGCTCAAGCCATGGCTTCCCGAAAGCATATCTATCTACCGACCGAAATCCTTGTCGAGATTGCGCAATGCCTACGGGACGCTCCGGAGGACATCGACGATTCCCAGACGGATTTCCCATTCGGGGATCAAGCAACACTTCACAGCTTCTGTTTAGTGTCTCGCCAGTGGTATTCTGCCGGCATCGAAATTCTGTACTCCCGGCCTGATCTTAGTAAAGGAAGCAGCTTTGCGCAATTTACAAGCACGGTGTGCCCACCTCTTCGTGCCAAGAAACCGACTCTGGATTTCGGGTCAATGGTCCGCTTCTTGTGGCTCGCTGGACTGGTACACCACAGTTCGAATAGCCTGACATCAAGGCTGCTTAGCCGCGTAAAAAAGAACCTGCAGGTTTTTGTTGCTCCAAGGACATCATTTTCGTATGTTTGATCTTCATCAAGCTTTTTTATTGAATCTGGCTAAACTATTCCTACAGTATCAATAGCCTTGCGCCATTGTCGAAATGCAAAGAGCTCATTCACCTCCGCCTCGGCCTAGTGATAGAGCCTATCGAGCTTCCCGTCCTCAAAAAGGCAATTGGCAATCTTCACAAGCTGAGATCGCTTTTTCTGCCGTCCTCGATGTTGATCACCGACGATCAATCGGGTTCATGCTGGCCTCCGAATATCCTGCACATGCAGCTGGGTGGAAAATTTGACCTGGAGTCGATGCCTACTTTCAGGTGGCCACCGAATCTTACTAGTCTCGCATTCTGTGGCTGTGAAGACCTGAACCCTTTCACTCTTGAACTAATTCTCATGAACCATCAACTCTGCACAATGCTGCGCGCATTGTCTCTTCACTCTTCGAATGGCAATATGCTGGGTGATGATGAAACCTCTATTCTAAGTGGCTTGGTCGGGTTGAGACGGCTTGAGGTGCCCATTGATCTTCTGTATCCATTGCTCATTCTCCCTGCATCCGATGAAATTAGCTCGCCGCTCTCAATTCGCGAATTGATTCTCACAGCACAATATGAGGAAGAATTTGAGCCGGAGTTTGATCTTGATGAGCTCCAAAAGGCCCTAGGGCGGAATCTTTCGCGGGTTTGCGGATTGGGTATCTCTCCGAAGTGCCTCAATCTAATACCAAAGGAATCTCATGCCAGAATTGATAAGAAGGTCTGGAAGAATATTGATGAGTGCCCGGAGAATGAACTGGACTATGTCTATGACCTAGGTCTCTACGAAATAGAAAATGAACTTTGTTGACCACTTATGGATTACACAAGGCATTGATCAAAAGATCTCTCGGATATTATCTTCTATTACAAGTGCATGGGTGTCTGTTTATGGCATGCATTGACTAGTCGGAGTACTACAAAGTTGATTAGTATAAAGTGACTCATGAAACAGAGGAATACATATTTCCGCATTGAACATAACCTATTAGAAGTGGTTCATCATAAAGCCTGGTTTGCATCTTATACTTCGATGAAAGGATGTTTTTTTGATCGTTTTCTGTCTGTAAACAAGCATCTGGAGGATGAGGCATCAATCGGCAAGGCTTCAGATATCGAGTACAAAAGTCTTGGCGGATCCGATAAACAGTCTTGGCGCTCCTCATCCCGAGATGACGACATCTGTACACATCCCCAGAACCAACCACAACCATGAGACCGCAAACTATCTGGCGGTCATTCAGCCTACTGCGACATACCGCTCGCTATACACCTGTTATCAGTCGGGCTATTCAAACGGCCAGTTCTCGGCCTATCCCTAACTTTGCCTTTGCATTCGAGTGAGTCTTATCCATGTGCGGGCGACTCTTCCGCGATCTAATCCCGTTGTATAGCATCGACGGTGTTCTCCTGCGAGCTTCGAAACCTATCCCGGGTGCCGCGGACTCACTGGCCCTCTTGAAGGAGCAGGGCATTCCCTTCATCCTACTCACCAATGGCGGCGGCAAGCACGAGACGGAGCGCGTCGCTGAGATCAGTGAGAAGCTACAAGTCCCATTGGATCCCACACACATTGTGCAGAGCCATTCACCTTTTGCGGAGCTGGTTAAGGGAACGGACGAGGCTAGCTCTCTTGAGCACAAATGCGTGTTAGTTGCCGGAGGCGATGGGGATAACTGTCGGCGCGTGGCAGAACAGTAAGTTGAAGGGCTTTCACCATGTCTCTATACAGTTGATGCTAAACATGGTTATAGGTATGGATTCAGGAATGTTGTCACCCCGGGAGATATCCTCATGGCGAACTCGGCCATCTGGCCGTTCTCCAAGAACTTCAGCGACTATTACAAGACGTTCGCCCGCCCGCTACCTAAGCCAATTGACTTGAATGACCCACTAAAGAGTCTCAAAATTGACGCTATCTTTGTGTTCAATGACCCCCGAGATTGGGCATTGGACACCCAGGTGATCATGGATCTTCTTCTTTCGTCACAGGGCCGTATGGGCAGCTTGTCCGAGAAGAACGGTCGGATCGATCTACCCAACCACGGCTACCAACAAGATGGCCAGCCTCACCTGTATTTCTCCAACCCTGACTTGTGGTGGGCTGCCGCCTATCCCTTGCCCCGTCTGGGCCAGGGCGGTTTCCGAGAGGCACTCGAGGGTGTCTGGGCCGCGACTACAGGTGGCCCTAGCAAGGGCATTGAGCTTAAGAAGACCGTGATCGGGAAACCTTATCAGCCTACGTACGAATTTGCGGAACGACAGATGCTCCGCAACCGAATGAAGACGTTTGGTGATTCTGCAGATTTCCCACCTTTGCAAAGAGTCTATATGGTCGGTGATAACCCCGAGTCTGATATTCGGGGCGCAAACTCCTACCGCAGTGCATTTGGCAGTAGCTGGCACTCGATCCTTGTTCGAACTGGCGTCTACAGAGGCGGTGAGCCTGCTTGGACCCCTCAAACCATTGCGGACAATGTACACAAGGCTGTTCAATGGGCGTTGGAGAGTTCCAAATGGCCCGCCGCTTGATTTTGAGCGGATATTTAGTAAGATGTATAGATGGTGGGGTTAGCAAGAATGGCGCAGGCTGTGTAGAATACATAGCATCATGCGCTAACCACATTAGCAAATGTAATAGCTCAACGTTTACATGTACATCAGCTTCTGGTTGTATAGAAAATGGCTCCTCAGGCATTGTATCATGTGACATCCCCTCTTAGGGCTTAGGGCTTGGCATTCGGCGGGGTGAGTCAAGGATCCATCTGCAGTGACAGAAGCCTATCAGCCCGTTGTTTAAAGCTTTGTTACTCTCTCGTGATAGACTATCATAGAGGTAGGATATATCGGCCTCTCTCTCAGTTTCCTTCTTTAATTGCCCTCACAGCACCATGACAGACTCCGAATTGCCCCACCGTCCCAAGCCCGACGCATCTGCGCCCGCCGCCGAGGGTCCCAGCAAGAATGCTCTGAAGAAGGCCGCCAAGGACAAGGCGAAGGCTGAGAAGGCTGCAGCGCGTGCTGCCCAAGAAAAGGCCCAGGCCGCCGCCCAGGATGCCAACGACACAGCTAAGGATCTATACGGAGCCCTACCCGAGACTGAGGACGTGGTCCCTTCAACACGGTTCTCCGAGTTCTCAGAGGAGTACTACGAGAAGGAAGTGACAGTTGTGGCCCGTGTCGACAATGCGCGCGTGCAGAGTGCCAAGCTGGCATTCTTGATGCTCCGCCAGCAGGGACAGAAGGTGCAAGCCGTCATCGCCGCCGCGGAGCCCATCTCGCGCCAGATGATCAAGTACACCGGTGGTTTGAACGTCAACTCTATTGTGCAGGTCACCGGTATCGTGAAGAAGCCCGAAATCCCCATTTCGTCCGCCACCATTAGCCACCTCGAAATCCACATCCGCAAGGTCTACATGATCTCCGAAGCTGCCCAGATGCTTCCAATGCAAGTTAAGGATGCCGAGCGCCCACCTCCCGAGACTACCGATGAAGGTGCCCAGGTTGATGCCGACGGTGCTCCCATTGTCACCCTCAAGACCCGTCTTGACAACCGTGTCCTCGATCTGCAGACCGAGACCAGCCAGGCCATCACCTGGATTTCTAGCGGTGTTTCCGAGCTCTTCGCCGAGTACATGATTAAGAGTGGTTCGCGCTGGATCTTCACCCCTAAGTTGGTCGGTGCTGCTACCGAGGGTGGTAGCGGTGTCTTCGAGGTCAAGTACTTCAAGCGCAACGCCTACCTTGCCCAGAGCCCCCAGCTCTACAAGCAGATGTGTATCGCTGGTGACATGGAGAACGTCTTCGAGATTGCCCCCGTGTTCCGTGCCGAGGAGAGCAACACCCATCGCCACATGACTGAGGTATGTTTAATTGGTTTCTTTTCGGTGACAGACACCGTTTATACTAACCTGATTTAGTTCTCCGGTCTCGATTTCGAGAAGACTTTCCGTGGCCACTACCACGAGGTCCTGGAGTTCGCCGAGAACCTCCTTGTTTTCATCCTTACCCAGCTCAAGGAGCGCTATGGACCCCAGATTGCTACCATCCAAAAGTCCTATCCCAAAGCCGGTGACTTCAAGCTGCCCAAGGATGGCAAGGCCCTGCGTATGAACTACATGGACGGCGTTGCCCTGCTGAAGGAGGCTGGCGTCGATGTTTCCGAGCAGGAGAGCTTCGAGAACGACTTCACCACCGCCATGGAAAAGCAACTCGGCCAGATCATCCGCGACAAGTACGACACCGACTTCTATGTCCTCGACAAGTTCCCCATGTCCGTCCGTCCCTTCTATACCAAGGCCGACCCCAACGACAAGCGCTTCTCCAACTCTTACGACTTCTTCATGCGTGGCGAGGAGATCATGTCCGGTGCTCAGCGTATTAACGATATCAAGGAGCTTGAGGAGTCTATGCGTGCCAAGGGTCTCGAGCCTAACCAGGAGGGCTTCGAGGATTATCTCAATGCTTTCCGCCAGGGCTGCCCGCCTCACGCTGGTGGTGGTCTCGGCCTGAACCGTATTGTTATGTTCTTCCTCGGTCTACCTAATGTGCGCCTGGCCTCGCTATTCCCTCGTGACCCCCAGCGTCTGCGTCCTTGATTTCTCTTATTGGAGTCACTTGCATAACATGTCAGGGGAAATATAAGATCAAAATAAAAATTCAATATCGTTCATATCACACTTGTGCTCTATTCTAGCGACCGAGAAACAAACTTGCGGGCTCGAGTAGACCTGAAGGGCGTATGGTTTGGAAAGTTGCTATTCCTTGTGGTTGGAAATGTAGCATGTCCACCCATGCGGCTCGACCGATATGGTTTCGAGCACGTTGATCTACATAAGACTTGCTTTAGATGCCTAGCATCATAAAAACGGCATACGAAGTACGGTAGCAACCGTAGGAAAGCCCCAGCTTATAGAATATCCCCAGTGCGGGTGTTGAACCAAGAAAGGAGTTTCATCTTCTAAAGCTAGATCCTAGGTAATGGTATGAGGACCAGCGTATCTACACTCAACTCAGCAGAACTGACACTTAGAGTAGGTGGCATGAATATAGGATGATATTTGGAAGAAAAGTTGCATTGACAAGTTTTAAGGGATGGACGACGCAATCTAACGAGCCAAGACACATGGAAAACATACACGCTCTTGTCCCCCCAACCAGGATTAAGCAAATAACAACAAAAACAGGTAAAGTAGAGAGATTAAGACACAGAAGCAATCACAGCCGCGGCAACACCCTCCTCTTCTGCGCGGACAGTGATCTTGGTCGTGACACCGGCTTTGCTGGAGTAGGCCATCTTGATAAGAGAGGCGACACGGCCACCGGAGACGGTCTTGCCGAACAGTTTGAGCGTGTGTGTGCTGCTGTTGAGGGCGACGTCGGTGCCTTCGAGGGGTTGGAGCGACAGGGCAGCGATCAGCTGTTCTGTAGCATCTATGGAAATTGTTAGTATCCCTGGCGAAGATTAAATAGGAACCATACATACCGGTGATGCCCTTCATGTTGCTGAGCTGTAGTGTCTCGCTTTCTTCCTCGCCGTTGGCACCGGTCTGCTCCCAGACGTGGTCGAAGCTGCCCGCAAATGTCGGGATGACATAGTCGCTGCCAGTCAACTCGAGGTCTTCCACCTGGTACTCGTCGTCGTAGCCACTGTCCTCGGGCTCGCCGGTCGTAGGATCGACCTCTTTGCTGGTGAACTTGAGGTTGTTTGTGAATGAGGTGACGGGAACGCTGTTCTCGCCGCCGAGCTTCTTGAATGCCACATACACAACACCGGGCTCATTTGTGGAGAGCTTGGGAGCAGGAATGATAAAGTCTTCCTCCAATACGTCCTCCTCCTCTGGGGTTGCAGCAACAGTGACATTCTCGAGGACGGTGTCTGGAAGTGTATTCTTGATGTCGTATTGCACGACGATGTGTTCCTTGAAGATGTGCTTGACAGCTGTAACAACGTACTCCGTCTCGCTCTCGGAAAGCTCAACAGGCCCAGAGGACTTGAGCAAAGTACCGTATTCCTTGAGGTCGGGGTGTTGCATGAGCTGCTCGGCATATTTCTGAGTTGCAGAAGCAGTGGCAGCTTCGGCCATACCGCCGCTGGCCTTGCTCTTCGTGGGACCTGCTGAGGGAGCCTTGAGTGTGGGGGTAGCCGAAGTGAGTTTCTTGGTTCTCTCCTCGGCCAGGGCCTGCTCGTGGGAAACAACGGGAACAGTAGCAACGTCAAAGGCAGCAGCAAAAGTCTGTTTATCACCTGATGTCACGTACATGACCAGTTGGTGTTCGAAGGTGGAAAGGGAGTACATGGAGTCTATAGTTGTCAGATCAAGGAACATTGCCAGCAATGGACGGGAAATTACCGTTCTTAATAAAGGCGCTCGCTGCCTCGTCCTCCTCGCCCATCAGGCGCAAGTTGAGCGCAGCACGATCCCGCACCTCGTCATCGGTATCATCAAGACAACGGGTGAGCAGAACCTGAACACTAGATTTGACTTCGGGGTCCTTCTGGCCAACACCAAACTTGGCCAACGCGGTGACGGCAGCGGCACGTACAATGGCGTTCTCCAGAACGACACGGTTGTAGATGTAGCGGATATACTTGGTGGGATGAGTAGTCTTGGGGCCCTCAGCACCAAGCAGGTGCAGAATTCTGACTGAGAGCTTGGTAAATTCGCAGTCCTCGATGAACTCGCAGAGATGAGCGAGGGCTAAATGTTTATTAGTAAATGTACCCGTAGGTTTGGACTAGAAACTTACCATCTTCCTTGCTCTCGGGAACAAATTTGATCAGATCAAACATGCTCTCCACAACAGTGCGCTTGAACTCGTATCCACCCTCGTCGCGCAGGATGCCGCTCAGGAAAACGAGCATACCGGCCTGCTTGCTGGGGAACTTCAGGCACAGAGTGCGAATAGCTTCAACAATGGTGACTTTGAATTCGTCGGTGATATCGGCCATGAAGCCAGAGATCTGCTTCATCAAACGGTCGACACTAGCTTCGTTGCCGGTCTTGAGCAATGTGGTAATGGCGAACGTGGCGATGGAGCGGTTGGAGTTGGAGATGAGCGATTCGATATCAGGGTTGCAGACGTTGACAACGTGCGGCTTGAAGGAGGCGAAGTTGTGAAGGATACGAATGGCAGCGAACTTAGTGATAGACCGTGGGGAAGACAGGAAAAGCTGGAGGACGTGAACAGCCTGCGAGGCCTCAGCATCGGTAACATCGCGCATGTCGCAAATAGCCTTGGCTGCCTCAAAGTTGACCATTTCATGCTTGTGACGGAGCCAGCCATCCAGCATCTGCATCATAGGTTTCCGGAGGCCCTGGTCCTCTTCGGCCAACTTCGCAGCCAGACGCACCAACAAGAGCAGAGCGGCCGGGCTCTTCACAACACCTGCGGCTCCGTACTGCTGCACCATCTTGACCAACGACATACGATCATGTGAGCGCATCTGATACAAAAGACCAATGGCGTGGTACTGGGTCATGAAATTTGACTGCGAGATGGCGTGGCTCTGCGAGCTTGACGAGAAACCAAGGAAGCCGGTCGACGATTTGGAAGATGAAGCTGCTTCCTGTGTTTCGCTTTGCCATCTCCGGACGACATCGCGCGCAATGGGAAGAAGGTGGTAGGAGGAGACCAAGGCGGCGGAGGAGACCGAGGGAGTCTTGTCAACAATGGCGGTCTTGATGAGTCGCTCGATACCTTGTACTGTGGAGGCCTTTTTTTAATTAGAATCGTTAGCCACTTCCTCTCCAATCAATCTAAGCCACAGCGACCTACGTCGATAATGCGGCAGAGCGCTCTGATAGCATTGGCCCGGTACAAAACATCGCTTCCCACCGCGGTATCCTTCATGATGATGCTTGTCGACATGATCACATCCTCGGCGGTGCCGGCCAACTCCTTCAAAATCAGATACACCATTTGCCGCAATGAAGGGTCCTTGTTCTGGAAGAGCTTGGAGATGCCGAAGAAGAGGGTGGTGGCTTCGTTCGTAGGGAACTGCTCCCCGGTGAACATGAGGACAGCGATCTTGGTAAGTAACGTCCGACATGTTCGCGGCGAAATAGGAGAGGAATTGAAAAGGCGTGCTGTGAGAATTGTCTGGTCAGTATGAGGAAAGCGCATGGAGGCGCCAGGGGGGAAGCAATTGCACACCATCTTGGAATACGGAGGTCCGATCAAGCTTGATCATGACCTGGTCCGCATCTTCATCTTTCTTCATATAGCTCATCTTGCCCGGGAGCTGGAATCTACCAGCAGGGAGTAATCGCTGTCTCCTTGGAAATGTGGAGTGGGTGTAAATGGAACACGGGTCGAGTACACAGAATCAGGGCAGGGCGGTGTAGGCGACTACAGCATAGCCACCGGAGAATTGAAAGCCAAGAGAGAGTGAAATGGAGGAAGAAGAGAAATGAGAATTGAAGAGAAGCGGTGGTGAGACTTGGATCTCCTCGAGCTTGTCTATTGGGGACAAGTTGAAGGTGGCCTTCCGTGTGTTTGGCCCGTAACAAACACTGCAAACAGTGGCATCATGATCGAAGGCAGCACCCCTCCAACTCCCCTCATTTCCTTCCTATACTTGATTTTTTTTTTTTTACTGCAGTCCTTATAATATCCATTCAACATGCAGGTTGAAGTCAACGAAAACGAGGACACTGAGTGGTAAGCTTGTTACTGTGCCCCGCTACCTGCAATGAAGCGCAGTGTGCTAACCACTGCCTACATTATACAGGAACGATATCCTCCGCCAGCATGGCATTATCCCCGAGAAGCCTGTGGACCCCGAGCCTCTGATCCAAGAAGCTCTGGTCGAAGCAGAGCACAGAGCGTATGCAAACCGACTTGAGGACAAGGACATTGACGAGTTGGACGCACTGGAAGAGGAGGAGGACGAGGAATTCCTCAACTCATATCGGTGAGCTTGTGCTCTGTATGTCATCGCCAAAGCTATCCATTTGCTGAATCTCATGGATAGCCAAAAGCGATTCGCTGAGCTCTCCACTATCCAACAGACCAGTATCTTCAACCAGGTCTACCCACTTCAAAAGGTCGATTATGCCCGTGAGGTGACAGAAGCATCGAACAGTGCCTATGTACTCGTCAACCTCACATCCATGGGCGGCAACGTCGAATCACGCGTGTTGACGGAGCTCTGGCGGCAGCTGGCTGCCAAGTTTGGTGACATCAAGTTCTGTGAGATTCGCGCCGATATGTGCATTGAGGGATACCCGGAGAAGAACACACCCACAATTTTGGTGTACAAAGATACCGAGATCAGGAAGCAGCTTATCACGCTGCAGCAGTTGAATGGACCCCGTACCAAGCTTGAAGGTAAGTTATTTACAATTGAGGGCGGAGACATGCACGTACTAATCAATCGTATAGATATTGAGCGTTTGCTGGTTGAAATTGGTGCTCTGAAAGAAAATGATGTCCGCCTTAAGAAGCGCGACGAGGACGAGGACGAAAAAGCCGATGACCTGAACATTGAAGACTATGACGACGACTGGGATTGATTCATCAATTGAAAACCAATGCAGATATTATGACTATGGCATGTGTATATTATGACAACATCCAACCCCAAATGAAACCTGTTCCTGTTGACAGGCGATTGTGATTGAAAGGCTATTGAGAGACGCGAAGCACATGTCAGCTTTGATCTGAATTTGGTTCCCAATATTGGCCTTTCCTGCAGTCAGGAAAACTCTAGGATTTTTGGCATAAATCATCTTGTATCTTGGTTTGTAATGCGCCTTTAGTGCTCACCTCTATATAGATCGTTAGCACTGTCCTCCTCAATACAATCGAAGTCGACTCCTAGTCCAATCTACAGCCCGTGGAGGGGATATCCTATATCCACAGAATTTACTCACAAGTCTTTCGTTAGATCATTTCTCGCCACCCTTCCTCTGCTTCAGATTTGATTCCGCTACATCGCCTCGAGCATTCAGATATCCCCGCTGGTTTATATATAAAGAAATTCGGAACAGTGCAGCGGATTTCGGAAATACGTCTAGATTACTTCATCCCTTTGGCGTCAGGTGTGAAGGGCACGCCAGAGACAATACTGGAAGGCAGATCCGATAGACCCGATAGATCGTCCTGATAAGCTATACCAGAGCTGTATGTGGAGTGGAGCTTTGGAATCTCATGCTGTTCAGCTTCGCAAGGTGGTGACGAATTGGGCGGAACAAGTTGAAATGGGTCATTGATGTTGATGATAACCGGATTGCTGGTGGGCTTGAAAAGTTCAAGGATGCTGATACTCTCGAACGTTGAGGAAAGTACAAGATTTCGCTATATATTTTGGTGAGAAGATAACCAAGCGTGCCTCTTTGCTTACTTCCAAGTCAGGATGGGATCATTGCTCTTGGACAACTGTGCATAAGAGCATGTCAATATAATGAACTAATAAAAGGGTCCTCTCCATCCTTGCTTTATATAGTTCAGACCTTGATCAATCTTTAGCCAAACCTGCTTGACTCTATATCCGACTTCACAAAAAGCGGTGGACGAAATAGCAAGAAATTTATACGGAGATCTCATGATTTCCGTACGTCTCAAGAGGTGTCTCTGATGTTTGTTTTCATTGAAAGGCAGAAGGGATCGAAATCTTACTTCCATTAATAGGCATTGAAAGGACAAATGGAATCAAAACTTGATCTGGGTGATAAACAACCTGTTATTTTAAACCTGCCACCTTGAGGAAGCTACGTTGGAGACATAATCCTATCTCTTATGAAGTTGATTGCGCTTTTTCTCATTCATAAGAATTCTCTGTCTAGATATAGCCAAACTCGGCCCGCTCAGACCAAGGGCACCAAGGAGTATACTGTATGATACCAATACACATATGTGTATATCTTACTTGGTTATTGGTTTGAACGGATTGAGCCTTTAAAAGCTTGGCCCGTATGTACCAAGTGGTCTTGCCCAATCATTCATCGAAGGCTTCATTCAGTATACACCCCATATATCCAGTGTTTTGAAGTCAAAATCCAAATTAAGCGTTCGCTCCAATAAAAAGAACCCGAAATCCAAAAAAGAAAAAGGCCAAAACGCTCGGGGCCCAGTAGATCATATATCCAGCGCCAAAAAAATACTCCAACTCATAATCATAATAGCGGGCACAACGTATATACTAAATCAACTCATCACGCCCCATAGCCGCACTTGCCTCAATAGCTCTCAGCACCTCACCCTCCTTAAAAGCTGGGCCTTGGCCATTACACTGCGCCATACCCTTAAGCCGCTCACTAACATCACCAATATCAACCTGCCCACTCTTAAACAAATCATGTTTCTGAATTAGGTCCCACGTAGCCCGCGTATCCAAAAGGTTCTCGCCGGTGGTTGGGCACACAAGAATGCGGTGTTGCGGGGCTGGAGCCGTGGCCTTTCCATCTGGTTGAAGTGTGGCTGAGAAATCCGTGGGGGAGTACTTCATCGGACCTGTGACAACCGGCTCGGGAGCCTCGTTCGCATTGCCACTGCCATTGCCGCGGTTGGGGTGATGTGACGTAGCGCGAAGGATTTCATTCTCGGTTGTATATCTCGCGAGCTCGCGCTTCAGGCGTTCATTATCGGCTTGTAATGTGTCGGATGCTTGTTCGAGCTTGTTCACTTTATCTTCGAGATCGCGGACATGTCGTTCTTTTCGTTCGCGGAATGCGCGCTGGCTAGATAGGGTATGATCCTGTTAGTATTTCTGATATCTCGTGGGCATCCACTTGACATGTGGGGATGGTGTTGATTTGTCACATACGCAGCGCGGTTCTGGGCCTTGCGCTTGCTTTGCGCGGGCACCGACTGGTTTTCCTCGCTGCTGCTCCTTCCCATTGAGGGATCGGCAAATTGTGGCTCATCGCCGTCAAAGGAGATGGGATCCGCGTGCTGATTGTTGCCAGCCTCGTTGCTTGAGACTGAGTGCTTGGAGAACGATTCTGGCGGTGAATGCGGTGGCGGGACAAAGGATGAGGAGGGGTCGATGCGGAACGAGGGGTCAAAGCCGGGGAAGTTTTGCTCGTAGTTATTCTGATATAGTCAGAATCAGGGGCTTTGGAGATCAGGGCAGAGAACCCACTAGAGGGGCAAACGCATCATCAGGTTGCGCCTGGGGTGGCTGGTCGGGGGTCGGCAGCCCGTAGAGTGAGTAAGGCTGCGACCGAGGGCCGTAGTAGGGGTAATCCATGACGGTGGAATATTGGATACACCGAGTCTGTCGGAAAGTTAGGAAGTGGGAGGAGGGAAGATTTGGCTTGGAACCCCAGAATAATTCTGTTCTCGACCGTTCGTACCGGGTACTCGGGTTTGGCTGCAGATCTGGCCAAAGAGTACGGTATTGGGTACTCTGACAACACCCCCTAATTTTAGAGTATTATTCCCTCAGGTCCCCATAATATAAACTGCTGGAGAGTTTGGTCCGTGCCAACGGGAGGCGTTCAATGATCTCACCATTTCTAGAACTTCCATAATGGGCCTACGAAGTGGAAGGAGTTGGGATAAACACATTCAACTTAGTGAGAGCTAGTAACATATGACATCGACGTATACCACCCCGGAAGCGACCCTAACCATTTTCCGTCGCCATACCACGAGAAGCTTCCCCCGAGCGGGATTGCATTAAAGACCATCTGAGAACAGATAGAAATTTCTGCAAGACGACTGGACATAACCAGAAAGACTGCAAGCAATTTCCCCGAAGCAAGACATCTCCGCGTCACCATCAATCGACCAGCTGGCCGCCCCTCGTCCCCATTAAACGTCGATGTAAACAAATTGATAATCGCCAGACACAAAGAAAAACGCAAAGGGCAGGGTAAAGAAATCATAGGAAATGAAAGGGGTAAAGGAATGGGTAGCGCATCTGACGATGCATTCAGGGATCTCCAATCGCAGCGGTCAAATAATCCGACAATAAAAGTGTGGGCTAACGCCGTCATTTGCATCTCCCTTGGTCTTGCCCTCTGGTTGTGCTGACCAAAGATGCCAGGTTGTAAAAGAGAAACCAAAGGGCAAGGACGTAGAAATGAGCCACAATATCAAGAGCGTTTCGAGACGTGATCGGTTGTCCCGCAGAACGGGTACAGGAATCCGAAAATACAAATAAGATCGACAAAGTTAATCGCGAGCTCAATGGTTGACCGGTTGATCAAGAGGTGAGATTGAGGGCGATGCAAACAATGCCGAGTCGAAACGGCAGAAATCGAAAAATGATCGAAAACGGGATAGGGGCTGTCGGGGGATTGCAGAATGAAAAGAGATCCATGAAGAAAAAGAAAATTCCGAGTGGTTGAGTGCCACATGGTCCGCTCCAAGGTGACTTGAACGAGGTCCCGGGTTTCTGAGTAGACAAGTATGTGAGAACAAACAGGAGGAAACTGTAAAATAACCTCACTGTCAAGCTACACGATTAGTACCACTGAGCCCCCGCTCCATCATCCCGCTTCGAACGGCCACCAGAAGGTCCATAACCTAAAGCAGCACCTTTCGAGGCAGAACGCAGCCTAACGCCGAAGACTATGCGATTAGTCAGATTCAGAACCAAAGGATTCCTCCACGCCAGTGTCACGAAAAGCAAATCACACAACGCAGGGAGTTTAAAAAAAGAGAAGGGGTTCCCTACTCGGAAACCAGGTTTTCAAAAGTACTCACATCCTGTCGCTACCTCCCACGGCACGGCCGGTTTCCGGAGTGTTGTCAAGGCCGCCGCGGTCCATAACTTTGCGACGCTGGCTAGAGATGGCACCGGGCTTGGGAGCACCACTGGCACCCATGGGGCCAGCGGCAGGAACACCCTGACGGCGCTGCTGGTCCTCAGCATCCTTGTCCTTCTTGGTGGCATCCACAATCATGGCGGCGTTTTTCTGGTACTTGTAGACGGTCCAGTCGAAGACGTAATCGTACTGGAAGGACTCACGGACGAAGAGGTCACGGAAAATCTTGCGAAGGTAAGAGTAATCAGGCTTGTCATCAAAGCGAAGCGAGCGGGTGTAGTTCAGGTAAATGGCGAATTCGTTGGGGAAACCACGGCACAAAACCTCGGTGGGGGTGGTCATCTTCTTCTCCATGATACGGTCGTACTTCTGCTTCTTAGTGGCAGCTTTCAGACCCTGCCAGGGGAGAGAACCACGGCAGAAGTAGAGCATGACGTAGCCGAGAGACTCCATATCATCACGGCGAGACTGCTCGACACCCAGGTGGGTGTTGATACTGGCGTAACGGGCAGTTCCAGTAAGGTTCTTGTTTTCACGATAAGGGATGTGGAAGTGCGTCTTGGGGTCACGGTATTTCTTAGCAAGACCGAAATCGATCACGTTGACCTGGTTGCCACGCTTGCCAATGCCCATCAGGAAGTTGTCAGGCTTGATATCACGGTGGATGAACGACTTGGCGTGGATGTATTCAATGCGAGAGATAAGCTGATCGGCGAGAAGCAGAACGGTCTTGAGCGAGAACTTTCGGTTGCAGAAGTTGAAAAGATCCTCCAGACTGGGACCAAGGAGGTCGATGACCATGGCATTGTAGTCACATTCGGTACCGAACCAACGAACGAAGGGAATACCGACACCACCGGCGAGAGACTTGTAGACACGGGCTTCGTATTCAAGCTGGGGGTGCTTGGCCTTGACGCTTTCGAGCTTGATGGCAATCTCCTCACCGGAGATAATGTTGGTGCCTATGAATCTGTAAGCTTGAGT